GTGTATGAGCCAGTCATACTTTCCTTTTTCCCTAGGAACAAGTCAAGAGGGAGTCGAGCCTCCCGTCCGAACAGCAACATGTGTGGCGAAAAGCCGGTTGTGGCATGGGGGGTGCAGTTGTATAGATATACCAACTCTGGGAGAAAATCAGGCCAACGTTTTTTCTGTTCAGGTTCTAGCGTACGCAGCAAATCATGCATGCTGCGGTTGAACAGCTCGCACTGTCCGTTTCCTTTCGGATTAAATGTGGTTGTCCTAGATTTGTTGATCCCGTAGTGGCTGCACAGTTGGTTAATTACTTCTGACTCGAAGGCCCTTCCTTGGTCAGAGTGTAATTGTCTTGGTATGCCATATTTGATGAACCAATGTTCTATTAAGACCTTTGCCACTGTTTTGGCAGTCTAATCTCGTGTGGGCACCGCCACAGTCCATTTGGTGAATACATCAGTCATTACCAACACATGTTCCGTCCCATCCGATGATTGTTCCAACGACGTAAAGTCCATAGCCACAATCTCTAGTGGTTTTGTCGCCAGTAAGTGTCCTGATGGCTGTCTCATTTTGACAACTGGCATTTTCGCATGCTGACACCTAACACAAGCCTTACAATGGCGTTTGACCTCCATCTCCATATTGGGCCAGTAGCACCGCCGTCGTAATATTTTGTGCGTCCTGTCCTGACCCTGGTGTCCTGCCCTGTCATGTGCCAACTTTAGCACTTCTTCTCGTAATTGTCCAGGCACCACCACCTGGTGTATTGTCCCATCAATTTGGTCATGAATTCTCCGCATGAGAACACCATCCTTTATACTGAGACGGTCCCACTGACTCAGTAGTTTCTTTGTTTCTCGACCAAACTGTTCTCTTTCCCTTCTTCTTGGGAATTTTTGTTCCTGGGCGTATTTCAATAGCGGCTGTAACCCGCTATCCGTTCTCTGGGCATCTCGTATCTCTTTATTATTAAGGCAATTAAAATCACTAATGTCCATATGTCCGGGCTCTGTGGAAATGTGCTCCACCCCGGTCTGTCCGTTCTGCCTCACTTGCACCCCGTGAGGGATCTCTGTTGACGCTCTGACCTCACATATTCCTGTCAGCGTTTCTTCCTCATCGCCCGGTCTCTCGTAAGGATTCCTTGATAAGGCGTCCGCATTGCCATTGGACCGCCCCGGGCGATATTTTATCTCCAGGTGAAAGAGTGCCAATTCTGCTGCCCATCGCTGTTCGATGGATCCCAACTTTGCTGTCTTTAGGTGACTCAAGGGGTTATTGTCAGTGTATACCACACATTTAGCACCTAATAGATAGTCCCTGAATTTTTCAGTCACAGCCCATTTTAATGTCAAAAGTTCCAGTTTCATGGCGCTGTAATTTGTCATGTTCTTCTCTGATTCCTTCAGAGCTCGACTGGCATACGCAATAACCCTGAAACCTTGCTTTTGTTGTTGTGATAGTACAGCTCCCAGACCTTTAGAGCTGGCGTCAATTTCTAGCCGAAATCGTTTGTCAAAGTCTGCGTATCCTAATATCGGCGCCTCTGTCAAAGCCTTTTTCAGTAGCTTAAACGAGTTCAGGCATTCCTCAGTCCATAATTCACCTATCAGTTGTGTTTTGCCTTTCTTTTTCTCCTTACTGTGTTTCTTTGTCATTTTGTTTACCAATTCATGCAACGGTGCGGCAATTTTTGCAAAACCAGGTACAAATTTTCTATAATAGGAAGCAAAGCCCAAGAATGATCTGACCTCTACCGTAGTTGTTGGCTGTTTCCATTCTTTAACCGCTGCAATTTTATCTGGGTCAGTGGCGATGCCATCCGACGAAATCACATAACCCAAAAAATGTACCGATTTCAGACCGAAGCAGCATTTGTCTGGGTTCAGCTTTACTCCTATCTCCCTAAGACGGAGAAACACTTGTTCTAATCTTTCTAGATGGTCCTCCCAAGTTTTTGAGTAAACTAGTATATCATCCAAGTACACCAACATTATTTGAAATAGAAAGTCACTCATAGCACTCTGCATTACTCGCTGGAATGTAGCAGGCGCATTAGTTAGACCAAACGGCATACGGGTCCACTCGTACAGTCCCAGTGGAGAAATAAATGCAGTCTTATGTTGATCGTTGGGGTGCATGGCCACTTGGTGGTAGCCGCTAGCCAAATCCAAGGTAGAAAAAAATCTTGCTCCCCCCAACGCATCAAGACATTCATCAATACGAGGCAAGGGGAATGCATCCCTTCTTGTGATATTGTTCAATTTCCGGTAATCACAACACAGTCTTATCTCCCCTGACTTCTTTTTTACCACTACTATCGGTGCCGCATACGGGCTCGTGCTGGTTGTAATAATTCCCTTTTTTAGTAGATCGTTCAGGTGTGCTTTCACCGCAGAGTAGTGGCTTGGTGGTAATCTTCGATAAGGTTGCGCCACCGGCTTGTCTTGTAGTAAGGGTATCTGGTGTTTTATTACTTCCGTGTGACCCAAATCACCCTCGTACGAGGCAAATATATCCCTGTACTTATTCAGCAATTCATTTAGTTTTGGGTCCTCAGTTTCCGGGAATGTATATGATCGGCCATCCTCTTTCTTCACCTCGGCCGTCACATTGACCGACCTAATTGTTACTTCATTACTGCTGGTATTGCTCAGTTCGATGCACTGTGCCGAACTTTGTACCTCGACGTTCTGTGGTACTCCTACCAGAGTGTTAGGCGGTATAAAAATTTCCTCATCCAAAACATTTGCCACTAATCCTTGAACTAGTCCATTTTCCGCTGATGTGTATGTCCGCAGTAACACGACGCCTGCCCTCAATGCGGCGCCACATGGTTCTATCATCACATCACCATTCACGCTTCTATCACCAATTTGTAATGTGATTGCCTTGACCGTGTTTGCCGGGACTGATATCCTTCCTCTGGTCTTGGCAAACCTGGCCAACTTGGATCCCCGACCTGGTGTGGTCGATCCGACAATATTTGTAAGAAATTCTGGCAACTGGCCAAGAATATTCATGCCCAACAGGCAAGGTATATTTGACACATTTGTCTCTAGGTTGTGTTTCGTAACGAACACCCCAACCTGCTTCAACCTATGTCCCGCCACCACGACATCCGCTAGAAAATAACCACAGTATGGAATGGTTAGTCCATTAGCTGCCGTCAGGCGCATGCATGTGTCAGACCTCAACCTATGGTCTTTTCCTTTCATCCATTTGGTGTAAAAATTTTCCGTAATTGTCGTCACCTGGGAGCCTGTATCCACAATTGCCTTCACCGCGATGTCCCCGATCGTAATCACCATTTCGGGACAGACTCCCATCATTTTGTTTCTTGGGCCATAACCTCGCCCCTCTGTAGCCTGGCCCTGCCTTACAGAGGACGACCGTTTCCCTGACAGTACCGTGCCATATGTCCGGGTTGTGAGCAGGACCAGCAAATTGGTCGACCGTCAGCCGTCCACCGGAGCGATGGACCGGCGGGTCGCGGCCGTCCAACCCGTCCCTGTTTTGTCCCGTTTTTGCCCTGATTCTCAGCTGTTGACCTGCTTTCCAACCTCTCCAATCGTTGGTCAACCTTATCCAGGTGGGCCAACAGTTGAGCCATCATGGTTTCCATCGTGCCGGTCCCTGTGGTTGGGGATTGTTTCTGTTCCGGCACAGAGACTTTGTCTACCGAACAGTTCGATTGGTCCTCATCCTCGGACCTGCGGATCGCTGAGTTCCTGACCTGAAGGAAGGTCAACTGCGGGTCTTTGTAGACCTCTTCTTTCAACTTTCTCCTTAAGATCGGGGTTGCTAGCCCCTCAATGAAATGGTCCCTCAGTAGGCGCACATCAATGTCAGGTGTTTTGCCCTTTACCGAATCAAAGGCCCTGTTCATTCGGTGTGAATACTCCATCACACTCTCCGCCATTCTCTGCTTTAAGCCTACGAACCCCGATAGCAGTTGCGATCCCGACCGTCTCTCCCCAAAGGTCTCCATAATTAGATCCAGCACCTTATCTGGATCTGATTGGATGGTTTTATCGTGGCATTTGACCTCTGCCCTAACCATCTCTCCTATACTGCCCATTAGCAGTCTTAATCTTTCCTCTGGTGACATGTATCTCGAGGCCCAGGCAGCCCTGACCTCTTCACTGAACCTGTTGGTTAAGGTTGGATCACCGTCCCCGTAAAATTTGTTAATGTGGGACTCTCTGGGCAGGACCACAATATGGGTCTGCTTCTCGTCCAGAGTAGACATTATAATTCTTATTCCTTGAGTAAAAAAAAGAAAAGACCTTTCTTACCGTGTGTGTATGAAAAATTTTCCTCGTTCCTCAATTTTCACTGTTCCTGAATGTCCGAATTCACACACACACTAAACACAGTTATGAACTGGATCTAGGTTGACTATGGGTGCCCTAGCGGCTGGTCTAGTTGGATTCTCCCTGTCCGCAGCGCCAAATGTAACGAGTCTATTTGCCTGTAGTGCCAAATGTTAACGAGTCTAATTGAATCTTCTGCTCGACAACGCCAAATGTTACCGAGTCTAACCACTCATTCTACACAACATCGACCACAGTATAGATACTCGAAGATGCAGGTTCACTATTGATCCTTTTATTACATGAATCAAAGAAATGCTTCACAATAATATATTGAATCAAAAGAAATGCTTCACAATAATAGTCTGAATCAACTGACCCCCAACAGTCCTCACTAGTCTTCACATAACTGAATGCACATGTCTATCGTCCTTCTTAACACAATACGGCTAACCCGTTCAATAACCAACTTGATACTGCCACACTTCTACTGACTGACTGATCTCACTCGATCTCCGTTCTGTCTCCAACTCTGTCTCCAACTCCGTCTCCAACTCCCCTTCTGCGCTTTCTACCAGTCCTATATATTCCTCGTATTCGTAATCGGATTCGTAATCGTAATCGTAATCGTAATCGTAATCGATTCTAATCGTTGCATCAGAATGTTAATTACGCCGCTTCTGTCGTACAGTCCGATTAATAAAACATCTGCATCCTGTCACATCAAAGTTGACAGACCGTATTGCGTTCTTATCGTATCGCTTCCCAAAATACTACGCCTTGGCTTTCTGATCGTTATCAGCCAACACCTGCGTTATTACATCAGTCATGTCAAAGTTGACAGCGCTGTACTGCGTTCTTATGTCTCTGGTAACTTCCCCTAGTTACATATATATATATATATATATATATATATATATATATATATATATATATATATAATCAGGGGTCTGAACTGATCAAGAAGAGCCATAACAGAACAGGAAATCTGCTGGTACCAAACTCTAACTACTGCAGACTGCATGAATGGATGGATCCCATTCTAGACACCATGTTGCAGGAACAAAAACAGGTCAGAATTTAATTAACTGATTCAGTGATTGCTGTCGATTAAAAGGTCAAATGTTACGGTGTAAGGTTGTTTTTTTTTGGTAATTTTAAGTAAGAAATTTTAATCAATACGAGAAGTACTGCCCATTGAAGGGTAGATAGTTATTAATTATTATCATATCTGAATTTGTGTTATTTGTCTATGATTATTAGTTTCTAACGAGCCGACCCGCTGCGTATCATACGCCGCTATTTAGTTGTTGTTTTTTTTTCTACTTTTCAGTAATTTATAATTTGTGAATTCGACAGTACCAATGCTGTCACTGAAAATATTTGCTTAAAAACACTAAACCTCCCCCCACGTGAAAGCAGCCTCCTCTTAGTTACCTCCTCTAAGTTTAAAATCGTTTCAAACTAAATTATCTGCCCCTAATAGCCGTCACCAAACCCGTCTCTATGATTGTAAAATGTAAACAGCGTGACCACAACTCACCAGACAATGTGGGGGTGGGGTGGGGGTGGTAGTGATAGTGATAGAGAGAAAGAGAGGGACTGCAAGGAGGCGCTTGCAGCTTGTTTTCTAACGGCTCCCAGAAGAGAATTATATATATAGATTATATTGACAACAAAACTAGTAATACTATCCACACTCCATAAAACTGCCCTACATCATTGGGGTCGTCCATAAATGACGTCACACTCGTAGGGGGGAGGGGGGTCCGTAATTTTGTGACGGTGTGTGATGAGGTGAGGGGGGGGGGGCGGTTAGATGGTGTGACGTCACACTTTTGCATTATAAAAAAGCAATGTTAGAAAACGAGTTTTAGCCGTTATTTCGCGTTTTAGAAAACTGTTTTAATAAATTGTAATAGGAATTGATCAAAATGCTCAATATTGACAGAGTTCTGATAAGATTTTGGAAAAATATCGATGTTTTAAAAAAAATTCAACAGCAATTTTGAGGGGGGGGGGGGGTTGTAGGCTGAGGTGTGACGTCATTTTAGGGGGGGGGGTCTGGCTTTTTGTGACGACGTGTGACGGAGGGGAGGGGGGAGGTAAAAATCGTCAAAAATAGCGTGACGTCATTTATGGACGACCCCTATTCACACCACCATAAAACTGCCCTATCCACACCACCATAAAACTACCCTATTCACACCACCATAAAACTGCCCTATCCACACCACCATAAAACTACCCTATTCACACCACCATAAAACTGCCCTATCCACACCACCATAAAACTACCCTATTCACACCACCATAAAACTACCCTATTCACACCACCATAAAACTGCCCTATCCACACCACCATAAAACTGCCCTATCCACACCACCATAAAACGAGTTGCCTTATCCACACCACCATAAAACTGTCCTATCCACATCACCATAAAACTGCCCTATCCACACCACCATAAAACGAGTTGCCCTATACACACCACAAACTGCCCTATCCACACCACCATAAAACGAGTTGCCCTATACACACCACAAACTGCCCTATCCACCATATCCACAATAGGGCACCGAGTGGACACCATCTAAACTGATCTGGAGATTGGGCAAGGAGGTCAACAACCCCGAGTCCATCTACTACTGGGCCTACAGAAACAAGATTCCGGTCTTCTGCCCGGCCATAACGGACGGTGCCATTGGTGACGTCCTGTACTTCCACAGACACAAACACCCGGGCTACAGCCTCAAACTGGACCTGGTGGCGGACGTGCAAGAAGTCAACGACATCGCGCTGTTTTCATTTAACACAGGTCAGTGGCCGAGGGTTCAACACAGGTCAGTTACCGATAATCCATTTTAAAAATTAGTTTGTGTGTTAAATTCATTTTTAAAAAAATGCTCGTTTTGCTTGTTAAGTGATGTATATTCTGATCTACGTGATAAATATATGGGATCATTATGGGTTTTCGATCCCAAGTGTGTTATCCTTTTTTGCCATGTTCCATGATTAAGTTTTGTTTAAAAAATATAAAATAAACATAGCGGCGTCGCTAGGTGGTACGGTGGGGGTGCTACACCCCAGGTGGTATTTTTAAAGATATGATTAGCTCCATGTATTTATGAAATTAGGAGCTCTCCAAAAGCCACATTTCGTAATATATACACTTTTTTTTATCTACGTAAGTTGATCACTCTGTTATTATATGTAATGAAATTAACTGTTACATAATAGTTGGATAATTATATTTTTGTCGCAGGTGTGATTATACTTGGCGGTGGTGTCATCAAGCACCACATCCTAAACGCCAACATTTTCCGATGCGGCACTGACTTCTGTGTTTACGTCAACACCGGAAACGAGTTTGACGGCAGCGACGCAGGCGCCAGCCCAGACGAGGCTGTCTCATGGGGGAAAATCAGCACATCATGCAAGCCCGTGAAGGTATTTGACAATAGTGGTTCCACCCAGAGGCGTAGCGGGGGGCGGGGGGGGGGGGGGTACATATGTCCCTTGACCCTAGTGGGCGCCAAAATGGGCTGGGAAAAAAATTAAAGCTCATTTTAGCTGCAGTTTTGCATTATAAATATAAAAAAAAATATATGAGGGGTGGGGGCGCCAAATTGAAAGTTTGTCCCGGAGGGTGGGGGGGGGGGCGCCAAATTGAAAGTTCCACTGCGCCTTTACCCCTCTATGACATCATTGAGTTCCTAAGGCAGTGGTTCTAGATCTGGGTTCAATCAAACCCCAGGGGTTATTCTCAGGGGTTTGACGGAGGTCAAGACTCACACCCGACTCATGATTCTCAATCCGATTTTGTCTGTGCGAGCGATACAACTGTTAACAAGGTTCGGTGAATGCGCATATGAAACTGGTGGAGCTCGGTACCTCCAAAAAGGTTAGAAACCACTGTCTCGAGGGATTTATATTTTAAGTTTTATTGCGAAAGTACAATTTCTCAACAACAAAAATAATAACCTACAATCTTAAATCAATGTGTTGATTCGGCGCAATATAGAACTCTCACTCCAGCGATCTGAATACAAACTTCTCTCGATAGTCTGAGGTAAAACAACTGATGATAGGGATAAAGTTATTTTCCTAGATTGAAAGGTTTACTTTGTGAATGACGCATGATGTCAGGTAATAATCCAGCGATGTTGCATCAAAAAGAAGTATCGTGTCACTCGAGATTACGACGCAACAGATGCTTGACTTAGTTGTAGCGCACTTTACGTTTTCAGGTGCAATTAAAAAAAGTAATACGTGTGAATGATCTTTGTGTTCTTCATTAATGTATTACTTCACTTGAATAATTTATGCAAATTAGACACTTGAGTATATTTTATCCGTATAATTAAATGTAAATTAAATTAAGTGTAACGATATAGTTAGGGGTGGGATGGGATTATAATTTTACACTAAGTCACGTGGCTGATTACAGACTGGTAGAATCCTAAATAAGTGTATCACACTATGTTTCTTCTCCTGCCCCCTCCCCAATATACTTTACCATTATATTTTTTTTTAAATTATGTTTTTTTAGTATGAGCATCCAAACATACACATATTCACGTACACGTCTCTCTACACGATACGCGTCTTCACGTTCACACCACACCACACAATACACATATCCATGTACACTTCTCTAGGTGATACACACATGCATGTACACTTCACACCACACAATACTCATATCCATGTACACTTATCTCTGCTCGATACACATTTTCATGTACACATCACATTACATAATAAACATCTCAATGTATACATTACACCACACATTGCACATAACCATGTACACATCTTTGTGTACACATCACAACACACAAGACTCATATCAATGTGCACATCGATATTCATGAAACACATCTACATGTACACATACCACACAATGAACATCTCAATGTAGGCCTACACATCATACCACACAATGAACATCTCAATGTACACATCATACCACACAATGAACATCTCAATGTACACAACATACCACACATTGAACATCTCAATGTACACATCATACCACCCAATGAACATCTCAATGTACACATCATACCACACAATGAACATCTAAATGTACACATCATACCACCCAATGAACATCTCAATGTACACATCATACCACCCAATGAACATCTCAATGTACACATCATACCACACAATGAACATCTAAATGTACACATCATACCACCCAATGAACATCTCAATGTACACATCATACCACACAATGAACATCTAAATGTACACATCATACCACCCAATGAACATCTCAATGTACACACCATACTACACAATGAACATCTCAATGCACACATCATACCACACAATGAACATCTCAATGTACACACCATACGACACAATGAACATCTCAATGTACACATCATACCACACAATGAACATCTCAATGTACACACCATACCACACAATGAACATCTCAATGTACACACCATACCACACAATGAACATCTCAATGTACACACCATACCACACAATGAACATCTCAATGTACACATCATACCACACAATGAACATCTCAATGTACACACCATACCACACAATGAACATCTCAATGTACACACCATACCACACAATGAACATCTCAATGTACACACCATACCACACAATGAACATCTCAATGTACACACCATACCACACAATGAACATCTCAATGTACACATCATACCACACAATGAACATCTCAATGTACACATCATACCACACAATGAACATCTTAATGTACACATCACATCAAACTAAAAGATGTGTCATTTCAGCAGTAGCGACTCACGAGAAAGACTTAAAAGGTTAGAGTTAGGCGTCCCTGAACTTTAGTAGATCTAAAATGTACTAAAGCCACTAATTTGAGCTACTTTATTCAACAATATTGTTATTGTGATCCATTTGTCACGGGATGCCCCAAAACCTAGAGGTTCTTAATATTGTATAATAGCTTTAAAAAAATATACAGTCACTATGTTGCAGTAGTCTCGCCGACCCCCCCCCCCCCCCCAATTATTTAATACGAGCCGGCCCGCGGCATCACATACGCCGCTATTTAGTTGTTATTTTTTCTACTTTTCAGTAATTCATAATTTGTGAATTCGACAGTACCAACGCTGCCACTGTAAATATTTCTTTAAAACACTATAAGTAGCTCGTTAAGGACCATAACACACCCCCTTCCTTCCCCCCCCCCCCCCCCCACGTTTAAAATCGTTGGCTCTGCTTGTCAACATTTAGAGTGAACACAGCTCACTAAAACCATGTAGGGGTGGGGAGGTAGGGAGTGCGTTTGCAGCTTGTTTTCTAGCGGCTCCCAGAAGAGAATTATATATATAGATCCCTTGCTGAACTTACTGAATGAAAATATTGGTTACGAGCCGACCCGCGGCGTATCATACGCCGCTATTTAGTTGTTATTTTTTCTACTTTTCAGTAATTCATAATTTGTGAATTCGACTGTACCAATGCTGCCACTGAAAATATGTGCTTTAAAACACTAACCCCCCCCCCCCCCCCCCCCCGTGAAAGCAGCCTCCTCTTAGTTACCTCCCCTAAGTTTAAAATCGTTTCAAACTAAATTATCTGCCCCTAATAGCAGCCACCAAACCCGGCTGTATGATCGTAAAATGTAAACATTTAGAGTGAACTACAACTCACCAGACCATGTAGGGGTGGGGGTGGGGGTGGGGGGGGGGGTAGGGGGGGGGGGTAGCGATAGAGAGGAAGAGAGGGGTCTGTAAATGCGCGCTTGCAGCTTGTTTTCTAATGTCTCCCAGAAGAGAATTATATATATAATTTGGTTATTACTGTAACAGTCACCTTAAAAAGATGTCTTTAATTTTCAGATTGTTGCAGACGCCACGCTAATCTTTCCTGTTCTGGTGGGTCAAACGTTTGCTAAACGACAGGCGGAGTTCTCTGCTCTTGGCAAGGGTCACAGCTAGCCTATGTATAGACCATTGTTTACCTATCCTATGCCTTCTTGTGATATTTCAGATTTTTATCTTTTTTAAATTTAATTACAAAATGTTATTTATTATGATTATGTATACATGTTTAATATCGCACCCACACACTGGGTTTTTTGGGGAAATTTACTGGTGTTTTTTCTCTTTTATATGCTTTTGATTTTATGGTATGAACATTTCAATACAAAATTTACAATAGTATTCATATATCTACTACAGTGATTTTTTAATTTAAATTTTGTTGTATGATAAAAATAAAATAAAAAAAAAGCAACTTTTTTGTGCCCTACTAACATCACGGTCGTATGGTAGAGAGTTCGACTGCTATCTCAAAAGTCTATAGTTCGGATCCCGGTCTTGAGGCCGTAAGACGTCCCTGAGTCCACCCAACTGAGACGGGTACCTGGCTCACGTATGCTGACCACACTATCCCTTTATATGCCGTGGTCACTGACACAGGTGAACTCTTCTTCAACTGCCAAAAGGTCCGTAACACCGCTTTTACACTTGCGACATGTATATTGGTCGACATGTATATTGGTTCATGACAACATGCCCTTTATAGTTGGTTAGTTCACCTCCTGGGACATAGGTCGCTGTCAAGAGCTTTTCATGCGCCTCTGTCCTGGGCTAGTCTCTCCAACTGTCCCCAGGTGTATCCAGGCTAGTCTCTCCAACTGTACCCAGGGTGTATCCAGGCTAGTCTCTCCAACTGTCCCCAGGTGTATCCAGGCTAGTCTCTCCAACTGTCCCCAGGTGTATCCAGCCTAGTCTCTCCAACTTTACCCAGGTGTATCCAGGCTAGTCTCTCCAATTGTCCCCAGGTGTATCCAGACTAGTCTCTTCAACTGTCCCCAGGTGTATCCAGGCTAGTCTCTCCAACTGTCCCCAGGTGTATCCAAGCTAGTCTCTCCAACTGTCCCCAGGTGTATCCAGGCTAGTCTCTCCAACTGTCCCCATGTGTATCCAGACTAGTCTCTCCAACTGTCCCAGGTGTATCCAGGCTAGTCTCTCCAACTGTCCCCAGGTGTATCCAGACTAGTCTCTCCAACTGTCCCCAGGTGTATCCAGACTAGTCTCTCCAACTGTCCCTAGGTGTATCCAGACTAGTCTCTCCAACTGTCCCCAGGTGTGTCCAGGCTAGTCTCTCCAACTGTCCCCAGGTGTGTCCAGGCTAGTCTCTCCAACTGTCCCCAGGTGTGTCCAGGCTAGTCTCTCCAACTGTCTCCAGACTAGTCTCTCCAACTGTCCCCAGGTGTATCCAATCTTCTTGGTGTCTTCTTCCAGGCCACGTCTCCCTTGGTAGGCTTCTTGTCCTTTTGCTCTGCGCATTCCCTTGTAGTATAGCCCAAGAAAACACAGAGCATGTCTCACAAGACTGCCAATTGTACAAAATGACGCGGTCTCAGCTGTACCCCCTAAACATAGCACTCAGTAAAAAAAAATTGTATGGAGAGACAACTGTGTTGGTTTTGCTGTACGATTCCTCCATTACAGTCATATTAAGAACGAAGAAAAAAAAAACAAATCATTATTGAAAGAGAAAAGAAACGTTGACAGATAATTTTTTAAATGATCAAGGTAACTGATGACTTTTGAATTACTATATGGCAGAAACGAGTGTGTTAATATTTTTTTAGGGGGAACAATTTTAAAGGTATAAATTGAAGGTAAATTAATACAGATTATCTCTCTTTGTGATACGTATGGGAAGTCATGCGAAACGACATAGCTCACGGGTTCCCAACCTGGGGGTCGCGACCCCCTTGGGGGTCGCGGAGGTCTTTCTGGGGGGTCGCCAACGGGTATTCTAAACCTTAGTAATTTGAAACAAAACATAAATATTTAGAAGAATTTTTGAAATTCGGCTTCATTAACATCACTGGAAATGTAATAGAGAAGGAACAAAGCGCACTGTACAAAGTTGTTCTCAGTCACGAATCTATGAAATCTTCAAAACTAAAACGCCATTTGAGACGAGTCATTCGGAACACACCAAAAATATATGGAGTTCTTTCGTCGGTAAGAAGCTAGTTGCAAACGCAAAAGACTTGATCGAACAGGAATTTTTCACCAGCATTAGTGCAAGCATCAAATGAAGTCGCGATAGAAAATGCCAAGCAAAAAAAAAAAAAACAATTGGAGAAAATCTCATCAAATGCTGCATGGACGTAGATGTTAAATAACACATTGTTATCGAAATTAAGCTTTCACCATTGTTTGCTTTTCAAGTTGATAAATCAACAGACGTGAGTTCGTGTTCGCAGTTGCTGGTCTGTGTCTATATTCATGCGGATGATAGCAAAGAAGAGTTGCTCTTTTGTGAAGATAGCATGGAGAAAATAAATACCTTTTTTGAAACTGGATGATTAAAATGGGTTAGAACGGCTGTGGGGGTTTGTACGGATAGTGCGCCATCTATGTTTAGCTCAAAATCGGGCTTTCAGAAAACAGAAAAGATTTAGCTCCCTAACCACTGCCCTAACCAATCGACATCAAGAGTCCATTGCTAGTATAAGTCGTAAATGATATAAAATCTGGAGCCTTCAAAGAACTGAGCAAAAACATTAATATAGATCACGAGATTCTGCTCTTCTACACTACAGTACGCTGGCTGTCAAACCAAATGTTGTAAATTGTGTTTTTGAATTGAAATCTGAAATCAAATTGTTCTTGGAAGTGCAAAGGAAACAAGAGTTTTTGGTATACTTAAAACGACATAGAGTGGTTGGAGAGAGTATCATACCTAGCAGATGTGTTCGAACATCAAGATAAGCTTAACCTTAAGCTTCAGGAAAAATGAACGAATATTATAACTTTCCAAGATAATCTCGGGGCATTTTTATCAAAGCTGCAAAATTGGTAAAGAAAATAAATCTTGGAAATATTGTAAATTTGAGAAATTCTGCCGTGTGGTAATGAATCTGATTGTGAGATAATTAAAATTTTGAAAGAAGCGATTTCTGGGCATCTAGAATCTCTTGAAAACGAACTGCATCGCTATTTCTCTGAGCTGAAAAAAGAAGAATCTGCATTTACGCATTACTCATTCTCTTCTTCCCTTGATGTTGCCAGTATTCCCGATGAATTACAAGATGAATTTTTTTATTTACAGAATGATTCCGAGTAAGATGAAAAACTGCAGACACAATTTTGGTGTAGTATTCACCATTCATACCCAAACGTAAAATTGATTGACTTTTCGAGAATATATTTTCAACACTGTTCTTCGATTAAAAACAAAATTAAGATATTAAAATGACATAGGTTGGCGTTAACAAAGGTTTAGTGAATAGTATGCAATTTTACTCATGCTATTAAAATAGTTATCAAGAGTAGTTCATATTGAAAGTCTACTAGAAAATCTTATTTTAGTGCGTATTGATTTCCATACTAATTTCGGCTTTTTAATTCTATGGGGGTCGCGGGTCACTTACTTTTTATAAAAGGGGGTCGCCACTCGAAAAAGGTTGGGAACCACTGACATAGCTTGTCGAACAAATAGGGGAGGTAATAAAAGAATAGTCAATTTCCTAAAGAGGGATAGCCTCTAGAAGCACTTCAACAGCCCCCCCCTCCCAAAAAAATTAGATTTAAATAGTAATTATATACTACTTTAACCACTTTTTGCCAACAGTCCTCCCCCCCCCCCCCCCCTCCAGATAGATAAAAATGTCTGAACGAAACTGGATTGATGATGCACACATTCAACTAAACGGACATTCCTATACTGGTACCACACAATAGGATGATTATTTTATTACGCCCCTACCTCAATATACATAACTCACTTGTTTACTAGCACTTATATGCGACATATTTATCAATCCTTCAATGAATTAAGAAGGAGCATCAACATTGTATTTTTTTTCTCAATAAAAATGGTCTACTATTGGTTGATGATTTAAACTTAAATAAAACTTAAATATCCTGACTGTATTTCCTTGATGTCTTTCAATAAAATAATAAGCAGCAGTACACTAAAAACTTAATAAACAACACAATAACTTAGCAACACAAAAACAAACAACTTTTAAACTCAGGTTATCTTTATAACAAATTGTAATGAAAAAAAAAATGTAATTATTCAATTTGCTTAAAAGAATTGAAATCTGTCTAACAACATAATCACAGCAATGGTTTCAAGATCAGCAATCAATGAAATATAAACAATATCAAAATAATACCAGTTCAATAAACATAGCGTAAAAAGAAATTAAAATACATTCTTTTTTTTTTTTTACAAAATCATCAAACAAACTATTAATAATTTATTATGTGTAGGACTTTTGATTATTTTCTCCTAAATGTATTTCAGTAAAAATTATACTAAATTTAAAGGGAATATCTAAGGTATTAAATGAATCAAAGTAATCATTAAACTAAACTAGGGGTCGGCAACCTTTTGAAGCGGAAGAGCCAAAAGTTACAATTTTCAAAATTTTCCTGGTTTTAAAGAGCCACTAACAATTTTTTGTTTCAAGTACTTTATTTTTTTATTAAGATTATTAGTATTTGTTCAAGGAGCTGGAGAGCAGCATCTTGACATCAAAATAGCCGCATGCGGCTCGCGAGCCGCAGGTTGCCGACCCCTGAACTAAACTAAAACAAAATTACAAACTATTTAAGTAGATTTGATGCTACATGGATAGTGATGTTAATTAAAACACCATGTAAAGTTTAAAATGAAGTTGGATACTTAATGAAATAAAGTAATTGATGTGTAATGTTTAGTACTATAGAATTAAGCATTCATGATTTATATTTAGTACACAATTATAAAGCATTTGGTTTACATTCTGTTCAGCACTATAAAGCAAATGTACACTTTGTACGACATGTTAAAGCACTTATAATGTACACTATATAACTTATAATCAAGGATTAATTATTCAATAACAGACAGTACACTGGGATTTCCATAGATGACAAGAAATGTATAAATTTAAAAAAAAGCAAAGACTCTATTTCTGGCATGTGTGATCCAATAATTACCACAACAAATAGACACAAGTTTTTATTGCAAACAAAAAATAATATCTACTCAAACAGATCAGTATTTTATGCAAGGTAGGATTCATGTTAACGATATAGACAAAAAAGAACATATTATAACAAGCAATGTGCGGCAGCCAGTGTTAATATAATACTCTATAAACGTATGACTTAGAGTTTACACGTAGATATCTGGATTGACATAGATTCAAATGCGCTCGTAAAACAGCATATAAGCCTCAGAAGATAGAACCTGTTGCTGGGACACCCTGGACACAGAGCTGTCTGACGTGTACCACCACTTGGACCCCAGGTCACCCGCACCTTTCAGAGGCTGACCTCCGCCGTGGATGCCGCGGCGGTAAGCCACAAAATGTCCGAGCTGGCTGTCTCCGATGTGGCAGACCACAGCGGCCAGCTTGTAGGAGAAGTCTGAGCTCCCGACTTTGTACAGCTCAGGGGGGGCGTTGTGGTTGACGTCACTGAACTCCCTGGGGATCTCTGGGGAAGCTTGGGGGTCAACAAATAAACCTGTCCTGGTGAACTGCTGGTCAAAGTTCAACGTTCTTAAAAGGTTGACCGGTGCAGATGTCGGTGTAGTCACCGCTTTGGCTGATTGGCTGCGGAAAAGTAAAAAATTGTTTGGTTCTAAAAACAAAATTTTAAATCTATTGCTGCAATAAATTATTCATTTTTTCTGATGATTAGATCAACTCTTAATAATTAGACTTTTTGATAGTCCAGTAAAAATTACATGATGAATATGTTAACAATTATATATATATAACTGTCTAAGAATAACTACAAATTTTAAGATATGGTGAGGTACAAAGATGGGGATAAAATCTAAAAGGAACTGACCTTAACATTTGCATTGTGATATCCACACCACCAAGCAGACGGCTAGCACTGTCACCTTGGTTACAATACAGGTATGGATCCATGTGAAGTGTTTCAGGGAAACTCACATGGTCAAATCTCTTCACTGGAATCCCATTGTCCAGCCATTGTGTGCGAGGCAGGTGTACACACAGAACTTGGGGAAGCTGTACATTAAAAGGGATAACACATGTTCATTACACCAACTTGAAGACTAATTTTTCTAGGAAGCCTACATATTCACTACACTTTAATAATTAGGTTTTGATGCTATTATTCAAATAAGAGCTTTAAGTAATATTAGCCTTCGACTAAATTAGAAAAGAAAAATAACTGTTATGGAATAGTAATACTATCAATGATTTCAATACTTGAAACATTATTTTTATTTTTTACAACCAATAGTCAATTCCCATTGCCTCCCTTAAAAGAACAATCTAATACAGTGTTACCTCCCTTTACACTGAGCAAAATTCCAAAATAAGGACTTACTTTCCCTATTGATATTCTCTTCCTAAAATTTGACCTGAAGACTTTCTGCTGAGAAATCTTAGCACAGCCATGACACTCAACATCTTGTACCACCTCAGGGGTGACAAACTGGTGTAGTAAACTGTCCAGACTCAAAGGTCCCTAAGGGAGGTAAATTAAACAATAAACACTAATTTTTCATTTTCAATTATTTGGTTTCTAAAATTAGCCTCATCAACACAGCAGCAGCTTGCAGATGATAATACAAAAACTTCAAATCATGTTACAAATGAGTGGGTATGGATTAGTATTTCAAACAGCAATTGTTCAACCATAATAAAAAAGAGTTAATACTATGGGGGTTAAAGTATTGATATCAGCTACATTAGCTATATGTATATGTGGTTATGGCTGAACATATACTCTTGATAGTCTAAATGTTAACAGTTGAAACTTTTATTGTGGCGTTGTAAAATTTGAGTCTGAATTAAAGAACTATTATTATTTAACAATTGTTCAATAAATTAACTCCTGAGACAGAATTATTTTTATATTACCCAATAATTTCTTGGAAAAGAAAGAGTCAAGCTGTCAAAGACATCATATTTGACAGGAGACCTGGCTCCACAGGACAAACACTGTAGCTGACTGGCTAGTAAACCTCGGGTCGGCTGTTCCATTTGTTTATTAGGCAGTACAGGTAAAAGGCCTTGACTTCTAGTCCGCGCATGTTTATCAGACTGATAAGCATTCCGAGGATCCTAAAATTTAAATTATTTCTATAGAACATATTTTGATCAATTTGTAAGTGGTGAAATGAAACTAACAGTTTGACCTCATTTCTAGCCTTTATTAAATTTATTTATGATAAAGACATGCGCAATATAAAATTTATTTTAAAAATTTGTTTCAACAGAAAATTATAATTTTATAAGAAAAAAATAATAACCATAATGCATAATTATATAAAAGCTAGAATTTTTTTACTGCTTATAACAGCAAACAAGACAATTACCTGTAAATGAAATATATCAAACAAGGATATAACGCTGGGATAACACGATGCTTCTTCATCAAGTGTCTCTGTCAGTACATGAAACAATTCATGCATGTCCTGCATAAACAACAAAAAAAACACTACGCTTAGTAATACTATATATATACTATATACTATATCAGAGAGAATATATTTTGAAAATAAACAATAATGTTTAGAAATTGTTTCTCATTCTAGATCTATATATTTATTCTAGATTTACATGATCTTTAAATTGAATCAAAATATATGGAACTTGTTAAAAATCCTTACAAATCTTTTTGTGGACTTTTTTTTATTAGTTGCTTTCCTTTCTGTAAACCAGCATGTTTATGTAAGATACTATCAAGAAAGAACAACTGTGTTATGTTTAACATCAGCTTTTGTTTAGAACACTAAGAAATCATCAGTCAATCCAGGTATATCATAACTGGCTATAATGTTGTTCTTAAACGCATCAACTTCATGAACAATAAATGTTACTGCCTGAGATGCAGGCAAACAAATTAATCACGAGTAAAGCATTGCTCTTTTCATTACTGGTTGTATTAGCTAATTATAATCATAAACAAAATAAGTTTTAGTTAACCTGTTCTTCAGATGAGATGACCCATCTTTTTGCTCGCAAGGCTCTAAATACACTGCTGGGGTTGTAGGGATCAGAAGCCTCATCTACTTCATTGTTTAGAACTGCAAATACAGATTACCTTTGTCTATAGCTGTGCCAAATGTTATCAAGTTGAAATTTTTGATTAAGTTCCATATCTTAATGTTTTAAAAACTTATCAAGTATCACCAAATATCAAATTCAAGAACAAACTCAGCATACAATTAATTGGTTTTATAAATAGTCTTACTTACTTATCAAAATGTATTCTTATTTATTTTAGGCCTACTTACTTTACCTGTTGTAAGCCAGTTAAATGAAACAATTTAAAATACTTTTATCTAAAATGAAATGATTCTATAATGAGCTTTACCTTGCAAAATTCTGAAGATTGTGCTTGTAAGAAGATGACCACACTGAGTCAGATTAGAGTCATATTCAAGTGAGCATCTGAGCCAATTATATATAGACGGGCAAGCTGCCCATGACTGCAGCAAGGAGTTCAGAAAACATGAATTTCCAATATTCACCAGCCCCCTACATCTACCTAAAACAAAATAATAAAATATTAGTAGGCCTCGGCCTAGGCCTATGTGTAAAATTTAAAATAGGGCCTAAGCTTTTTTTTTTACTATTTTTAGGTAGGCCTATACTAATACTATACTTAGTTTATACTATACTACTATACTAGTATACTATAGTAACTATAGGGCATAGGCCTAAGTATAATATAAACTATAGGGGCCTAGGCCCTAGCCTAGGCTAAAGAAAGATTCTTTAGTAAAGAAAGAGAAATTATTACATGATACTTTGATTGTTGGTGTGATTGGGCTGATAAAAATTATCAAACCATTCAAATGATAATTAACTAGACGTCTAGAGGACATAGGTTCTATAAACTATAAGTTAATATAAAGTTCTTTTCTATTTCATCATCCATCGATCAAATTATCAAGGTACCCAACTCCAACTCAAGTCAAACCCAACCCGAGGCATACCTTTTGGACGTTTTTTTGACGGACCCAGAAAGATATATGCTGTGGTTACAGCGCCAACCACTGTGGCACCAATTGCAAATATATATCGTGAAAACATTTTCCATAAAATCATTAATATAACACGATAAAAAGGGTTTAATTTGTAATTGTGTCAAATAGAATCAAGATATCAAATTATTTTTCAGCCATTTTGATTTAGTGGAGAAAGTAATTGTAACTCTTTTAGTGAAGACCCCAGGCTATTGGTTCGGCAGATCTAGGCTAGCTTTTTTAAGTAAAAAAAAAATTAATTTACTGGTTTTAAAAAATCTTTATTTTATATCTAGATACCATGTAGACCTAGGTCTTTATAAGCAATTTATAAAAAATTGAAAATGGGTCAAAAGCTTTGTGTTGTGTATTTGTTATAAAGTCCTATAATAGTTAACCACCTTCACGAATGTAACACGATATATGCAACACATAACCTACATAAAAAAATTTAACATGTAAAATGGACTTAATTTCTTTTTCTTTTTCTGAGATATAAAAAAAGTTCTATAGCCAATGTTGTTAAATTGTGTCACATGCCGGTGTAGGTAGGCATATTGCGTCAATACCTTTAATATCATCCGTAACAGAGCCGGCGTTAGGAAAACGCGGGGCCTAGGGCCAACCATCCGCGCGGGGCCTTTCCATTATATATATATATATATGTATGTATGTATAAAGACCTATATAATGTGATGTACACATAATAACACAAATGTTTTGGAGTTTATAAGCAAATGCCCAACTTTCCACTATAATAACAGATTTTTATCTCTCCCAATGTTCTAAGTTTTTTTTTCCTTGCTAAGATATTAAATAACTTTTGACAGTTATGTAATTCATACCAAATCACTTAAGAAAATTTAATAATTAGGAAAATAAAGTTTACAATACAGCGAACTCGGCCTGATGTATCAGAACAGTATAGACTTCAAAATTTGTTAGGAATTCATACAATATTTTAAAACCAAAATAATTATTGTCTAAACTATTGTAAAGAATTTCCCTATAATTAAAAAAATGGCTTAAGCACTCTACAAATGTCGTGTTTTAAAGTTCACCAAAGTATCAGATATAAATTGAAAGACCGCGTTTATTGGGGGAATATCAATGACTACTAAATCACTACCCTTCATTGCCTTCAAAGACTCCCCTTCCTCCATAAAAGTTGTGCGACGAGGACAATTCGCTGACTATATCATGTCAGCACCACTGGAAGACGATTGAATAAAACAATTTGGATGAATTCGGTAAATTAATCATTCTGTCTCGGAACGGGTGAATCCTTAAGGTGACACAACATAACAACACTTTTAACTTTCTTCCAAAAAATAATAATAAATCACCTTGTTTAATGCCCCCCTCCTGATATAGAATCCTAAGCCCCCCCCCACCCCCCTCGTCGCCCTCCTCCCACCCCTCTGCACGCAACTGAATGTTAATTTTGTTATACCAAGACAAGTAGGCCTACATATAGAGTTTCTTCCAGGTATCTCTTCGGGGGGGGGGGGGGGGGGGGGCCAAGGCCCCCCCTGAAAAAATTCTACCGCTCCCCCCCCCCCCACGAAAATTTCAAGTGCCCCCCCCCCCCCCCCCGGAGAAAAAAGTCTGGAAGAAACACTGTACATATACGACATTATACGACATCTACAACAAGAAAGTCAGGACTATAGTTCATCAGGTCACTAACTGTCTACTACAGACATACCGTCTGCTCACTAAAAGGACGTCTTCATCGGTCCGCATACAATAAGGTAATTTCTTTACGTTGTGGGCTAATTCTCGACCGCCATCTCCAGTCAGCTCAGTTCAAATGCCAGGCGACCGTACCCTACACAAAGGGGAGGTGTGACACTGTTTTTGTATCGAATTACGGCCTTTCCCAGTTCAGGTGGGACTCACCAACATCAAACGTGGCCTCAGTTATAACAATCAACAACGTCGACATTCGACCATTTAGTTTTTCCCAATTGAATTCAGAAACAATTTTTTTAAATTTACAAACTGATTCAGATAACAATGACATTGCTGAAGCGCGGGGCCCCTTCAAGCGCGGGGCCTATGGCCACCGCCCCGTTCGCCACCCCCTAACGCCGGCTCTGATCCGTAAGCTATACCACAAAATGACAATAATGTTAGAAATAATATGATTGCATCGGAAGCTAATCCACTAAAAATTAGCAATTGTCCATCTTTAAAAAATAAATTTTTAGCAAAAAAAATTACTTAACAATTCTAAAAAATAAATCATATAGACTAGATCTAGGCTAAATCAATGGTGTTAATTTTCTAAGGAACTCAAATTTCGAAATAAAAATTTATATTTACATATAGATCTAAGTAAAGACAGTATGGCATGTCTGACGACCTGTCGCTCATAATAATAATTTTAACGCTCAGTTTTGAATTTTATATTTAATGTGCCTAACAATCCGTAAAACATGTTTGAGTAGATAATTCAATGTTAATTTGGCACTCTGATTATCATAAATTAATTCTTCATACCATCTTTAATAGTTTGTAATTAGATCTAATACTCAAGAAAATATTTATTGCGCTAGATCTTATTTTACTAAACCATTTGGAAATATCTGGCCAATAGGCAAAACTTGTGGAACAGGTTTTGAAATCTGGTTCTCGTAATGAAAATTCTAAGCTATACTGCACAATAAAAGAACTGAATGAGCTATTTTTATAAACATGCTTGGCATTTGCTTGTGTCGTCCTACTGGTCTTTGGGTTGGGCAACACACCGGTCTGTGTTTATTTTCTAGAGGGTGGTGCATTGTGATATTTTATGAATTCATAGATTTTATTTAAGGTAAAATAACAAGAACATCAACTTTTTTTGTTGGTGCTCATAAACTAGACTAGAGTTTAATATTATTTTATATTTACGTTGAAACGTTGTTTTCAAGTTACCGTTTGGCGTTTATTAGTTATGATAGTTAATGATTGAATTCAAGACATTGTAATGTATTAATTAATACTATCTATACTTAACTAGAATCTATGGTAATCTAAAATCTATCGTTTTAGGTACCTAAAATTGCCAGCGGTTAGTATTAGTTAGTAATGTACGAAAATGTTACCTCATTGTCAAGGCTTTAATTATTTAATAGAAGTATATTGTGATATATTTGTGTCAAATATTATAGATAAATGAATAATAAACCTAAACCAATTGCTAAATATATCATCAATATAGGCAAGAAATTAACTTTAAACAGCAGTGTTTGCGAGCAAGATTTGCTATATAAAAAGCGGCCATCTGTAAGTTAGAGTGGCTTCCCCTGAATCTTACGCTATATAAGTTTCCATAAAAAAAAAATAAACATGATGGCTGCTATAATAAATGAGCATGGTTGCCTCTGTTGGAAACATCGCTAGTCTTCATTTATTACTGAAAAGTTTTTATTCAATTATTTAAAAACAGGTACATAAATGAAACATTTTTGTATTTTTCAAAACATAAATCCACCTCAAAATGAGAAATAGTTATTAAAATTTAAGGAGTCACCTGTTTTTCACATTACTAGTCGCGGGTGATTTTATGTACCTAAAACGATAGATTACCGAATCTATTAATAATACTATAACTATTACTATAACTAAAGTATATAATCTATATAGATTCTAGGCCTATTGTCATTATTACTTTTTTATTACTTATTAGGGCTCATTACTCATTACTCATTCATTAGGACTATAATACATATTTAATATAATAATATTATTAATTAATAATAATGATGATGTAGATCTATAATCTATATGCTTACACTTAATTTTACACTACACTCTTACACACTATTCACTATAAATTATTATTAATTATTCTACTATCTAGGACCTAGAAAGGCTTTTATCTACAAAAAGCAATAGCATATTTTATTTTTAAAGTTTTATGTTTAGTTTAACAGGTTAAGAAATATAATTAATAATTAATTTTATTTTGTTTAGTTCAGGTATGTGTGCATTCATGATTTGAAGCCCAAGTGTGGATGTGATAGACAATAATAATTCATCAAGTGAATCAAGTGTTACTAACGTAGGCCAGGGAGGGAGGTAAAAAAATTCAAATAAATTTTGATCTATAGGCCTATTTTAAATTTATTATTTAGATTCTATTTGCCTTAATAACCTATCTTACAAATTCAATTAAATAAACAATAAGTAATATGCCTTATACCTATAGGCCCTAGAGTTACTTCAATACGCTAAAATATTAAATTAAGACAATTAAGTTGACAAAGATAAGAAGCAAATGATTCACAAACTAATATTAACTGAAGGTTTTTTATTCACAGCTGAAGGACAAAATGGGAAAGCTCTGGCTTATTATAGCTGCTTTCATAGTGAGCCTTTGTCAAGCACAATACACTGTTCTTGAGCAAGTCTGTTCATCTAATAAGCAGTCAGTCAGTGTTGATGCATTAAATGCACAAGTACTTATTGGAGGCCTTTTTGATATTCGAGAACCTGGCATAAATGGAATTGGATGTGGAAAGCCTAATCCAGGTAAAGAGGTTGGAGATGAGTAGTCTAAGTAGGCCAAATAGGCCTACATAAATCAAGATGTAAAATGAGGTGAGGTAGGCCATTGAAAATAAAATATTGAAGATCTTGGATAAAAAGGTGAATTTCTGTTCATGGTAAGCTATATAGTCCTATAAGAATGACCCAAATCATAATAGATTAGCCTCTTATTTTTACTGTAACCAGCATGAAAGTACGACCATCAGTAATGGTTAAACTTGTAATAGTTGTTTTGTGTAATCTGTTTTTTTTTAAATGCTAGGACAATCCAGCATAAAAGAAAAAAAATTCTCTACCAGTATTGGTGTTAGGCTAATTGTCTGGATCAAAGTTTGACTTGGTCTAATGTTAAGGACAGGGTTGTAACTGCAATAATAGATTTAAAAAAATAGCTGTTGTATCACCTTATTAGTGTTCTTACATGCATCATTTGTAACTGATATGTACAATTAATGTTGCTAAGAAAATTGTTTAAAACTTCCACTTTTTAAAAATGTTTTTTATTTAAATTAGCAATGATGCAAGTCTTCGAGGCTGCCAGATATGCTATCACACTAATGAAAAACGAATTTGGTATTAATTATGGTAAGATTTTTTTACTTTTATTCTTTAACTAAATGTTACTAAAAAAAACTCATTTCATGTATAAAAGTTAAGTGTTTTTTATAAGCAATATTTAAAATACTTGGAACAAACAATATTGACATTACCTACAATCATCATCTTCATTCCTGTGGACCTCTTCTGGAACATAGGGATGCAACCACACCTCTCCATCGTACTCAGTTTTGGGCGATTCCTCCAAATTTGGGCCAAGACATTCTGGCTTTGTATTTCTTTGCCAGTTTATTTCCAAAGTTTCTTCTTCTTCTTCATTTTTAATTTTAGTGTTGGAAGGGATCGCCTCCAAAACGGCTCTTCTCGTCTTAACGTCCAATGCACAATCATCCAATGGTCTTTTAGACTATGGAGCCATACATATGTATTTGGAGGATCCACTTGTAAAATGTTTTTTTATGTTATATTAAAACACAAATTCTATGCTTAAGACATGTATATAATCTTCATTGCAGGCATGACCGTGTATGATACATGTTCTAACCCTAGACAAGCAGTGAAAGGCTTGCAGAGCATCTATCCACAAACTACATCAAATAACCCATTCTGTCCATCAAACACTATGGTTTTGACAGGTAAACTAATTTTTATCTCCCTTGTCTAAACTTAGCACTTACCAAAATTTGGACTCACTTAGAAATAATTAAAATTACTATTAATTTACCTTTAATTACATTTTCAAAAATCAATCTCATGTAATCAGCGATTATTTTTAAAAAATTCTTTGATAGCTTCTGAATTAAAATCTTAGTTTTTTAAAATTCTCCCACAATGCTAACAAAGTTGTGAACTTTAAAAATCTATTCTTTGTAAATAGATGTTAGAATTTAAGTAGCCTATTTTTATTTTTAGCTTTAAGTTAATGAAAAATGAGTTCTGAATTTTATATTAACAATATGAAACCTATTTTAGTTTAAGTAAACGTAAAAATGACTTCTGAATTTACAGGGAGACAACTCTATTAAAGACTAGGAACCCATCAAACTTTAAATAAAAATTATGATAACATGCTTTGAATTTCAGGTGTGGTTGGATCATTGTCTAGCTCCACCTCCATGAAAGCTGCTGAACTTGCCTCTCAGTTATCTGTTGGTATGGTGTCGCCAGCTGCCATGGCAACTGACCTCAGCAACAAGTACAGATACCCAACATTTCTCAGAACAGTTCCTTCAAATACTATTTTAGCCAAGGTACTGTGCAGTTTTTAATTTTTATGCTTTTTTATGGTCGTTCCTGAAAGAAGTAAAAAGAAAATGTTCAAAAGTTTAAGTACGTTTACAGATCTAGACTTACTTGTTCTGCGGTTTTTAAAATTGGGTTGATCAATTACTTTTACTTCCTGTCCAGCACCATATTTTCTATCTTGAACTTGACTCCATTATACATTAGAGCTGGGTGGACTTGGCGTCCGTCTTATTCAACCACACATCCCTCATTTGTTGAATATTAGACTGGTTTCTGTAATGCAGCTTTTTGAAAGCACATTTTAAACTTTTCATGGGAAATCAAATTTATGCTTATAGTAATTGAGCTTATAGGAATGTTGAGTAATTAGGTTATGAGAATAACATGCCGATTAGTTTATAAAAATATATCCACATTGTTGGGTGGTTGATTGGAATTTATGGTTAAAAAGTGTTAAAATAAACAGTTACATTACAAATTGACTTACATTTTAAAAGCCATTCAGACAAATTCCCAAGTTAACAGCTAGAAGCATGAATTAGCCTTGTATAATATATCTTAAAGTATTCATAGCCCAATATTTATTTTTATATTCTTAAAACTTCAATTTAGAATGTCTGTTGCTAGTCTAACTATGACATCACTTTTATTAACAACACACAGAACACTAACAATATGCTTGAAACGTCTTTGCTTCAGGCTGTCACAGAACTCTTAATCCAGCTGAGGTGGCAGAATATTCTTGTTGTGTACGTCAACGACGACAATGGTAGAAACCTGTACGAGCAGCTGCTACAAGCTACATACAACCAGGGGCTGTGTGTGTCTTTTTCCTTACCCCTTGGTGCTAGCGTTGATAAAGACAGCTACAAAACTGTGCTACAAAACAGCGGTTACAGCAACTTTGGGGCAGCGGTACTTTTGGCTTCAGAATCTCAGAGCAGGGTCATCATGCAAGCTGTAGATGAGGTAAGTCATGGATAATATGTTAGGCTTATCCATCTGAGTCATATAGCTGTGGGTGAGGTACGTCATGGATAATATGTTAATCATATCCAACTGGGTCATATAGCTGTGGATGAGGTAAGTCATGGATAATATGTTAATCATATCCAACTGCGTCATATAGCTGTGGATGAGGTAAGTCATGGATAATATGTTAATCATATCCAACTGCGTCATATAGCTGTGGATGAGGTAAGTCATGGATAATATGTTAATCATATCCAACTGCGTCATATAGGTGTGGATGAGGTAAGTCATGGATAATATGTTAATCATATCCAACTGCGTCATATAGCTGTGGATGAGGTAAGTCATGGATAATATGTTAATCATATCCAACTGCGTCATATAGCTGTGGATGAGGTAAGTCATGGATAATATGTTAATCATATCCAACTGCGTCATATAGCTGTGGATGAGGTAAGTCATGGATAATATGTTAATCATATCCAACTGCGTCATATAGCTGTGGATGAGGTAAGTCAAGGATAATATGTTAATCATATCCAACTGCGTCATATAGTTGTGGATGAGGTAAGTCATGGATAATATGTTAATCATATCCAACTGCCTCATATAGCTGTAGATGAGGTAAGTCATGGATAATATGTTAATCATATCCAACTGGGTCATATAGCTGTGGATGAGGTAAGTCATGGATAATATGTTAATCATATCCAACTGCGTCATATAGTTGTGGATGAGGTAAGTCATGGATAATATGTTAATCATATCCAACTGCGTTATATAGTTGTGGATGAGGTAAGTCATGGATAATATGTTAATCATATCCAACTGCGTCATATAGTTGTGGGTGAGGTAAGTCATGGATAATATGTTAATCATATCCAACTGCGTCATATAGTTGTGGATGAGGTAAGTCATGGATAATATGTTAATCATATCCAACTGCGTCATATAGTTGTGGGTGAGGTAAGTCATGGATAATATGTTAATCATATCCAACTGCGTCATATAGTTGTGGGTGAGGTAAGTCATGGATAATATGTTAATCATATCCAACTGCGTCATATAGCTGTGGATGAGGTAAGTCATGGATAATATGTTAATCATATAGGTGTGGATGAGGTAAGTCATGGATAATATGTTAATCATATCCAACTGCGTCATATAGTTGTGGATGAGGTAAGTCATGGATAATAAGTTAATCATATCCAACTGGGTCATATAGCTGTGGATGAGGTAAATCTTGGATAATATGTTAATCATATCCAACTGCGTCATATAGGTGTGGATGAGGTAAGTCATGGATAATATGTTAATCATATAGGTGTGGATGAGGTAAGTCATGGATAATATGTTAATCATATCCAACTGCGTCATATAGTTGTGGGTGAGGTAAGTCATGGATAATATGTTAATCATATCCAACTGCGTCATATAGCTGTGGATGAGGTAAGTCATGGATAATATGTTAATCATATCCAACTGGGTCAGATAGCTGTGGATGAGGTAAGTCATGGATAATATGTTAATCATATCCAACTGCGTCATATAGCTGTGGATGAGGTAAGTCATGGATAATATGTTAATCATATCCAACTGCGTCATATAGTTGTGGGTGAGGTAAGTCATGGATAATATGTTAATCATATCCAACTGCGTCATATAGCTGTGGATGAGGTAAGTCATGGATAATATGTTAATCATATCCAACTGGGTCAGATAGCTGTGGATGAGGTAAGTCATGTATAATATGTTAGGCTTATCCTACTGAGTCATATAGCTGTTGATTAGGTAAGTTGTCTCATGTCCTAAAGAGTGCAATGGATAATATGTTAGGCTGTTCCTACTGAGTTGTATAGCTGTGGATGAGGTAAGTTTTTTTATGTTAAACACAGTCATGTGGATAAGATATGTTATCCATGTCCTATAGAGTCCTGTGGATACATTTTTCTAGTCATATTCTAGGGTCTCCTAAATCTGGCTAAGTCATTTCGCTAGTCATTTCAGTAAGCATTACCCACACATACACTTTCAAATTGGCAAATAAACACGTTCAAAACTTAATTTGGATTGGTTGTTTTTCTAGTTTTACTCATAATGAACATCTCATCCATTTAGCTGAAACATAAAATAATCAGCAGCACTAGATGATTTTTTAGTCATAGGATTTCCATTAGGCCTTTATATAATTTGTTTTAAATGATAAACAAAAATTAGCTATTTCCTGCATTTTTTTTACTTACAAAAACATGTATTGAATAAGATACAATTTTATAAGCAGTGATGAGAGTTAACTTTTATAATATATCAATATTTTTATGTTGAATCATTACTGAATATCCATTAAGGGAAGGTGTGGTCAGCAGTTTGCCCTGCCGCCTTTACTTTGTTTAACTTGAGTTAGGTGGACTCAGGGACCTGGATTCAAACTTTGAGACTTTTGAGTTAGCAACCTAACGCTCCACCACTTAGGCCATGCCGTCCCTTTTACTTTTATAGCATCGAATATCTTTCTTGTCATGGAATAATCTCTAGTATAATTGATATTCACAGGTTACCAGCTTCAGCAGCACCCAGTGGATACTCACTGGCCTGGATATTACAACAGACCCGAGCTCATTGAATCGCGTTCGTGGTGCACTTGTTGTTTTACCTCGCTCCCCATTCATTCAAGAATTCAAAGATTATTTTGTTGGACTCAAATCCAGTCCACTAAACAATACTGGAAACCCCTGGTTTAAAGAATGGTTAGTACTTCTGTCATAGAGATAATAATGGTACACGGTTTTATATTTTTTTTGTATATTTGTAATGCCTAGAGTTTTAGTTTTGATGAGCTATTAAGGAAAGATGTGAAGTTTCCTTTCAGCCATGATGGTCAGTGGGGGAGGGGGAGTAGTTTCTTGACCTAAGCATTTAAAGGAATTGTATGATCAGCACCATACCCAGCTTTCTTTCCCCTACTCAGGTCATGTGCTCACTGAGCAATAGTATGCACTCTTGGCCTTGACTTAATCATAGCAAAATGGCCACACAATTCAGTAATTTTTATTATGGGATGGAAATGTTTTAGATAATAAATTAAAAAATGTGACAAAGAATGATAAAAAGTGACAGTTTTTCTTCTCTAAATATTTAATTTTTTAATTTATATTCAGGTATGAACAAACCTACAGCTGTTCATTTGCAGCCAACAATTGTGCTGCCCCACCGTCCTTATCCTACTACTTCCAAAGCCCATGGGTAGTCCCAACCATCAAGTCCATGTTTGCATATGGTTCAGCAGTTCGCACAGCATGTAGCAACAACAGAGGACTATGCAGTGATTTAAGCAGAATATCACCCCAAGACTTTTATTCTATACTGCAAAAAGTTGACTACACGTTTCCCGATACTTTCTCTGTCTCTGGCTTGAGGAACCAAAGAATCAGATTTGATGCATTTGGTGACTCAGACGCTTCTGAGTTTACTGTATACAATTTCAATAACAGAGGTGGTAGCTATACATTTGAAGAGGCAAGTAGGCTTTTTTAACTTTATTTTAGGAAGATATATTTTACTGATTTTGTTTGTTTGTGAATGAATTTAAGGTCATTTATGCATTTGAGTTTTTAATAATTCTAAATATAGCCTACTGTTCCATCTTTAAAAAAGACTATTTTCTGTACCTATGTGTACCTTTATCTTTGAAATGTATATTACAGTAAAACTTCCTTGTTGTCACCCCATCTTGTTGTTTACCATGTATTCAAGGAAGCTCCTATATGTCTGTATCATCTTCCATGTGTGTGACATAATAAATGCAAATAAACAACCCATTATGTTTAATAAGGGCTGGAGGTCAGTCGGCTAGTTTCATGCCTGCATGTGTCACCATATGTTAGTTATGAATTGGATGATCAGAAACAGCTAACTGGTCATTGTGTTTACTTGTCTGACCTGATGCATAGCAGGCTAGGTATATTGGTGCCTGCATGTGTCACCATATGTTAGTTATGAATTGGATGATCAGAAACAGCTAACTGGTCATTGTGTTTACTTGTCTGACCTGATGCATAGCAGGCTAGGTATATTGGTGCCTCATGGAGTGGTAGGCTTGAATCCTGCCTGGTTATGCTATGCTGGCTTTACAGGGATTATATGCTGTACCTACGCATTGGAATAACACTTTATGTCCAGCATTGCTAAATACACTGTAGGAATGTTTGGAAAAGTTCTGTTGAAAAATTATTTTGACTTTTAACATCTGATGCCTGCTTTTTGTTTAAATATTTAATTATTTTTTAAAACATAATTTAAAAATCAAATTGAATTTTTGTTTCAGATAGGGGCATACGTATCCAGTGTTCTGACTCTAACCAAACAGCCTGTCTTCTATGACTCTACAAGAAATAACGTCCTAACAAGTAATCCTACGGCTACATGCCAGTCTTTAGGATGCCTGAATTGTTTACTGCCTCAAAGAAACGTCACCTACCGCTACTCCCCAGGTGACATCGTTATCGCCTCGTTAGTCCAGGCACACTTACCTGGCCGTACCCCGTTCACATGCGGGGATGGGATTATCCCTAGATTATCATCCCTCGTGGCTATCGAGTGGGCTCTGTCCAACTATAAAAGAATCAACCCTAACAAGCTGAATGGAGTATCCCTGGGGTACATGATTGCAGATGTCTGCCCAGACTCACTGGTAGCACGTGGGTTCCTCACAGACCTGCTGAGTGGAAATAACCGTCTGACAGACGCCAGTGGAGCAGCTATTCCTTCAGACACAATACGCGCCTTCATTGACTTGACAGGTGAGGAAAGTCTTGAGTTGCTTGAATGGTTTTTTTTTAAAATTATTTTTCCCCCATTATTTTAAATATGAGTTTGAAACTTTAAAAAACAACTTTTAATTCAAATTGACATAGCAGAAAGGGATACAACAAAAAGTTTTCCATTAAGCAACACTGGCAGATAAAACAAGTTAATTAAAAAAGTCTAGTGACATTTATGCGCAATTTCCTTATGTTATCTAAAAATAGCTCTGACGTATAATGCTGCGGTGCGTTCAAGCTAGAAGAACGATCGGTTTGTAGGTGTTTATGTAATTTTAAAATTTGTGACCGAACGAGAGGATATTTTTGAAAACTTTCTTCGGCAATATTGTTCTAAATTATGGCAGGAATCGATTGGTACATGTTTCAAGTCGCTAAGTGGTCTGGTTGCCGAGATATGGGCAAAAAACTACATTTTTTTGAGGTTTTTTGGCTTTTCCGGGAAATACATGAAAGAAACCCGGAATTTTTATGGCCTATGCTCATTCTCGTAACTTGCTTAACATAATTGCTTTTGGAACTAGTCATCGATATTGCTTCGTTGAGGAGGAGATACGACTTAAAGCCCGGACACACATTCATCCATACATTCATTCATCCATCCATTCCCAGAAATGACGAGTTAATAAACGCAATTCTCCAGAATGGAAATTGCGCTAAAAACAACAACTCAGTACAACAATGTTTTGTACTGGCAACATTTTCATAAGGATCAAAAGCTTTTAGCTTAATTCCTAGGCGGCAGTGCTGCCTTGCAGATTGTTCTTGAGTTGACAAAGGCTATGGAAACAAATCTAGAAAGAAAAACAGGCTGAAGTTGGAGTGAATAGGGCTCATGTTAATTGTGTTGGAAGAAATCCCTTAAGATATTATGATTAAGAAGGAAGAACAAGCTAGCCAAATGTAATCAATTGCTTTACACACATGAATCTGGAATCTAAGAATTTTTTTCTTGCAAACTAGAAATTTTATCTAGAACGTCATACTGCACAAAGCGCAAGCCAGTCATAGTTTTTATTCCCAACAGGAAGTTAAAAATGTAACAGCTTTTCTTTATAGCCTAGTTAACTATTAATTTTCAGAGAGTGACACAGCGAAGAGCGTGAGCCCAATATTATCCAGTTACATGATCCCTGAGGTACAGGTTGGGGCTACAACGCCTGACGTGAGAAACAGCCTTGCAACACCCTACTTCACACGAGCTGTACCCAACGACGAGGTCTTCTACAGTGCTGTTGCTAGCATGCTCCAATCTCTGGGATGGAAATATGTGCAGGTGAGAAGTTTAGTGGTTCATAAATGAGATGCTGACTGTGGGCTTGTGAAAGTAGATATGGTAATTCAGGATCTCTAAATTTAAATTAGGAGTTTGAAAAATGGACAAGAAATTAGAAATAGTAACTCAGGATCTCTAAATTTAGATTAGGGATAGAGGAAATAGGGAGATGGATAAAAAAATAAAGCTGTAAGCTGGTGAGTTCACAATGACCTACAGATACTCTAACATTTTTTCATTTTAATGTGGAAATCACAGGTTGGATTTTTAAATATCTACAGATGTCTTTTTAAAATTTTTTGGTCAAGATATGTAATTTAAGATCTAATTATAATTTAAACAATTTGAACATTAGAATTGGCTGATGTATTGGTCGTTAGATCATTGGAGCAAAAATAAATTTAAAAAAGAAAAAAACTTAACATAAAAATAAAATAAGATGAAAATTTACAACCCATTTCTATACTTGTTAAAATTTTAAGAAAATTGTTTAGTGATTCAAGATAGCAAACTTGAAATATTTCAATCAAATTTTTTGTTTAGGTGGCAACTTATTCAAGTGGTCCATACAATGACATGACACAAACATTTATCAAAGTGGCTGCCAAGTAAGTTGCTTTTGTTTATCTACTCAGGTTGAAAATACTCACTTATTTAAGAATGATAGGAAATCCTGTTCACACAATAACAGGCTTTGAAGTTAGGACTATAGGAATGTAGGCTACTTAAAACAAACTGTTTGCAAATATTACTTTAATATGTTGTTTTATCCTTCATTTGAATTATGTTATGATACTAAATTTTAAAAATCTCTTTGTATCTCTTTAAAAAGAGTGCTTCAAAATTTTTAACACTCTTTGAATTTAGAGTTACTTCTCTTAACAATGAGCACAACTAAATAATAATAATAATAATCACCTTTTGAAAACAACTGAAAAATGTAAATATTAGATACATAACATGTTAGGAAGCCGTTGCACCTTTTACAGAAACATCACCTTATCTTTTGAGGAAAATTTTTAAACAATGTTGAGTGAATTTTTTTAAAAGCTTATATTTAAAAAAATTTCTTTAATATTGTTTCCATCTGGAAAAAAAAGTAGAAAATATTTGTATTTGTTGTCAGAAACATGGCTGTGCGTCCTTTTTCTGGCAAGAAAAAAGTTTCATCCGTGAAATTCTGTATCCTATTTTTTATAATTTTCTTAGCTATGGTATTTGTGTGGTGAGCACAGTTCAGCTGTTTGACAGTACCTTGACCAGTCGTTACAACACTATGCTGGATATGTTGCTAGGCAACTACGAGTCACAGGTTGTTGTGGTCATTGGAGGTCAAGAAGATGTTAGGGGCCTGCTTACAGCCCTCCGTTCAAGAAGTTAGTATATTCTTCATAGAAATATTACTTACTTAATCAGTTGTTTATTGTGCTTTTCCAGTGGTAAGCCTCATTACACTGTTACTGTAGGCTACAATAGCAATATAAACAGAAAGTGATATTTGAAAGGGTTGAAATATCACTTTCTGTTTATATTGCTATTTCTGCTACAACGCCTGTTTCCACCCCCCTCTACCTGTAGGATAAAAGAAATTTATTAAGCTGATGTTTGTTTTCCCTAGTAGATTGAGAGGCATAGATCTTTCTGACTTTGCTTATAGTGTTCTCTAATAATAATATGAGTATGAATGAAACGTAGCAGATTTTTTATACATTCTCCCCCCCCCCCCCACCCCACTCAATAATACTTATTATACACATTTGTAAAGTGAGAAATCCAGTATTGTATATAGTACTTAACTGGCCTGACAGATTATAAATCAGCAAAAAAGCTCATTGCATTGAGAACATTTAATTACTTACTCTAACCCTTTCCTAAACCCTGTTCCTATCATTAATCCTATTCCTATCTCTATATGACAGAAAGCTTTATGTCCTACCACAGTTTTTTTTTTGGGCAGGGAGGGGTAATGTCTTCCTTTTGTTTGGTATACTTAAGCGTAAGATGTTTGATCTGCTAAGCCTGAGGATTAAGTACAATTTCCTAGCTATGCTGAGTATTTGGTGTCGCATTTTTTAAAAAACGAAAAAAAAAAAACTAAGGTTAAGGGAGACAACCTCAATAATTTCAACAGCAACAGCCACAGAAACCAATGAGTTAAACAAAAGCACCCATCCTTTAAAAAAAAAATGACTGTATAACCAAAAAATTTTTCTACACTAACCTTTGTATTTTTATTAGTACTTTTTAGTACCGTTGTAATTCTAAGAAGTGTTTAATTAAAAGTAATTCTTGTTTACGTTTTTGCATTGAAGATGCTGTTGGACAGCTGCAACTAGTAGCTGGGACAGACATGTGGGCCAGAAATCCAGACTACGTCAAAGGTCTAGAGACAGCGGCCGAAGGGTCCATTGTATTGGGTCTAGAGATGGCTGCGGATGCTGACTTCAACACCTACATCAGGTCTCTTAGCCTAACCATAATCCAGGCCCAGCCATTCCTGCGTGAACTGTTTGAGATCTCCAACCTGTGTTCTCTAGATCCATCCACCAGAGGAATGTACAGCAGGACCTGTACTGCTAGTGATAGCTTTAATATATTTCAGGTAAGTCATCCTTTTTTCACAGGTAAATCATCCTTCTATGACAGATAAATTATCCTTCTTTGACAGGTAAGGTATCCATCCTTCTTTGACAGACAAGTAAATTATCATTCAGTGACCTGTAAATCATCATATATTATAGGTAAACGAGTCGACCCGCGGTGTATCATACGCCGCTATTTAGTTGTTGTTTTTTCTACTTTTCAGTAATTCATAATTCGTGAGTTCAACAATACCAATGCTGCCACTGAAAATATTTGCTTTAAAACACTAAACCCCCCTTTCTTCCCCCCCCCCCCCCGCGAAAGCAGCCTCCTCTTAGTTACCTCCTCTAAGTTTAAAATCTTTTCAAACTAAATTATCTGCCCCTAATAGCCGTCACCAAACCCGGCTCTACGATTGTTTTGTAAACATTTATCGTCAACCACAGCACACCTGACCATGTAAGGGGGGTGGGGGTGGTAGTGATAGAGAGGAAGAGAGGGGACTGCAAGGCGCGCTTGCAGCTTGTTTTCTAACGTCTCCCAGAAGAGAATTATATATATAGATTATCAATCCATGACTGGTAAATCATCATTCATTCAATAATTTAGTAAATTGTTTCAGTACCCTAGAGAAAAAATTTAAAGCTTTTGTTGATTTGCACTGTATGAATTAGCACACTCACAATGTTTTCACTATTTAACATTCTAAATATAGTTAATACAGAGGACAACACATATGCCCCTTTGGTTATTTGATCAGAAGGCTTTAGAGCAGTGTAATTCATCTGTTATTCAACTAAATATTCTGTTCTCCAGAAAATATTTCTTTATGATGTTTTGTGCAACTCTAGAAGTGGTTGTCTTAACTGTATTTTTTTTATTTGACCAGGGTAAAACTCCATACATCATCCAGAGTGTGTATACACTGGCAGACAAACTACACGAGCTTCTCACTGAACTGTGTAGCAGCGGCTACTCAGGCCTCTGCGCTAACTTCCGTTCTGCTGCCAATATTAGCATGCTCCTAGACGCTAAGCTACAAAATTTGGCCAAGTCTAATGGCTATGGCATCAAAAACGGAGAAGGGATTACGGATTATAGATTTTTTGTCTACAAACAGAGCGCCTACACACAGGTAGTCTTGGGGTTTTAAAAATATTTTTATGGAGAATGAAGATTGTGATAGGAATTCCTAAAGTAACTGAAGGTCATGTTCAAGATTTTATAAGGGTGTTTTCTTCAATTTACTAAATCTGTTATAGAAATTTTTAATTCAATTGAATTAAGTTTAAAATAATTCAAGTTTATGTTGAAACAATGTTTTCAGGTGATGTTGATTTAAGATTTTTGAATTAGCATTTTAAATCAATCGACCATTATGTAGTAACAATTTTTTTAAAGAGCAGTTGGCTTAAGATTTTTGCTTTTGACATATTTTAGACCAACTCAGATTTGTTTTATTAATTTCTTGAAGTACTGCTGTCCAATTTAGAAATTAGCTTTGAAATATTTTAAACCTATCCAGGTTTGTATAGGATATTTTTTTTTTGTAATACAGTTTGGACAGTTCAACACAGAAAACCAGATGCTGTCCAGCATGACTGCCAGTCTGCTGGGCAACTACCAAACCAGAATTTCTAGATGCAGTGGAGCCTGTCTGTCATGTGACTACATGTTTTCAATTCAAAACATTCAGTACAACACTGGTGATTGGCTGATTGCTGGGGCTTTTAGGTAAAATATTTTTATGCTACACATTATAGTTGCATACAAACGCCACTAATGGAAATTAAAGGCTAAATTTATTTGATGGTAATGGGGTGACGTGGCCTAGCGGTGGAACGCTAGACTGCTAATCTGAAAGTTTCAAGTACGAATCCGGGTTCAAGTTATTGGAACATCCCTGAGTCCATTCAACTCTGATGGGTATCTAACTTACGTTAGGGAAAATAAAGTTTTAGAAAACCAGAATGTCCCAACTTTGATGTATTAGAATCATGGTCACTGCAACAAGCAGTGGTCATGTAGATATGTGAGAAGTGTAGTAGTAGTTACACTAGGTGTGGGGTGTTGGGAGAGTTTCACTAATAGTCTACCAGTGAGATGAGGGGAAATGTGTACAAGTAGTTACACTAGGTCCTGAGATAGTTTCACTAAACAATGAGATGTCAAAAGTGCAGCAGTAGTAGTTGTCCCTTTCCATATCATCTCTCTTTTTTCCCACTGCATTTGTTTTCTTTATTACCGTGGGGTTCTAGGTCAGGGCCTGTCTTGTTGTGTAAGAAGTGTAACATTTACAATGTAAAACTTCACTGTTGTCTTGTATGTAAACCTTCACTCTTGTCTTGTATGTAAACCTTCACTCTTGTCTTGTATGTAAACCTTCACATTTGTCTATTATGTAAACCTTGACTCTTGTATGTAAACCTTCACATTTGTCTATTATGTAAACCTTCACTCTTGTATGTAAACCTTGACTCTTGTATGTAAACCTTGAGTCTTGCCTCTATAGTGCTAGTGACCCAGGTCCAGACCTGCTACAGCCCTATGTGTGTGGTGCCATCAGGCTAAGCAATGGCCCACAGTACACGGCGGCCATGCTTTTTGCCATTGATCAAGTCAATAAAAAGTTAGCCAGTGTTTCTGTGCCAGGAGTCAAGTTTGGTGAGTGTTATATAGTATATTGTTTTTTTTTTTTAAGTTTAGTTATAATTGTTTAGTAATGGACACAAAAGTATAGAAATTAAATAGTTGTAGTTCTTATTTTATTTTAATTCTAATTTTTTCAAATGAAAACATTTGTTTCATATCCATATTGTTGTAGTCCTTATTTTTAATATTTAGAATACAGTCAAATAATAATAACTGTGTAATATATACATATTGTTGAAGTCTGTATTTTCAATGTACCAAAACCTCTAGAACAAGTGAGTTAATTCTTTCAACAGGCAGTCTTGTGATGGATCACTGCAACAACCCAAACCGCACCAACCTGCTTGTCTCTGGGGTCTACTCCGGACTGATGAACAACATTGGGGTGGACAACAGCAAGGTGCTGGCGTGGATGACTGACAACACTGCCAGCACTGATGAGGCGGAGAAAATTTTAAATCCTCTTGGTGGGTGTGGCTTGATGGGTGTGATTTGTGGGAAGTGGGTGGATGTGGTTTGTGATGGGTGGGTAAGTGTGAAGATGGGAGTGGTTTGTCTGTGATGTGTGGGTTAATGGGAGTATGGGTGTGGTTTGTCTATAGTGGGTTGGTTAATTGGATGATGGGTGGGGTTTGTGATGGGTGGGTAAGTGTGAAGATGGGAGTGGTTTGTCTGTGATGGGTGGGTTAATGGGAGGGTGGGTGGGGTTTGTCTTATTATGGGTTGTTGTTTTAACCAGCAGTGGTGACTTTATGTCCTTGTGTTGTTGTAATTCTGTTGTCCTTATGTTGTAATTTTATATATTAATATTGCTAGATTTTTCACAATATTATTGTGAAGCTCCTTAATAGTTGTTTAGCCTTAAAATATTTTACTGTGTTATAATGTTATAATATTATGTGATGTTAAACACTTTTGTGAGGCTTCATGTGATGTTTCTCACAATGTAAAAACCATTTGTATACTACTGGTTCAGGTGTTGCCATTGTGAGTCCATCAGCCACCTCAGCTAAACTGAAGTCCTACCCCAACTTCTTCAGGACTGTACAGGGAGACCAAACTATTGCCCTGGCTCTGGTGAAGATCATCAAGGCTCTTGGCTTTCCTTACATTCAGGTGAGATCAACTCACTTTAATACCGGTGATCTTTATTATGTATGGTTTTTTTTTTGTTTTTTTTTTTATTTTTAATCAGTTTTTAGTTTTCTTATCTTTTGGTGGATGGTATATTTTGTGTATTCATTTTTAGTTATTTTATACTGCAGTTTTTGTTAAAAAAAAAATTATCAGTTGTGCCTTTAAAGTGTAATTGTATCACAATTTCTGTGTTTGAGAAGTCAAAAAAGGTTATGTTCTTTACATGCCTACCCATTCATTTGCTGAAGTAAAAGAAGGCACAGTAGACATTCTCAGTTCCACACCATATCCACATCACACCCACACTGTCACAGTACACACACTCAGTTAAAAAATATGTATTCATATTTATCATAAACAGCTTTGGTTAAGCTCTAAAAGTATAAAAAGATCACCTTCAGTTCATTGTTTCTAGTTAGTGTATGGAGGTTTAGCTCAGTTCCAGCAGTTTAAAAACTCCCCTCCATTTTCTTATTTCTAGTTGGTGTGATGAGACTGGTTAAATAGTTCCTTTTTCTTATTTCTAGTTAATGTACGGAGGTTTGGCTTAGTTCCAGCAGTTTAAAAACTCCCAGCCATTTTGTTATTTCTAGTTGGCTGATGAGGCTTGGCTTAGTTCCAGCGGTATAAAAAAATAACGTCTCCATCTTCTTATTTCTCTAGCTGGTGTATGGAGCTAATGATTACGGGCGAGGGGGCAGGGACACACTGACTGCTGTCACTCAAGCAGAGGGGATCTGTATCACCAACAGCCAGGAGCTGTCGTCCACCAACACTGCCGGTCAAGTTATAGCTTCACTGCTGGCACAAAGGACAGATGTTGTTGTCCTGTTTTTGGGCAGCTCCGACACCGACACCTTCTTGACCGCTGTCGCAGCTGACAGCAATGCCAGGTCTAGGCTGGTCATTCTCATGCCTGAGCCTTACACTAAGGTTAGTATGTTTTTAATGTCTTTACAGTAAATTTTTTAGAAAATATTTTGAATATATTTTTTATAAATATGCAAAGAGCTGAGATTAAGTAAGCAAAAGTAATTTAAATTTACACATATGTAAATTGTAATGTATGTATCAGTAAATGTAAATGGGTGATGTATTAAAAATTAGTTCAACATTAAAATTTATTCCAAAATATTGCACATTATTCCATTATTTATGTTAAAACTATTTGTAATTCAAATTGTAAAGGTCAGTTCAAATTTTTTTTTTCACAAGCTTATATCTCATCCCAAACCACTTAGTACAAAAGCTCACTTATATAATCTCTATTTACTTTCTTTTTTAAATAACTTTATCTCACAGTAATTTAATTATAAAAACCATTTTTTATCTAGATTGTGCAGAAAATTTCCAGCAGCATAACCCGCCCTATAATCAGCCTGAAAATGCAGAAGAAAAACACCCTGTCAAAATACAACGCCTACATCAACAGCTCTCCCATCAGCAACCCGTACTTTGCCAAATACTACATGAAAGTAATGAACTGCAACCTCCCAGGGTACTCCACCTACACTAGCCCATGTCCAATGCCTCTCAAACCCATCACCAACAGCGCCAGCTACGAAGAAGACAACTACGTCTTATCCACCATCAACAGCGTTTACGCTATAGTCAATGCCCTGGACCTGACCATACGTGATTATTGTGGACAAAACTACGTGACACCTTGCTATGTCTACTACGCTTCATCTAACAAGCTTGACAGATTTAACCAGAGACTGAACGACGTCAGCTTTGTTGATGAGGGACAGAACAGTTTCCGTTTCTTGGACAGAGAGGGCAACACAGCGTACGACATTCTACAGTGGCGAAATGGGGCTGTTGCTTACACCTCAGTAAGAAAATATTTTCTTTATGTATAAATGATGGCTTATGCAGACTTAAAAAAAAGTAGTTTGAATAGGTTTTTAAAAAATTGTATACAGCCAAGTTTTAAAAAATGCTTGAAAATGTATGAATAAAATATACATTATTTTCTTTTATTTAAATATTTAAAAAATATATTTTAAAATGTATATTAAAGTAATAAAAAACATTTCTTTTTTAAAAACATCTATTTTGATAATACATGAATAAATGCCATACATTTTTCTTTAAAAATTTTCAATTTGCATACGTATATTAATAAATGATGTACGATGTTTCTTGTGCTATCTAGATAGGGAGCTACGCCGGATCATCCCTAGATTTAATGGACTCCAGTTTATCTTTTTACTCTACCGTTGTATCACAATGTGCCGGGTCCTGTATCACCTGTAACATACGGGCTCTCAACTACTCATACACGACTGGGGATATTTACCTGGGAGGTAAGCACAGATTAGTTACACCTGTCCACATTAGACACACCTGAGTGGTGAGTTCAGTCCTTGCACCTGTTAACTGACTATATTATATGCTACAAAAGTATATTATTTAGTTGTGTGTGCATGTGTTTTTATTTAAATCAACTGGAAAAGCTGTGTCAGTTATTTTGTTTCCCTTCTAAGATTTTTTGTGTATGAAGTAATAAACAGTCTTTCATAACATTTCTTTTAACTGACCCTTACTGTTAAACCTAACTGACCATATCTGTGAAATCTGAACAAATCTGCCATAGACACAAATAACAGGTCAACGTCGCCTCTGTAATATATAAATGTAAACACAAGACTGTTTTCTAACTGACCCTAACTGTAAAACCTAACTGACCATAACTGTAAAACCTAACTGACCATATCTGTGAAACTTAAATATATGTCACCTCTGTAGTATATAAACATGAAGACTGTGCTCTAGCAATTAAAAAATATTGTTTCCCCAGGTATGTTTGACGTCCACGACCGATCCTTGAGCCCTTTCACATGTGGTGGGATCAACAAGATTCACGGGTTCCTTCTCCTGGAAGCCTTCCATTACGCCCTGGACAAAGTCAACTCCAAAAAGGGCCAGTTTGCCGACATTTTGAAGAACGTCAAGCTGGGCGGTGTTGGGCTGGACGCCTGCGGTTCTCAAGTCCGAGGAGGGTATTTGGTCAGCAACATAAACAATGGTCTCACGACCCTTACTCGAGATGGGATTACCATCCCCCCGTCTTTGATTGATGCATATATTGGGTCTTATGATAGCACGGCTTCCATCTACTTGGCCAAAATACTGACAGACTTGAAGATCCCACAGGTATACTAAAACTGTCTTGATCTAAACTCTACCAAGTGTTGAATGAAGCTATATTTTGTATTGAACTAAATTATTTTTATGGAAACAAAACAAATTTATATTATCTTCCATTATTATCATCTTATCCTGTTCATGCCCAAGACACACAGGACAGATGAAGTAGTGTTCATTTGTTTCAGAGATATGAACGGATAGTGTGGTCAGCACTATGCCCAGCCACCTCGGCTTTTCCCAATTTGAGTTAGGTACCCATCAGAGCTGGGTGGGCTCAGGAAAATTCTTCTTACTTGAACCTAGATTCAAACTAGAGACTTTTGGGCTACCTCTAGGCCACGCCGTCCCATATCTTCCATTATAATATACCTGTTTTTATTTATTATTATATCATAAATGGAAGTATAAGTGGACATTAAAACTGTAAAAGTCACAAGGTAGGAAGGTAGGGGTTAATTTTTCCCTAAACATCACACAATTTGTGTTTACAGATCAGCTATGCTTCTGGTAGTGAAGACCTGAGTGACAAGAGAGTCTTTCCTTACTTCTTCCGCACTGTGCCCTCAGATGGGAACCAGGTGTCGGCAATGCTGAGCCTGTTGGACCAGCTGGACATCAGATATGTGCAGGTATCTCTCACTAATTGTATAGTTGGTGTCTGTGATTGTTATTTTAACACTAAAGAGTTAACATCAGTTATGTGCAGGTATCTCTCACTAATTGTATAGTTGGTGTCTATGATTGTTACGTTAACACTACAGAGTTAACATCAGATATGTACAGGTATCTCTCACTAATTATATAGTTGGTGTCTATGATTGTTATGTAACACTACAGAGTTAACATCAGATATGTACAGGTATCTCTCACTTATTGTATAGTTGGTGTCTATGATTGTAATGTTAGCACTACAAAGTTAACATCAGATATGTGCAGGTATCTCTAATTGTTATGTTAACACTACAGAGTTAACATCAGATATGTCCAGGTATCTCTCACTAATTGTATAGTTGGTGTCTATGATTGTAATGTTAGCACTACAAAGTTAACATCAGATATGTGCAGGTATCTCTAATTGTTATGTTAACACTACAGAGTTAACATCAGATATGTCCATGTATCTCTCACTAATTGTATAGTTGGTGTCTATGATTGTTATGTTAACACTAAAGAGTTAACATTAGATATGAGCAGGTATCTCTCACCAGTTTAATAATTGGTGTCTTTAATTGCAATGTTAACCACAGATATGTACTATCTTTTACTATTTTACTCTAATTGTCTCTTATTTCAATGTTAACAATAGTCACTATATGTTAACCTCAAATATGTACTGCATCACATGTAATATACTGGCTCTCAATAGTCTACCATTTAACAGCAGTTGCTAGTGTTAAAAAAATTATAGTGACTCTAATATTGATCAATTATATCTTTGTTCTACCCATCATTATCAGGTTTGCCTTGGACTGTCCCATGTGTGGATGGATGTCCATTTGCAGCTCATTGATACACACATTTCATTACTGTTTATTTTTGTGAGCACCATTTAAAAACTTTGTTTCATCAAACTGTTTTAAAAATTCAGATACTATATGAAGACAACAGTAATGGTAACACAGCCAGAGATGCCTTCATTGCTCAGGCAGCTAGTAAAAAGATTTGTGTTGCACAGACTGTATCCTACCAAAATATTGGGATTGTAAGCCCGTAAGTGGCCAGATAAATTTTTCACTTTTAACTTTAACTAATTGGGACCAAAGGTTGGTGTAGCACAGACTGTATCCTACCAAAATATTGGGATTGTTAGCCCATAAGTGGCCAGATAAATTTTTCACTTTTACAAACTGGGACCAATTTAATCTCAGTAAATTTACATTTTTGCTTATTTACTTTGTTAATTGGAATAATTCAGGGAAGTAGCCAAAAAGATGTATTTTTAAAAAAATACTATTCTACACTGAAGTAGCTCAGTTTATCAATGAAGTTTTCATTTTTTATCAGTAAAAATAGATATGTTCTCAAGAAATATTTTATTTTTCTCTACAGTCAAGTAGCAAACAGCATTGTGTCCAAGTTGATTGAGATCCCTGCAGCTAATACAGTCATCACCTTCATCGGAGCTGAATATGTGAATGCCTTGTTGGCAGCTATCACCCGATCTCCCAGAGCCCAAAATAAATTCAGGTATTAAGCAGCATAATGGAGAGATATTAGAAAGTAGTTAAAGTACCCTTTCTGAGCTATTGGACTTGAACCTGGATTCGAACTTGAGACTTTTGGGTTAGCCATTGTATGCTCTACCATTCTACCATGCTGCCCCACATAAATGCAGAGGTCACAGAAACAGGTGAACTCTACTTCACTTACCCCTTGTACAGTTTCAATAATGAAAGGGAACTTTACTTCTGAGTTATCTGTCCATAGGGCCCATGAAGAAGAGTTCGTCTTTTTCTATTTCCTCTATATATAGGGTAATCTGGTTAGCTTGACCTCCAGTCCCTTTTACCTCCCTGACTACTGTCAGGTACCCATCAGAGCTAGGTGGACATCCTATAGATTTAAGCCCTGCAACTAAACCTGAAACTTTGGGAGATTGTGGAAAATGTTTATTCAAGTCATAACCAAACTTGGCAAAATGTCAGAAACGTAGCTTAACTTAGCTACAGCAATATAAATATAAAACAATTATTTTTTGACCATCCGGGGCAGATTAGACTCAATAGCTTAGGACATCAACCCATCTAGTTAAGAAAACTCCAAAATCAAACAACTGCTGCCCTGTAGTTTGTTCTTGGATGGACAAAGGCTATGGGAGCAAATCCAGATAGAAGAGCAGACTAAAATCAGAGTCAAATGCCTATATGGCGCATAACAAGTTGACACATAATACTTAATTGTGTTGGAGGAAATCCCTTCCAACCTTACAATTAAGAGCCAAAAAGAAGAAAGAAGCTACACAGAACTGAGGCAGAACTAAAGTTTTAGCAAAGTCGCGTGTAAGTGCACTAGAAAAGCTGATCTAATTTCATAAGACTGATCTTATTTCTTGTTGTCAGGTTTATTGGATCTGTTACTTTATTGTCAGGTTTATTACATCTGTTACTTTATTGTCAGGTTCATTGGATCTGTGGCCTGGGCTGACAACCAGGAAGCAATATCAGGTGCTGAGAAAGCTGCTGTTGGTTCTATCACATTGAAGTTGGATGCTGATGATATTGAGGTAGGTAGTACATAGAGGTCACATCGGAAGAAATGCATACATGGATAACATTTATAGATCCAAAAAGTAGTTTAAAAAAAAAAAGAAACACAGACCTATCATTTTTAACACACATATACATGCCCCCACCCACCATCTTTGTTTTCTGTACTCTAGGACTTTGAAAAATACATGAACTACAAAACCTTTTAACACACACATACATGCCTCCACCCATGTGTTCTGTACCCTAGGACTTTGAAAACTTCATGAACTCCAAAACCTTTTAACACCCACATACATGCCTCCACCCACCGTCCATGTGTTCTGTACCCTAGGACTTTGAAAACTACATGAACTCCAAAACCTTTTAACACACATATACATGCCTCCACCCATGTGTTCTGTACTCTAGGACTTTGAAAACTACATGAACTCCAAAACCTTTTAACACACACATACATGCCTCCACCTACCACCCATGTGTTCTGTACCCTAGGACTTTGAAAACTACATGAACTCCAAAACCTTGTCCAACTCCAACTACAACCCCTGGTTTGAGGAGTACTACCAGAAGATCCAGAACTGCTACACCTCCAAGGCCAACCCCATGGGCTACCCTAGGGCCTGCTCTCTGACCCCTGCCAGCATCATCACCAGCCCAGGCTACCAGCAGGACCCAGGGGTCGTCTTCGTTATCAATGCTGTCTACTCTGCTGCCTTCGCCCTGCATGAGACCCTGAAACTCAAATGTGGTAAGTTGTGAACAATAAACTGTACAACATGAGACCTTGATGGTAAGTTGTGTACATTAAACTATACAATATGAGACCCTGAAACTCAAATGTGGTAAGTTGTGTACAATAAACTTTACACCATGAGACCCTGAAACTCAAATGTGGTAAGTTGTGTACAATAAACTATACAACATTAGACCCTGATGTAAGTTGTGTATAAGAAACAACACAACATGAGACCCTGAAAGTCAAATGTGGTAAGTTGTATACAATAAACTATACAACATGAGACCCTGAAACTCAAATGTGGTAAGTTGTATACAATAAACTATACAACATGAGACCCTGAAACTCAAATGTGGTAAGTTGTGTACAATAAACTATAAAACATGAGACCTTGATGGTAAGTTGTGTACAATAAACTATACAACATGAGACCTTGATGGTAAGTTGTGTACAATAAACTATACAACATGAGACCTTGATGGTAAGCTGTGTACAATAAACTATACACCATGAGACCCTGAAACTCAAATGTAGTAAGTTGTGTACAATAAACTATACAACATGAGACCTTGATGGTAAGTTGTGTACAATAAACTAAACAACATGAGACCTTGAAACTCAAATGTGGTAAGTTGTGTACAATAAACTGAACAACATGAGATCCTGATGGTAAGTTGTGTACAATAAACTATATAACATGAGACCCTGAAACTCAAATGTGTTAAGTTGAGTACAATAAACTATACAACATGAGACCCTGAAAGTCAAATGTGGTAAGTTGTGTACAATAAACTGAACAACATGAGACTCTGAAAGTCAAATGTGGTAAGTTGTGTACAATAAACTGAACAACATGAGATCTTGATGGTAAGTTGTGTACAATAAATTTTACACCATGAGACCCTGAAACTCAAATGTGGTAAGTTTTGTACAATAAACTATACAGTATGAGATATTGTTGGTAAGTTGTGTACAATAAATTATACAACATGAGTCCTTGATGGTAAGTTGTGTACAATAAATTTAACAACATGAGACTTTGATGGTAAGTTGTGGACAATAAACTACAACATAAGACCCTGATGTAAGTTGTGTACAATAAACTATACAAATCTGTGCCAGGTTTACAAAGACAGAAATTTATTTTCCTCAAGGTGTCTCGTACTCATCCGTGTGCCAGGCTTACAAAGGCAGCTCTGACCGTCGCACGCAGCTGGCCACTAAACTGGAAGGTGTCCGCTTCACTGACCCAGCTGGCAACCTGTTCAACTTTGTCAACCGCTCAGGCGTGTCCAACTACAGGTATCTCTCCATAGACAGGGGCTTGCTGGATGGAGTGGTGTACAATCAGGTAATTTTTCAATGTTTCCCACATTTGTTCAATCTTACATTAAGTTTGTATTTCATAGATCATCTCTATACTTAAGTAACTACAACATTTTTAATTATTGATGCAGTGCTTGAATAAAGAACTTATTCATGTTCTTATCACTACTAATAGTATTGTAGTTAATAATCATAACTTTCATTAAAGAGATTGCAGGACAATAGAATATCTTATTAGGGAATTTTTTTGATGGCTTAGTTTTAAAAAGATGGGGATGGCATGCTTGGGTGAGATAGCATGTGATTACTAACCTAATAGTAGAGAGTTGACAAGGGTTATTAGTTAGGGGCAGCAACCCATCTAGGAGATTACAGTAAATCTCCACATTCTTATAGTGTTTTCATTTACTGGTATGCTTGGGACGGCAAAGTCAAGCGGTAGAGCATTTATCTGCTAACCAAGTCTCAAAGCTAATTATAGCATGTCCTTGAATTCACCCAACTGATGGGTACCTGACTAAGTTTATGGCAACTAAAGGTGGCTGAGTGTAATGCTGACCACACTATCCTTTCATATGCTGAAGTCACAGAAACAGGTGAACTCTACTTCACCTACTCCATGGGCCATTTTGTCCAAAAGTGAACCTTACTTAGTTTACTGCTCACATACTTAACAATGCATGACTCAAATAAGACAAAACTAAAAATTCCAGATTGGCTCCTTCAATGGGACGGTGAACATCAGCTCCAGCTATAGCTCGAGCTGGGACAGTACGTGCAACAGACGGGAGGCCTGCGCTGAGTGCCCGGGGATTAGAAACAGTGATGTGCGATACCTGTTTCACCCGTAAGTTTTCTTTTGGTGTTAAAAGTTAATTTTCTCAGTTCAAGTAGAAGCAGCGATTTGGTATGAGCCAAAGTTTTTGACCTCCATGTTGATAAAATTAACTTCATCTCCAGGAACGCCAACTTAAGCTCCACCGCCCCAGTGATCATTGGATTTTTTGACATCCACCAGCAAGGTGTTGACCCTTACCGTTGTGGTGACCTCAATGTGCAGGGGTACCAGCAGTTCCTGGCCTTCTACTACACCATCCAACAAGTCATCTCTCAGTCTGACAGGGTAATCCTCTTTGTCTAATTTAGTCACTGCTCAGTCAGACAGGGTAATCCTCTTCATCTATGTTTAAGCTAGTAATAACGTGTATTTAGTTGTATAATTTATTTACACGCTGAATCATTCTGATGGGACGGGCAGTAGAACCAATGGAATCCCGAGCTTGAGTCCGTAAGATGCCCCTGAGTTCACCCAGATGTGATGGGTACCTGACTCACATTAGTGAAAGTAAAGGTGCTTTGAAATAGAAAAGTATCCTTTCATATGCCATGTTCATAGAAACAGGTGAACTTTATTTCACTTGCCATTTCGACCAGCAGATCCATGTTCTTCAGTGTGTCTTTACTTTTTTCTTTACTTTATTATTATACAAAAAGCATCAATACAAAATTAAATATGGGACATCAAATCATAATAAAATGCTCTGAAAGACATCTATAAAAGCTTATAGATAATTAATTTGGTTTAAATATTCTGGAAGAACGAACAGATGATTGATTCATTACAAAATACTTGAATCTTATTAAAATGAAGGGCCAGGATATATTTGGAACCTGTCAGCCAAAGGGGAAGATGAAGTAGAGTTCACCTGTTTTGTGACCTCGGCATATGAAGGCATGGTGTACTTAGGGCCTTGCCACAGTTACCCATCACATAGTCTCAGTGATGTCCTGTGGAATCGCCTAGTAACTCTAAATCAAGTAGTACTAAGAGTAGTATGCTCTATCTTTAAAAAATAAAAAATCCCTTCAAATGTATTTAAAACAAAAACTTAAGTAAACATTTTCAACATTTTAAGAACAAGCTGAGAGTTCTGGCAATTGACACATGCTCCAACAACATCAGAGTAGATCAAGATTTGTATGGGCTGCTGGAAGGAGCAGGACTATGTAACTCTATGTAAGATGTGGGGTTTCTGTTGGTGGTGATTGTCTTATTTAGTGTCAAGTTTAAATGTTGGGGTTTGTGGTGCTTGACTTATTTAATGCCAAGTTTAGATGTGGGGTTTGTGTTTGTGGGGCTTGTCTTATTTAGTGCCAAGTTTAGATGTGGGGTTTGTGGTGCTTGACTTATTTAGTGCCAAGTTTAGAAGTGGGGTTTGTGTTTGTGGGGCTTGTCTTATTTAGTGCCAAGTTTAGATGTGGGGTTTGTGGTGCTTGACTTATTTAGTGCCAAGTTTAGAAGTGGGGTTTGTGTTTGTGGGGCTTGTCTTATTTAGTGCCAAGTTTAGATGTTGGGTTTGTTGTGCTTGTCTTATTTAGTGACAAGTTTAGATGTTGGGTTTGTGGTGCTTGTCTTATTTAGTGCCAAGTTTAGATGTGGGGTTTGTGGTGCTTGTCTTATTTAGTGCCAAGTTTAGATGTGGGGTTTGTGTTTGTGGGGCTTGTCTTATTTAGTGCCAAGTTTAGATGTGGGGTTTGTGGTGCTTGACTTATTTAGTGCCAAGTTTAGAAGTGGGGTTTGTGTTTGTGGGGCTTGTCTTATTTAGTGCCAAGTTTAGATGTGGGGTTTGTGGTGCTTGACTTATTTAGTGCCAAGTTTAGAAGTGGGGTTTGTGTTTGTGGGGCTTGTCTTATTTAGTGCCAAGTTTAGATGTTGGGTTTGTTGTGCTTGTCTTATTTAGTGACAAGTTTAGATGTTGGGTTTGTGGTGCTTGTCTTATTTAGTGCCAAGTTTAGATGTGGGGTTTGTGGTGCTTGTTTTATTTAGTGCCAAGTTTAGATGTGGGGTTTGTGTTTGTGGGGCTTGTCTTATTTAGTGCCAAGTTTAGATGTGGGGTTTGTGGTGCTTGACTTATTTAGTGCCAAGTTTAGAAGTGGGGTTTGTGTTTGTGGGGCTTGTCTTATTTATTGCCAAGTTTAGATGTGGGGTTTGTGGTGCTTGTGTTATTTAGTGCCAAGTTTAGATGTGGGGTTTCTGTTTGGGGTGCTAGTCTTATTTAATGCCAAGTTTAGATGTGGGCTTTGTGTTTGGGGTGCTAGTCTTATTTAATGCCAAGTTTAGATGTGGGCTTTGTGTTTGTGTTGCTTGTTTTATTTAATGTCAAGTTTAGATGTGGGCTTTCTGTTTGTGTTGCTTGTTTTATTTAGTGCCAAGTTTAGATGTGGGGTTTGTTGTGCTTGTCTTATTTAGTGCCAAGTTTAGATGTGGGGTTTCTGTTTGTGGTGATTTTCTTTAGTGCCAATTTTTCTCAATGTTAATTATTATTTATAATTAAGCACACAAAGGTTTACCCAGTTAAACCTTCAACCTTTCAGTTTTGACCCAAGCTCTGGCATAACTCTAGACAAGATAGCATCAGTGATCACCCTAGGGGAACTAAACACTGCAGCAGCCTCCAGAGTTCTGGAAAACCCCAAAGTTACCTACCTTAGCCCCAATGCTTTAAGCAGTCTGCTAGATGACAAGCAGTACCTCCTTCGCACCATTGCACCAAACAGCGCCATGATGCGCACCCTGGCATCTCTGTTCAGCAAGTTGGAGTGGAAATATGTGGATGCTGTGTTTGAGAGTGACAGGGCTGAGGGGATCTATGCTTGGGAGGAGTTTGATTACTATGCTGGGAAGAATGAGTATGTAACGTATTGAAATTTTTTTCGTTTGTCATGTTTTAATACTTCCAGATAGCTTTGTGATGTTCTAACATATGACTTTGTGATGTTCTGTTGTTCTGATTTATCACATTGTGTTGTTCTGATTTATCACATCCTGTTGTTCTGATTTATCACATAGTGTTGTTCTGATTTATCACATCCTGTTGTTCTGATTTATCACATCCTGTTGTTCTGATTTATCACATCCTGTTGTTCTGATTTATCACATCCTGTTGTTCTGATTTATCACATCGTGTTGTTCTGATTTATCACATCGTGTTGTTCTGATTTATCACATCGTGTTGTTCTGATTTATCACATCGTGTTGTTCTGATTTATCACATCGTGTTGTTCTGATTTATCACATCCTGTTGTTCTGATTTATCACATCGTGTTGTTCTGATTTATCACATCCTGTTGTTCTGATTTATCACATCCTGTTGTTCTGATTTATCACATCCTGTTGTTCTGATTTATCACATCGTGTTGTTCTGATTTATCACATCGTGTTGTTCTGATTTATCACATCGTGTTGTTCTGATTTATCACATCCTGTTGTTCTGATTTATCACATCCTGTTGTTCTGATTTATCACATCGTGTTGTTCTGATTTATCACATCGTGTTGTTCTGATTTATCACATTGTGTTGTTCTGATTTATCACATCGTGTTGTTCTGATTTATCACATCGTGTTGATCTGATTTATCACATAGTGTTGTTCTGATTTATCACATAGTGTTGTTCTGATTTATCACATAGTGTTGTTCTGATTTATCATATAGTGTTCTGATTTATCACATCGGGATGTTCTGACATTGTATCACTTTGTGATGTTCTGATTTGTCACATAGTAAAGTTAGTGCAACAATATCACAATTACTAGTTTATTTAATGCAGTATGTAAACATCACTCTAACTCATGTTAGGGAAAGTAAAAGTGCCTGGGCATAGTGCTGACCACACTATCTCTTCATATGCCACAGAAACAAGTGAACTCTACTTTACTTGCCCCATAGACCTTTAGGTTTGAAAGGGAAACTTTTCTACTTTATGTAAATATCACAACAATAAATGAACAAATTAAAATCATCATACAGCATTATATAATCAACTTTTACTAATATGTAAAAAATGTGATATAAAACAAATTCTAATATAAAGTTATGGTGTTTATAAAACTTGGATGATGTTAAAATAATAAAGTTGTACACATTTTCGTCCCTGGTTTAGCCTGTGTGTTGGTGAACCTCTTGCTTTGGATGACAAATTGACTGCAGCCAACATTCAGCTGAATGGAGATAAAGGTAAGAGTTGTCTTAGGGGAAATAATTTTAGATGATAGAACAGAGTTGTCTTAGGGGAAATAATTTTAGATGATAGAACAGAGTTGTCTTAGGGGAAATAATAAATAATTTTAGATGAAAGAACAGAGTTGTCTAAGGGGAAATAATAAATAATTTTAGATGTTACAACTGAGTGTCTTAGACGAAATAACAGAATTAATTCTAGATGATATAACAAAGTTGTCAGAGGAAATAATAGAAATAATTTTAGATGATAGAACAGAGTTGTCTTAGGGGAAATAATAGAAATAATGTTAGTGGTTCCCAGAAAAATGTGCAAATACAAAGTGTAAGAATACACTTAGAAATTTTGTTCATATTTTGTAGAAAATGTTTTATTATGCTACAGTTTATATGTAGACATTCTTTTCTAAAGTATATAAATTATTTAAAGAAAATAAATTTCTTTGAGCACTTTTTTGTGCGCCGTTTTCTGTTGTGCATCATTTGGGTCAATAATTTTTAGATGATAGTTCAAAAGTTGTCTTAGCAGAAATAATAAAAATTATTTTTTGGTTAAAGTACAAAGTCGTCTTAGAGGAGATAACCAAAATTTAAGAAATATGACTGAGTTATCTTCCAAAGAACAATAAATGTTATCAAGAAAATAATAGAAATATTTTTTTGTTTTTAATGACATGTCATTTTACAGAGCCCAAACTATCTACTTTCTTACCTAATTGTTCAGGTTCAAAGGTCGTGATTCTGTTTGGCACAACGGACTTTGTCAGACAAGTGATGTCACTGTCAACATCCCTGATTGACCAGTACATCTGGGTGCTGGGGGTGGAGTGGGATGTGACCCCCGACTCTCTGAAAGGCATCATACCCCCGGGGAAGACGGTGAAACTTGTGACAACGAGAAGGAAGAGCTACCTTGTGGAGAGCTTCCAAAACTTTGCCAAAACAAACCTGCCTACTTTGAAGTGGTATAATGAGTGCACTAACAAACCAGACTGTAGTAAAGCAGTGGTGAGGACAAATATTCAGTAGTTTTTATACAGGGTTTGTTTAATTAGTTCCCTACATATTGTGCAAGTATAAAGCAGACTAGCTTCAAAACATGGGGGACAGTACTATAGGCCTAAAATGGAAAAAAGTAGACACATAGCTCTTTGTTGTTTTTTTTTAAATAGTTCATTTCTTTAATTATTGAGATTGCTTTTGATTTGTTTTTATTATAACTTATAAAATTGCTGTGTTTAGGCTCATTGTTAATGATTATGGTCCATATCAGACCATTGGACAGATTTCATCATTAATTTTTTCTCCATTCGTGCCCAACACACATGGGGCATATGAAATAGAGTTCACATGTTTTAATGAGCTTGGCACACAAGGAGATAGTGTGGTCTGGACTATGTCCAGCGGCCTTATCATAAGTCAGGTACTCATCCGAGCTGGTTGGACTCGCGCCCTACATACTTTGGCCCCGAAATCCTAGCTTGAGACTTTCGGGTTAGTAGACCTAAGCCCTACCATTCAGCCACGCCGTTCATCTTTTATTCCTGCCTTGAACAAAATTATAAAGAAAACAAAACTGAAAAATTAACTAAAAATTAAAATAAAGATTTCAGAAGATTCAAAAACATGGATTCTAAATGTTTGATTAAATACTGTTGACACACCCACAGACATATGGCACAAACAATTACATACTGAACACAATATGATTGTAAAAACATGAAGTCTATGTGTCTGATTAATGCTGTTGACACACCCACAGACATATGGCACAATTATGTACTGAACCCAATATGATTGTAAAAACATGAATTCTATGTGTTTGATTAATGCTGTTGACATACCTGCAGGCAAATGGCACCAACAATTACGTACTGAACACAATATGATTGTAAAAACATGAATTCTATGTGTTTGATTAATGCTGTTTACACACCTGCAGGCAAATGGCACCAACAATTACGTACTGAACACAATCCTGGCCACGTATGCAGCTGCTGCAGGTTTCAGAGCTCAACCTGCTGGACAGGGCATAAACAGAGCAACACTCAGGTATTTTGGTCTCAGCATGACATGGGCAGCTATGTTGCTTTACCACAATGTACATATAATGGGTTGTATTATTTCTTTCATAAGCAAGTTCAACTTTATGGAATAGTCTTCATGAGGTTTTTGATTTTAAAATGATTTTTTTAATCATGTAAAACTTGAACAGTTTTTAATGAAACACTTTTGCATTATAACTCTATAGGCTCTTTTTTTTTAAAAATATATGTGTAGAATTACTCACATGTAAAAAACAGTTGATTAATTAGCTTAGATTTGTACAGAAGACTTTGTCTCATCAATCTTGATTAATTTCTACCTCATAAACCTAAATTTGTTCTTATTTAATGAACCTGGGCTCATCTCATAAACCCGGATTCATCTCATAAACTTAGATTTCTATATCAACCTAAATTCATTCACCTAGTTGTTCATTACAATTGCTTATTGCATGCAGGCAATCAACCTTAGATGTGACCTTGAACCTGAATGCCGTGCCCATTGCTGGGGATCTGAAGCTGGCCAACCTGACCAATGACCTGCCATTTGACTTTGAGAAATTGACAAGGTGGTGGAACTCTGGCTTTGAGATTCGCATACTCAGCGCCACGGCAGATCAGTCCAGTGTTGTAACTATCAAGGAACTCAAGGTGTGTAAGGGGGAGGATTAAAGCTGATGTGTGGTAGTGATACTCTGTCTTGATTTTGGTAATTGGGTGGTCATTCCGAAGTCCACCCAGCTTACTCTTTAGCCAGACAAAATAGAGCTGACCAATCACTTTATTGAGATGTCACCTGAGAATTTTAAAATTAATATTTGCCATAAGGATATTCTTGTCAAAATGGGTACTTTTATTTTAGTGCATGTTGGTAGACATTTATGACAAGCTGTTATTTCTGCTGAATTGTGTAAATAAAAATAGAGATTTACTTGGGGTATTTTTTCAGCAAAGCATTTCAAAAAAATGTATTATAAACTAACACTAAAATCAATACAAAATTCTTGCTTTTCACTAAGGAAAATTGATCTAGTGGTTTATTTTTAAATCACCAACACCAGTGGAGTAGAGGTAGTCTCTTTTGGTTACCTTGGTATTTAATGAATTGTGCAGTCAGCATCAACTGATGTACCCATTAGAGCTGGGTGGACTCAGGGACACCCTATGGTCGTGTTAGGTACCCATTAGAGCTGGGTGGACTCAGGGATACCCAATGGTCTTGCTAGGTACCCATTAGAGCTGGGTGAACTCAGGGATACCCTATGGTCTTGTTAGGTACCCATTAGAGCTGGGTGAACTCAGGGATACCCTATGGTCTTGTTAGGTACCCATCAGAGCTGGGTGGACTCAGGGATACCCCATGATCTTGCTAGGTACCCATCAGAGCTGGGTGGACTCAGGAATACCCCATGATCTTGCTAGGTACCCATCAGAGCTGGGTGGACTCAGGGATACCCCATGATCTTGCTAGGTACCCATCAGAGCTGCGTGGACCTTGAGATGCTTTGAAGAAATAAACTTTTTTGCAATTAAGTAATTTGCCCAAAATGTGGAAGTTAAATATTTTACGCCTAATATATTTTGTAAGGTTAATATTTTTAGAAATTCCGGTACTCACAAATATTTTTGTTTTAAATTTCTGGTGTAACATACATAATATTTTTCATTTTTCTTTTCTAGAAATTCCTGGTAGCAACCGACTTAACTGATAGTCAACTTTCCGAGGCCAAATCCGCGCTGAACATCACCTCAGTCTGCACCAGCAAAACAGGCTGCGTATGTGCTGCGGCGGCCGAAGTTAGCAAAACCTCCTCCCTCACAAACACAATGACCTTTGCCCCCAGCAGGCCCCGCAACTACTACGCCTACCACGACAACGGCGACCTGATGTACGAGTGGCCCGTGTGGGCCATCGTTGTGGCCATCCTGACATCCCTCGGGCTCCTCATAACTCTGATCCTGTTCATTTTCCTTCTAGCTGCCTACCAAAACAAAGGGGGCACGTCTATTCTTGGGTACATGGTCATCGTTGGAATTCTCGGCATCTACGTTATCAACTTCGCCTTCTTTGTTAACGCTAACGAAGGCACCTGCGGAAGCCGTCGGTTCCTCATGGGTGTGGTCTACATGATAGCTTTTGCTCCCATGCTGCTGAAGGCTATTGACAACTGGAGGTTCAGCCAGGTGGATGATGACAAGGAAAGATACAGGTGGGTCTAGGCTGTGTCTTGTTTCAGAGCTTATCTCAATGGTGTATTTAATAGTTTTGTTTTTACTTTACCTGTCAAGACCAAAAAGAAGTTTTTTGTATTACCGTGGAGTCTATCATATTTTTATTGAATAATACAGTCATCTGTTTCTTATGCTTACTCATGCCACTGCTAGGTACCCACTTAAGCTGAGTCGGCTCAGCCATCATAGCTGGAACCTCTTATCTCAATAACTTTAAATATGTTGAATTAGTTTTATAGTCAAATTTATTAATAACTTTACCTAGCTGTGAATTTAATCCTAGCCATAGAATTTCTGTTCATAATTAAAATTTTTTATTCCAGTGGTATATCATCAGCCTGTGCTCTGTTTATGACATCAATTGGTATTGTGCTGGTCCAGTGCATCATCCCTATCATCTGGCTCATCCTGGTCCACCCCACTGCCAGCAACCTGCCTATGGGAAACACGCGTCATGACAACTGGTGGTGTGACCCACCGGCCGACTATGACACCGGGATTGTCTTGTCCATGGTCTTTGTGATGTTCATTGTCTTCGTCACGGCCATTTTCTCTGCCATCACTTTTGACTCTGACAGGAACAACTTTGAGTCCAGGTTAGTCTACTCATATTATATTAGTTACCCATGTTAAATTACCTACCCTTGACAAATTACCTAACTTTGTTGAACAATTTATCTGCCCTCTTGAATATTAGCTACACTTCTTGAAAAATCTTGATTTACTTATCTTTCCCTGGGCTATTTCCACTTGTAATATTGTCAACCCTTATTGAAATCTCTTTTTTTTTTTTTACATATCTACTCTTTTTATACGACCTTCTATTATACATCATTATGGTTTTTTATCTGCATTTGTTAAAACTTAACAATATTAGTGTTGAAGGTTTTAAAATGAGATAATGTATACAGTGTAAAATAATAAAGTATTGTCTCCCTTGCAGGTGGATATTGTTTGGCAGTGTAGCCACAGCTGGATGCTTTGTTGTCTGGATGATTGTGTCAACAAGTGCTGAGCCACCATACAGGTAAGTGGCTATTGCAACAATAGGTCTATATTCTCAGATGTCCACACATCCCCATAGCTTTAAAATGTAACTCTTTACAAGAACAAACATATTTTTGAACTTTTTTTTTTCCACAAAATACTTTCTGGATTCTAGTTGAAACATTTAAAACTAACATTGCCATTAAGGATTTTAAAAAGGTATGCATTTACAGTAGTGCATTATATACACACACAATACATTTTACTGAGTTTGTATATTGAATTTAGGTAGACTTTTTCCAGATATATACTGGATTGGTATCTTTTCTTAAAGTTTATTACATACTAGTATATTTTTATTTCCCTTTAGAAATATTTTCTTAAAGTAATCATCACATATTGAAATATTGTAATTATTCATCCCCCCCCCCCCATGCAGGGATGCCGCTGTGACTATAGGCAACCTGGTAAACGCCACCCTGCTGGTGATAGCCATGCCCCTCCGCAAGTCTGTCCTCTTGTGTAGAGCTCTGACTAATAAAGAGAAGGACGACCAGACCTCTGAAGGTAATGACGCAAAGGAAATCATGATTTAAGATGATGGTGCCAGATTTTTCTTTTGAGTCAGGCTAAATGAAAATTTACATGGCCAGTGTGCTAAATAAATATATATTACTGTTTTTCAGTTTTAGACTATGGCCACAACATGGGATACAGTAATGAGAATTATCAGCTTGATGATTACGACAATTATAAGGAGAAAAGGATCTAAACTTGAAACTAATCATGGTAGGTTCTTAAGATTATTATGTAGGGGCTGTCTATTATTTACTGGTGCTAGAGATTTAAAAAAAAAATTCCATCTTTTTTTTCTTTTGTTAACGTATAATTTTTAATAAAAATTTAAATTAAGTATGGTGGATTAAATTTCCTTACTTTTGAAATGTTTAAAATTTAATACAATGTATTAATGTGTTTGTACTGCTATTTAGTCCCCTCCACAACTTGTACTTGAGTTGAAGTAAAAAAAAAAGCCATGCTCATTTCACCTAGCCTTATAGTGATGAAACTCTTTACTTTTTTCTCATATTCAGATCTCGCCTGTGCATAGCCCACACAAAACATGTTCTTGTTCTCCTGTTATCTCAATGCAAGGACTGAAAGCCTGCTGCAACTTTTTTATTTTTCTACTCACTGTGAATGTGGAGCTGGTTGAATGCAGTTGTTTGTTTAGCTACATTTCAATAGATACAGAAGATAAAAATCATTTTAGAACCAAATTAATTTTGAAAATACATTTGGTTGTATTCTTTAAATATTTTTGAAGTTAAACTGGTTGAATGCAGTTGATTGATTTGCTTTTTGCTAACACAGATTACTTAGATCAATATAGATCCAAATAGTTTTTTTAAAAAAGAAGTTTTCTTCCATTTAAGGATATCTTTTTTTTCCATTACTTTAAACTATAAAATCACCATCTATGAATCTTATTCTTCACATTTTAGAACTTGATTGTTACCAGATAAGAATGTAGTTATGTGTGGAAAGTCTGTTGCTTTGATATTTGTTAATCCCTGAAGTTAAATACTATGTAACAATTTTTATTTTATTTATATATAGATATATAGATATATTGATGAATACTTTAAATATTTGTGAATATTTTATGATCAAGACAAAAGTTGCCAAAAATCAAATTTCAATGTGTGGAGTATATCAGTTTTGTTGCATTACATGTGCTAAAAATGTCACAATTAAATTATGAAAATAATCAAATTAGATCACACCACAACACTTGAGTGCCAGGTCTAATTGAAAAACTTTTGTGATAAACAGTGTAAGGACCTATATTTATATCTGTAATATAGAAAACTATATTTTTGTACATTCCATTGTTTTGACTGTTGTTTTACTTTATGTCAGGCCTCATTGTTTTTTTCTTTGTGTAGCGTTGTGTTGACCATATTTTGAAACTTTTTATTTACACATCTGAATATACACTATACTTCCATTTTTATTACAAATAGGTTTCATATATTAGTTCATTTATTTTTGTAAAGAAAATGAAAACAAATGTAAGTTTAAAAAATGGTTTAAAAGAATAAAAAAAATATTGCTAATTATTTTTTTTTGTTTTATTTTTAAAATGTTCTGTTTTAGCAAGACAAGTAAAAAGTAGGCCTACATATAGGCTAAGTTTTATTTTAGACATTAGAATTATTTTATTCATTTAGGAAATAATGCCGTCTTCAAAATAATTTTTTAAAAGCATTATTTTAGCACAATTTGGTTTACATTCATATAAACTGGTACAAAAAATTTATGGACAAGATACAAATTCTAAAGTGGCTGGCTAATCTCATGATTAACAAGTGGATACAAGCCTGTAACTAGTGTAACACAAACACTGTAGGACATTACACCAAGCAATACAATCCTTAAGGTTTATAAATTTCAGAAAGATTGTGTGGTTCTATTTAACTAATAGAAACTACAGACCTGCTTATCATAGGGAAGAAAAAGTAAAGCAAATCTGTTTTTACAAACTTATACTTACTTCACAACATCCCTTAGATTGAGGTAAATATTAATTTTGACCCATTTGAAATGTGATTTTATTCAAACGTTTTTTAACTAGACTTATTAAAGGAATTGCAATGTCAGCACTACACCCTCTGTCCTTTGAACTTTGCCACAACTTGCATCAGGTACCATTTAGAGCTGGGAGGTCTCAGCGACATCTACAGTACAGACTGTAGATCTGAGTCATTTTCAAAACATTGTTTGGCTATTTGTAGAAACCAACCCATGCACGTTTGACAAATGCTGGCTACATCATCGTAACATAGGTAACTTGATGTATGTGTATAGTATCTAGTACAACTACGGAGAGATTTCTTGTTTAACAGTCAACTACTCCACAGTGTATTTAAACTTTAGTTTAGAGGCTGCCATTTCTGTCTTGATAACATCATCAAACCATTCATTTAGGGCTACAGTAAAGTGGTTTTTCCAATCCCCAACTTGCCCTGAAAATAACAACATTACACTAAATACCAAAAGATTTTTGATTTTTCTAAAAAATTCTATTATACAAGTTAATATATATTTATTTATGATCAATAGGCTTGAAAAGTTGGTTCCAAATGGCTGTTGCCAGAAAGCATTTTTTTCAACCAAAATTCAATTTTTTATATCATTTGAGAAATAAGTACAAAATGACTTCCGGTTTTATTAAGGCTAAAAATATTAAAACAAATAATTACTAGTAATATAATAGTAAATCAGCTAACACTTTTGTATTTAATTTGGATTAGTAGAGTATGGTTTGGTGATAGGGGGTGTTATATTATTTTTTATAAATAAACAACTGCTATTGTGTATTTTATCACGGGAAAACAATTGTTGTGACTTTCGTTGTTTTACTTTCCCTGGTCACTCCGGTTCACTTCAAAGAAGGGTGAGGTCGGTTTTTCAAAATAGTCAATACAAAAATGTGAAAATGAGTGTAATCTATAGCTCCCAAACGGTTTTAATTTTTTTCTTAAATGTAACAAGAATTTTATCCCTTGCATTATTTTTTAAAAGATTTTTATAACTTCGACCAAACAATCCCTGATATTAACAGTATAATAAACTTCTTATCAATGATCAATAGCACAAGCTATTACTATTGCTCCCCAACGGTTTTAATTTTTTTTTAAACTTTAACTAGAATCCATTACTTTATTTTTTTTTAATTTTTAAACTTCAAAATCAATAACTAATTATTAATTTACAATATTAAACTTCTAATAATTGATAATAATACAAGTTTATATTTGCTTGTAATTTGTATCCTGTCTATAATTCCTAAATTATTTAAGTCAATACCTTTATTATGGGTAGTGCTAAAACGCACAAAACTAAGAAAATAAACATGAATTTTCTTGAATTAAAATAGTTAAAATATAAGTTATCTAATAGTAATACTTAGTTAACTTTCTAGACTCTATAAAGCAGGAATCAGTACTTGATTATCTACCCTGCCTCTAAATATTATTTAGTTACCTCCCTGTCTGGGTTCGATAAAATTGTTATTTTACCTTTCCTGTACATGACGGGCTCACCATCCGGTGTTTTGAAAGATTTTTCCCCGTGAACTTTTTTCATAACTGCAAACTCCGTAGCACAACAAATTTGTTGGAGAAAATCATCAGCGTATTGATGGCCCAAAAATTCCGACAGCCGTTTGACTTCTGAAAAATTATTCTGAAAAAAAATATATTTTTCTCATCTTACTAAAATTTAACTAGATCTTGATGCTAACTTTAAAACGAATCTCGTTTACAATGTCATAATTTTTTAAAATGTCAATTGTATGGACAACTGTTATTTTAACAAAATAGTAATAATAAACGGAATAGGAAAGTTTGCATCAGTAAAACTCTAACCTCTTTAAAATCCTCAAAGCTTCCGACAAAGACAGGTAACTCGGGATGTTCAGATAATCCTTTTTCCCAACCCAAAATATAAGAAAATGGCGATCCATTGTCGGCTAAAAAAATAATTTAAAAATCATGAGAACATTTTTAAGTTTTAAGATGTTCTTTTTTAATTGGACTTTTATATCAGAAATAAATAATACTTATTTGTCATTTTCAATAAAGTATTTAAACTTATTTTATTCAAATTATATCGCAAGTAGTTATTTCCCTTTAGTTGTGTTTTTTATTTCACGGCGTAGGGCTACTGATATTGCAGTAAATCTATTATACATAAGTTTGTATTGCTTTATACCCAGAGGCGTAGCGAGGGGGGGGGGGGCGGTGGACATATGTCCCCGGGCGCCGACCTTAGGGGGGCGCCAAATTGAAAGTTTGAGGGGGGGGTGCAAATGAAAAGTTCGAGGGGTGGGGTGCAAATCGAAAGTTTGAGGGGGGGGGGGGGGCAAATGAAAAGTTCGAGGGGGGGGGGGGCGCAAATCGAAAGTTTGTCCCCGGGCGCCGGGAGGGGTCGCTACGCCTGTTTATACCTCAAATAAAATGTGTTTGAACTGTGGGACACAGACGTATATGGGTTTAGGGGTGGTTGGTCAACCGGCTGACGTGTGACATTATTTCATTAATTTACTTTTAGCAAGGTTTCTTCCAGGTATCCCTTCGGGGGGGGGGGGGAGGGGCCTGCCATCACGTAGAAAGTCTACCCCCCCCCCCCCCAGAACTAACGTACTCTTACCAGTGTCCGCCCACACCCCAAATATCAAGTCCCCCCCCCTTCCCCTCAAAAAAAAATTCGACCCAAAATTCATTTTTAGCCGACTCCATTGAATAAATTAAAAATGTATCCAAAACTTACTTACTTAGGCCATCTACCCATCGTCTGATATGGCTGTCAAAATCTCCCTTATAACTGTACTTATCGATGCCCAGGTGATGGTAATAAAAAGAAACGGCAACGTCCTTTAAATTTCTATAAATAAACACGACCTTTGGCCTCTTCTCTAGCAGTTGCCTGGGCTGCATGTCAAAGGTCATGTGGTTGTTAAGGACGCGGGGAGAAGGCAGAAACTGGTAGCAGGAATAAGGTCTCCACTCCATCATGAAGCTCTCCTTGGCTAGAACGCCATCTTCTGATGTGATTTGCCCGGTCTGAAGAATCCTTACGATCTCCCATAACCAGTGACAACCTTAGACGATGTGTCAACAAATATCTCAGGACAAGGTCTATGGTCTAATTATACCCTAATGACTTCTAATGCTCTTCAAGTTTTGTAGTTCTTTAGAATTTAGCACTGTCATCTAAGGGATAGGGGGGTGTCCTTAACTGACTTCACATTCCTAGACAAGATGTGGTTGGGTGGGAAATCTCAATTTGCTGGGGGGGGGGGGGGGGGGTTAAGAATTATTAAGGTTTTTTTTTTTCATAAAAATGTATCATTTTATCTAATGTTTGGCCCTATTGCGAAATTTTCAGTATAAAAAATGATTTATGTTTTTGACAATATCAGTATTTTATCAGCTTATCAATCTTTTAAAATAAAGAATTAATAGTATATCTATATATATAATTCTCTTCTTCGAGCCGTTAGAAAACAAGCTGCAACCTCGCCTTACAGTCCCCTCTCTTCCTCTATATCACTATCACTACCACACCCACCCCACCCCCACATTGTCTGGTGAGCTGTGGTCACGCTGTTTACATTTTACAATCACAGAGACGGGTTTGGTGACGGCTATTAGGGGCAGATAATTTAGTTAGAAACGATTTTAAACTTAGAGGAGGTAACTAAGAGGAGGCTGCTTTCACGTTAGGGGGGGGGGGGTAGTGTTTTTAAGCAAATATTTTCAATGGCAGCATTGGTACTGTCGAATTCACAAATTATAAATTACTGAAAAGTAGAAGAAAAAAAACAACTAAATAGCGGCGTATGATACGCAGCGGGTCGGCTCGTTATATTTATAGCAGCTATATTTTCTTGATGTTTTATTGGTTATATCCCCTGATTAAAGGGAAACAACTCATGTGATATTCGCATTTTCTTATGAGATTGGGGTGGGAAGAAAAAATTGGCACAACAGTTAAACTACATTCATGGACGACCCCAGAGTTTCTTCCAGGCATCTCTTCGCCCCCAAAGAAAGTCTACCCCCCCCCCCCGAACGAAATGGAATTTATGAAGAAAATATATTTTTTTAACAGTGTCGCCCCCCCCCCCTCCCAAAAAAAAATGTCTAGTCCCCCCCCCCCCCCCCCCCCCGGAGAAAAAAGTCTGGAAGAAATACTGGACGAGCCCTAAGAGGAAACGGAATGGGCCGTGCTAAAAGTTAAATGAACACTCAGATACCGGTTTATGTACATGACCTAGTTTTTCATGATGGGACAAGGTCACGATTTATGCACTCATCATGACACAACTTTTATCGTATTAGGAACATAATGAGGCAAATCTTTGTTGGTACAATTAATTGGTTCAACTTTGACCCTTCTTATAAGATTAAAATCGTTTTTCACCTCTAGCTACATGAAGATATGATGGGATTATGGGGGGAGGGGGGTGGAGGGCAGAGGCGAAGCGAGTGGGGGGGGGGGGGGGGGCTGGAAGTTACATCAACTCAACGTTGCAAAATATGCCCGAGGAAAACTGTTTGGTTGAGAATCGCGGAATGGGGGGGGGGGGGTTTAAAAAATAAAAAACATCCAGAAGAAAATAAATTGAATAGGCCTACATATACACATGTGTATACAAGTGTATATGGAATATATATATATATATATATATATATATATATATATATATATATATATATATATATATATATATATATATATATATATATATATATATTATATACATATACATAATTACATATTTTTTCTTTCTTACGGGGGGGGGGGGGGGGAATGACACCATTAGGTGCTGCACCGGGTGACACCCGTCCTCGCTACGCCACTGTAGGAGGGTATGAAGGAAGTTGAAGATGAGAGTGTGGTAGGATAGTAATATAGGACTGAGGTTTAGTGTGGGAGTATGGGATGGGAATTTATGATGGAAGTATACGACAGAAGTGTAAGGTGGGGGTTTAGGGTGGGAGTGTTGAATGGGAGTATACTTATGATAAGAGTACCTTTATAATGGTGTTTGGAATAATAGTGTTGAATGGGAGTGTACAATGGGAGTTTAGGCAGGAAGTATAAGATGCATCGACATTTTATACATTAGTTTTTTTCTACTTGTTTACTCATGTATTAATAAAGCATGAATGACATTATTATACGTCTTTAACAGATAGCATGAGTTTGTTTTTTCTTGTCATTGTATTCCACACAGTCTAAAACACAAACAAAAAAGTTTGATTCTTTAACCCAGAAATGCAAAACGACTAAAGTGTCACCCGTTCCTGTGGGGAGGGGGGGGGTGAAAGGGGGAGATTTGTTTACCTGATTTCGGATAAGAACAGAGAATGACGTCATCTTCTCTGAGCGGAAAGTCCCGGATGTTGAGCATGGCTTCCTCGTTAAACTGTGGGGATCCGAACTGGCCGTTACACTCTAGAAGTTGCATCGTGTGACCACTGTCGTCTGCCACTTTTATTAGAGGCATTGTCTGCACAAACTGCAGTGCATGGGGAAATAAAAACTGTTTTGTAATTGCATTCCTTCCTACAACAGCGTTTCTTTCAGGCATCTCTTCGGAAGGGGGGTGGGGGATACGTCTACCGCCCCTCCTCCTCGAACGAAAGAGAATTTACAAAAACATAATATTACCAGTGTTTTCTCGCCCCCCCCCCCCCCCCAAAAAAAAATTTCAAGTGTTATTACACAACATAGCCAGCTCAAACTTACATTCAATTTAGAGCCTATGATTATAGCTAGAGGTTATCCCTTTATGACGTCCGAACGGAGGGGAAGGGAGGGGAGGGGGTGGTTCGAAAAAAATATCGACTTTGGTTTTGAGAAGTATGCTAATTTTCTTTGGACGTCCACGTGGAGGGGGATGGGGTTGTCGAAAGTGGACGTTGTGTGTGGAGGGGGGGGGGGGGGTCTAAAAGTCTAAAATCCGAAATATTTGTGTACGTTATATTGCGCATGAAATAAATTCGACGCTGTCATATTTTAACAGCCACCAGAGCCCTATCTTTGAACTCGACACCAAAGCTGTTTAACAAAGTGAAATAGTGAACTAGGTTTATGCAACGAATACACGAAGAATTCACTGAACCGTAACCAAGCTTAACCTCACTGGGGCACTACTTGACCTTGACGAGGAAGAATTTTATTTTAACCAAATATTTAATTTAGCCGGTAGGAAGTTTGAAAATTAAGATCCCAGCTTAATAAATTATTTTAATGCAATGAAATTATATTGACAAGCTCTAATACAAATTATTCGTTTTTAAGTAGCCTATATGAATTTTGCAAGAATCACAATGCTTTAAAAATTAACAGAAAGGCATAGATATATAGTAGTCCTTCATAACCAACATTAAGTTGATTTATTAAAATAGCAAAATATTGATATCACTTTAAAATTATAATAATTTACGTTTTACAATTAACGCCTATGCGTTTCTTAGAAGTAATGAATAGGATAAAAATAAAGGTAGGTTTATATTTGATAAAATATCTTGCTTACCTAAGAAATATGCACACCGTAAGGACTGTTTGTGTACTACTCCGTGCTAGTAAAGAATGTGGTACACTATAGCTATAGAGAACAAATGCCCTCTATTTTGAAATAAAATCTTATCAAGATTAAACAGATGACTTGAAATGTTGAAGATATACAAGTAGCATTTCCTTGTGGCCGAGCTACGACCCACTTTTGATTAGCCCGCCGTACGGAATCTGGTTTGGCAGCACCTAGCCGTCATAGCATAGCACACCTATGACGATTGACACAGATGCAGTACACACAAGAGCGACCAATTCACACGGGTAGTGTGTGTAAGAGGGGACGATGGGACGCCTTGTGTGAGGAGAATGAATGATTGAGCAGGCACCCGATGATGATTCTCTTTGCAACAATTTTTTATGGCAATGTACCCACAAACAACGACGCTTCAATCATACTAACTAGACATAATTAATTAATTATGGGTCTCTTTATCAGGATGGATTCATGTTTTTAAAAAATTCGGCAACTTCAAAGATTCCGATGAGTGCCAGATTTTCTTTAAATGTCAGATTTTTAATGAAAATACTAATAGGCCTAAGTAATGAATAATAAACCCTTCCAAAAAAAAAAATTAAGAAAAATTATACACACTTAACACCAAATGCAATTTTATTTTAATTTCCAGAGGAAATCCCAACATGCCTTCAAATTCTGGAGTGACGAAATAAAATTGTTTTGCGGTGGACGGTTATGATAATAAGTTTTCTTCAGAATTCTTGTTTTAGAAGTGGGTGGGTGAAATAATGAATGATATTAATAATGTTGTCGTGTAATAATAAAAATTCAATTGATCTGCATATGGCGGATTTAAAATTATCCGGAAGGTATGGAATGCACAAAAATTAAATGAAAAAAAAAAAATATTATTCTAGCTTATTATTGATGGTATAGTTTAAAGAGAAGAATATTTACCTGTATTAAGCATTTCTAAGTGTTAAATTTTAAGGCACCAAAACACTTCAGTTTACAAAAACATGATTTAATTTAAACTATAATAGAAACTTCTATTGTGTTTTGCGTGTTGAATTTTTTTTTTATAAACTTTTTCCCCACACTGGATTCAAGAGTCACCAACCACTGTCTCAACACACACACACACATACAGGCAAAAGTGAAGTGTCCAAAGATGAATATATTTTCTTTTAATATGTACTGCTTTATATCATCAACAAAGTCATTGTTTATGTCGGTCAAAACATATGAAGCCAAACAATATAACTGCAGAGTAATTTTTAAAAATTATAATATATAATTAGTAGAGTTAGTGAGGTAGCAATATAATATGGTTACTGATATATTAAAGTGTTAATATTATATATAACATGTATATGTCAATTTAAAATGCAAGATCAACAATTAAGGCCTACCTGAAATTATTTTAAAAATGTACACAATTTTAAAAAATTTTATTACGTGGATATCTAATTAGCTGAGTACATATTGCTGAAGTTTCAGAAACAGATCGATTTAACTCACATTTTCCAAATTGTTTTTTAAAAAAAATAACAACAATAAAAAAAAAAATATGAACAAATCTTATAGTATTGAAAACTTGAATTCCTGTTGGTGGAAAATGTTTTTTGAAAACAAATAATCAGTTTCAACTCATGTTATGTCCATTCTGTTAAATGTAGCAATATTACACCTGGAGTCTGCTCACAATGTTTGCTGTCTGGTGACACTTAGAATGACATTCTTTGATCCAGTTTTTTATACTGTTGCCCTACTATTCTTTCTTTAAATTAATTATTTCTCTGTATTACAATATTGATAGTTCTGCTATAACCTCTCATACCCTGTTTCTACAGGTAAAAGAAGTCTGCTAGACTTAAGCATTATACACGATGAAATCACATTACAATAAATTAACATAATAAATATATTTTGCATTCTGCCCTTGAACAAGTCAATGTAAAGATTAAAACAGTATTGCAGATGTTTAAGTACCATGATAACATCATTATTTGTAATGCATCTTTAATAAGATGAATTAGCTTTTTACAATTATTGTTCCAAGTTTAAATTAATAAACAAATGATTATAACAGATTATATAGGTTGCTTTATAAAATTCAAACAGTAATTGGATCCAAAGCTTTCAAGAAACATTACACTAACAAAGATGAACAAACCCAAGCCAAAAAAAGGCTTATTTCAGATCACACTGTTCTGTTGATCAAATAGTATGGGAGCAGTTTTCTAGTTGGATGCTGAGATTTTGATGTGGTGGATTAGGTCATTAAGCCTCACTAAAATTTGTTTGTACTTAGGTTTTTAATTTCTTGAACTCCACCACTCCAAAAGAGAAACTAAATTATGTGGGGAAAAATATAATGATGGTTATACAAATCCTTTATGTATTGGGTCACATTTTGCTGCTTGTAATGTGGAACAATATTGAATGTTGTTTAGTGTCAACAGCATGAAATCCTAATGTTTTGTATGTGATATATAGCGGGTCATTTTAATCATTAGTTAACTGCTTTGTGGTGTGGAACTATAAAAATTTTATGATAGATAACATTAGTATGTTAGATAAAAATGTTAACATTGTTTCATGTTTTTCTTTGCTGCAGAAATTGCAGGGAATCTTTTTTTTTTACTAGTTCCATAAAGGTACAACTCAGAACCAAACTTAAGAGAAGTTTATATTACTTAAAGACATATGGCATTTTGTTATTCATATAACCACTTAAAATCTAAAATTTTAATCAAATTGAAAAAAAAACCCAGAGAAAATAATAATAATAAATTGTAATTATATAAAAAATAAATGTTTGCAGTGTGATTATTATTAACTTTAAATGACCTAGTATCACAAACAATTACCATCAAATCTTTGTATATCATCTACATCAATGTAACCTATAGTTTGACCTTTGGTCATCTCAAACATTATATAGAAATCTGTTCCTAAAGCCTCGATCTGAACTTGGACTTCACTCCAGACATTTGGGCTGATGGCCTTGAACCTTGAAGTCCATAAAGAACAATCCGGATATGCATAGCCACCATAATAAAACAATTTGCAGACTTGAAGGTAGCCCACGTTAGATGCAGATGTTCTCATACGAAAACTCAGGCACATAAAAATGGCAGTCTTGACTGCTGGAGACATTATCCCAGCGATGTTGCCAGGAAAATTAAAAGGCCCAAAAGCTCTAAGGAAGTAATCTGGAAAATATGCAAAATTTTTTTTTTAGCGGATGGATAGGGTACAATTCTTTTACGTATAATTCAGTTATGTTTTCTAATATATCAGTAGACCCCAATGTTGACTCTGTGAACAAAAATATGTCTTGTCTATCTATAAATCATGTATTTGTCTACTTCTCCACTGGCTAGGGGAAGTAAGTCTACTTCTCCACTGTCCAGGGGAAGTAAGTCTACTTCTCCACTGGCCAGGGGAAGTAAGTCTACTTCTTTATAGTGCTGGTAAGTAGGTCATCAATAAAACCTGCATGAGCCATAGAACTGGTTGGTGACCTACTTACCAGCCTTATTGGTCAGGGGAAGTAAGTCCACTTCTCTATTAACCAGGGGAAATCAAGTCTACTTCTCCACTGGGCAGGGGAAGTAAGTCTACTTCTTTATTGGCCAGGGCAAGTAAGTCTACTTCTCTATTTGCCAGACTTCTCTAATGGCCAGGGGAAGTAAGTCTACTATATGTGAAGTAATTGAATGCTAGAGTAACCCTCACTGTTGGTGTGCATATGCACATGTCATGATAACTTCCTTGTACCAAAAAAGCTGAATTCATTTAGTCAGCTGAATTATAATTCCAGGTCTACATAATATTAAAAAATTAAATTATCTTAGAATTACCATTAGAGTTAGTGTCAGATTGAACAACCCAGTTGAAATCATCTGATACAGTTTCCTGGGTGTATCCACAAAATGAACCACTGTTTTCACCATTTGTAGTGGGTGAATTAAAATCACAGTTGATGAGTAAAGTATCTGAAACAAAACTTCTTGATATCAGATCAAATCTCTAAGTTACTAGTTTTATTATAATTATTGGTTTAATTTTTTAAAATTAAAAACAAAATAAACATATCGATCTAGAATTAATACAGTTGTTTTAAATGAAAAAAATTTGGAAATGATTCTACAAAATAAGCTGATAATATTTTATATTGATTTGTTTACCTAATGTAAAGAAAAATGTTTAACAAGGGGTCATCCATAAATGACGTCACACTCGTAGGGGGGAGGGGGGTCCGTAATTTTGTGACGATGTGTGATGAGGGGGAGGGGGGGGGGGGGGGGGGTCAGATGTTGCGACGTCACATTTTTGCATTATAAAAAAGCAATGTTAGAAAACGAATTTTAGACGTTATTTCGCGTTTTAGATAACTGTTTTAATAAATTGTAATAGTTTAGACAAGATTTTGGAAAAATATCAATGTTTAAAAAAAATTCAACTGCAATTTGGAGGGGGGTTGTAGGTTGAGGTGTGACGTCATTTTAGGGGGGGGGGGTCTGGCTTTTTGTGACAAAGTGTGACGGAGGGGAGGGGGGGGAGGTAAAAAATCGTCAAAAAAAGCGTGACGTCATTTATGGATGACCCCCAACTTATTACATCATTTAAACATTTTTTAGACTAACTACCAAAAGAAAACAATTAAAATACTTTCACAAATGCCTTTGTCCAGAAAGACATCATCCAGTGCTATTCCACCACCAGAGAGTCTACCAGATGTTGAGATGAACTGAATCTCTTGAGTCTGTTGTGGGATGTCTACACTAAAACTGTAATGAACAAGGTTCAAGCTATTTTTGAGAACATAATTAACATTTTCCTTTTTGTTTAATCGAGTGTTAAACTTGTTGTATTTTCCTTTAACCAGAAGTTTCTAGAATAATTTATTTTTATACTCTTTTATTAAAAATGTTTCTAATAATACTTAGTTCCCAACCAACCCATTTTCTTTATTCTGACATAAGCACATACTCCAGCCATTATATTAAAATAAGAATTTTTTATTTGGGCTTAGCAGGAAACTACAGAAATTCTTGATAAATTAAAATTTATTTTAAAATGGTATTATTGAACCAAGCTATTATCAACATTTATCTGATATAAAGGAAATATAGATTTAGAAAGGAATAGAATAAAATTTAAATACCTAGAATTAAAATTAAAATCTTGCAACCCACTTACCCGAGCCAAGATGTTGTTTGTGCTGACGACACTTGAAACAACACCTGACTGACGATGCCAGTAGAACTGACAGCCTTGACCTCCATCTTACACAACTCGCAATCATAGACCAGTACAAAAGCATGCAAACAACTTTTTTCATTTGTTACCTCCATGGCTGAAGATTTCAGTATAGCTGATTTGTACTTGGTGTTGTAAGGGACATATGTGTATGCATAGTGTCCTAATAAATGAATGAAACAAAAGATTTTTATTATAATTTTTAAAAATTATTTAATTTAATTTTAATTATATTTAAAAACAACAGATATTTGTTGAATTTAATTATATTTATAAATAGGTCTATACCAGAATTCAAATATATCAGCAGAAAAACATAGAATCCTCTCCCAGCTTTTGATTTAGTCAAGCTTATCATAATTTTCAGTTTTACAAAATTAAATGTATGCTACAATACATCTTTAACCATCACCACAGTATACTAAGTCAATATGATACATGACAATCATAACTCAAAACATAGGCTAATACATTAAAAAAAACAGGCATATGCTCCAGCCTTATAATATAATTAACTATTAATATTCTTACACTATTTGTTTTTATATTTTTATTATTAGAACCCATTTAAAACTGAAATATAAAAACTCAAAGACATTATCAGAGATTCACAAAAATTTATAAAGAGACTATTTCGACTTAGCTGATATTTCTTAACATCACAGATATTTTTATTTTGGTTGATATTTTTTTAATGTTTAATATTAGAGATACTTTTATCTTGGCTAATATTTGTTTAAAATCAGAGATATTTTTTTTATCTTGGCTGATATTTGAAATTGTCTAACACCACCTGTTGCATTTTTGAAGGTGTTGTCCATAGTTGGCATTGAGGGAACATGGAGGCCCCCTGCCCTTCTGCTCCAAGCAAATTCACTTTCTGATTGGCTGGTATACCCACAAAAATCTGGGTGCTCAAAGTCACAGTTGAAATGTTGACCTTCTGGAAACATGCATTACATTTGTCTTTTATTTAATTTTGTAACAATGAAAAATATTTATTTTATTTAACAAATTCAAAAAAGAGATTTTACATTTTATACAGAAATGGATGAATTATTTTTCTTAGTATGTATTGATTAGTAAAGATTTGAAGAGATTGGATGTTGTGAGACAAGTTGTAATTTAAGTTATAATACTATGCTAGGCAAAGGTTCAGAACAGTAGGTCTTTGATCCGGTATCTAATCTGCAATGTCATTATGCTAATTGTTTTTCCAGTCTCTTTGTCTAAACAGGGTAGTGAAATAACACTGTGGGTCTAATAGTGTAATTTATTTTAATCAGAATCTTTTGAGTTGAAAGACCCGAGTTGTCTGTGACAGATCTTATACAGTTCAAACATGAACGTTAAAGTAAACTACTATTTAGATACCTTGGTCATCAATGACAGATCTTATACAAATATGAACATTAAAATAATCTATCAATGACATATCTGATCCAGACTAGATATTAATATTAAATAGAATATTTATTTGTTAAGGTACCTGGGTCACCAATGACGGATCTGATCCAGGTCAGATATGAATCCACTTGTGTGTACACCCCTGGCTTGCCAATCTGGCCGCAGCTCTCCCCCCAGCTCACAACCCCCACCAGCTCCCACAGGTTATGTGCAGATAGACACATCAAGGGGCCACCACTGTCACCCTAGACAAACATGAAAGTTGTAGCACTAACTGTAACTCATGGTTATTCTCAGCAAAACAGTTACTAGTACATCACATCAACATAAGGACTAATATCCACAACCCAACTGCTGGCAGGCATTAATTTGCAGACATTATATCAATAATATGACTAACATCATCACCTACAACATCATAATAACATCCACAACCCAACATCCAACATATCCATGGTTCAACATCCTAATATTATCCACACACCCAAAGCCAACCAACATCCACACCCCAGCATCTAACTAACACCCACACACCAACATCCAACTAACATCCACACACCAACATCCACACCTCAACACTCAATCAACATCCACACCCAAGATCCACACCCAAACATCCAACTAACATCCACACACTAACATCCAACCAATATCCACACACCAACATCCACACCCCATCATCCAACCAACACAAACATCCCACCCCATCCAAATGTTGACTCACCTTACAAGCATCCATTTCCCCATTCTGATAACCAGCACACAGCATAGTTGGTTTCACCCTGTCAGGATACGCCATCTGGCATTTTGTCTGGTCCCACAGTTTTATTTTTGTATGGTGAAGAATGGAACTCAGTTCACCTGAAGCTATGTCTGTTTTAAAATGTAATGTTATAAAAAATTTTAACTACGTAAAAGCAGTTTAAAGCATGAATTATTATGAACTTGTAACTTTACTAAATTAACTTTTACTAAACTTTTAAGTCAATTTTATCAAAACAATGGATATTCTTGATAAGTCCAAAACAAACAAAAGTAATGTTTATCTTTTAACAAAAATAATGCATGAAGTAAATGTGCACTATGAAATTATTATTAATAAAGATATGGAATATGTTAAAGGCAGACTTAGGTAAGACATTTAGACATATTATATACAATACATACAATACAATGGTAAGACATTTAGACAAATATGAAATATGTTAAAGACAGACTTAGGTAAGACATATGGAATATGTTACAGACAGACGTACTCAGTTTGTCACTGACACCCCAGCCTGCCACATAACACGGTAAACTTAAGCTCCGAGGTCGGACCACTGAGCTCAGGCAAAGTGGAGCCACCATCTCACTGAGGGTGACAGGCTGTTCCAGCCGCAGTAGGGCGATGTCGTTGTTGTAGATGTAGTTGTTCTCTGGGTGTATCACAATCTCTGAGACACGGATGCTGATCATTTCAGGGGAGTTAATGTTGACATGCCCCAAGTGGACAGTCGTTGTTTGAGGGGAGTTAAGCATGCTGAAAATAAAAGGTGTGTAAAGAGTAATTAAAGCTTTTAAAAAAAACTATAATTTGAAACAAGGTTAATTACAATTATATAAGTTTAAAAAAAGAATCTTAGTATAAGTTCAATAAATAAAGCTGAGGTAATATTTTCTCAAAAGGCTCTAAAACAGATTTTAATTTAGTTTTTTAAATGGTAAAAATCTGGGAAAATTTCCGAAAAATATTATTGCAAAATTATTTCTAACAAATAACAGATGTTTTAAATCATTATTTTTGATTAACCTATTTCAAATGTTTCTATATTAGCGATTAGGAAACAACTGTGAGTTTTGGAAAAGTTAAAATATGTTTACAGTAAAACCATTTATACTATTTGATTAAAAGTATAGTTTATGCAAGTGCACTTTGGCCAACCATTACGTAGCCTAGGAAAATAAGTGAAGTAACAACATGACTTACTTGTAAACACAATGTCCAGCAGTGACCAGCCAATGGTCAGATATCAGAGAAGCTCCGCATGTAAACATAGATCCAGAAAATACAGCGGCCATCCATGGCCACTGGCCATCCACAGAATTGCTGGCACCCAGCACATAAGGCTGAGGCAGGTGATTAGCTCGCTGACCACATTCTTATTTTAGAAAAATTTTAGACATTTAAAATTAAATTTTATTCTGTTAGAAGTATTAAAAGTAGAATCTATTTACATTTTTTGCTTGTGTTTTGAAAATAGGAAAATGTTTAATTGGTAGAAATTATCAAAAATTTATTTTTACAATTAAATATATATATAAAAAAAACTATAGGCCTATTTGTTCATTGTTTTGCTTTCTTAATATTTAATAATAAACAAATCAAATCAACTTTTCAATTACTACAATTACCCTTTGATGAGCAAATAAGCTGGACACCAAGATTCTCTTCACAATTTGAGCTGGAAAAATATAATTTATTGAAAAGTGAGTGGTATTTTATTAAAAGATAATAACTTAAATAAAATAATTTAGCCAAATAAAATAAATCAATGTCAAAATTATTTAACCTCCTTTTTATTGTAAGTAAATTGTATTTAGCCTACACCAGTCTACAGCAGTCTACAGCAGTCTACAGCAGTCAAGTATCTGACCTGAGATGCAGTTCTGTACTGTAGCTATTTGATGATGTCAACACTGCAACGTTTGTCAAATTGTGTTGTATGACAGACACATGAGCAAAGAACTTGGCTTGTTGGACCAACACTCCAGTCACAGACTCGGGTTGCCTGGGGAGGAGCAAAAGTCACACGACTACAACAATACATTCATGCTAAAGGGTCGTCCATAGATGATTTTAAAAACAGTTGTAACTATTTTGTATTTAAACACATACACACACCTACATATAACAACTCACATAGTCTCACATACAGCTTCACACACACACATACACATTCTCACACATAACCACACATTCTTATACACAGCCACACAAACACACATCGACACACACACCTAATTTAAAATCATTACAAACAGCCAAATTCCACTTTAGATAAACACGATTTAATGAAAATAATTTAAAATATTGTGTTTTCATAAATCTTATCTATGAAATGAATACCTTAATTCATTATTATCAAAAGTAAAAATGTTATTATTTTGGAAACAAACAGGCTTATGAATCTTTACTAGATCTATATCTATAGCCCTATCAACTTAATTTCAAGATTGTCATGATTGGTTCATTTGCCTGTCTACAAACATGGGCTGCACTATAAATTTGAGATTTTTTTTAACAAGACTGCTATAATTAGATTTTATGGCTACCTGTTATTTAATCAATGAACACATACAGGCACAATATACTCACACAAATACAACTTACAATTTTCCAACATTCTCACAAGCCCATCTGGCATTAACTCCACCTTCTTCCCACCCTTCAGCACAAACCGGAAACCAACGACCTTCGGCCATGACCTCCAGTGTGCCACTTTCGTCAAGTTTTGCTGCCAAATTATTTTAAAATATCTTTTAAAAGATATAAATAAAAGATAAAAAAAATACCTTTCAAAATTCTTTAAATTAGTTAATTAAATAGCAAAAAAAAATTAAAAAAAAATTAATGCATAGATAAATTTCTTAAAATAAATAATTAAATTATAATTTATTCGATGGTACAAAAATCCATAATTGTCATATTATAAACGACGGATCGTTATGGCATCTTTATTACTAAAGCATGACGCTACAAATAACTGTATGGCCGTATCGCCTCAACCTATAGCAGGTACCTCGATAACAATAGAATAGCATCACAAAAACAGAGTTTCTTCCAGGCATCTCTTCGGGGAGGCGGAGCCCCCCCCCCCCCGAAAAAAATTTACCGCCCCCCCCCCCCCCCCGAACGAAATGAAATTTATATAATTTATATAGAAAATATATACTTTTAACAGTGTCCGCCCCCCCCCCCCCGAAGAAAGTCTACCGCCCCCCCCCCCCCCCCCCGCCCCCCGAAAATTTCAAGTGCCCCCCCGGACAAAAAGGTCTGGAAGAAACACTGCACAAAAATAATATGTGTCCAATGCTTAGAGAGGAATAAAAATTTAATGTTTGTCTTGTTTCAATTAGAAGATGGCCTAGCGGCAGAGCACTAGGCTGCTAACCTGAAAGTCTCGAGCTCGAATCCCGGTTCAAGTCAATGGCCCTGTCCACCCAGCTCTGATGGGTACCTAACTCACATACCTTACACATTCATACGGCGAGGAAAAAAAGCTACTGGTGCACACCACCCAACTTACAGCAGACGGCTTCGTCCTCCCAGTACTGGCACTGAGGTTCCCCGTCACAAACATGGTAGAAAGGGATGCAACTCTTCTCCGAACAGGCAAATTCGTCCTTCCCACACTCGTCTGTAAATAAAATAATATATAATAAACTTCTAAAGACATTTTGAGCTGTATTAAAAATCTTTGTAATTTTTTTTATAAATGATATGTCAATTTCAATTTTTTTTAAATTAAAGATTTGTTCAAACATATTTTAAAACCTTCGCAAAGCACGGGTATTCCGCTATTACATAAATAATAATGTGTTGGCATAATACTCAATAAAGTGTACTGATTTTTTTAAATCGCGAAATCCTTCTAATTTCATTAAATGTAGCCATGTTCACTGTTGTCAACGCAATATCTTAAAAGTAAAATTGTTTACTCCAACTGAACACGGTGTTTTAAACATGAGATGAAATTATACAACGTCCGGACGTCGCTTGCTTCACGCCTGCCCACCCCTACCCCATACTCAACAACCAAACAACCTATAAATATTGTTTAGATACGAATCACTGGACCAGAACCCGCAAATACCCTCATCCCCATTTGAATGTTTTTAGCCCCCATGAACCATCCTCTCACTCGACTTTAAATTTTTCACCAGCACATACTTATTATTTATTTCCTCCCTGTATAAACTTTGTATATAAATGTTGTTAAAAATGGTCTAAACAGCATATCTATTAATTTATTTTATATGTATAAATTTGTAAATCCATCTTCAATATGTTTTTAATACGTACATTATTATGTAAAATAAGTACATTATTATTTAAAATACGTACATTAGTATGTAAAATATGATGCACTTGTTTTAAATTGCAAATAAAAGTATTTTTAAAAAAATATTTTAAAAATTTGATACTCGTGAAAGATGTAGTTAACAAGCATCTCCACTGTTTGATGTCGGTAGTTAGCCTTACCACATTCACTTTCATCCTCGCCATCCGAACAGTCAGGCTCCTTGTCACACAGCCACTCTATTGGGATACACTTGACGTCACTGCTGCATGCCACACGACCAGAAGGACACACTGCGAGAGAAGGTAGACTTGGTGAAGCTTAACATTAGAGATGTTGTTGGTACATACATCAGAAGACATGCACAGACATGTATACATACGGCGTAGCTGTGTTTGATATCCGGAGGTGTCATGACTTGTTTTGTTGTCTTTTCGAACCTGACTGTCCATAGTAAAAGTGAAGTAGAGTTCACCTGGTTCTGTGACCTCGGCATTTGAAGGGATAGTGTGGTCAGCACTATGCCCAGCCGCCTTTGCTTTCCCTAACGTGAGTTTGGTACCCATCAGAGCTGGGTGGGCTCAGGGACATTCTACTGCTTTGAACCAAGACTTTCGGGTTAGCTGTCCAGCGCATTACATGTTTGTCTGTTGCACAAAATCCAAATGTATTCAGTTGCAAGCGGCGTCAGGTGCTGTGGGTCTCAATAGCCTGTATGCGTCACTTACCTGATTGAGTCAGCTGTGTGACGTCACTAAATGTCTGACGTCATTACACGTGTTACGTTAGTTACCTGTGTGTTTTCGCTATGAGCATCGGTTGCCCGTGTGTTTTAGCTATGAGTATCAGTTGCCTGTGTGACCGACTTTTGTACGTGATTTACCCGTGTGACGCCACCCAGCTGCCACCCACCTATGTGACGCCAACCACCTGTGTGACGCCACCCACCTGCCACCCACCTGTGTGATGCCACCCACCTGTGTGACGCCACCCACCTGTGTGACGCCACCCACCTATGTGACGCCAACCACCTATGTGACGCCACCCACATGCCTCCCACCTATGTGACGCCACCCACCTGTGTGACGCCACCCACCTGTGTGACGCCACCCACCTGTGTGACGCCACCCACCTGTGTGACGCCACCCACCTGTGTGACGCCACCCACCTGTGTGACGCCACCCACCTATGTGACACCACCCACCTGTGTGACGCCACCCAACTGCCACCCACCCGTGTGACGCCACCCACCTGTGTGACGCCACCCACCTGTGTGACGCCACCCACCTGTGTGACGCCACCCACCTGTGTGACACCACCCACATGTGTGACGTCACCCACCTGTGTGACACCACCCACCTATGTGACGCCACCCACCTGCCAGCCACCTGTGTGACACCATCCACCTGTGTGACGCCACCTACCTGCCACCCACCTGTGTGACGCCACCCACCTGTGTAACATCACCCACCTGTGTGACGCCACCCACCTGCCACCCACCTGTGTGACGCCACCCACCTACCACCCACCTGTGTGATACCACCCACCTGTAGCCGTCTGCTGCCGTGTCACCCTATAAGACAGCGAGAAGCCTGGCCTGCTGCCCATCCTGTCTGAGACACCACCCACCTGTGACCGCCTGCTGCCGTGTCACCCTGTACGACAGCGAGAAGCCTGGCCTGCTACCCATCCTGTCTGAGACAAACGTCACCTCCAGCCTCTGACCCACCCACGTGACGTCATCGGGCCTCTGCTGACCACAGAAGCGCCCAAGCACCGTCCGCGTGTTGTTGTCGACGCCAGACACCTCCAGGTAATCGTAGTCACATGACGCTTGCTGCTCCAGGTCGAAGGTTGTAAAATGCAGGGAGATAATCTGAGGGAAATGATTTTTTAGATTAAATCATCGAAGAAATGGAAGAAAAAAAATGTTTTAATAAACTTTATAAAACAAATAAATTATCATTAAACTGATTTAAAAAAAAAACAATAATATTTGTTACAACAGTAGATCGACATTTTTAAAGTTTGATTAAATCAACTGTTGATACCCCCACCTTTGATGAAAGTTTTTTTTTTTAACTACCTCAAACTTAAAGAATACTGCAGTTAAAGTACATTCTGTTACCTTGGAAATTTTAGTGTTGTATATTTTATACATTTTTGAAAAGAAAAATCCACCGACTTGTTTTTTCTTTTCAGACTCATCTGTTGTAAAACAACTGCTAATTATCTCCATATCGAAAACGTGTTTGCTATTTTTTCACAATTTTTTTTAGAATTTTTCTCGCTGCCGTTTCAAGCATTATTCAATTCACCAAGTGGGTTTCATTAGTTAAGTAAACTTTTTGTAGAAATCTTATAAGCATTTCTTTTCTCAAATCTACAATACACCTCAAGCAGTTTAAAATGTATAAGTACCTCTACAAGTGGGCAACTCTAAACTGATATTTAATATGATTGAACTGATTACCTACCTTGTTGTTCCCGCCTTCAATGATCCACTGACATGTGACGTCATTGGGGTAGGAGTGGCCTGACGTAAAGCCTGGAGAGGTTATCGTTCCTGAGGTGGCGAGAAGGTAAGGGACGCCAGAACAAGCTGTTTCTAATACGGGATCAGTAGAGGCAGTGGTGGCTAGCGTAGGTGTGGTTGGTGTGGTTGGTGTTGTCGTGGCAGTAGTTGGTGTGGTAGTTGGTGGTTCTGTTGTTGTAGAAGGTGACTCTAGTGTTGTAGTTGGCGATTCTGTTGTTGTAGTTGATGGTGATTCAGTCATTGTTGTTGTAGTTTGTGGTTCTGTTGCTGTAGTTGGTGGTTCTGGTGTAGTTGGTGGGTCTGTTGTAGTTGGTGGGTCTGTTGTTGTAGTTTGTGGTTCTGTTGCTGTAGTTGGTGGTTCTGTTGCTGTAGTTGGTGGTTCTGTTGTTGTAGTTGGTGGTTCTGTTGTTGTTGTAGTTGGTGATTCAGTCGTTGTTGTTGTAGTTGGTGGTTCTGTTGTTGTAGTTGGTGGGTCTGTTGTTGTTGTTGTCGTAGTTTTTGGTTCTGTTTTTGTAGTTGGTGGTTCTGATGTTGTTGTTGTAGTTGGTAGTTCTGTTGTTGTAGTTGGTAGTTCTGTTGTTGTAGTTGGTGGTTCTGTTGTTGTTGTAGTTGGTAGTTCTGTTGTTGTAGTTGGTGGTTCTGTTGTTGTAGTTGGTGGTTCTGTTGTAGTTGGTGGTTCTGTTGTTGTAGTTGGTGGTTCTGTTGTTGTAGTTGGTGGTTCTGTTGTTGTAGTTGGTGGTTCTGTTGTAGTTGGTGGTTCTGTTGTTGTAGTTGGTGGTTCTGTTGTTGTTGTAGTTGGTGGTTCTGTTGTTGTAGTTGGTGGTTCTGTTGTTGTAGTTGGTGGTTCTGTTGTAGTAGGTGGTTCTGTTGTTGTAGTTGGTGGTTCTGTTGTTGTAGTTGGTGGTTCTGTTGTTGTTGTAGTTGGTGGTTCTGTTGTTGTAGTTGGTGGTTCTGTTGTTGTTGTAGTTGGTAGTTCTGTTGTTGAAGTTGGTGGGTCTGTTGTTGTTGTAGTTGGTGGTTCTGTTGTTGTAGTTGGTGGTTCTGTTGTTGTAGCTAGTGGTTCTGTTGTTGTAGTTGGTGGTTCTGTTGTTGTAGTTGGTGGTTCTGTTGTTGTAGTTGGTGGTTCTGTTGTTGTTGTAGTTGGTGGTTCAGTTGTTGTTGTTGGTGGTTCTGTTGTTGTTGTTGGTGGTTCTGTTGTTGTAGTTGGTGGTTCTGTTGTTGTTGTAGTTGGTGGTTCAGTTGTTGTAGTTGGTGGTTCAGTTGTTGTTGTTGGTGGTTCTGTTGTTGTAGTTTGTGGTTCTGTAGTTGTAGTTCGTGGTTCAGTTGTTGTTTTTTGTTGTTCAGTTGTTGTAGTTGGTGGTTCAGTTGTTGTAGTTGATGATTCTGCTGTTGGTTGTGGTGGTTCTGTTGTTAATGTTGTTGCACTTTCCTCCAACTTAGAAGTTGACGCTGTATACTGTGACGTCAGTATCGACATTAAAGTGCTGAATTCAGGTATCGCAGACGTCTTTTGTGTACTCGACTCCTGCATTAACTCACTAGTCGTTTTAATGGTATCGTCGTTGACTCCGTCAAGCTTTATCTTGAAGCCCTTTTTCGATACTATAGAGTCGGATATAAAAGTTATAAAAATAGCTGACCCGGAAGTTATAACCTCCTTCTGAATGATTCTCCCACAGTAGCGTCCAAGCGAGTTAGATTGAGGGCTTGCACCGTCATACACAATGACGTAATCGTACGAGCAATTGAAGTTTCCTTCCGTTTCAAAGTCCAGTATGGACAAAATAATTTTCTGTCAAAGTGAGAAAAATACAGGATTGTTATTTATGATATCTGCCTGTAGAGCTATAGTTTACTAGAGTAAAGACCAACTCATGTTTTGAAACTTTAGATCAGCAAAGAATTTCTAACCAACATTTTTCGGGAAAGGGGGGGGGGGGCGGAAAATAGTAAAAATGTATGTTTGCTATATAAAATCCATCTCGTTCGGTGGGGGGGGGGGGGGGTGGGGGCGATATAGTGGGCATAGTGCTGACTACAGCATCCCTTCATATGAAGAGTTAAGGACACATGAAAATGAACTCTACTTCATCTGCACTCAATCACTCTCCCCTATGCCGAGACTGTCAGCTGACCAACTATTGACTGACGTACTCTGTTAGCAGCTGTAAACACGGCCATGTGGCAGTCCATGTTGAGCGGGTACAAGCCCAGCTGGTAGCCCGGGCTTGTGAGGACCAATGGGCTGTTGTCTAAGTAGTCCACCGTCGACTGGCATAGTACGGCCTCGCTGATTGGCTGGATGGTGGCGGCCATGCTGGGCGAGCTCGTTTCTGAAAATAATAAAAAAATTGGATCAAGAACCGGCGGAACTAGATGTAACAATCCTTGCTAAATTTGTAGGGGAGGGGTCCGAGGGGGTGGGAGACAATGATTTCTTGACTAGCGGCTAATTAGCCCGATTTACCTCCACGCGTTATTAATTTAAACTTCAATGCTATATTAGCAGTACGATGAACATTATATCTGGAGTATTTTAACATTGCCGAATAAACCTTGTCGCTATAATGTTCGGTCCTAAAAAAAAACACCTAAACAAAAATCCCCCTAGACTAACCTCCCTCACCCCATCTCCGCGCAGTATTTCTTTCAGGCATCTCTTTAGAGAGACATTCCTTCCCCACCCGGAAGATCGCCCCCCCCCCTTCTGAACGAAATATAATTTATTCAGGAAATATTTACTATTACCAGTGTCCACCCTCCCACCCCCAAATGAGAAAAAAAGACTGAAAGAAACACAGCCTCCGCGAAGAACAACCTCGCCGTATGATTACCATAACCCCCCAATCCGCTTGAAGTATTCCCTAAACATACAACCATGTGTTGCGCAACATCCTGCGTACGCCCACTCGCAGCGTGGGAGGGGGATTAGAATATCACATTAGTTTTGTTACAGTTTTATATAAACTTCTTCATTGCAAACCAGTGATGTATAACGCATGTATCAAATTTCCGACAGCTTGCCATTATTTGTCAATCACTGACGTAAACCCATGTATCAAATTGTAGGCATCTTTTAATCACTGACGTAGAATCCCATGTATCCAGTAGCCGACAAAGAAAATCTTGCGACATACGTACAGGGTCTCCCGCCTCTTCACGTCATCCTGATCTCATGAGCTCGTTTGTCATGCGACATGCGGACCTCCAGGACATCTTTTATATTAATTATCATGTATAACGTTAGGATGTTACTAATTCTGGAGGTGGGAAATTTTTTTTTATTGAAACACGATAGCACACAAGTTATCGTGTTTACAGACATACAAACACACACAGAGATACACGAACAGAATTGCAAAACCCAGTTTTTCAGACTCGAATAAGCATAAAACGACGAAATTTTGATAAATGTGGATTTATAATTTTTTGCCCGATTAAAATAAGTCCCTTATACTCCTTATGTGATGAAGTAATGAGGTGTAAAACTGTGAAAACTGTCAACATTTCATGTGATTTTTGTGCACGATTACAATACTTCCTCTATACTCTGTATACGAGAAAGTAAAAAAGTTTACCAATTATTGCAAAATGTATGTTCTACCACCTCTGAAAAAATTTACCAATCACTGTAAGATGTGTGACCTACCACTTCTGTAAAAATGTACCATTCAACGTAAATTGTACACACACCTAGAGCTTCAATCTTCATCATGAACCCCGCCTGTGTCTGTATGTCCTTTGATGAAAAGGTCAAGGCTATAAAGTACTCGGTCGTCTGCAAACTGTCACCACGTCTGCGGCCACAGAACCTGCCAATGCGGCCAGATTTTGACGAGAGTTCCAGCCAATCCAAGGAACAGTCGTCGCTCTCGGGGAGATTCAGGTACTCCAGGGTGAGGCTTAATACCTGGGGGAAGATGGTCAAAATGTGAAAACGAGGCTCTATAGCTGGGGGAGATGGTCAAGATGTAGTAACAAGGCTCTACGTCTGGGGGGGGGGGTCAAGGTGTGAAAACCAGACCAGGATCAAACCCAAAGCGGGCATTTAAAGAAAGCCAATAGTTACTATTTTTACCAGTACAACTTTACTAACCCTGGCGCTAACCAACAAACCAGTGTTTCTTCCAGACTTTTTTTCTCCGGGGGGGGGGGGGGACTTGATATTTTCCGGGGGTTGGGGGCGGACACTAGTAAAAGTATATTTTTACTATATAAATTCCATCTAGTTCGGGGGAGGTAGACTTTCTTCGGGGGGGGGGGGGGGAAGCAATAAACTGCCTGTACGACAGTCCTGATCTTAAACATAATCCTGATCTTATCACGGATTTAATCGTAACCCTTAATCTAATTGGTTCAGTCAAACTTAGTTGGGTTTGGCGTTCTTTTCCAAAAATGAAAGTTTAAAAATAGTATTAGATTTGTGTTTGGTGGAACAGCTCGCACCTCTGCTGATACAGGTATACATCTTTTCTTGTTGAAAACTAAATTTGATTAACTATCCAGTTCAACATGTCAGACAGGTAGAGTTATGGTTAAGACAAGGGGTGGGTGTCTAGGGGTGGGTTAAGATTAGGGGTGGGTGTCTAGGGGTGGGTTAAGACAAGGAGTGGGTGTCTAGGGGTGGGTTAAGACAAGGGGTGGGTGCCTAGGGGTGGGTTAAGACAAGGGGTGGGTGTCTAGGATTGGGTTAAGACAAGGGGTGGGTGTCTAGGGGTGGGTTAAGACAAGGGGTGGGTGTCTAGGGGTGGGTTAAGACAAGGAGTGGGTGTCTAGGGGTGGGTTAAGACAAGGGGTGGGTGTCTAGGGGTGGGTTAAGACAAGGGGTGGGTGTCTAGGGGTGGGTTAAGACAAGGAGTGGGTGTCTAGGGGTGGGTTAAGACAAGGGGTGGGTGTCTAGGGGTGGGTTAAGACAAGGGGTGGGTGTCTAGGGGTGGGTTAAGACAAGGGGTGGGTGTCTAGGGGTGGGTTAAGACAAGGGGTGGGTGTCTAGGGGTGGGTTAAGACAAGGAGTGGGTGTCTAGGGGTGGGTTAAGACAAGGGGTGGGTGTCTAGGGGTGGGTTAAGACAAGGGGTGGGTGTCTAGGGGTGGGTTAAGACAAGGAGTGGGTGTCTAGGGGTGGGTTAAGACAAGGGGTGGGTGTCTAGGGGTGGTTTAAGACAAGGGGTGGGTGTCTAGGGGTGGGTGTCTAGGGGTGGGTGTCTAGGGGTGGATGTCTAGGGGTGGGTGTCTAGGGGTGGGTTAAGACAACGGGTGGGTGTCTTGGGGTGGGTTAAGACAATGGGTGGGTGTCTAGGGGTGGGCTAAGACTCGGGGTGGGTTAAGACAAGGGGTGGGTGTCTAGGGGTGAGTGTCTAGGGGTGAGTGTCTAGGGGAGGGTGTCTAGGGGTGGGTTAAGACAAGGGGTTGGTGTCTAGGGGTGGGTGGCCAATGCACAACCACTTCGACCACCGGAACAGATTCTATCAATCTAAAAATTGGAATCTCATACATAAGCTAATAAAAATAATTATATACGCATGCGCAGGACAATGAATTTAATAATAAATTTGATTGGTCTGCTAGAAATAGCGAAGTACGAATAGCCTTCTGAGGGCTATTTAGAGTAAAATACCAATCACTCTCTTTATCTTTGCTCTACAAATAAAGACTTGCTGTTTTAAAACAGACGCAACAAGGGATTTTCTCTAAGTCATGGGATTCTCGTAATTTACCGTTAACATAGCATTTAAAAATGTTATTAAATGTTGTTGTTCGTTCTGAGTGGGAGGATGGAGAAATATCTAACAATGCTAGATCTATATAATAAGGGTACCGGTGGTGTTTTAAGCTTAATTTGAATAGGGTGTTTGTATAAAATATCACACATTTGTATTGTGTAAAAAAAATTAACACTACCACCGGCTGTTACAACACAATCTTCATTACAGTGCAGTGCAATGAGCAGGTTTACATACGAGTTGTTGTTTTAATACGTATGGAGCAGGGGCGTAGCGAGGGGGGGGGGCGGGGGGTGCGGACCGCACCGGGTGACACCATTTAGGGGGGTGACACCAAGGCAAAAAATAGCAAAATATATAGAGAAAAACTTGAGGGGAGGGGTGCAAATCGAAAGTTCGAGGGGGGGTGCAAATCGAAAACTTGAGGGGGGTGCAAATCGAAAGTTTGAGGGGAGGGGGGGGTGACAAATCGAAAACTTGAGGGGGGGTGCAAATCGAAAGTTTTGAGGGGGGGGTGCAAATCGAAAATTTGAAAGTTTGTCCCCGGGAAGGGTCGCTACGCCTCTGGGGGGGGGTGACACCATTAAGTGCCGCACCGGGTGACACCCGACCTCGCTACGCCACTGGTATGGAGTAATTAAAACACGGTCCTGACACACTCCAATATGAGCTGCGTCACGAGAATACTGACCTCGTTTATTAACACATGACACACTCACCTTTTGTTTGCCCGTTACGACCACCATGTCGCATCTATTCGTCAGCGGGCGACTATTGGTCAGTCCTGGCGAGGCTATAAACACGTGACCGCCGTCAATACGATAAATCACGTGACTACATATATCCACCAATGGGATTGAAGAACTAATTAACTCCTGGACTTCACTTGCAGTCACCGAAGAGCCAGTGGTCGTAGAGGATGTTGCTGATTGGTTGACCCAAGGGAAGCTACTCTGGCTTGTTGATGAACTTTTGTTTGGTGAGTTAGGGGTCATTTCCGGGATTGTTCCCAATTCAGGATGTGATGATGTGGATGTATATGCTAGGGTGTATGTTGAAGTGTAGGCGACATCAGCAGAAGAATGGAGTGGATATGCAGGTGTGGATGGTAATGGTGATGGTGATGGTGCGCCAGGTTCTGGGCTAGCTGGCTCTGACATCACCACTGGTACAGATGGCGACACTGTAGAGTGTTGTAGGTCGTCTGCTAATGTTGTATGTTGTAAATTGTCATCTGCTGTTGTATGTTGTATATCATCTGCTAATGTTGTATATTGTATATTGCCTGCTGTCGTTGTAGTTTGAATATCATCTACTGTTGTATGGTGTATATCGTCATCTATTGTTGTATAATGTATATTGTTTGCTAATGTTGTATTTTGAATATCGTCTGCTAATGTTGTATGTTGTATATCCTCTGTAGTGCTTGTTTGTTGTACATCTTCTGCTGCTGTAGTTTGTTGCATATCTTCTGCTGCTGTCGATTCGTGTACACCATTGGCCGACCTAGCAGCCGCGTCAAGCCCCGCCTGACCTATAGATGGCGACACCAGAGTGGAAACACTGCTATATCCGGGCGTCTCGGTGTTTACAGTCGTTGGGGTATTTACACCAACCGGTGTGGATCTCTCCACAAAAACTATCCGAAACCGAAACCCCCTAGCCTGTACCATAGCATCCGATGTAAACAGAACCAGCTTTGAAGTCTGCAGACGCAAGGGTTCGGGCAGGGTTTTACCACAAAACTTGCGCCGGAAATCGGGGTTGGCCTCTTCCCCATCCATCACTTGCAGACTATCGTAGCTGCATGTCGTTTGGTATTCTATGTCCAAGGCCGAGAACTCTAGCACCGCTTCCTGCAAGTGAAGATAATGAAAAGTCAGAAAACATAAAAGCATATTTCATGAATAAATTATTTTAAAAAATTGGTCAACCGTCGTCTCTATTAAGTGTATCATTCTCGTAAATCTTTATTCGATAGAAATTAATACCCACCAAAAGATGAAGGTTTTAAACTGTGAATAAAACAGCTATGATACAACCATAATACAGCTAGATTTGGAGTTTATCGAGCGTACGATATACGCTTCGTTTAGCTGCAGTAATAAAAATTACAATTCTAAGTCGCAAGTCATACACTGACATTAATAAAATTAAAATTCCAAGTAGCAAGTCATAAACTGACATTAGTAAAATAAAAACTCTTGATGCGTAATGTTAAATCTCATGTATCATAAATAAAACCATAAACTAATGTATACAATATTGTAAACCGATGTATGATAACATAACATTATGCATAACAACATAAACTAATGTATGACATGGGAAATTGGTGGATGCGGAGTACTAAACAAAGGATTGTGTAACGCGAAAAACGTTGGCATAACATAACTGATGTATGACATCCCAAACATGAACAAATGATGTGTGATATTCCGGTGTGTAACATCCCAAACATGAACAGCTAATGTGTAACATCCCAAACATGAACAACTGACGTGTCACATCCCAAACATGAACAACTGATGTGTCACATCCCAAACATGAACAACTGATGTGTGACGTCATCCACTACCCCCCCCCCCCCCCCCAACTCACCTGTCGCCAGTCAACCATGACAATCCACCTACAGACCATGTTGGCCGAGTAAAACGACCCCCCTGAAAACCCCGGACTCTCCAGGCTCATGTTAGTGCGGACGATGAAGGGGAACTGACCACAGGACACCAGGGACCTGCTGATGGACTGGTCAGTGGAGGTGGGGTCAAGTTCTTTCTGACCTTGGCCGCTGCTTTCTGCAATAGAAGCATGTGTGATAAGACATTGAAACTCTGATGATTAATTTAAAATGTGTTGTTAAAATTCTCTACGTGAAAATACGTTAATTGAAATGAATGGCAAATGGCCATGTCGATGAATAATTATAAAATAAAAGTTTGAAAACAGTTTGCTAAACACATGTTTAAATTTGATAACAATTTGCTTTTGTTTTTAATGATATATACTCGTAGCTCATGTTTAATAATCAATGTAAAATTAATACCAAGCGATCGTCCCTAACAATAACTTGACTTTTGTGATTTACATTGGTGTGACACTAATAAGGAGTTAACAATAAGGCCTAATTAACACACAAAAAATGTCTAATCTGGAATTACCAATATGAAGGTCTCATTAAAAATTGGCCAATAAGAAGGTCTAGTGAAAAATTACAAATACAAAGGTCTTATCCGGAGTTACCAATAAGGTCTAACCATGAGTCTAAAATGTCTAATCAAGAATTACTAATAAGATCTAATCAGGAGTCACTAAGAAGGTATGATGGTCTATTTAGGAGTCACTAAAAAGATCTAACCAGAAGTCACTAATAAGATCTAATCATGAGTCACTAATAAGATCTAATCAGGAGTTATGTACCAGACTCACCTGACAGCTTCACTCGAACTTTGAACCCACGCTTCTGAACGATGACGTCAGACGTGAACCTCAAGCAGAAGTAAGTGCTCGCCGAGGTAAAACGGTCCGGGATCGAAACCCCGCAGAACATCTGTGGCGTCAGGAACTCGCATGACGTGGTGTCAACCAGCAGACGATCAAACAAACAGCTGGTCTGGAACTCCAGCTCGAAGTCCAGAAACTCGGCTTGCAGCGACTGTAGGGTTAAATAGATTTTAATGGTGCAGGAACTGGAGGGTTAAGGATATTTTAATGAAGTGCAGGAACTGGAGGGTTAAGGATATCTTAATGGCTTGCAGGAACTGGAGGGTTAAGGATATTTTAATGAAGTGCAGGAGCTGGAGGGTTAAGGATATCTTAATGACTTGCAGGAACTGGAGGGTTAAGGATATTTTAATGAAGTGCAGGAACTGGAGGGTTAAGGATATCTTAATGACTTGCAGGAACTGGAGGGTTAAGGATATTTTAATGAAGTGCAGGAGCTGGAGGGTTAAGGATCATTTAATGAAGTGCAGGAGCTGGAGGGTTAAGGATAATTTAATAATTCGACTTGCAGGGACTGGAGGGTTAAGGATATCTTAATGGCTTGCATGAACTGGATGGTTAAGGGTATTTTAATGGCTTGTGGGAACTAGAGGGTTAAGGATATTTTAATAACTTACAGGAACTAAGGATTAATGATATCTTAATGACATGCACGAATTGGGGAGGGGGGTGGGTTAAGGATATTGTAATGAGTTACAAGTACTGAAGGGTTGAGGATATCTTAATGACTTGCACAAATTGGAGGGTTAAGGATTTCTTAATGACTTACAGGAACTGAAGGGTTAAAGATATTTTAATGACTTACAGTAACTGAAGGGATTAAGAATTAAGATATTTTAATGACTTACAGGAACTGGAGGGTTAAGTATATTTTTAATGAAGTACTAGAACAGTAGTGTTAAGAATAATTTAATGACTTGCAGGAACTGGAAGGTTTAGAGGGTTTAGATATTTATTAAAATATCTAAACTATCGAGTTCCACACAAACGTCTAACAAGGGGAGACAACTACGATCAAAGTTAGATAACTTACCATGTTAGAAGGGGAGATAAACGTCCACTGGCAGGCGGCATTTTTCGGATATTCCGTGCCATGTCCTAGAAAATACTAACTTCTGTTACACAATCAAAATACCATGGCTAATTAGGCTTAAAAATATCTTAATTAACAGGGTTTTAGCATGAACTGAATCTTAATTGCTCGACATAACACGAATATTTAACATGGACTGGATATTGTAACTTTTAAATTGCAAAATAATGTTTTATCCGTACTACATATTTTACCTGGGCTGGATATTGTTACTTGATATATAAGAACTATTTAACCTGGACTGGATATTTTACTTTAAATAAAAGAATTATTTAACCGGGACTGGATATTATTACTTTAAATAACAGAACTAATTAACCTGGACTGAATATTGTAGCTTTAAATAAAACAACTATTTTACCTGGACTGGATATTGTAATTTTAAATAAAACAACTATTTTACCTGGACTGGATATTGTAACTTTAAATAAAACAACTATTTTACCTGGACTGGATATTGTAACTTTAAATAAAACAACTATTTTACCTGGACTGGATATTGTAATTTTAAATAAAACAACTATTTTACCTGGACTGGATATTTTAACTTTAAATAAAACAACTATTTTACCTGGACTGGATATTTTAACTTTAAATAAAACAACTATTTTACCTGGACTGGATATTTTAACTTTAAATAAAACAAATATTTTACCTGGACTAGATATTGTAACTTCCTGTTTGTCCAGACTAAGTGTGTAAATGCCGCCACATGATTGGGCTGCCGCTGAACCTTAGAAATGTGATACAAGTAGTGTGATCAATAAATCAATTAATTAGTTCATTAATCAATCAGTCTGTAATTAAATCTTTGAGATATTAATACCGACACGTATATATATATATATATATATATATATATATATATATATATATATATATATATATATATATATATATATATATATATATATATATATATATATATCTTCGTGCCTAATTCCATTTGTTATTTCGTCCGTTTATTCCTGACTTTATACCAGATTGTCCAAATGTGTGTCCCTATTCTATTTTCCCAATGTTCGATTCTTATAATAAATAAATGTCTCCGTAATGCAGCAAAAAAAAAATAGAAGTAAAAAAACTTACAGCTACCGGCCATTAATGGTAAAAAAAAAACACTAATACCATCAAGAACAAAAACTACTTACTTTTACTAGCAGTATAAAAACTTTAAAATGAAACTTACTAATATCAGCAGTATAGAATGCCCTTTACAAGCAGTAAAAACACATTCTAACAAGCAGCAAAAAAAAAAAAAAAAAAAAAAAAACAACTTACTAGCCGTCAGCGCCAACAGCGCACACGTCCAACACACAAGCGTCATGTCCATCATCCCTAACACCGCTGACCATCATGTGAGCTGGACAACACGACATCCAGCATCAGATGCTGGACTACACCTCTACTCCAACACCCTCAGTCTCACTACAACAAAAATAGATAACCCCTCGCTCTATTTTTTATCATATCTATTGTGGAGGAGTATTAAGGGGGCGGCGTCACTGTCATAACTCCCTATGTCAATATTGCTATATCAGGTCCATTGTACTCCCCAGTCCCTGTACGGTCCCCAGTCCCTGTTCGACCCCACCCCGGATATTTATATTCCTACCCACCCAGTACAGGCCTAGGGTTTAGAACCTGTTTGGGTCTCGGCGTTTTCCCACCTCCTGTATGAAAAAGTTATGGGACATTAATCCGTCGAGTTTGAAAGTAGTTGAACCAAAGTGTTTTGTACTCGGCCCAAAATACGGTATAAAAGGAAAAAGTATTTTATAATTATGTTGATAAAGCATACGTACATAAAAAGACTGAGGTTGGAATGTTTGTGTGTGTAAGTGATCTAAGATTGAGATATGTTTAAGTGGGTGTATACATACAGGACCGTGTTGTTGTTTTTGATGTATGTCGGTGATCGAATTTAAATAAGTGGAAAGGAGACTTATCTAAAGTAAATTTAAATATTGATGCCCCAATACTGAAGCTAGAATATGTTGACAATTTTAAAGCTAGCAGCCTCCAGAAACACAGACATTCTGTTTTCTAGACCTCGGTTTAAAACTAGACGAATCGCAAGTGTTGTTGTTGGTGGTGGTGGTGATGGAGTGTGTAGCGGGATGGGTGGGGTAGAGACAGATTAGGAAAGGTAGAGAAAAATAATCCCTACAGTTCTATTTCCGCCCCTCCCCCACCCCTTATTCTGCTTACCATATAGCAGCACTCGACTGTATATATACACAAATACACACACTTAAATATATTTAGTAAGTTTATATACAACATAAACGTAGTTTTATATAAGCTTAATTAATTCAAATATTGAAATAGACACACCCACATACATACACACACACACACACACACACATATATATATATATATATATATATATATATATATATATATATATATATATATATATATATATATATATATATATATATATATATATATGTGTGTGTGTGTATATATTTATATATATTATCAGTAAGCTTACATAAAACTACATAACTATAGCATTATTGATGTGTTATATCAGCTTAATTTATGCATATATATGCATAGGTATAGTATATATACTTTGTAATGAAGGTATACATACTACACTTAATAACTTTACATAGTAAATCATCAGGTCCATGCTACTATTTACCTACTGTTTACCTACTTTTTACCTGCCGAAGCCACTGTGGTTGTTTATTTTTCCCACCTGTAAACGTCCTTATAAAAACAACAACAAACCCAGAGCCAGGTGTACATACAGAAGACATCCCGACAACATTTGTTTGATTTAATCCATGACGTTAAAAACGTGTCTGATTTAATCCATGACGTTAAAAACGTGTCTGATTTAATCCATGACGTTAAAAACGTGTCTGATTTAATCCATGACGTTAAAAACGTCTGTTCTGACGCTACTACAACAACCCTTGCGTGACACAGTTTGTTGACATAATTTTTTACAGCATAGAGGTGCAAAGAAAATATGTCTGCTAGCTGCTGTGTCTCTTCTGCGATGGTTCTCAAGTGAGAAGTTCGGTGTACTGTCGTCGTGGTGGTGGTGGTGGTGGATTGAGAATAAAATTTCTGTGTTAAGGTTTTGCTCTTTCAGGGGAAATAAGTTAACCTCGGTTTATAGGTTACGTCCCTTACTACTCAAGACAACTGTTTTTTTTTTTTTGTTTTTTTTTTTTTTTTACAAAAGTCACCGTAAAGGGAAAGGTTTTTTTTTTTACTTTCTTTGACTGGTATATTTCAAGTGAACAAAGGAACCCGCATATTTTAACGTGATTCTTCTTTGTTTTATTTTAAAGTCCATTGTTAGTTTTATTTTGTTTCATTATCAGTAGCTCTGCCAATATTAATATTACAAGTTTTTATAAGTCCTGTTGTGTTACATTGTGTGTATTTGTGCTTTTCATTAGAGCCATTCCCAACTTAGTGTACAATGAGATGATCCGAAAACACAGGTGTTAAAAATTTAGATATATGGCTACTTTCATAATTTAAATTTTAAGTACCTGATACTTTGTGTTAGATTGTTACCCTGTTTGGAGAATAATCAGCGTTAACTGCGATACTAGTTTGATGAATATGTAGGTATGGCTTATCCACCATTTAGCAAATCTAGCTACTTTAATTGTACAGAATCCGAGAGTCTCTGTATTATTGCATATAATTTGTGTTGGGATTACGCAAATAGGAAACAGGTTGAGGGGTCAGGCCACAAGAATGGGGGTTGGGATTTAACATTTAAGTGCTGGGCGTATGCAAAATTGAGCTCAAGTGGCTCCAAAAATGTCAGCAGTTGAGTTGAAGCCTTGGTAAAAATAAATGACGCTATTTATTTAAGTTTAGTGCTGTTATTTAAATCTGAAGATGGTTGTATAACAATGTGCTTACAAAACGTAAAAAAAAAAAGATGTTATCTTATATTATTTTAAACCAGCTCGTCCACACGTCACTATCTTAATATTTAATTGTTTATTTAATATACGTAGACTAGATCTAGATTTTCAAGAGTTAAAACACAATATCAAGACGTTATACTTTTATGTTTTAAACTGTCTCACAACTACCATATGCCTGTGAGTTGTTGCGCACCATTGACTGGGGTTATAACATGTCACATAATGTCAGCTTTACGTGGAGGTTAGTCTGACCATTACGGTATATCAACCTCGTGATTTATCAAACTTTGTTGTAGTTCAAAGGAAAACTATTGTCGTTAATCACACCGAAGTAGGCTTTTGCTTGTTATCTATGGTTCAACTGGATTTAACTGGGTTTAACTGGGTTGAACTGGGTACGGTTAAAGTTGTAGGTGGACATAGGATTTTGTGAAATATGTGTTTTGTATGGCCCGGAATTTTAGAGGATTCGCCCACACTTGAGAGATAACAAAAAAATTTCAGTTTTAAATCTGGATTTGCAGGAAACGTCTGTGAGAACAATGTGACGTAGAAAGTCGCTCGCGATGACGAATGACGTCTATGAAAAGCGTTGAAGTGATATTTGTTTTTGTAAACGTAATAAGCATGGGATTGGTAATGTAGTAATTACAGTAAATAAATCTAATTAAATAGAGTTTGTACAAACTATTGAGAAATAATAAAGAGACTGCAAACACAGAAGTATGTTGATTAAATAACATGGTATGACGTCTCCTTTGTGTTGTACAAGAAATATTAGTCTCCATTCCTGTATATCTGCTTGTTTGTCTGCGATTGTGTGAGTGTTATATGCATGTTTGCGAGTATGTATGTGTGTGCGTCTTCGTAAGTATATAAATGTGTTTGTGTGTATGTATATGTGTGTCTTCGTAAGTATATATTGTCTGCGTGTACGTATGTATATGTTACGTATATGTGTGTCTTCGCAAGTATATTTGTGTGTTTTTGCATCTGTATATGTGCGTATATGTATACTTGTATATCTGAGTGTATATGTGTGTCTGTGTGTATATATATGCTAGTCTGTGTTTACCATTTCCTCATAGAGTACGTCTGTCTTCGTGTTCAAGTGTGCTATTTAAAACTTATTGAAAAAAAAACAGGTTTTGAAACACATTCCAGAAAAGAATTAGAGTGTAACCCCACCCTCCCAGTCCCCAACACACCAATAAATACCGTCAAATAGCATGAACCGCGAACAACTACAAAGAAACGTTCTAGCGCGGTATTTAGCTGAACCATGTTTTGTGAAGAGTGCCGTGGTTTTCAATTTAGAAGAGCTCATGCGTCGTCAAGTGGGGCTTTACGTTTCAAGCCATGCAATTCGTTTTTCTCTGGTTGGGTTAAGGTTATAACACTCGTGGGTTATGATTACTAAGTGCAGGGAAATGAAGTGAGAGTGGAGAGGTAAAGAGACCCGACTGGGAAAAGGTACATCAGGATTTGGGTCGTTGATTCGTCCAATAGAGGTCACATGATGGTATGGCGGAATGGTAGCAATAGGCGCTACGTCCTGGTGATATATATATATATATATATATATATATATATATATATATATATATATATATATACATATATATATATACCCATATATATATGCCCACACACACATACACACACACACACACACACATATATATATATTTATTTATTTATTTATTTATATCGTCATATACATGTATATGCCCATATGTATATTATGTATATATACGTATATATATATATATATATATATATATATATATATATATATATATATATATATATATATATATATATATATATATAGATAGATAGATAGATAGATATATATATATGCCCATATATATTACTATGTATATGTATGTATGTGTGGGGAATTGTGTTCACATATTGCATTATATAAGTGTTTTATCCAGTGGCGTAGCCAGGATCGTCTCAAGGGGGGGGGGGGGGGGGGGGGGGGGGGGGGGTTCCAATTTTTACCCGGGGTCAAACTTTCGATTTGCACCCCCCCTCATACTTTTTATATATACCGAGGGGTATATATATATACCCCCCCTAACCCCCCCCCTAACCCCCCCGCCCCCTGCCTACGCCACTGGTTTTATCTATTCATGATGAATACACTTCCATTCATGGGTCGACAGAGTCTAATTGTAAGCTATCAAAAAAATTATTTTATAACATCTAAAAACTTTTTAAATAGACCAGCAAAAAAGTCTTTGAGGACTTTCTTGAACCGAACTAGCTCGGTGAAAGTCGTTCATACGGAACGATGCATATGTTCATGGTTTGTGGAACGCTACATACACCAGTGGCCAGGTAATAAAAAAATCGCCCCACCCCACGCTACCTACCCACCCCCACCACCCTGACTTATTAATTTTCATAGTGCATAGTCTGACTACATTTTCTGTAAAAAGCATCGATTTCTATCCACACAAACACACTTTGTATATCTCAATTGATAGAATGGGAAGACGATAGTCAACAAGTGTTTATATGCTAATCTAGATCTTTTGAGTTGCAACGATAAGCGTGCATTCTGTATGTATATGTCTAGGTCAAATGGGGAAAATAGGACAAAATGAGAACTGGCTGGCTAAATCGGGAACTGGCTGGCCGAATCGGGAACTGGCTGGCTGAATCGGGAACTGGCTGGCTGAATCGGGAACTGGTTAAATTAGCCTACACAGATGTCAATGTGAGCAGTTTCTCGTGCAGAATGGAACTCACTTCTGGTTGATAACAGTTGGTTGATAACACAATACTCTGCTTATAGAAAAAACCCTCGACGTTCAGGAAAATTTCAAGACGTTTCGTGGATCACCGCGACCTCTGACAACATCAGGCATGTAGATGAGTACATGATCTCCAACTTTTAATGGTGGGACTTTGTCAGCTTAGCTTTGAGCATCTTGGCACCTCGAGTTTGCAAACCAGCATGAGCCTGTTTACCTCTTGTTCCTCATTTCTATTTTGTTATTACATAGACTGCAAGAGACTCTTTCTGTATTCTTGATTGCTTACGGTGTGGCCTAGTGGTAGAGCACTAGACTGCTAACAGAAATGTCTCGAGTTCGAATCCGGATTGAAGTCAGTATTACGTCCCTGAGCCCAACATGCTCTAACGGGTACCTAACGCATGTTAGGGAAAGTAAAGGCGGCTAGGCAAAGTACTGTCCACATTATCTCTTCATACGCAGAAGTCACAAAATCAGGTGAACTCTACTTCACTTGCCCCATGGACAATGAGGTTCGAAAAGGGAGCTTTATCCTAGATAGCTTACTCCACAATTTGTGTGGACATCGTTGTCACACTTTTCCCACACACACTACACATAATCTGTCGGCAATTTTACTGTTAAAAAACTGGTCTTGATTTTCCGCCGGCTCATTGGCTTACCACAAAGTCATGCATTAGGCTTCGAATATTGCTTCGGCATTTCCCGGCACTTTGAGAAGTGGCCGGTCAAAATAGCATATACACATATTCAGTTTATTCATGTCCAAATAATTGTTACTCATACTACGATTGTTATGAAAACGATTTGACTATAAGTGTTTTGTTGGCTCAGAACGTTCCAGCAAGAACGAAAAAATTTTGTAATTTAAAAAGGGAAAGTAGGCTTGATTATTTCTCTTCCCAATAAATAAACAAAACTTTCAATTTTATGCATTAGGGTTTGATGGTAGGTAGGCTAATTGGTTAATTAAATGAAAAAAATACGCATACGGGGCTGTAAAGGCTAGTTTAAACAATTATTTAAAAGAAAATCTAAGTCCTAATAGGCATACTTCACATTTGTTGTTGGCGGTCCATTGAACTTAACATTCATATTGACGTTAAATACAACTAAGAAATGAATTTAGAGCTAATCAAATAAAATCAGTACAACATGATATCCTCGTTTTAAAACTACATAAGATCAGTGGCGTAGCGAGGTCGGGGGTCACCCGGTGCGGCACTTAATGGTGTCACCCCCACCCCCCCCCCCCCCCCCCCATAGGCGTAGCGACCCTTCCCGGGGACAAACTTTCAAATTTTCGATTTGCACCCCCCCCCCTCAAGTTTTTCTATATATTCTTCTATTTTTTGCCTTGGTGTCACACCCCTAAATGGTGTCACCCGATGCGATCCGTACCCCCCCCCCCCGCCCCCCGCCCCCCCCCCCCTCGCTACGCCTCTGCATAAGATTTGTTGCTAAAAGACATTAAACACTTGGATTTCTTCACAAAGATGTTATCTGTGTCAAATTGGTCGTTTTTTTTAATAGGTTCGTGACGAGTGCAGTATCACAAATGAAACAGTAGGTCACGACAAATGTTGAAACTCGTGACCGTAAGAAATGCATTGGTCAAGCTTTTTAAACGTAACCTATATGTTTAACCGTTGCTGTTGGTTGTTATAAAAGTTGAACATAAAATATTTTGTACAGGATAAACACGAATCCACGATCTGTCTAAATTAGCTCGAGTGCTTTGTGTGTATAGGCCTGGAATCTTAAAATAAAGTTGAAGTGATATAATTTGGTGACGTAGAGTCCAAAACTTTTCTGGTGAATTCGGATATTAATAGGGCTGCTTTGTGGCGTAGGATTAAAAATGTTGATGACGTAGTGTGTAGAATTTGATGACGTAGTGTGTAGAATTTGATCACATAATGAGTAGAATTTCGCGACGTGGTGCTTAGACTTTGATGACGTAGTGTGTAGAATTTGATGGCGTTGTGTGTAGAATTTGATGACGTAGTGTGTAGAATTTGATGACGTTGTGTGTAGAATTTGATGACGTAGTGTTTAGAATTTGATGACGTTGTGTGTAGAATTTGATGATTTAGTGCTTAGACTTTGATGACGTAGTGCTTAGACTTTGATGACGTAGTGTGGACTCTGGACGCACCATGCGACTCGTCCAACATCTGAGAGCCACATGGCAGACGTGGCTGGTTCTTATCCTGCCGGTGCTGCTCTGCCCGATGATTTTTCCGTTTTCTCAGAGAAGTCAGGTGAGCTATTGGTTGAAGTTTTTGTTGTTTTGTGTGTTTGTTGCGTATGTATTTGTTGGTCATCTTTGTTGTGTTTGTATGTTTCTGGTGGTGTCTGTTGTACTTGTTTTTTTTGTTTGTTTTTGTTGCTGTGTTTGTTGGTTTTTGGTTAGGCGTTTTGTGTTAGTTGGTTTGTGGTCATACATGTTGTTTATTGGATTTCGGGCACATGCGTTGTGTTTGTTGGCTTTTGGTCATGTTTGTTGCTTCTCATCTTTGTTGATTGCGCCTATCGCGTCTGAAAGTCGTGTTGTTTTATGTTTTCAAATCGTGTCTGTTTATGCAAGTTATAACTTGATTGTTGCTGACCGTGTTATTGTATTTGTCATTCTGTTTTCACAAGTCCTTAGTGTTGGTCGATCACAAATTAGTGACATAAGACTAATTAAGTGGGGTGGTTTAAATGAGACTAATTAAGTGGGTGGTTTAAATTAGACTAATTAAGTGGGGTGGTTTAAATGAGACTAATTAAGTGGAGGTTTTATACAGGAACTCAAATGCGGCTATGTGGTGGTGTTGATGACTGTTTACTGGATCACCGAGTCACTTCCGCTTCCGGTTACCGCCCTCATCCCCATCGTGTTATTGCCCTTGCTGGGCGTGGTGTCCTCTTCAAGACTTTGTAAAGTATTTTTTGAGGTTCGCCTTTTTTCTTTTTCCATTGAGCTCTACACTTAATTATAAAGACGGATGACAAATGAAAAAAATATGTGGACAATAAGCTGGACTGACTAAAATAAAACTTTTTTTTAGAAGAAAACAGTCATTTCTCAAGACACAAGGGGTATATGAAGTAGAGTTAATCGATGAGGGGATGGTCTGGTCAGAGCTATGCCTAGCCGGCTTTGTTTCCCTAACGTGAGTTGGGTGCTCATCGGGGATTCGAACTCGAGACGTTCGGCCCAGCCAGTTCATTTATACAACGTAATCTTTGTTAAATAAATATCAACTTACGCTAGATCTACATTTACAGGACAATTTTTCTACTGCTACGCCGACATCTACCCAGGTCATTAATGAAATATAAGCTTTGTTAATATCAACTTGCGCTAGATCTATATTTACAGGACATAATTTTTCTACTGCTGGGTGGGATCATCGTTGCCATAGCAATAGAGGAGACTGGTCTCCACAAGAGGTTTGCCCTGAGAATTTTAATGGCCATTGGTGTCCAGCCGAGAAGGTAAACTTTTCATTCTTTGCTAGATAGAAGTGTCAGTTTTTTTTTTTTTTTTTTTTAAATTTTATTTTACAAAGTCTTCTCCTCCGTCATTAATTGTAAAGCTGAATAGAATTTCCTCCAACACAATTACGTGTCAACATGTTATGCGCCATGTAGGACATTAACTCTGAATTCAGCCTGCTTTTCTTTTTCGATTTGCTTCTACAACTTGTATCCACCCAAAAAGAAAGTAAAAGGAAGCAGATTGTGGAGTTTTCTCTCCTACATGGGTTGCTGTCCCCAAATGTCGAGCCTCTTCTCGAGACTTTAGAGCACTCAGACCCCTTTTGCATTTTAGAGTTTCGAGCTATAGTATCAAAAATTCTGATCGAACACTGCGCCTATTTTTTTCTCTTGAGACTTATACTTGGTTGTATCCACTCTTATGTTTCTGTTGGTGTTCGAGTGTTTTATTCTGTTTTATTTCATTCATCGTGGGACAGTGTGGTCAGGTGGTAGAGCGCTCGCCTGCTAGCTCGAGGGCCTTGTTCAGATCTCGGCTCGGACTCAGGCCTGCTGGACATTTCTGGACCTTGTGGCTAGCAGTCGAGCGCTCTACCACATGACCCATGTTGTGGTGTGTATCTATTACGGAAAGTAAAGGCAGCTGGGCATAGTGTTAACTATACCATTCTTTCATGTACCGAGGTCGAGAAACATATGAAATCTACTTCGTCTGCCATTTGGGCCGATAGGCTTGAAAGGGGAACTACTTGTTTCATTGATAATTACTTTCCGGATAGGTTCTTGAGATTTTTATTTCATTGTATTTCACTCATAATTAATACTTTGCTTTGCTTAAGGGACGGAGTGGCTTAGCGGTAGAGAGACGGGCTGCTAACCCGTAAGTCTCGAGTTCGAATCCGGGTTCATGTCAGTAGACCGTTCCTGGGTCTACCCAACTCTGAAGGGTACCCAACTCCTGTTAGGGAAAGTAAGGGCGGCTGGGCATAGTGCTGACCACACTATCTTTTTATATGCCGAGGTCATAAAAACAAGTGAACACTACTTCACTTGCCCCGTAGACCGTCAGGTTTGAAAGAGAACTTTACTTTTACTTACTAATACTTCGCTTGAACTTGAATTTCTTTTAGTCACATGTCACTAATCTTCACAGCTGTTTTCTCCCCTTCCCCCCTTCCCTCCCCTCCCCTCCCTCACCCCCAGGCTGCTGTTCGGCATCATGGTGACCACCGCCTTCATCTCGATGTGGATCAGCAACACGGCCACCACGGCCATGATGATGCCAGTGACGCGAGCCCTGCTGGTCAAGATGTTCGCGACCACTAGGAAGGTCCAGAGTGGCACGGTGTGTCCGGCGGCTGAAGGTCAAGGTCAGACATTGGGTGGGTGGTGACATTTTCAAGGTCAGCTGTGTACACGTTATGTGATAACAGAACAACAATCTAGCGCTGTAATATTTATTTGTAATTTTTAAAAATCTATTTAGAAACTGTGAAATGTGCTCATTACAACAACAAAAACTATTTTAAGAAATTACTGCTATATTTTCATTACAAACATGTTTTTATAAAATATAATATTTTGATTATTAAAACTGATTTTAAAATTGGGGAGTTATTATGTTTTTAAACAATAAATGTTGTAGCAAAATATAACGACACACTCAATAGAGTTCTCTTTGACATGAATTATTTTACAGGTGAAAGTACAAACACCGAAAGGGAGACAATTTTTTATACACAAGTCACAGAGCGAATAACTCCAGGTGTTGATGGGTAAACACTGATGTTACTTTAATGTTTGTTACTTTTTTTATCAACAACACATCAAATTGATTTATTTTATTTAATGAAATGGCGCGGGGTTTTTTTTTTCAATGGTATTTTCAAAATTAAACTATTTCGAATATTCGCGTCTTAAAAACCATTTCTTTTCTGAAAAAAGGAGTTTGTAAAACCAACCGCGTTTCCATCTGCGACATTGACACAACAGTACACGTCTAGAACAGAATAATTTCTCCAGGGGATTACTCACTAATTGATAAGTCGTAAGTGTGAACAAACTTGATGTACTAGCCAAGGTTTTTCTGTTTCTTCAGCACTGAGTATAGCCAGCCAATCAACGGCCTACAAACAATAGAAGATCCGCAGCTCATCACTACCATTGACCAATCGGAAATTTCGGTACTTTCAACATTTCTTCTCGACGAATGTTGATATATATATATATATATATATATATATATATATATATATATATATATATATATATATATATATATATGTATATATATATATATATATATATATATATATATATATATATTCTATTATGTCACTACATGACAGATTTGTTCCAGTCTGTTCCAGTTTGAGTACGTTAAGAGAAATTTTTTTTCACAGCCCGATGGGATTTGAAATTTTAGCATGTTTTTGTGTAGCTAAAATAACCAATGACGTAATAAAATGTGCAGGAGGAATATAAGTGAAGTCCGCGGAACATTTTTAAAGACCAACATCCGATTGAAATGGAATTTATATAGAAAATATATACCTTTAACAGTGTCCGCCCCCCCCCCCCCCCCCCCCCGAAAATTTCAAGTGCCCCTCCGGAGACAAAAGTCTGGAAGAAACACTGAATACGATGTAATGCATGTATTTATATTAATGTCATGAAGTTTTTTTTATGTTGATGTAAAGAAGTTTTGTATGACGATGTAATGAAGATGTTTATATCAATGTAATCAAGGTGCTTATGTCTATGTATCGATGGTATTTATGACAATGTAATGAATGTATATATTAATACTAATGTAATATGTAAAGTGTATTTGTTTAATAATTGATGTTTTTATTTCTCGTATACTAAGCTTGCATTTATTGACAGACAAAAGCGTTAACATTGGGGTAGCAGTAAAGAACTTGTTGACACACTGAAATGTTATTAGTAGCGTCATTTTAAAAAGTTTGTGCTTGTTAACTGACGCGCATGATAGATCATACGTTGTCCCCGCCCGGTAGAGTTTGCGTCAGCATAAAATGGGGCCACGAAGTGCGGTAAGCCGCTTCAAAACCGCAACAAAAAATTGAAAGGGTTTTATCGGTGTACGAGTCCTGTTTTACTACCATTAGTACTATCCGAGGTTTTTAGTCCTAGGCTATAAATGGAGAGGAATAGAGGGGGGGGGGGGGGGGATTTCATTGATGAGGTTATAGCGATCTGTGATGTCTTAAATTAAGCAAAGTTTTTATTTTAAAATTTACAAATACTACAGTTATTTACAACAAGACTAATTTGATTGGTTTAATTAATTTACTGATTAGATAGGAGTTTTAATTAGACTGAATTTTTGGCACGTCTGTTTAAAAGGAAAAATATAAAGTCTTTTGGTGGCAAAGTGTGACTATGTGTGTAACGAAACCTAACAAAGTATGAAGGAATGTGACAAAGTGTGACGAAATTTGACGAATTTTAAGGAATTTGGCGAAACGTGACAAAGTATGACGAAATGTGACAAATTGTGGATAAATGTGACGAAATGTAACAAAGTGTGACGAAATGTAACAAAGTTTGACGAAATTTGACAAAGTGTGACAAATTGTGACACAATATAACTACGCGTAATACAGACTAAATTGTGTATACAATGTTTCTTCCAGCATTTTTTCTCCCCCCTCCCCCCCCCCCCCCCCCCGCGAAGAGGTGCCTGGAAAAAACTCTGTGTGTATGTTTTTGATTTGGCTGACCTCTGTGCTCTCATCTTCCACAATATCTGACCACTGCAGAAACCCAGCACTTCGGCAGACACAGAGGACGACGATGACCAATTGAGCAACCTTGACCCCGAGAGCTTGTCCACCTAACATGGTCTTCAGTCGCACGGTGGCCGAGTGAGTGGTCGTAGGTGGAATGTGAAGGTGGTATTCAGGGAGGGTGGTATTATGGGAGGGTGGTATTCATAGTGGGTGGTATTCATAGTGGGTGGTATTCAAAGAGGATTGTATTCAGGGAGGGTGGTATTCAGGGAGGGTGGTATTCAGGGCGGGTGGTATTTAGGGAGGGTGGTATTCAGGGGAGGGTGATATTCATAGAGGGTGGTATTCAGGGAGGATTGTATACAGGGAGGGTGGTATTCAGGGAGGATTTTATACAGGGAGGGTGGTATTTAGGGAGGGTGGTATTCAGGGAGGATTGTATTCAGGGAGGATTGTATACAGGGAGGGTGGTATTTAGGGAGGGTGGTATTCAGGGAGGATTGTATTCAGGGAGGATTGTATACAGGGAGGGTGGTATTCAGGGAGCGTGGTATTCAGGGGAGGGGTAGTATTAGAGGGGGTGGTATTCAGGGAAGGTTGTATTCAGGGAGGGTTGTATTCAGGGAGAGTGATATTCAGGGAGGGTGGTACTTAGGGGAGATGGTAATCATGAAGTCCAGTATTCTTGGGATGCAGGTGAAAAAGGAAAGGGTTGTGTTCGTAGGACAAATGTGAGGTAAGGGTGGTATTTGGGCATTGCGAAATTCGAAGGGCTGTACCGCCCTCTTCCCCCCCCCCCCCGCCCCTGAACGAAATTAAATGTATATTGAAAATATATACTTCAAACAGTATCTTCCCCCCCCCCCCCCGGGCAGTTTCATGTACCCCTGCCTGTAAGAAACACTGGATGGTGTGAGTAAAAAAGTAAAGTTCCCGATCCAAACCTGACAGTCTAGGCGGCAACCGAATTGGATTGTGTGAGTCGTTAAAACAGGAGATTAATACACAGCAACAAAACATCCCCGGCTCTACTTATTTTTTGTTTCTATTTTGTCTACGCGCGCAGCATGACGCGTGAACCGGTCGTGACGTTCGCATCGTGGATGACGTTTGGATTTCCCACGGCTTTCCTCATCCTCATCGCCTGCTATTTTTGGATGTGTATTTCGGCTTTTGGATACAGGTGACGTCACTCAATAAAATGATAGTTTGAGTAATGTTTATAACAAGGTGTTAACATTTTTAATGATGAATAGCCAATAAGATATTATTAGATCTAGGGGAGGTAAAATGTAGTTTTTTTTAAACGTGTAAATATACAGCAGTTACTTCCCTTTGACCGCTAAACCGCAGATGTTTTCCTCCTAATAATGAAGATATGTGGTGGTTATAGAGTCATAAATCTAATTGAAAGAATTGCTTGCTTTCTATGTCCAGTTTAAAAGTAAAATGAATTTTCACCCCACATTCTGACTTCACATAATCTGTATCACGTGATATTTGCAGACGAATCTTGAAGTGCGAGACAATGGTGACGTCAGATGAAGTGAAGCGGATGAAGCAGACGATACAGGGAGAGTACAGCAGACTTGGAAACATTAAGTGGGTTGGTGAGATGTAACGGTAGGGGGGTAGTGGTGCTGTAATGAGGTGGGCTGGTATGGGGTTAACTGTGTAATGAGATGGGTGGGTGGGTGGGAGGGGGGTTAATGATGGTGTAATGAGGTGGGTTGGTGGGGTGAATGGTGGTGTAATGAGATGGGTGGGTGGGTGGGAGGGGGGTTAATGATGGTGTAATGAGGTGGCTTGGTGGGGTGAATGGTGGTGTAATGAGATGGGTTGTTGGGGTGAATGTTGGTGTAATGAGATGGGCTGGTGGGGTGAATGTTGGTGTAATGAGAGGGGTTGTTGGGGTGAATGGTGGTGTAATGAGATGGGTTGTTGGGGTGAATGTTGGTGTAATGAGATGGGTTGTTGGGGTGAATGTTGGTGTAATGAGATGGGCTGGTGGGGTGAATGGTGGTGTAATGAGATGGGTTGTTGGGGTGAATGTTGGTGTAATGAGATGGGTTGTTGGGGTGAATGTTGGTGTAATGAGATGGGTTGTTGGGGTGAATGTTGGTGTAATGAGGTGGGTTGGTGGGGGGTGAATGTTGGTGTAATGAGGTGGGTTGGTGGGGGGTGAATGTTGGTGTAATGAGGTGGGTTGGTGGGGGGTGAATGTTGGTGTAATGAGATGGGCTGGTGGGGTGAATGGTGGTGTAATTAGGTGGGTTTGTGGCGGGGGGGAAGTTAATGTTGGTGTAATGAAGTACTTTGGTGAGGGTTAATGGTGATCAACAGGAATGTGTCGGTAGGGGTTGTAATGAGATAGGTTAATGATTGTTCATGATTTAGTTTGGTTAATGAAAAGGTTAATAGCAAAGAGATACAATCGATTTACTGTTGTATGAAAACACAGGTTTCCGCCTTTGATCTTCGTCAGATTGAAACTACTATAAATACATCTAAGTGTGTTATTTTTCAATACTTCAAACTGTCGTACTTCCAAGGCTTTATCTTTAACCTGATTGACATACCTGCGGCAGGTTCAGCGAGGTGATCGTCCTCCTTCACTTCTTTGCCCTGGTGGTGCTGTGGATGTTTCGGTTCCCTGGCACCTTCCCTGGGTGGGCAACGTTCTTCAAACCCAGGCATCTGCAAGTTTGTATGTCGATATGTATCTGCACGTTTGTATGTCGATAGATATCTGCATGTTTGTATGTCGATAGGTATCTGTAAGTTTGTGTGTCTATATGTATCTGCATGTTTGTATGTCGATAGGTATCTGTAAGTTTGTATGTCGATAGGTATCTGCATGTTTGTATGTCGATATGTATCTGCAAGTTTGTATGTCGATAGGTATCTGCAAGTTTGTATGTCGATAGGTATCTGCATGTTTGTATGTCGATATGTATCTACAAGTTTGTATGTCGATAGGTATCTGCATGTTTGTATGTCGATATGTATCTGCAAGTTTGTATGTTGATATGTATCTGCATGTTTGTATGTCGATATGTATCTGCAAGTTTGTATGTCGATATGTACTGCAAGTTTGTATGTCGATAGGTATCTCCATGTTTGTATGTCGATATGTATCTGCACGTTTGTATGTCGATAGATATCTGCACGTTTGTATGTTGATAGGTATCTGCACGTTTGTATGTCGATATGTATCTGCAAGTTTGTATGTCGATATGTATCTGCATGTTTGTATGTCGATATGTATCTGCAAGTTTGTATGTCGATATGTATCTGCAAGTTTGTATGTCGATATGTATCTGCAAGTTTGTATGTCGATATGTATCTGCACGTTTGTATGTGTATGATACTGCCAGTGGTGTAAGCTTACAGAGTGTTTGTATGTCGATATGCACCTGCAATTTTGTATGTCGATATGTATCTGCAAGTTTGTATGTCGATATGTACCTGCAAGTTTGTATGTCGATATGTATCTGCAAGTTTGTATGTCGATATGTATCTGCAAGTTTGTATGCCAGCATATGTGCATGTATATGCGATGGAATTGTCAAGGGTTAGTTTGGTCTAGTCGAGTCAATATAATGAACCGAAGTCTGGCTAAGACAGGTACATGTAATATAAAATGAGACAATCGCTTTAGCATTATAGTGTTCCACATTTCTTTCATATAAATTGTAAGCGTACAGACTTTACAATGTTACTGCTATTGTAAGCTTACATAGTTTACAATGTTACTGCCAGAGGTGAAAGCTAAAGACTAAATTTCACCATGGCATACTGAAAACTGTTTAAATAAACCAGGAGTGATCTCCCCTAAATTTTCTCCAATATTCTTATATGAAACAACAAAGGATGGCAACTCGGGATATAGGCATGATTTTAAATCAATTTTAATTACTTAAACTTTTTACAATAGAATAAAATCTCATAGAAAAAAGAATTGCTCACCAAGTAAACGCCAAATAAAATGTGCATAATAGTGCGGAATATTATTAGTACTTTATAAATTCACATGCGTTTTTTGAGAAATAGGAAATAGTGTAAATTACTACTTCTGATCAACGGAAATTACTCAAAATATTAAAGAAGGCAGAGAATTAGATCTTTTACTTCTATGTGAAATTTCATTTATCTATCTTAAATAGTACTCAAGCTATAGGCTTTTGAAAAATTGAAAGTAGAAAAAGTACCACTTCCGGTTATCGGAAATCGCTCAAAAGTTGATACGGATCTACGATTTTGATATAATGCTTATATATGAGATTTCATCAACCTAGTTGTAACGGTACTCAAGTTATCGTGTTTACAGACACACACACACAGACACACATACACACACAGACATACGGACAAGAGTGCAAAACTATGTTTTTCCGACTCATGGAGCTGTAAAACGTCGAGATTTGCAAAAATCTCGATTTCTTTATTTTTTTTTTTACACGATTATAAGACTTTCTAAAAAATGTAGATACAAGTATTGACTATTACAAATATATATATATATATATATATATATATATATATATATATATATATATATATATATATATATATATATATATATATATATATATATATATATATATATATATATATATATACATATATATATATTAAGGCCTACATATAGACATTTATATATATTTGTAATATTCAATATAACAAATATAATTATTAAACGGTGTAAAGTGTACACACATTGTCTTGAAAATCAGCCTTCGCATAAAGAATTTAAAATAACCAAGGGATACAACTTCAGTCATTTTCGAAAAGTTGATCAAACTAGAGATAAATACTATAGTAACAAATTTTTAAATGCGATTCATTCTTTATTACTGTATTTAAAATAGATATTAAATATTATTGATTATCTTTTCATTTTGATAAATTTTAGAATTATAATTTTACTTCGCTTTAATTTACGAAAACAATTAACGTAATAAATACTAAATTTCTCAACTTGTGAAAGGTTTCTTACAATTCCACTCTATTCTTACCACCAGAACCTCTAATTTTTTATATAAACTTTCAATATAGCATAAAATATTGCATCATGGTTTATACAGACACTTATCACATTTTGTCAGACACTAGGCAGCACTAGTTAACATATATTAATTTACTTGCATAGTATTAGACACATCTAATTCACAAAACAGGGAAGCTCCCTAACAATGTTAATTTCCATGGTAACCAATACACAGAACGTAAAGGCAAGCTTGGTGAACAGTTACAACAGATTACTATGAATTTCAAAAAAACTTCGTGTTTTCTATGCTAAAATTAATGAAACTTATGACATCACTGAAATACCAAATGAACAGGAATTGATACCCTATGTGGGTAAAGAGCTAGAAAGGACTCTACCGTTCTCGGAAGCTTATTATTATGTTATAGACCAGCATCGTGATATGGTGGATAGTGTGAAATTGAAAAATCAACAGTTAAAAGAGATCGTAGACAGCATGCGTTCTATTATATGGGAAATCAACACAATGATAACCATGCGCAAAACATAGGTACAGCTAGGATCTGCAACTTAAATAGAAATCTATTATTTGGAATGCCACTGTTCAGTGTATTTTTTTTTTATGTTTATAGACTGTGTATTAAATTTTGTTTAAAAAAAAATACAGACACTTATCAAACATTCTTCTATTGTTAGATTTCAGGTGTCTCGTTTTTACTCTACACACCATACATAATGCATACAGCGCTCAATTATCTTTTAATCACACATTTATTTCAGCTACAGCTGAGTCTATACCCCCACCCCTCCCCTATACTTCTATTTTTATTTTAGATGCAATGGTTGCCAGATTCAATGGTTGCCAGATTCAATATTTGCCAGATTCAATATTTGCCAGTTTCAAAATTTGCCAGATTTTATGGTTGCCAGATGCAATGGTTGCCAAATTCTAGTTGCCAGATTCAATATTTGCCAGTTTCAAAATTTGCCAGATTTGATGGTTGCCAGATGCAATGGTTGCCAAATTCTAGTTGCCAGATTCAATGGTTGCCAGATTCTATTTGCCAGATTCAATATTTGCCAGATTCAAAATTTGCCAGATTTGATGGTTGCCAGATGCAATGGTTGCCAGATTCAATGGTTGCCAGATTTGATGGTTGCCAGATTCAATATTTGCCAGATTCGATGGTTGCCAGATTCTATTTGCCAGATTCAATATTTGCCAGATTCAATATTTACCAGATTCGATGGTTGCGGCTTCACAGAGCATTAAATCACAATTGAATTCATTATTTAAATTTTCAGGTTTAAAACATTGAAATTATGTTTTATATTATTTACGAATAAACTATTTTCAATTAATGAAAGTGGAAGTCAAAAAGATGTTTTATTTTTGTAAATCTGCATCAGTCCTGGCAAGCCGATGATTCGAACTGGGAGGCAATACAAACTGACGCTGTAAATTACATGTCAAAGGCTGAAAAAGAAAGTCAACTTAACTTAGATTCTAGACTATAATGTTATAGTCCTATAAACTATTAATTATTACCTACGTGTGCGGATTACCAGTTTGTTTTAGATATGTTACAGACGGTGCGACAGCTCAGGCTATGAATCTCTATTTGTTTTAGGTATGTTACAGACGGCACGACCGCCATAGCCCTTGCTGTTAGTCTCTTCGTCTTCCCCAACACAAGACCAAACGTGTTGTTCTTTAGGAGGAAGGGAGGTAAATCCAGTACAGAGAAATAGGGGAATTAAGTTTGGGTGGGGTTAGATGGAAATGTGGAAGGGTAAGTTTTGGGGGCGGGTAGTGTATATAGAAACAGTGGAGGTAACTATTGCAGAGAAATAGGGGATGTAACTTAAAGGAGTGGAGTTTAAATATAAGGAAGAGGGGTATTAGGAAGGTATGGGGAGAAATGTGAATTTTAAAATTGTTTACAGGATAATCGAGGTTAGACAAAAAAGAGTCTGTTGATATTTGAAGGAAGCATGAGGTCATCAATACATGAAGCGAGATTTGTTTAACGTTTAAAAAAATGTTATTTATTTTATTTAATCTTTTACGCTTTTATGTGTAGCCTACTATTTATTTAGAATTTTATTTTCGTTTTTTTTTTAGAATTTTATTTAGACTTAATTTTTTATAAATTTAGACGTTTATTTAGACTATATATTTAACGTTTTCTTTTAATGTTTCAAGTAACTTTTATTCCCGCTTATTGTATAGATACCAGCCAATCTAGATCAATGCCTGCTATACTAACATGGAAGACGACATCTAGGAAAGTACCTTGGGGAGTTTTGTTCCTTCTTGGTGGAGGCTTTGCGCTATCCGAGGGGATTAAGGTACCAACATTAACCCTTCATTCGCCTATGGTAAAGGTACCGACGTTAACCCCTGATTCGCCAAAAGTTATGGGGAATTTTGGGGTATTAAATTTAGTGTTTTTAATAGACTCACTATTTGAAAATTCATAGTTAATTAGTTTGTAGATCTGAACTTAAAATTTTTAGTGAGTACTCCAAAATATAATAGAAGGTTATGAATTTATTGTTTATTAGGCTTAAAATATAATACTTTATTAATTGTGGAAACCTACGAAACGGTTATTTTTTAAGAAGACCGCCGTAGTCATAGTTACTAAGATTTTACCACCAATTTTTTATGTAAATACATCTGTGGATGTACCTTTAAAAAAACTGTAGAGTAAAAATAGTTTGCTCTGTAGAATTAAATAGTTTGTTTTTTTTTAATCGGAGAGTACCCCCTTAAGCGCTCTAATTTCCTCCCATGAAAAAGTAAGCCTATATTATATTTGTATTAGTAGTTTTATCTGACTTTTTAATTATTTTTTTTTTGGCTTACGGGATAAGCCTACAAACTACTGTAACGTAAATATCACGTATTCATACAATTAATGTATCGAAACTTGTGGTTTACTATGTGAGAAAATCTAACGACTGACAAGCTAGAGCCAGAAAATGTAGAGTTGTACGGTAGTGTAGGGGTGTCATATATAAACTCAAGCCTCACATCTTGTGTTGGTTTACATTTTTGTTTTGAAAATCAATAGATAAAGTTGCTTTACAAATAAATGTTTCGCTAATTAGTTCAACCGTTGTCGGTGTCATCTTTACAAGCCTTTTATTTTACTTGCTTCCTCTGTCTGTTTGTCTGTTCGTCCGTCTGTTTGTCTGTCTGTCTGTCAAGTGTCATCATGGATCGAAACTGCCGAGCGAAATTTCGATTACTTCTAACTGGCCGATTTGTTTTAGTAAAGGTATTCAATTGATAAAGTAGTTACCCAATCTTTTTTTTTAGTTATTCAAAAACTAGTGTATTATTACATATTTAAAGAAAATCATTTATTTTCTCCTTTTTAATGCATTGTTACAAAAAAAAGGCTTATTATTAAAACTTTTTTCTGCATTTTTTTTAATACTGAAAATTTCTTGTTGAAAATGTTTTCCACGTCTGATGCAGGTATCTGGGCTGTCCAAGGTCATCGCCTCCAATGTCATGTTCATGCAGCACATGCCAGCTTGGCTCACGTGTCTGCTGGTCATCGCTCTGACGTCAGCACTGACCGAGGTGTCGTCAAATACGGTGGTGGCGGTTCTGCTGTTGCCAATGTTAAAAAATCTGGTACGGATGTTTCTATTGACATGTTTTCAATATTTTTAATTATATAATTAGTATTTAAAATATATCAATTGTATTGAAAGATTGAGTTTATAGATAGCAAACACAGTAGCTGAATTGTATTTTTGGATAGTGTCCAACTAAGCCCCGCCACTAATGCCCCCCCCCCCCTTTTTTTTTTGACAGCACGCAACCTTGACCTATTTCAGAAACCTAGGCATTTGAATATTTAAACGCACGACATAAACACAACTCCTTATTCATTTCTAGGGATAAGGTTGGATTAGGGTTAAAAAATAATAGTACAAGTTTCGTATCCTTTTTTTTTTTGGGTGGGAGGGGGTGGGTTTGGTTAACTTTTTGTGGGACTTATCTGGACAAGATCCGTATTCTTTATGGGTCGGCTATATTTAGCTTACTTGTGGCTGTTGCTGAACCTCTCTGTTTGCACCATTTCTTTTTTACGAAATCTCTGCCTACTCCCTCCCTTTTTTAAAGATCTTTCGTAGCCTAAACCTTTGTATGCTGTAATTCTTATTCGTATGTACTTTCTCCAATTTGACGAACCGTGTAACGTTTTCAGGCTGCTGTAATGAGAGTCCACCCCTTGTATCTTATGCTTCCCGCCACCGTAGCATCGTCCTTGGCCTTCATGTTGCCCATGGCTACAGCGCCCAACGCGCTTGTGTTTGCATACGGGGATGTCAAGGTCATAGATATGGTAAACCACGGGGCTGTTTGTTTGATTTTTATCTTATGTGAGCGAAAGATAATAGGGTGATGTTTGATTTAAAGGTCGCATTTTATATTTGTATCCAATAAGTAAACAAGACATAAATGTGTTTAAATAAGGCTGTTAAATTACGGGTTGTAAACTAAATAGCCTACTTTATATGCTTAAACTTGTTCACGTCCCTAACACAGTAACGTCTCTTTTATGGGGAAAGGGAGGTGACACCACATCGGAAAAAAAAATCGTCCAATTGTGTCCAATTGAAATATGAAAGCATAATGGGACCGTGTGCGCATGAATATTTGTTATTGGTGAAGAAATTGTCATCTTTGTTGACAGTATACATCAATAACTTTTTCTTTTGCTATTGTTGACAGGTTAAGACTGGTCTGGCTTTGAACGTTTTCGGAATTGGAGTAGCCGTTCTTGGTGTCAACACTTGGGGCGATTCCCTATTTGATCTGGGATCGTTTCCTGCCTGGGCTAGCATTACCTCTGTGTAATGGGCATCACATTACATTACCTCTGTGTAATGGACATCACATTACATTACCTCTGTGTAATGGACATCACATTACATTACCTCTGTGTAATGGGCATCACATTACATTACCTCTGTGTAATGGACATCACATTACATTACCTCTGTGTAAAGGGCATCACATTACAAAACATCCGTGTAATGTGCAACGTATTAAATAATGACGTGAAAATAATAAGAGGTTTCTATACCACAAGCGTTGATTAACATGTTTCAAATTAGTTAAGTAATATTTTTGTAACAGTAGTACTCATTTTAAATGTAGAGAATTAACGGATCTATAACGATTTTAAACAGTTTGTTGTTTTTCTTAGTTTTGGTTCAGTATGTTAATCATTCAAACAATTGGATTAAATTGTCTTATTTTTTCATGGGATGCCGATAACAGTTTATTTCATGTATCTCTATGGGGGCGAGGAGGGGACACCCCCCCTCCCGAATAAAATAGAGTATATATGCAAAATATATACGTCAAACAGTGTTCTTCTCTCCCCCCTCCGGAAAAATATCTGAAACACACTGACAATGGTAGACCTAAGCATCAGTGTTTCTTCCAGACTTTTTTCTCCGGGGGTGCACTTGAAATTTTCGGGGGGGGGGGGGGGGGGCGGACACTGTCAAAAGTATATATTTTCTATATAAATTCCATTTCGATCGGGGAGGGGGGGCGGTAGACTTTCTTCGGGGGTGGGGGGGGGGGGCGTGTCGTGTCCCCCCGTCCGTCCCCCCCCCCCCCCCCCGAAGAGATGTTTGGAAGAAACTCTGCTAAGAATTAAAAACTGAAAACTAAAGTCTTGTGAACTAATGCCAAAGTCAAAGGACCACTGAGCCTGAAAAAAAAGGCAAACAAAAAGATGAAGAGGGAGAATTCATCTATTTGGTAAGCGGAGTCACAGTTGCAGGTGAATGCTTCAAATAGGATTTTAAAAAGATAGAATAGGGAAAGCTAACCTTTCTTTTGGTATGCCAGGGAATATATTAAAATCAGAAAAGATATTAAGCCTTTCTATTAAATTAGGCGTGTTTATTTTGCTGAGTGTCATTGGATGTTAGAAAACCCACAAACGCAGTTGAGAGTAAACTAGAAGCTTTCCAGAACAAGTGCTTACGACTAGTATTGATAATCATCTGGCCAAATACCATCTCAACCGAGGAGTTAAAAAGAATACTTATAGAACCATTAAAAGTGGTATCCAGACAAAGAAGATAGAGATGATTGGGTAGTACACTAAGGATGGCACGTTTATTATGATAATAACCTTTTGAGCATAACATTTTACCAGTGGCGTGCAGAAGAAACTTGGGACTGGGAAGCATCCAACGGGGAATTAAATTGATTTTGATGCATTGTATGAACATACTTAAGAATGAGAATGCCATTATAGTTTTTTAATACTCTGTAAAGACACCCTTAAGAATATGAATTAATATATCGTTTTTGATAACGACCTATCGAAATCAACATTGCAAGGCACTGTGCCAGGAGGGAGAAGAAGGGGGGGGGGGGGGGGCAAAGATGACACTGGATGGTGACATCAAGGATTACCCAGTCAGCACACATATATTGGCCCAATATTGGCTAAACATTGGTTACCAATATTGGCTACATCTTGGTGCAACATTGGCTTAACCTTGGCGAAACATTGGTAGTGAAACTCGGCATGATGTTGGCGCAATGTTGGCCCAATATTGGCTATATCCCGGCTACATATTGGCCCAACATTGGCTAGATCTTGGCCAAATATTGGCTATATCCCGGCTACATATTGGCCCAACATTGGCTATATCCCGGCTACATATTGGCCCAATATTGGCTACATCTTGGCTCAATATTGGCTATATCTTGGCCCAATATTGTCTATATCATGGTTACATCTTGGCCCAATATTGGCTACATCTTGGCTCAATAATGGCTATATCTTGGCCCAATATTGGCTATACCTTGGCTCATCCTGTATTATATCCTGGCTACATCTTGGCCCAATAATGGCTATATCTCGGCTATACCTTGGCTCAGCCTGTATTATATCCTGGCTACATCTTGGCTCAAATTTTTATTTTTAGCATACAAAAAGATCCATTCTCATATCAGTCATAATATTTACAAAGGTAATTTCAAAATGTGAAAGAAATTTTAATCAAAATGTAGTAAAGCAGCAATACATACACAAGAACTGCTCATCTATTAAAATCTGTATTATACCATCCATTCAATTGTAAGAAAATTATAACTATACTATAAAGTATTGATTGAAAAAGAATATGTAAATAATAGTGTAGTAACTTTCATTTTGACTTTTATACAAACAAATTAAAACAAATATACAAAACATTTTCATATAATGTAACAGATGTTAAGCAGGCCTACAGTTTAAATTAAACTAATGTAAAAACTTAATTTACTGTACAAGAATACAGAAGCTGTCTTGTACTATGATACGTAAACATAACATTAAAAATAAAAAGTATAAAATATTTGTCTAACAACATTTAATTGCATAGCTCGTTTAAGTATTCTAATTAAGGTTTACATTTTAATGCTGGACCAGTCTGCCTTGTCCATAAATAACAGAACGAAAATATGTTCAGGATCTCTAGATTATAATTGTGGTTAAATAGTGTTGAAATGAATGCCATTGCGTATACAAAATGTACAATCTTTCAAAAGACAGATGGTTCGAGGGTTTATACGCATTGTGTAGAACAGGAATATCACTGCGATATTCAATAAATGTTTTTTTGTCTCGAGTATGAGGTATTTAATTATAGTAAACTGAATATATATTAATTTACTTCATTAATTAGAAATAAATATCACCAGCAGAAGTATTGTCAATACAAATGTTGCAAGCTTTTTTCAGATTGTACAGTGAAACTAAATAATGAAAGAAATTTGCAACTAATTCTTTAAAGAAAAAAATGTCAATTGTATATTTCATTTAGGGCATTAAATCTACACTAAACATACATACAATGCCAACTTAAATTATTATATTATTACAAAAGGAAACAATTTATTAATTTAAAATCAGCATTGTTCTTAGACTATTTTGGTAAGAGCATCTTTTCTTTTCGTTAAGCACTTAAATGCAATATGTATAAAACTGTTAACCTGATCCATCTGATCAATTTTTTTTTTTAAATCTGATCTAAAATTATTACAAAAATCAATGTTGTCCTCATTCTTGTGGACCCTTGTGGAGCTGAGAGACACAACCACACCTCTCTATTTTTATACTTGGTTTTAGGAGATTCCCCAAAGTTGTGTCCATAACACTCTGCCTGCTTGTGTTTTGTTGGTTTCTGATATTTTCCATGTTTGTTTTGGATAACAAACTTTCTCTTTCCTTTGGGATTCAAATCCAATAAAAGCCTGGTTGTTGATTTGTGCAAGGTATGTCATAATCCATCCACATTCTAAAAAAGATAAGTTACACACTAAAAGTCATTTATGAAATAATTACAACCATACACTGCTCATTTTGCACTAAATTTATTATGTTTATTTTATTTTGCACTGCACTGAACATACAACAAGAAGCCCTTAACAACATGTTTGCTACCTTGTAACGATATATTATATAGGTATAAAGACTGGTGGTCTGGGGTGTTCATGCTACCCAGGTAACACTTATACTGCATATATATATATATATATATATATATATATATATATATATATATATATATATATATATATATTTATAAACAAAAGTGAAAAAAAAAGACCTGGTAATAAAAAAAAATAATAGTATGTATATAAATATTATAAACCCCTTACCCTATGTCTCTGAGTTAAGAAGGTGCCAGACAATTTTTGAGCAATTTCATCAACTTTATTAATTCAGTAATTGAACGATTAGACCCTTCAGAGTGACCCAGAAGTAATGCTTGTGGTCTGAAATTATTTTACTAATATCAGTAAAGGCATTAACTACACATGCTGATCATTACATGCAAGCAAAAATTACTAAATGAAAATTATTATTCACTTTGAAACAATGTAAACTTACAGTTGTTAAGTGTTAAGAACATTTAGTCATCTTCTGGTGTAGCCAGTATTTGGTGAAGTATCAAGCAGTGGGGACCTTATAATTTATTAAAAGATTAATATATCTCAAGTGGGCTGATTGATATACACAACACCTGGAGGCCTGAAAATAAATGGCATTCTTAGTTATTAAATATAATAATAAAATGAGTGAGTGATACAATAAATGATAGCCAGATTAGATACTAATTTTTAAGTATCTCTGTTTATTTGATCTCTGTATATAAAGGATTGTGTAGTCAACACTATATCTAGCCACCTTTTTTATTTCATAGTCTTAAATTGGGTATATATCAGACTTAGGTGAACTGATGAATGTACTACTAACTTGGCTTTATGTTTACTTTAGCAATAGTGTCCTCAACCATTTGCCTACTCTGTCCTCTATATGATAATATGAGTAGTGTTGATCATTAAGTATGGCTTACTAATAGTACCATCTTATCGCTGTTGGTCATGAAATTAAGTGTTGCTCTGAGGTCTCCACACTACTATTTACACAACTTACATCTTATTCATCAAAACATGCATTAGACTGGAATCCCCAGGGAAAAAGGAGGGTGGGCCGGCCAAGGAAAACATGGAAGAGAACGGTTGAGGAGGAAGCGAAAACAGCTGGGCTCTCATGGGCACAGATTAGAGGAGCAGCCCAAAACCAAGTCCGCTGGAGATGTGTGGTTGCAGCCCTTTGCTCCCCAGGGGCCACAAAGGAGTGATGATGATGACATCTTATTCTCCCATAGGGAGCTGTAACAGTAATAGAAATTTGAATGACAATCTTGAATCAATTTAGAATTCTAGTTGACTAATTTTTTTCAAAATTAATACCTATCAAAATACACTGTTTAACATGTAGAAATTTGTTCTATAATTGTGTCTACTGTTCCTCTCTCTCTCTCTCTCTCTCTCTCTCTCTCTCTCTCTCTCTCTCTCTCTCTCTCTGAATTAATTATTAAAGACAGTTTCAAATCCTTACACAAATAGGCCTAGAACAATAAAATTAAGTTTTTTTTTAAAAAGTTAAAGTGAATGATTATTTATTAATTTATAAACATTTAAGCCCCCCCCCCCCCCTTTCCCTGTGCGTGATAATTATACCTAAAGTTGAAAACCAATAAATACATCGATCTATCAATAATCAATATAACCCCAAACGTACTTGCATACTTTTCAATACAAAAAAAGTGCTGTCAAAATTAACCGCCCTCTGATTACGATTTTTAGTTATTTAGTATTATTAGAATCTAGATCTATCATAAAGGAGATTATTGTAAAATGTAATTATAGCCTAATGCCAAAATAAACAGAATATAGACTAGTATTATTAATATATAGATCTAGACTAGATCTAGGCTCATTTTATTACCTCAAATAAACTAGAGTCTACCTTTTATAACTTTTATTTGATGACTTAGGCCCATAAAGTGAAAGTTTCCAACAAAAAAATACGAGTTTTCCAGATTCTGCATAAATACAGTTATACTACTTCTCACTGTTGAACTAAAATGGCTACAGTGGGCCTACCTGTTTTACTGTGACTGGATACAAAGTCTTTTGTTAAGAAAAATGGCGCAGGACCGGGATGCTGGCTTGCGAACAATAGGAAGGAATGTGAATAAAGGGACAATGGGCGACAGGGGGCCGGTGGCAGTAGCGCACACAATTTTAAAAAGATTAACAAAATGTTTAACACATGCAACGTAGTCTGTTATTGATGCTATGTTTACATTAGAGCATGATATTAAAAGATAAATTAATTTTAGTTAACATATATTAAGTTTAACAAGCATATTTAACTAAAATTTCTGCAGTGAATCCATAAATCAGTGTAATCTTGGCAGCCAAGGTAAAAACGGTTAAATATCAAGGTATCAAGGGATGCAAGCATGTACAAATCTTGGCTGTACCCTGGCGTAAGCTTGTCCAATGTTTGGCCATGATTACAACATTGGGCCAAGGTTGGGCCGACCCTGGTATTACATACTGTGTTAGCTGGGTAGACGGAGCTGACCGCCGTAGATCTAATCAAAGTAGCAGTGGACAGAGATGGATGGCGGAGATGTATAAGGTCGACTGTGGTATTTGTAGAGTAATTGAGCCCATATCGATTTAACGTATATTGGTGGGTGGTGGGGGTCGTTATCGGACCCTGGTCACCGTTAGTGGATTATCCCCCCCCCCCCTTCCACCTGAACTGGACAGGCCGTAATTTGATAGGATGGAACTGGTTTCACACCTAGCTGTGTACTGGCTAAGGGTAATAAGGTCGAGTCAATGAACTCCCAACCGAACTGACCTAGGTATTAAATTTAGGCAAAACGTTGAAAGCTGGAGGAAGGGTCTAATATAGGACAGTATATGGTTAGACATTGACAGATGAAGAAGTGTTTTTCTTTAGGTTGTAAGGTGTGATAGGGCCGGCCGCTTTTGCCTTCCAAGGTTCTCTTCTATTATAGTCGAACACTCGTTTTCGTCGAGTGGTTCTGGGACAAAAATTGAAACATCTCACATTCAATATACAACCTCACCAGAATTAATTACAGGACATAAATTTCAGAACAGATTATAAGAGAAGTAGCCTATATATATATAGGCGAGTCTGACGCCTTAATTATAGACATGAACCTAACCTTTGTGTGACAGGGATTAAAATTTACGATGGGCGGACACTGTTAAATGTATATATTTTCTATATAAATTTCCCCCCCCCCCCCCCCCAAAAAAAAGATGACTGGAAGAAACTCTGTTTCCAGTTTTCATCTATAGCTAAGTCGAACATTTTAAAAAAGCTTTTTTATTTGCAATATATATATATATAGGCCTATATATATATATATATATATATATATATATATATATATATATATATATATATATATATATATATATATATATATATATATATATATATATATATATATATATATATATATATATATATATGCCTATATAATATATGTATGGGGTATCTAAGTATCTACCCCGTCAGTTGGCACCTGACATCTAAATACCTCGACACGCCATTGCATTTTACTAGTCTCCTTACTAAGCAATATCGTTCATATTATGTCTACACATGTGATCATATTATGCATGATGTAGGTCTGTCGTTTAAAGTAAATCTGTAACAAGAGCAACGGATAATTTGGAAGTATATATCTAAATCAAATAATAGCTACACTAATTCTTAATTCTTGGGTCGTTTCGGTTATTTGGAAGCTTCTCGGTCACTAGCTATTTATTTTGGAATTTAGGTAGATTAGATAGGTACAAACAATGGTAAGTTACCATGGTCTCAATTTTATATTAGAATTTGATTAGCAAAATCTAACTGCTTTTGTTTTGTTATAAAATAAGGTTCTTATGTTATTGTAAAGGAATTGTTCATTAAAGTTGTTAGCTGTTCAATATTTATTTTATTTTACTTGACATGAAGTATTAATTTGCTTGTTTAGGCGTAACATTGGAATTTTTAATAAAAAAATGGCGTCATCCTTGATGAATCAAATCCTGAATCAATCATCGCCTATTTTCGAGTAGATCTAGAAATCTAGATCTAGATCTACCTCAAATGGATTTATGCACAATGGTTATAGATAATGAATTGATCTATTTCAGTAGGACTTTTTTCATTTAATCCTACTTAACATGAGCAACAGCTAGGAATTCTACATCAAATACATCTAGATCTAGAATTTAGTCCCAGTAGTGTAGGGCCTATTTTTTTGAATTCTTGATCCACTCTTTTTTTTTTGCTCTTAGTCTTGCTTAGTTACTAGAATCTAGATCTAGATAGAATGTTTAGTTATTAGTTAGATCTAGTTAAGACTAGATTCTAGTCGGTTAAGTCATTAAGTCATAGGCCTACAGAGTTACAGAGCTTTAGAGTAGTTTAGAGACAGTATAATAAAATACATAAGACATCCAACATAGGCTTCCCTATATTTAATTTTTTAATGGGCCTTTCTAGACCATTCTTGTACTTGTTGAAGTTGTTGTGTTGTAATGTTGTGTTGTTGTCTATTAAAAGTAGGCTAATTATTAAAAATAATTTAAAATAACAAACTCCACATGTGTCTTCTTATGTATTAAGTATGTGATAAGAATCTATTATTTTGATCAGGCTGGAAACTTCCATATTTGATCTCATCTGACTTTGAACTATTTGATGAATACCAGCTTTGACAAATAAGCTTATTCTACACTACAATGACTTACAAACTAGTGAAACTATATAATAGTGATATAGAGATAATACAGTAATTTACACCTAGCATTTTATTGTTGAAAATCTTTAATTTTTTTGAGTTTAATATTTTTCTTAAATTAGAGCTGTACTCACTGTGCTTGTTTTCTGGCTTTTTTTTAATATCTACTTTTTTTCTAGTCTATAGGAGGAATACTAATAATAAAAACTTGTTTTTAATTAACAGGATGTCTTTTTAATGATTCGGCGTAAAAAGACAACCATCTTTACAGATGCCAAGGAAAACACCAAAATGGGCGAGGTCAAAAAAATTATTGAAGGAATTCTTAAAGTACCACCAGATCAGATGAGGTTATACAAAGATGACACTGTAAGGTTTCACTCAACTAAGCTCACTATCAGCCTATTTTACATTGCAGGTTTTAATTCATTACAAGTAATAGTGCATTTGATTCTCCTCTTAACAAAACTTTTTGGTTCTATTATAGATCATAGCTGATGAAAATAAACTATTGTCTGAGTACGGTTATACCAGTTCGGTGGCTAGAGCTCAGTCGCCTGCTACTATTGGTTTGATTTTTAGGACAGAAGGTGTGTAGAATATATTTTGTACTCGTTTGTTTTTACCATAATCTGTTAATTCTATATTAATATTATACAAAGTGTTCTGGGTCGTGAAAGTCCATTTATTAAACTAAACACAGTATGTTTTCCTGTTTCTTAAGGTTCTACTGCTCAATTAATTCGTTGCATGTTCTATATTTTAGAATAGAATTTTAAAATTTTCAATGTTTAGCTTAAATTATCAGCAGTTTTTTTATTTTATTCATGATTTTCAATTTCATGATGAGACTTACAGAAACCTGTTTTTTTAGATGGTGAATGGGAACAGTTGGACATTCATCCCTTGTCTAGCCCACCTGAACTGCCCGATGTCATGAAACCACAGGATGCAAACCAGGCTCACCAACCTGAATCTAACACTGTGTAAAGCAACTAGCCCAGAGAAACTTAGAGGGAAAATAACGGCAATAAAGCAAATACAAACACTTAGATAATCCTTGGCTTTTTAAAAATTTGATGAAGCTTATTGGCTTTGAGCAACACATTATAAAGTAAGCTCATATTTAGGAATATATATAAAAAATGTTTATAAATTAGAATAGATATGTAAAAGCCGTACTAGTTTTATTACTATAAGCAGTTATTGTATTTGATGTTACATGTTTTTTTGTATGAGCGTTTAAATTAAGAGTGCAAGAATCACTTTAGCTACTTGTGTTTCAATTTTTGTGTGAATAATTATTTTTTTTCCACTTAATGGGTGTAATTGTTTTTCTTGAGGTTTAATATTGATTATACAAAGTGTTAATTGAGAAATATGTTCTTCAAAACATTATGAAACCTTGGTCATAATTATACATTTGATTTGGTAAAGAACCAAAACTATTGTGAAATTTGTATTTATAGAACATGAAAAGTGTTTTTATACAAGTGAATATTGTATCCTACTGTAACCTGGTCATGTTTCTATGTGTGTTTAAGAGCGCAAGCCTTTTTTAAGTGACAGCAAGTGATCAGGCATTTCTTTGGTGTTTTCTTTAAATCTTTATATCATTAGTGCAGAGTTTTTTTTACTCTATACAATTAACCCTATTAATTTTGTTTACTAGATATTTAAAAAATAATGGGCACTTTTTGAAGGCTTATATATAATTCTAGCACTTTACTAGTCTTAATGGTTTTCCTTAAATGTATTTCTTACCCGATTGTATAGAAATATTTATTATAAACGAGCTGGGAAGTGTGTCAGTAAATTGGCCATGTGGTATTGTTTACTTGGAGTTTATACAAATGCACCTTCTGGTACCAGTGTTGTTTCAATTTGTAAAACAGATGGTTAATCTGCTCACTATGTATACACAATGACGCAACAGCCTCACGTCAGAAACACTGTCGACATAACCTTAAGGACTTCTCATAGATTTGACCTACTAAGCTTTTGAATGTTTTCTGTTTTGTAATGTTGACCAAAAACAAATTAAATCTTAATTTCTACCACTCAGCTGCTGTTTGCCAATTATATTTGGTTGTTGTTGTTATTGTTTTTTTTGTTATGGTTAAAGATGTGTTAACTTATTAAAGAATTTAAATTTCTGTTTCTCACAAGTTTGTTAATTATGCTGTAACAATATTTTCATTACATGCTCTCTATTTTTAATGCAATTTTATTAAGAACCTATAACTTCCTTTAAGTGGGAAATGGGAAGAATGAGACAAAATTCTATACTGACACATTAAATTACAGCCAGTGTTGTACTATACAATTAAAGTCTGTAGAACTTTTCTTAATAATTTTGTTTAAAGTAGCAACCTGTTGGGCCAAATGTTATTTCACACATGCTAGATCAGTATTGACAGCATTTTCTAACAGAATAAGCCAATATTGTCTACCTTTAATTGAAATTACTGCTTGACATCTCACACTATATTTTTCATCTTTATCAAAAATACTAAGGTTTATTTTTAATAGAATTTAAATGTAAACATCTTCAACAATTGTCTATAGGTCATAGTCACCAGATAGCTTTTTTACTTGGAATAAAGCTGACAAAGCAAAAGATGAGATTTAACTACCAAGAAAAAAATGGGTGGGCCAACAGTCATGGAAGATACATTTTGAAAATCAAGCAAAAGCATGTAGAAATAGAATAGGATCTGATGCAAAAGTGATAGGATTTTTAGTTTACATATAAAACGGTTGCCACAATATTGTTAACAAATGTAATACACAATGTAACCATTTCACAAGGTTAATGCTTTAGCAATAAACACTTTTTTTTATTTCTCTGACAATACACAGGCAAACAACAATGAAACTTAGAATAAAAACTTGTTTAATAATAATAAGCATGTATATACAAGTATTTTCTTGATTCAAAGATGATTAATCGATGCAAAAAAAAGTAATGTTAGCTTTACCCTTATGATTAATAACCAACTTTTTTTTTTTAAAAATGAGTATTTATAAAATATTTAAATGAATTTACAACATATTTAATGGATCAACAAAAATGAATCATTTTACTGGAGTTTAAGACAAAAAATTATCAGAGAAAAATGTTCACATACTTTAAAAAAAAATTTGAACTACATAAAAAAATCTTAAACATGTTACCTTTAAAAATTCTAAAATAAACAGGATTTAAAATAAAATTCAATATACAAGTTCCTTCATCACATAAATATTTTTTAAATTAAAAGACTAAATAGCCCCCATTTTTACCCAATCTTTAAGTTGCTAAAAATGACATTCCTCCACTGTGATTCTGTCCTAAACATGCTTTTAAAAAAAAAGTATTTAGCATGAGTAACAAAATATATTCCTGTACAGCAGTACTAACTTGTTATTAAGCATTACAAAATATACTTGAGCAGTAAATATATGTAATATTTATTATATTTTTTCAACAGTGTATAAACATATTTTCATGAATACTGAAATAATTTCCCTGGGTTAATTTTTAATAAAAATCACTGCTAATTATTATATAGATCAATCTTTAGTAATATGTAGCACTAATGCTCAGCCCAAGTGTGCCTTTCACAATGTCATCTTCTAAGTGGTAAAATTCTGGTTCCACTGGCACAAATCTGAGTATACCCAAATCATTGAGCTGGACTGCCCATTTGGGTGACTTGGTTAAAGAGAGTAGCATATCTGTGATTTTGTGTTTTAGTCTAGCTGTAAATAAACAGATGATATATTAATTAACTACAGTCATTTGCTCGAGAAAAAAAATAAAAAAACTTAAAAACATGTTGCTTTAACTAAATTTACATTTAAGAAAAGTAGACTACAGGCCATATATGAATTATATGGCACTTAGCATGCTACACCTACGAATACAACTAAATCAAGTTGAAGGTAATTACCTCCAGTAGTATGATTAAGAACAAAGAATAAGCTACACTTAAATAAAATAATATGTAAGGCTGTTTTAAGGGGAGGGGGGGAAGATTGACATTAGTCTAGTTTTTAACCATTTGAAGAATTGCTTGAATCACTGTTAATAAACAGTGCAAAAATTATTGCGTATTTAAATTATTTTCTAGTCAGTATGTAATGATGCCAATTAAAATAGTCAACTATATTAGCCTATAAATAGAAATACTCATGCAGATATCTAGTTAAAAATGTTCAGAAATGATAGACAAATCTTAGTCTAGGGTACTTTTCAGTCCCTACAAACTTAACACATGAGATTTAAAAGCTCCACCTAGCTCTGATGAGCATTTGATTAGAGATTAGGAAGATTAACATGGCGGGAAATGATGCAGAACATTTTTTTCTGCCGCAGTAGAAACAGACGAACCCAACTTCACCGGCTTTCATGGAGCATCAGGTCCAAAAGGGTACTTAATTTTACAAAAATTCCAACTACAAAAAAAACATGCATACCTGACAAACGACTGTTGAAAAGAAATGGGTAAATAGGTAATGGTCCTAGAGATTCAACGGAGGTAAATTTGTCGTGATGGTCTTCATGCTCTAGCAGGTAGCCAGCCAGTACCGTTGAGTCAACTGCCGCAGCCTCTACTCTAAAATCCCGAACCATTTTTATCGAGTTCAGGTGAGAACCTATGAAAACATGACACTTGCTATTTAAAGTAAAGGTAGCTAATTCAATATGTTGAATAATAGAAAACTGTTACAAGATTTAAGAAGTAAGATGATTTAACTTGAAATACATTTACTTCTTAATGCAATTAAAGAGTAGTTTAGCTAAAAAGACAACTGTCATATTACAAAAGAAACAAATACAAACAATGAAATTAACAGAAACAACAAGACAAAATTAAAAAAAAACATCAACAGAAATAAAAAAAACCAGAAAAAGTAAGACCAAAATCTAGATGAACAACAGATAAAATGAAACAACAGAAACAATAAAACAAAATAAAGATGAACAACAATAGAAACAATAAAACAAATAAAAACAGAAACAGAAAGACAAAAATCTAGACAAACAACAGATAAAATGAGACAAAAATAAAAAAAATCAGAAGCAGAAAATAGTAAGACAAAAATCTTGACGAACTATATATTCAATGAGACAACAATAGAAACAATAAGACAAACAGCAGCAGAGTTTAAAACACAAAGAAATAAACTCTACAAAACCTGAGAGAATGATGTTCCCAAAATGAGCTGCGTTTGTTTTCAAATGTTTTTTCAAGTAATCCAAAACAACCAGATTTCCACTGAGAGATGAATCATTGTTGTATGCCCAGCTGCAGCCTCTCAGGTCTTGGATGCTTTTGTACTTTTCTCTAGCAAATAAACACAATCACCTGCACACTTCAATAATAATTTGTCTACATCTTCAAGCTAGTTGTCAAAACTAATATATTCTTTTAAATTTAAAAACAAAGTGAGAGGTAAGAGTTCTTTAATTCATTGTTAAAGCCTTGTGAAGCAATTATGTCACCAGAGCATCCATGAGCTCAGTTTAGTCTCCAGATACCCGTTACAGCTAAATAAATTCAACACACTGTTCTATAAATGTTTGAAATAATTGTTAAACATCATTCAGTATTATTGTAACATTTTTTTTTTGTAGAAAAAACTCACTTGTTGGCTGAATTGATAATAATTTCTGAGAAATAGATTGGCCTGTCAGTCACTAGTGGATGCTTGTGTACAGGCGCGGCACGACATAGCTCCATATGGTCCTGCTTGTGCACTTTTAACCGCAAGTAATCCGTGCTATGCATAATGACTGAAAACATAAAATGTATCATTCAAGTAATCAGTAAAATGGATAATGACTGAAAAATATCTCATACTTGTTTTAAAAAAATGTCCTAACAAAAATACTAGCATATTAAATTATTATGTACTCTCAATAGAGTATTGTATTTTACAATAGGGCAGTTTTCATTTTTTTTAAAATATGGACCTCAGTATTCTGGGTTTTAATTGTTTAGCTACAATCACATAACTGTATAGCTGGTGATACTTTAAAACTCTCAGGATAAGCTAGATTTAAGATAGTCAGTATTTTAAATATTAGCAACATCAGCTAGATGCAGAACAGATTTTTAAATGTGTTTGTTGATAGAATATAGGGCCTAGCAATTATTTTCTAAACCAATTCTGTGAGAAAATGGTGTGAATTTAGACATACCAATGTCAGCTAAATCAGCAGAGAAAGGATTTGTTCGTGAAGGGCTTGGACCTGGGAATCTATCTTCTACCATAAGATCAACTTCCATTTCTGTTACTTCTTCGATGCAATCTCGAAGCATGGTGAAAATCGTGATGGGAACTTCTGGAGTCACATATGTGAGAATTCTCAATCTTGTTTTTGCACTATTTGCAGGATCAGTGCTTGACATCTTCTTGTTTGATCTTTTATCTCAAATACAACTCTAAAGAATAATATTTTTAATAAATGTATTTATTACTTTACAGACATTTAAATTTGATTAAAACCAGTTACATAATGATAATGTTAAAGTACAACATAGAAAACATAGGTTCTAGAATGATAAATTATATGCTATGGCACATAAAAATTCAAGCCTACTTTTGTTTGCACGTTCTACAATGACATTTGATATCCTGTCATCTTTCTGAAAATATTGTTTTTTTCTCCATTCTTTTTACGACTCACCAAGCAATATTGCCCCCATCTTATTTTCCTCTCTTCCTTGTTCTTGGCACACTTGTATCACAACTGAATCGATCAATCCAACGAATATAGTATAAATATGTTTAATATGTAGTCCGGTCAAGGCACGTGATCGGTCAACTTCATTTGGTTTATATTTCTTTGTGAAACTTACTGGTAACGCCACCTATCTGTTTATCCTTTGTATTTTTGGACACTCCTGTCATCCCCAGGCACATGGACCCCCAGTGTTCACCTTATAAGGATAGCAACTAGCATCGTCTCTGTATATGGGTGAACTGTATATGGGCGATGTGCCAGCGGCTTTTGACTGTACTTTGATGCTTGTCTCACCTTGCTGACATAGAAGGAGCTATAAAAACAGCAGTGACTATATTACAAAATTTAGGTGTTGATCCTTTGTGTTTAAGACACTCTCGTAATCTCAGTTGCTTGGACTTGATGGTTCACCTTTTAAAGATAGCAACTAGAAATGTCTCTTCTCTAGAACTGCGCCATATTTCATGCCTTTTTTTGTTGGTTGTCTAGATAGGATCTATTTAGTAACACATATTATGCGATATTAGTATTTTTATGTTTGTCTGCCTTATGGTCTGTCAGCCTTTTGGCTGTCGGCCTTTAAGTGACTTTAGTCTGTTGGCCGAGACGTGACCTGGAAGAAGACACCAAGAAGATTGGATACACCTGGAGACAGTTGGAGAGACTAGCCCTGGACAGAGATGTCTGGAAAGCTCTTGTCAGCAGCCTATGTCCCAGTAGGGACGACAGGCAAACATGACATGAGTCTATTGGCCTGGCTTATGTCCAGTCGGCTATCGGCCTATTGTCCTTGTCTGCCTTTTGTCATGTTGTCCTACACCCTTGTGGCCTTGAATTAGTTAGCGTATAGACTAATATAATAGACCAGCTAGATATAAATCTAGACTGACTAATGACTTTTTAAAAAAACTACACTAACAAACAACAACAAACAGACAGGGCTAGATTTCAATTTAAAACTAGATTCTAGAATCTAGTTCTATAGTTCTAGATATCTTATCTACTCTAGATCTATAAAATAATAAATATAAAAAAACGGTAATCTATCGTTTTGGGTACGTAAAATCGCCCGCGGCTATTAATGTACGAAAACGTTACCTCATTGTCAAGGCTTTAATAGAAGTTTATTGTCATATGTTTGTGTCAAATATTATAGATAAATGAATAATAAACCTAAATCAATGGCTAAATATATTGATATAGGCCAAAAATTAACTTTAAACAGCTGTGTCTGAGAGCAAGATTTGCTATATAAACAGCAGCCATTTGTAAAATAGAGTGGCTTCCCACTGAATCTGGCGCTATTAGCTTATAAAAATAAAACTTAGACAAGATGGCTGCTATAGTAATTGAGCATGGTTGCATCTGTTGGAAACGGTGAACGGAAAAAAAGTCACAGGAAAAAAAAACACAGAAAAAAAGTCAGTTTTTGCTAGGAAAAAAGTCAGAAAAAAAGTCACAAAAAACTTTTTAGAAATATTTTTATTTATTTGTTAAGTATTGTAAAATTCTGTATGTTTATTGTTGTGGTTTGTATTTTTTGATAGCATAAATTATTTATAGACGTTAAAACAATTATGATTTATAACAATTGTAAGTAAAAATACTCTAAGATAATTAACACAACAATCTCAACTTTTGTTACGTATTTAGTTAAATATGCGGTAGAAAAGTTAATTATAAAAGAAATTTAGGCACATTTTGCCGTAGGCTATTCTCTGGTCGGCCTCTCCTCAGTAGGCATTGTCCCAACATATTTTGTGTTGTTGACGTTATGCGTCAATGACAGCCTTTGAACCTTGTTGGCTTTCTGTTTTGATCATATGCTTTGTTATGTAATGAGCGTGATAAATGTGGGCAATAAAGGTGGTTGAACTAAACATAACTATTGTTGCCATGAGTTGAGGGCAGCAAGTCAGATGAACTTACCATTTCACGGTAATTTAATATTGGTATTTTTAAAAAAAACACGATGAAAAACGTGGACTTTGGAGCATTCTATTAAATGCTACTAATCTTAAGTTTAAAATAATTACAATCTACATACTTATAATAAATATTTTTAGATGAATTTTAAACATTCCTATGCGTATACAGCCTGCACACATTACATAACATTTAATTAATCCTAAGTTAATTTGCTCTCTCTAAATATTTAATACATAAAAGTATTAAGTATTAACAAATACCATGCAAATATATATTTGTGACCTTTTTTCCTGTGACTTTTTTTCCTGTGACTTTTTTTCCTGTGACTTTTTTTCTGTTTTTTTTTTCCTGTGACTTTTTTTCCTACAATCGTTGGAAACATAGCTAGTCTTCATTTATTACGGAAAAGTTTTAATTCAATTGTTTAAAAATAGGTACATGAGTACATAGGCCTAAAAGCCCTAAAATTTAGGGCCTAAATGAACCAAGGAAACATTTTTGTATTTTAAAAAACATAAATCCTCCTCAAAATGTGAAACAATTAGATCTATTAAAATTTAAGGAGTCACCTGTTTTTCACATTACAAGTCGCGGGCGATTTTACGTACCTAAACTAAAACGATAGATTACCAAAAAACTTTCTATTCTAGCTTAGCTACAATATCTATGAATTCTATGCCTATTTTAGCTAGTGGCTAGTGGCTGGAGTAGAGTACTTTAGAATAGTAGAATTAGTAGTCTAGTCTAGTCTAGATCTAGACTAGTCTACTCAAAAATGTCGATGGAAAGATTAAACGATATATCAGAATATATCTAGATCTAGATATCTATATAAGATACTAATCTAGATTAGATCTAGAATTTTATCTTGTCTAGATTTAGATCTAGATCTAAATCTAGATCTAGATCTAGATCTAGATCTAGATCTAGATCTAATCTAAGTACTAATTTAAACTTTTGACACGTAAACCTCACCGGTCATAGATTCTAGATCGACACTTGCTGCACAGTACTGTCAGCTGATGGTAGCAGTCTACTACTTTAGGAGATATGGCCTTGACATTAGACCCTAAATTAAAAATATCTAGATCTACATTTTTTTAGGCCTAGGCATAGTCATTTAACATTGTTTTCCTATTTGCGTTTGCGTTGATAACTTGATAGGCGTATGGCCCATAATGGCAGTGTAGAGTTAGATTCTAAAATCTATATTTCTAGATCTGCATATTAGTTATTAGATTTAGAAAATCTGGATGTATTTAGAGTGTGTAAAATGGACATGAATGAGGACGAGGTATCGATTCTTACTTCAATAATAACTTATTTAATAATATTTTAATATTTTACATAGCCTTTCTCTATACTTATTATACTATACTACTAGATCTAGTACTAGTCTATAGTTTCTAAAGTATAGTAAGTAGATATAGATCTATGGGGGGGGGGGGGGGGAAGGATAGAATATAATCTAACTAGAATAGATAGAATATAGTAATAGTAGGCCTATAGTATAGTGAATAGCCAATCAGCTGGCCTAGCATAAGTATCGGCCTAATGAATTATGTATATTATTATATTATATAAAATTATAAATATATAGGCCAGGGGGGGGGGCAGGGCCTAGGGCCTATATATAGTATATAGATTCAATATATATATATAGTAATAGTATATATATATATATATAGGCCTATATGTATATATATATATATATATATATATATATATATATATATATATATATATATATATATATATATAGGCCTATATAAATAAATAAATATATATATATATATATAGGCCTATATAAATAAATATATATATATATATATATATATATATATATCAGGGGCGTAGCGAGGGGGGGGGGTGGGGGGTGCGGACCGCACCGGGTGACACCATTTTGGGGGGTGACACCAAGGCAAAAAATAGCAAAATATATAGAGAAAAACTTGAGGGGGGGTGCAAATCAAAAGTTTGAGGGGGGTGCAAATCAAAAACTTGATCGGGGAGGGTGCAAATGGAAAATTTGTCCCTGGGAAGGGTCGCTACGCCTCTGGGGGGTGACACCATTAAGTGCCGCACCGGGTGACACCCGACCTCGCTACGCCACGGATATATATATATATATAGGCTATTGGTCATGACCTATAATATTAATTAGTTATATAGTTATATAGGCCATACTATTATACAATACCAGCAGTGATTCTTTCAGGCACCCTATGAAGGGGGAGGTATTGTCCTTGAAGTGCCCCCCACCTCCCCCAGAACACATCCACCACTTGGATAAAATTGTATGAAAAAAATAAATTACTTATATTGAAAATATATTCGTAAAGTATAGTTCCCTTTTCAAACCTGATGGTCTCTAGGGCAAGTGAAGTAGAGTTCACTTGTTTCTGTGACCTCGGCATATGTAAATATGTATAGGACATACTTAACCAGTGCCCCCTACCCTCCCTAGATAAATGGCTGCAAGAAACCCTGTATATTACAGGTCTGTTGGCCTATACATAAACTGGCAGACAAAGTAAATCTTACACACACAGGCTAGAATCTATATATTATTTATTAAAAACATTTACACATTATCTACAACATACTTTTAAAAGTGTATATTGTATACAGTTATAATGATTGCACAAATGTTTTCTATAGGCCATATGCCCTATAGTATAGCCTATATATAACATGCTACATATAATTAGTTTTTTAATGATAAAAGTTAAACATGTGATTGGGTCAATAAAAAAATGAGATGCAAGAACAATGTTTGGTTACTGTGTTGTTTTCTGTGCAAATTCTGAGACTTTGTTATTTTATTTTATTTTTTGCATCACATAGCATCACTAAAAATCAAATGATGTTGTATGTTTATGTAATTAATAATTAATATAGCATAGCCTGTACTCGAATTTTTACATACTTTAAAGACTAAAAATTATAAGCTTATCAGTAACTTATCTCTCAAACAGCTGATAATAACAGTGTCATTTACTGTTTTGTTGTGCAGTGAACAGTATTATTAATCCTGAATGAAACACATGATGATGGAACAGCTAGACTTTATACTTGGTATCAGCAGTGCAATATCAAGTCTCATAGGGTTAACATTTTATGCCTTGTACAGATCTCACACAGAAACAGCTAGACAAATTAAAGTAAGTATACAATATACAATTTATATTTGTGTGTATTATATTGTAAACAGACTTTGGATAATAGCAATATATATAGCATTTAAACTAAAATGTGATTACTGCTTATTTATATATTATAATGATTGTATATTCGCATTGTGAGATCTATAAATCACTTTTAGTATCTACTTTCATCGTTAAGTTATTTTTCTGGATGATCATGGTTAGTGTAATGAAAAGAATCAGGAATTTGGTTAGGGTCAAGATTAAGGTCAGTGAGAGGGTAAAGTTTGGGGCTAGGGTTAAGGTGGCTGTAGTTGATCCCATTATAAATATGCTATGTGGGACTGATTAATAATAATAAAACCAGTATACTTTCTAAAATATTATAGGATATATATATATATATATATATATATATATATATATATATATATATATATATATATATATATATATATATATATATATATATATATATATATATATATATATATATATATATATATATATATATATATATATATAACAGGACTATATGCAATAATATGAATAACAATCACCACAGAATCTGCAAGTATGGCACCCAGATTCAGACTTATACAAGCAGTTGCAGTTACAAGGCAATTATTGTTTAGCCTATGCAGCAGTGGGGGGTGTTGTGACAGCAACAGAACACACCCTCAAAAGCCAGTATGGAGAACAACAGGGTGTTATACAACGCTTACAGATGACAGAACATAAATCTAAATACGTTGCTGGAAATTGGTAAATTTTCTGTTTTTTTTTTTCTTTTTGTTTGTGTGGGATGGTCAGATGGTAGAGCACAGGACTACTAACTTGAATGTTTTAGTTTGGATACTGACTTGTGTCCATACACACTCTGATGGGTACAAGACTCACGTTTAGGAAAGTAAATGCAGTTGTGCCAAGGTCACAGAAACAGTTAAACTCTACTTCATCTGCCCTGTGGATCACCATGTCCAAAATAATAACTTTTTCTTTATGTTTTCATAAAGAGGTATAACTTTCATATCTATCATCTAAGCTCATGCAATGGATTTGGATTACACCTACAATTTATTTGCTTGTTTGCTCAGATTCAGTAAAGAATGTCAATAATTCATCAAATAAATTATTCTATATGAAGCTTTCATAAACCGTTTGAGCAAAGTGATCTGTTTGTCTATTGAATGGTGATGTAGTACTTCAGGGTGACTTATATTTGCTTCTGCTCATAGGATGGAAACTTTATGTTTTATTGGGTATTAGACAGGCTGGGGAAAGATACAGGTGACTGCATAGTGCTGACCACACATTCCTTTATAGCCATGGCTGACAGAAAATAATTAACTCTACTTTATCTGTCAATAAGAATACTCTAATTATAATTTTACTTTTAATATAAGCCCTATTGAACTGTTAACAGTAGTGGGGAATGTACAAACTGTTGATTGTAGCTTTCAGATGTGAACTTTTAACTATGTCTTTCATTTCCTTATCTAGATTTCCTAATTAATAAAGTGGAGATTTTTTATTCATTTATTTGAACTATAACCTTCTTATGTTAAAGATTCTTTTAATTACTTTTCAGTTTTCTTTGATGAAATATTATTTTTTCTTTTGCACAAATCAGCACCAAAGATTATAACATTTTAAAATGTAATATTATTTTACAAGGATCGACTTTAAAACCGTGGTTCAGGATTCCACTTCATATGCACAGTTTGCTTTAATGACTGCCGAGCCAGAAGATTCAAAGTACAGAGTTGAAGTACATAAATGTGAAAGTGCTGGTCAGATAAAAGGGGAACTGGACATTACCCATGACAAGTTCAAACAAAGATCTTCTATTTTTACAAAAGTATTTCAGATTTTTTAAATCAAAATTTTAAAATTTATTTGAACTATAATTTTGTGCTCACTTTGAAATCAAACACATACACGCAATAATTAGCCTATATCTTATTAATTTGAAAATCATAGTTATTTTTGTAAATTAGCTTGTAGGATTTTTTTGTTGCTCTTTTATGGTTAGGATTAGTTAAGTTATTGTTCGGTTTGGGTGGGTGTAAATACTAGCCAATTCAAATTATAAAATTGCATAGTTGCTTTCTCTTTTTGGGTTTAATGGGAAAGAGCCAAAACATCTGTAATTACTAAAGTAAACTTAAGAAAAACAATTTACAAAAAAAACCACAACTACATGAAAATTGTTTGTAAATTCTATTTGATTACATAAACACGTCTTATTTTTTCTTATTACTTCTTACCATCTAGATAGGCTTGGACAGGCTGTTTGGAGATGTAACGAAAGGAGTTCAGGAAACAGAGTCTATGCTACTCAATGGAACAGCTGTTTTAAGCATCGGTAAAGTGTTCCTGGATCAGGGAAAAATTAAGATAACAGCACCCCTACCATCCACTGGTTCTTACATTATCACCAAAATGACACTACGCGAATTAGTTCACCACTTAGAAAATCAGTCGTTCCAGTTGAAAAAAAAATCTGCGATTTTCATCTTAGTTGGAGGTAGCTTGCTGGCGTACATGATTTGCAGACACATAAATAAAGTGAGGGAAGAGAGAAAGACACGGTTAGAGTTAGAGGCCATACGTAACATAATAGAAGCTAATACTGATACTGATAGAGATTTTTATAGCTCTGATGAGGAACTGTGTGTTGTTTGTTTAACAAACCCAAGAGAATGTGTGGCTGTTGGATGTGGACATCTAGCCCTGTGTGGTGATTGCGCTGAATGTCTATCTGAACCAAAGAAATGTCCCATATGTCGAGCAGATGTTTCTTTTATTCCAGTTTACCATCCCTAGCTATACATCTTAACTTATTTAGTATATCTTTGTAGTTTTTTAATCAAGGGTTTTTAGAAATTCCTTTGAAAGCTAATTTTTGTGTTGGTTTTCAAATATGTGCATATCATTACAGTGCTGAGCTCAATTGTAACAATGCAGGTCATCACTGTTTATTGTTAGTTATGTGAATTGAAAAATATTCTTAAATCTTTTTTCATGAAGATAATATTTCTTGTACACTAATGTAGGCCTAGATTAACTTCCAACTAAATAAGTTAGGCTCTCATTTTATTTATATTCTATTTTATATATTGCATTAACTCCCAACTAAATAATTTAGGTGAAAATATTAGACAATTTAAACTGTTATTGTACCATAATATTGTTGGCCTATGAAAATTTCCTGTTGAAAACCGGGTACCAGTTTTTCATTATAGAACAGAAGTCAAAGAGCTTAGATTTATATAAGGTGGGCTAACATTAGGGTACAGAGTTTCTTTCAGACATCTCTTTGGGGAGAGAGTGCCCCCCCCCCCCCCCCCCCCCGCACCAAATCACAAATCATGCACAGTGTTTTTATTTTATTTTGTACCAGTAATGCTCTTCTCATGTTTTCCTTCAAATGTTATTTTTTGTAAATATTTTTTTTTTAAGTGCCTTAAATGCCTTATTGTAATTTATGCCAATAATTTACTTAAAATAATAAAACTTGCCATGAAACATTCTAAATTATTTTTTTTTTTGTCTAAATAAAGCATTATCATAATCAAATACATATAATTTATTGTTTATCCTGAAACTCATCTATTTATTTTTTTTACATTTTTTTTTACTGTAATACAACATGTTTAATTCAGAAACAGCTTTGGTTGGTGGTCGTGCTGAAAGAGACGCTGCACCAACAAATATTTTTTAAAGAAGGGGGGATAACCACGAAATTGCAAAATGATTTGTTTCTGACCAGAGGTAGTCTTCCCTAACTTAACTTGTAATTTTTAGAAGAAAAAAAAAGAAACCTTTTCAGTCACAAAGAGTAACATCAAAAGCTGAACCCTCCACCGCCCTCTATGGGGGTTATTGATCAGATCTACACGACTAATAAAAAAAAGCAAGATGAAATAAAATATTATAAAAATGTTTGTGATATTTTAAACCAGCAATCTTTTAGTAAAGATATACAATCGATTTTCCTTAAATCATTAACCGTCGCGATTCGCGAAGCATTTACCCTCTGAAGTCAGGTTCCTTTAAGACATTTTTTCAGGGGAGGAGAGCGCAAAATTTGCCGGCTGCTATTGTTAATCATCAACGTTTAACACCTAGTAATTTTAAATAAATTTATTGAGCTGTGAGTGTGAGTTAACAAGTTATATTTTTTAGTTTAGCACTAGTGTTGTTTAAGTATGTAATTGATCTGCTAAGGTTTTGCGAACCTCCTTGTCAGCACGAGAATGCACAGATGAGTGAACAACACAACTTCGGTCTCCCTTAATTAAACCTAATGGGGCACAAGTTAATCAGCCAAACAGCTGTGTGAAATATTTTAACAGCGCGCTGATTTTTCACCATTTAGGGGGGTGACATGAAGGCAAAAAATAGCAAAATATATACAGGAAAGTGATAATTCCACTTAGTTAAATAATTAATTACAGTGAAGTAAATAGTCTTTTAAGAGCAAAGTGGACAAATCCCGACACGGGTGGAAGAGGGAGAGGTGCCGGGGGGGGGGGGGGTGTTACCCCATAACGTAAACCTGCTAATGATAAAGAAAACATGCAACATCCAGTTGAATTTATAACCAAATATAGATACAAATCGTTAGTATTATCTGAGCACAATTTAAAGCAATCACCGTGGGGTGACGGGGGGGGGGGGAGGAACTTACATCAACTCAACTTTGCAATATATAATGTCTGAAGAATATATATATATATATATATATATATATATATATATATATATATATATATATTGCGCTGGAGTGGGGGGGGGGGGGGTTGACACCATTAGGTGCCGCACCGGGTGACACTCGACCTCACTACGCCACTGCCACCACCACTTAAACTTCTTTTATGTTTTCCTACATATATTTATTATTTTTTTGTGTTAATATTTTTTGTCTGAATGCCTTAATTTAGCCTACTTAATGCAAATAATTTATTTAAAATAATAAAAATGTGCCCTGAAACATGGTATAATTATTTTCTCTCTCTAAATTGGGGTTTATGTAATTAAATACAGATGAAAATCTAATACATATAGTAATCCAAGCCCCCCCCCCCCCCGGGAGAAAAGAGTCTGGAAGAAACACTGATGATCAGTGGCGTAGCGAGGTCGGGTGTCACCCGGTGCGGCACTTAATGGTGTCACCCCCCAGAGGCGCAAAGACCCTTCCCGGGGACAAACTTTCAATTTTCGATTTACACCCCCCCCCCCCCTCAAACTTTCGATTTGCACCCCCCACCTCTTTAAAAGGCTATTTAACACTCTAATTAATCACTCTATTAAGTGGAATTATCATTTTTCTCTATATATTTTGCTATTTTTTGCCTTGGTGTCACCCCCGTAAATGGTGTCACCCGGTGCGGTCCGCACCCCCCCGCACTCCCCTCGCTACGCCCCTGCTGATGATAATCTAAAAGGAAATGGCAAACCAGATACTACTAACGATTTCTAAATAAATCATTTTTCTAAGAAGTAGGCTATATACAAACCGTTTCATTCGGAAATAACTTTTTCTTTCCGCGCCCATTCTCATTTAATTACATACACATTTATTTTACTATTTATTAACCGTTATTATTTTGGTAATTGTACTTATTTTCTGATCTTTATTTGTATATAGGACTACAAGGATTTCGCACTGAAGGAATTGAGACATTATAACCAAAAATACCTAGTCTTCCACAAAAGACGTCTCATATAAAACCCCATGCAAAATTTCTTTCATTAGTAAATAGCGTTGTAGCTCATAAAAAGGCCCGTTTTACTTGCCTATTAATAGGCTAATTAAGGGTTTCTGTAAACAAGCCACACACCTGGTGTGGAGGGCGGGGGACGACTTGTGTGATGTGGAGAGGGAAGGGGTGGAGTCAGAAAGTATGAAGACACACTTTCATATTTTAAAAAGTAAATGTTCTTTTAATTTAATAAATCATGTATGTTGTCCTAGCATACTCAATATTAAAAGAAGAAATATCACTGTTTAGATAAATAAAAAAAATATAAATTTTGGGGTGTTGGGTGGTGCTTGGCATTTACACCGATCATTGCAGTAACTTGCGATCTTAGTCCCAAACTAAAGTTATCAGCCCCTTATTATAGGCCCTACGTCCGTGGTCAGCTCTTCGGCGTGAAAACACGAATAACATCTCACCCTGGTCATCCGGCTGATCAAGTGATTACTATATATAGGCCGATTGGGACACAATCATTTTTATCCTCAATTTTAGATTGAATATCCATTTCATGGAAATGTGGTATCATCCTTAAGAAAGTCGAATTGAGTTTATGTGAAAACGAGAAGTAGATCTAACAACCTTCTATCAGTAGCTGGAATTTTTTTTTTCCCAGAGTAGAAGTAAATGGCATCTAAAATTCTAGCGTAAATAGTAAGTTGACTTCAGGGCAAATAGATTAAGTGATGACCAAATATTCATTAGAATGGAACGTAGATTTTTAAAAAAAAATGTATTTGAAGCTTCCAACATGTATCAGGCGTCTCTTCGCCCCCCCCCCCCCCCCCAGAGGCGTAGCGACCCTTCCCGGCGCCCGGGGCGAACTTTCAATTTGGCGCCCCCCCCCCCGCTTATATATATATATATATATATATATATATATATATATATATATATATATATATATATATATATATATATATACATATATATATATATATATATACATGTGTGTGTGTATAATTATGTGTGTGTGATAGTGTGTTTATATATAAGCTTGTGTGTGGGTAAGAGTGTAAGCGTGTGTGTAAGCGTGTATGCTACAGTCCGGACAAGGTTTAATAATTACATTGTATGATTTTCATTCCTTAAAACTTTACGACAATTTAGTTCACATTAAGATGCGTTTAACTTTTTTTGCGAAAGATTAGTAATGTCAGTAAAAAAAATAAGCCTGATCTGTGTTAGAGGGTAGTTTGTAGCTAACGCTAATATGTTTAGACCAGCCTTTTATGTTCTAGTTTTGGAACGATCTCTGTTGTGATATGGTACATAGTTGGATTCGAAGTTTGTTGGAGTAAGGACACACAAGTGACATACAAGAAGAAGTTATCAGAAATATTTATTGTTCACATTGGAATACGACATGGGTATTTCGTTGATTGGTTGATGGTATGACAAAACAAGCTAGAGAAAACAAACTGGAATTCAACGGATGTTAACAGCTCGTAGTCTTGGATTTTGCAGATTTTCCCTGCCTTCTCACACACAGAGTTTCTTCCAGATATCTCTTTGGGGGGGGGGCAAAGCCCCCCCCCCCCCCCCGAAAATTTTTTACCGCCCCCCAGAACGAAATGAAATTTATATAATTTATATATAGAAAATATATACGTTTAACAGTGTCCGCCCCCCCCCGAAGAAAGTCTACCGCCCCCCCCCCCCCCCTCGAAAATTTCAAGTGCCCCCACGGAGAAAAAAGTCTGAAAGAAACACTGCTCGCACAACGTCAACAACAAATGCAGAACTAATTGTATTGATTGAAGAAGCAGTAACAATCAATTTAATGATAGCCCATGACGTTCTAATTATAATCAGCAGCAATAAAACGCGTTTTAAGTTATTTTAACACTCTAAGAAAATGTGGAATTCAAATGCATTGTCAAAAAAATTAAATCAGGATCTATAACTAAATGTGGTCTCTTTTACTGTATGGCTTGGAGCTAGATTACAGACAGTGGAGAATGAAATAAGAGCATGGAAAAAAGTGGTGGTTAGTGGCTTAGGGATTCAAGAATCCGTGATATTTAGTTCTCTCTAATATAGTTCAGTGATCCAGGTAAGATGTAATGCAATCAATCAAAACTATCTGATCTCTCACGTTGAAGTTGAGAGAATCGTAAGAATCTTACAAAGAACTAGTCGCGTCTTTTTTTTTTTTAACAAAACTGGCTATTGAAATTGTACATTACGCGTTAATACACTTGGTTTCTTTACTAAGTGTTAAGAGAGTTATCTACTCACCAATCCAGTACAAATACTTGCGATTTTTGTTAGCGAAAAAAGCGCCCCCCGCCCCCACACACACTCATCACAACCATCTTGGACAAAGTTTGTAGAGCTGTTTTTAACGTAACTAACTTTTTTTAAAAACGTTACACAATTATACAATGCACAGTACAATTCGTTTCTTTCTGAGAGCTAAAGGTTGTTTACTCAGAATCCTGTGTAATTTTGCTATTTTATTTAGCCTAAAAGCGCCCCCCTGCACCATCTTGATAAAAGTCACTAACGTATTTTACAGTTCAACAATCGTACAATAGTTTTAATACAATTGGTTTCTTTTAATAGTGGTAACGTTTATCGACTCAACAATCTAGTGTAAATTCTTCCGTTTTAAGTCTTGAAAAAGCGCCCCCCCCCCCCATCTAGGAAAAGCTTCAAAGCGGTTTTGCCGGTCACTGTTTCTTAAGAGTATATGTTTTACATTAAGAAATCAAGGTAGAAAACAGTTAAATCAGTATGTAAAGGCGTGTAGCCATTACATTTCTTAACTTAGACAGTTTATAATTTAAAACTGCAGCATAAAATCAGCTTTAAAAATTTTTTCCCACCCCTTTTGGCGCCCCCATAGGGTCGGCGCCCGGGGCGGCCGCCCCCCCGCCCCCCCCCTAGCTACGCCTCTGCCCCCCCCCCCCAAAAAAAAATTCTACCGCCCCCAAATATATACTTTTAACAGTGTCCGCCCCCCCTCCCCCAAAGAAAGTCTACCCCCCCCCCCCCCCCCCCGAAAGTTTCAAGTGCCCCCCCCCCCCCCGGAGAAAAAAAGTCTGGAAGAAACACTGAATGGAAGATATATGAGGCTATCCATACGAATTGGCAAGGACTGCTCTCAGATGGACACCACAGGGCAAGAGAAAACGAGGGCGACCAAAAAAAAAGACAAAGGAGAAAGAATTAAAGAAAAAAAGCCAGCATTCCAAACAGGCAGAGACTATAGCTAGAGACAGGATGAAATGGCGGCTGTCACTTGTTGGTGCCTCATGCGCTAATGGGTGCTGAGAGACGATGATGATGATGATGACAGGCTATCCGGAAAAAAAGTTATAATAAAACAAAGGACATGTATATGCAGATAATCAATGCTGTGTGCACAATGAAAATCAATAAATAAAATGGCTCAATATCAGAGCGGGGGTCACACGATACTGCGTCATATCACCTGTCATCTCTTTTTAAAGGTTATAGATTGGGTTCTGAGAAAACCAATGAGTTTCTTGCAGGCGTCACAGCACTGCCCCCCTCCCCAAGCACCCCCACCCACCGAACGAATAGATAATATATATACTTTAAATACTGTAATATATATATATATATATATATATATATATATATATATATATATATATATATATATATATATATATATATATATATATATATATATACTTTAACCAGTGTTCGTCCCCCACCCAACCTTTGAGAAATACTGACCATTGAGGACAAACCAAAAGGAATTGGATGAGAACTTAACAGCCAGCTGGAAGAGTGGGAATTTGTGGACGAATCGGCTGTACTTTTACACGATCAAAAAGACATTCATGGGAAACCTATTGAATCGAACAAATGGTTTATAAAGTGTTGGGCTAAAGATCAACTCTGCGAAAATGAAGCAGATGAAAATTAAAATAAAAAATAATAGTTCTTGCGCTCGCAAGACATATGGATTACACTAATGGGGTAGAACTAAAAGATGCCGAAGTTTCAAACAGTGGCGTAGCGAGGGGGGGGGGGGGCGGGGGGCGGACCGCACCGGGTGACAACATTTTAGGGGGTTACACCAAAGCAAAAAAAATAGCAAAATACATAGAGAAAAATGATAATTCCACTTAATTAAGTGATTAATTCGAGTGTCAAAAAGTCTTTTAAGAGCAAATTTGACAAATCCCGACAAGGGTGGAGAGGGGGGGGGGGGGGGGTGGGTGGGGTGCAAATCGAAAGTTTGAGGGGGATGCGAATCGAAAGTTTGAGGGGGGGGGGGGTGCAAATCGAAAATTGAAAGTTTGTCCCCGGGCGCCGGGAAGGGTCGCTACGCCTCTGGGGGTTGACATCATTAAGTGCCGCACCGGGTGACACCCGACATCGCTACGCCACTGGTTTCAAATACTTTGGCATCTTCATTTCAGCTAATGCCAGCAAGGAAAAAGAAATTGCCACCAAAATAGCAAAGACAACACAAGCCTTTAACAGACCCTGGAAATATGAAAACTGAACGAAATAGTAGAAATACAACAATATTTGTATAGATTCTAATAGGTAACTTTTTTTTTTGCAAATTAAGAGAAGATTCGCTTTGAACGTCGATTAAAATAAACGCATAGAATAAAACAATATTATCTAATTTAAGTTAGTGGTCGTCAAATTCGTAGGAAAATTGGGGAGGGGGGGGGGGGGGGGTTGTAATAAAAAAAAGTGTACACTTCACTCTACTTAGCAACTAAAAAAGCAATTTTTAAAACTGAATTTTAAAGCTGTTACTTTGCATCATTCAAAGATTATCCAAAAATTGTAATAAGGGGTCGTCCATAAATGACGTCACACTCGTATGGGGAGTGGGGGGCCGTAATTTTGTGACGGTGTGTGATGAGGGGGAGGGGGGGGGGTTCAGGTGGTGCGACGTCACACTTTATTATCATTATAAAAAAGCAAGACAGGGGGAAGGGGGAGGTAAAAATCGTCAAAAAAGCGTGACGTCATTTATGGATGACCCCCTAAAAATAAATCTTAAAAATAGATTTGAATTTCTTTAATAAAGACTTTATCTAGACTAGATCTAGATTCTGCTTACTATGTCAGTAGGCTTGGTTATTAAATTTAAAATATCTTAGGCCTATTTATTATTATTATTATTTTCTATCATCTATAGCAATAACAAATAATGTAAAAATATTATATAAAGAAAACATCGAAACTAAATTTATTCCAAGGGGGTAGTAAAAAGATGGATTCAGTAGATACTATTCTCAGTATCGGTAGTACAATATCAAGTGTTTTAGGGCTAGTGTTTTATAGATACTACAGAAATCGGACGGATACAGCAAGACAAGTTAAAGTAGGTTTACCAGCGAATATTATCAATGCATATAATTTATTAATAATATATTACATTTATAATTAAATGTATGTCATACTCCTCCCTGTCTGCACTTCATGAATGAACGAATGAAATATTCTACTGATTGTCTGATGTAATTTCTAAGTAATAGTCTATTAATAATTTTTTTTTATTATAATAGTATTATAATTATTATTAAATATAAATAGGCCTAGATCTACTAGACGTCTAGACTAGATCTCTAAATCTAGATCTAGATTCTCTAGTAATTTTGTACAAAACAAAAACTATTAAAAACTTACGTTTAGTAGAAATTTAGGCCTAGACCTAATACTAATGTTACTATAAGTTTAGACTTTAGAACTTTAGGAAAGCTAAAATCGACCCAAGCTAGTATTTTAGTAATAATTAATAATTATGTAATATGTTAACATACAATTAGGCTAAGTATTAAGTAGCACCAAATAACTCTTGAATTCATGACTATTTAAAATAAGGTTATTTGATTTAATATATTAAATTTAAAACAGCTGAATTCACTTTCTATTTGATATTTGAATTAGAGATGTTTATTTAAATTTAACAGCAACTCCGAGTATGGCACCCAGATGTGGATTTGCTGAACCATTTGAACGCCGCGGACAATCAAAGTTTGGATTATGCAGCTGTAGAAGGTGTGGTAAAGGAGATGGGACGCAACCTCCGCAGTCACTACATACCGGCTGAAGGGGTTATAAAACGTTCACAAATTATTGAACATAAATCTAAACGAGTCAATGGATTCTGGTTGGTTGTTTTAAATATAATTTTACTTACCGTAAAAGTAGCTAGAAAATGTTTCAGAGAAGATAAGAATTAGGGCTTGGCTAGAGTAGTGTAAGTTTAACATGCTTTAGTGTTTGTTCTACTACTGCAGTAAGACCCATGTTGGTTTGAGGCAATCATTCAATTTAATTACCAATAACTGTTTTACCTTTACCACTCCTTTAGTTAAAAGAAAACCAAAAAGTTGAACACAACAGACAAAGTGCATTTATTTGAAAGCTATCAGTATATAATGTTGCTCTAAAAAATTTCAGGAGTGAAATGAAGAAAATTATCAAAGATTCTACAGAAATGGTACCTTTTGCCATTATGAAGTCAGAGCAGGGTGACCCCAAGTACAGAGTGGAAGTGCTGGATCCAGCTAGTGCCGGTCAGATCCAAGATGAACTTAGTTCAACTCATGACCATTTTGAGCCAAGCAAATCTACCTTTATGCAGGTATCTTTTATAGTTTAAAAACTGTTTTTGGCAAAAATGGGGTTGGAGTGGTTGGGCTCGTGGCTCGTCAGCTGGGGACAGCAACCCATCTAGGAAAGAAAACTTCAAAATCAAACAGGAATAGAGCTCCTTAGGTGATAGGATTACCAACTCTGGTTTTCTTTTAGCTGATTCCAAGTTGTACAGGAAACATCCTTTCCCTTAGGTCCATCAGCTGTGTGGAGAGAGTGGGTCTGATATGTGGGCAACATTCTAGCCCCTCACTTTTTACTGCTCAAGCTTTGTGCTTGAATTTACAATGGGAAATCATCCAATGGTCTATTAGACTGTGGAGCCACATACATACTAGAAATACAATTATAAATCCTACACTATTGTTATATTGAAATCTAAGAGCATGCATAATTTTTGTGAATTGAATGTGAATGTTGTATTTGTATCAGTGCCAATAGATTTTTAAAAAAAATAACCTCGTTATTGAAATTTACTGTGGTTATAAAGCTTTTTAAAAGCATTACCTCACATTGATAATTATCATTATTGTCATTTTACTCAAATTATTTATTTATTCCTCCAGATCGGCCTGGATAGACTTTTTGGTGAAGTATCAAAGGGTATCCAGGAGACAGAGTCCATGCTCTTAACAGGCACCACTGTGCTAGGTGTTGGCAAGGTATTTTTGGAACGTGGGCAACTCAAAATAACTGCCCCTGAAGAATCTAACAGATCGTACATTGTCACCACTATGAGACTCCCTGAATTAGTTCGCCACATTGAGTCACAGTCATCCACGTATAAAATACTCTCCATCATTTTCACAATTGTTGGTGGCAGCATGCTCGCCTACATCATATGGAAACACGTGAAAAAATATTTAGAAGACAGAAAGTCTAAATTAGAATTTGAAGCCATTCGCAGGAATTTAGCAGAAGCTCGTCGAGTCCAGAGCAAACCCTCACGCAGCACAAGTCAGCAGGAATCTGAGGAGGAAGAGGGCCAGAGCGGATTGAGAGAAGAGGACACCTGTGTGGTTTGTCTGACCAACCCCCGCCAGGTCATTGTCCTGAACTGCGGGCACATCGCCATGTGTGTGGACTGTGCCGAGCTTCTGCCCGTACCAAAGAAATGCCCAGTGTGTCGCGCGGATGTGGAACGTGTTATGCCTGTTTACCGTCCTTAATGAAATCTGTTTAGTAGTTTGTTACTTTAAAAAATTTTCATCAAGCAATGTTGATTATTGAACATCTACTTTAATTATTCCAGCCTGTATTGGATTAAAATTTGACTGCATCAGTACATCAGCTTATATAAATTACCAGATCATATAATAGTTACAAGAGTTAAGTGTACTCCTGTTGAAAAGATTTCAATTGTGTTAGCTTTTATTTCCCCTGTGAGTTGTACTTGTACAATGACTTCTAATAAAGCCATATTTTTTAAAACTAATCTTGTGTTTGCTTTAAAAAATTGATTTGATTATAATTTGACAATGTTCTTATCAATAGTTTTAGTCATCTGAACACAGTTATCATTAAATAATAAAAAACTAACACTATTGTTAAAATTATACCCGAGCAGATTTATAAAACGAGAAAGTTAATTTATTAGTGTTGAAGATAAATAATTTTGGTATGTTTATTTTAACTTCATGATGTACAAAAATTTCAAGCGAAAAATTCTCATTAATGAATAAAAAACCCAAATGAATGGGGTTTATATCAATTGATGGGCAAATTAGTACAAGTCAAGGTGCTTATAAATAACAAGTTGAATGATATGTATTTCTACCTATGGCATAGCTTATTGTTTGACTGGTAAGAACTCTATCCTGTAACTAGTGTAACTTGTAAGATTGAGGGTTGTCTTGCTTTGGTTTATAGAAATCACAGGCATCTCTAACTCAAGAATTAATATTTATCAAACACATTTAAACCAATAATTACAGATTTTATTCTTTAAATAACCATTATGCATAACAAGATTAATTCAACTTCATTGTTGGTCTTGTTTCTTCCAGCCATGTTATTTATAGTTACCATAGCTAGAGATCAGTGTTCTACCCAATCAGCTGATGTGTAACAAAATTCTTATAGTTATACCTAATCAGATTATGTTAACAAAATTCTTGAGTGAGTTTTTCTAACCAATCAACTAATGTTTAACATGTATCAGAATACATTAATAGTGTCAACTGCTTAAACATGGATTGTGACAATTTTTTAAAGAAATAATTGACACCGGATAATTTTTACTCTGCAATACAATATACAAAAACTATTCATAGAATTAAAATATAAGCTTGTATTAATATAAATATGTATATATAGGCTATATATATATAAATATACACTATGCGCATGTTAAATTTAAAAACAATTCACTAATTACATGTGTGTATACTCGTTAGCAAATATAAAAAGTATATCATATACTATTTATAAACTGACATTTTCAATTACCATAGAATAACTTATCATTTGCTGGCTATTATACTTTTAAAACAATTAAACTAATAACATATTCAAGATTCAATACAAAATTATTTCCTGAATTTCATTAGTTACCAGCCAATTAAAAAGTGTATAATTATTAAGTTGAACTACCTAATACATTAAGCATAAAACTTAACAAAAAAAGTAAACTTGTTTCAATAATATTTAAGTTTTATGTTATAGGCTTGTTTGAAAAAATGGAAACTAAAAATAAATAAATTGCAAGGACTGGACTAAAATTTGACCACTGGTTTGTACATTTGTTGTTTCTTTGGTCGGTATAAGAGGTCATCTTCTAAAACTTTGTGACCTGCACGGGGGCGTTGCAGAAACACCTGCGGATCGTTCAGTAACTGTGACTCTACACTGAGTGGACGGTGTCCATCTGCCTTCTCAATCTCCTGGAATGTGGTTATGGCATTGTCGCTCATGTGGTGTACGTCACTACTGGAGGTTGTCCGTATGTTTACAAACATTTGACTGATTTCCTCCATTACGACAACAGTCTGGTAAAGGGAGATAAATAAACCAAGGTCTATAACCTACTTCTATTTAAATAATGTCAGCTTTTCCAATACTAAAATATGTGCTTTTTGTCATTATATTAATACAGACTTTTTAGGATGCCTTTTGAAAAAACATAACAGTGAGCTTAATTTTTATTTTATTTCATCATAATTAAAACATTTAAAAAAAAAATTATTGTAGAAAATAAAAATTGGTAAAATAATATCTAAGATGCTTACATTTTCTTGTATAATGGGATAAATGCAGTTGGTTCTCCTGTCTGTTTCTGTAACACTTTTGATCTTCTTTTGAATAAAATCTGGCATAGTTGTCACACACATTGAGACCCTCCACTCTGAGACTATCTGGGCCTTCTCTATCAGAGCTTTTGTCATGGAACTCAAAATACCAAGATTTAAAGGACTCTGGTGCAATAATAAAAATAATACACAGATTATATAAACCAGCCCCCCACTCCCCCCAAAAAAAAATAAACACATCTTAATTTTTAAATTAAGATGTGAGCTTTTTGTCAATCAATAATGAAATGAGAACTAAAGTTAGCCCACATGAGCCTAAATATTTTAAATAAGGTTTGATTTATTTTTCTACCTTTCAAAGGTAGTTACTTTTTTGTTTTAAAAGGCCACTAATTATTAATTAGAGGTAACTGGCTAAGTAACGAGAATTTCAAGGAATGTGATTGTAACTTACAACTGTTTGCACTGAGCTGCCAGTTTGTGAAGGCTCAATAGGAAGAAATTTTGAAAACTCTATCTCAAACTCCACAAGCTCTGCAATGGACTGAGCCAACGTGGCAGCATATTCTGCCTGGCCAGCTATACTGTGGAACATTCTCCATGCATCCACAATGTGGTCAGTGTCCTAGTACGTCAAATAAAATAAAGAAAATCATTTTAGTTCACTATATATAAGAATTAATGGTGAAAACTATTGATGAGAAATAATTTCTAATTATGTCGAAAAGAATTTTGAAATGACTTAGGTGGGGGGGGGGGGGGGGGGGGGGAGGAGTCTATCTACAAAAATAAATCTTTATTTCAAAATAATTAAAGTAATTTTCTTAAACTGCAGTGATTTATAAATATTTTATATCACGTTCATGCTACATGTAAAAACATGTTATAAAACAACCCTAGGCTACTCTCTGTCCATATTTAGGGAACATTTTACTTACATCAGATATTAGTGATCTGTACAGAAGTAGCCTATGAACTTCCATGAACTCAGACTTTTCTCTAAGTAGCAGTAGCTGTTTATCCAAGGCGGTAACTGCTGCTAGAATGTTTGATGAGCTTAGTGGATTGCCTCCCCTTAAAGGACCACCATTTTGGTAGTGAAAAGCTGCCTGTTAGATAGAAATTTTGTATGTATGTCACAGTATGCTATACAAAATTGACAACACTAGATTTAGTTATCAAATCCTAAGTTAAATTTAGAAAAGAGACTAATAGTCTTGAAAATCCATATAATTCTAAAATATTTTTAAAATTTCTTAATGAAGTAGAAAGTTTAAAATGTTTTTATATTATTTTAGTATTTTTCTATACAAAATGAGTCTTACTCTTTCAGGAGAAGAAAACACAGTAGTGTAAAAATAGACAGGATCATCTTGAAAGAAAGTTTCTGTGCTGATAATAAAAAAGTAATTTGGTAATTCATTGTAATAAAAGTAGCTCAATTGTTATTGTATCAAGTACAATGCAAACTTTTTGTTATTGAAGTTTTGTTTATCTAACATGCTAACTCACCAACATAAATAAAAATGAGGTATATTATATCACTACACATCTAAAAACAAAAGTTAAATTTAGTATTTATGAAGATATCATGTAATATTGTATGTGGTTATTGCCCCTGATTTATTGTTTCCATTCCAAACTAAACATGAGTAGCCTCTAAACTAAAATTAATATTTTAACAACCACAATGAATTGAAAATTTAATCTGCAAATCATCTAAAATAAAGTTCATCTTTCTGACCTAAAGATCCATAGGGTAGATGAAGTAGAGTTCACATGTTTCTAGACCTAGACATGGTGTGGTCAGCACTATGCCCAGCAGCCTTCTCCTAACATGAGTGTTGTGAACACACGTACACACCTTTATGGGTGATCCAGTATGTAGCGCAACATATAATCAAACAACCACAAACGAGTTACAAAACAAGACTAAATGAAACAAAGGCTTGTTAACACTAAAAGAGTTTAATACTATGTACACTATCAACACAACACAGGCTATTCTAAATATAAATACATACGCTAATACACAAACTATGATACAGGGCCTATCCTACAGTACAGAACCAACCTACACTAAATTTGTGGAAGAACTGGACTAATCTGAGGAAATCACACACATTCTCACACACCTTATGTACATGTGCACACACATGTACAAACAGGACTGACACAACTCACCGCATGAGGATTGAACTGGGATGAACGGGACACTGTACAAAAAATAAACAACATTCAACCTCACTCATCCCCCTTCACTCATTCACTACAATGAGTTAGTCACCAATCAGAGCTGGGTGGACTCAGGGAAGGCCTGCAGTCTCAATCCTCTAAATACTTGTAATAAAATGAATCTCTAGAATGTGATTATTACTGTCAAAACTTGTGACTGTCAATGAATGAGTAGCTCAAACTAAGTTTACTAACACCCACCTGATTTCATCTTCTCTGATATAGTGTAGTAGAAAAAGCTTTATGACAGGAACATATCTCCATCCATCCATCAAAACATATGCCTAGACAAAAGAAAAAAATAAAGCAAATTTCATCCAAATTTGTGTACTGCTTAAATATGGGACGGGGTGGCCTAGCAATAGAGAGCTAGACTGCTAATCCAAAAGTCTAGAGTACGAATTTGCATTTAAGTCAGTAGAATGTCCATGAGTCCGCCCAGCTCTGATGGGTACCTAACTTGCATTACGGAAAGTAAAGGTGGCTGCAGAGGCGTAGCAAGGGGGGGCGGGGTGTGTGGACCGCACCGGGTGACACCATTTAGGGGGGTAACACCAAGACAAAAAATAGCAAAATATATAGAGAAAAATTTGAGGGGGGGATGCAAATCAAAAGTTTGAGGGGGGGGGGGGTGTGCAAATTGAAAATTTGAAAGTTTGTCCCAGGGAAGGGTAACTACGCCTCTGGTTGGGGGGGGGGGGGTGACACCATTAAGTGCCGCACCGGGTGACACCTGACCTCGCTGTGCCACTGGGTGGCTGGGATTAGTGCTGACCACATTATGCTTTCATATGTTTGTGGTCTCTGAAACAGTTGAATTCTATTTCATCTGATGAAATAAAGCTATGAGTACAAATGAAATATGTAATGAGAACCTTTTTTAGGTAAAACAATGAATAGGGAAGGCTAGTGCATAACATATCAAATTATACAAAAAAGACACTATAATTTATATAAGTTGTCAATTTATAAGTTGCTGGCCTACAATTCGATTCCGTATACAATGATTGTGTTCTGTTGTACATGTTTACTTATTAAGTAAGATTTTCATACAGCTAATGGTTTTCTATTAAATTGAAGTGTACGAAAAAAAAAGTAGAAAAATAAAAATATATTAAATGTAATATTACAATTTAATATAATATAAACCCATGATTTGATCTAACAGCTTTAAATCTTTAATATCATTACCATTGAATTTCTCTTTATGTAAACAGATGTTGAGAACATATATATAGGTTGTTTCCCTTAGATATTTAAAAAATTTTAAGTGGGAAGTAAGGCAGATAAATATTTTTTATTTTATTTTTGAACTTCAACATTAAATCTGTTCATTCTGTAAACCAGCTGTCTCCATAAATTAAAGTAATCTAAGACTTGTGAACCAACCTTTAGATAAATTTGTTCTTTCTGTAACACAGTCATCTCCATAAATTAAAGTAATCTAAGACTTGTGAACCAACCTTTAGATAAATTTGTTCTTTCTGTAACACAGTCATCTCCATAAAGTAATCTAAGACTTGTGAACCAACCTTTAGATAAATTTGTTCTTTCTGTAACACAACAGTCTCCATAAAGTAATCTAAGACTTGTGAACCAACCTTTAGATAAATCTGTTCTTTCTGTAACACAGACGTCTCCATAAATTAAATTAATCAAAGACTTGTGAACCAACCTTTAGATAAATCTGTTCTTTCTGTAACACAGACGTCTCCATAAATTAAATTAATCAAAGACTTGTGAACCAACCTTTAGATAAATCTGTTCTTTCTGTAACACAGACGTCTCCATAAATTAAATTAATCAAAGACTTGTGAACCAACCTTTAGATAAATCTGTTCTTTCTGTAAAACAGCTGTTTCCACCTCTGAGAAGAAGCCAAGCTTTTTGTTGATGATTTCCTCCCACGACCACCTGATTCTGTCCTTCCCAATGAAGACTCCAAGGATGGGCACTTTGTTGTCAGTCACCAACTCAAAGATGTGCTTTTGAACTTTAAAGAAAAACAGAAGTCATTTTCTGTACTAATAAATTTAAACAAAGTGGGTTTCTATGAAAGTCACAAAAAGATTTCTTAAAATTGCTTTATATTGTACATATAATTTACTTTTATTTTTGTTCTGTTGAAAACTTAAGGATACAATATAATTTGTTATTGAAAATACTTTTTAATAAATAGAACACAAATTATTTCAATTTATGTTAGATGCTAAGTTCCTCTGAACAAAAGTTGGAGAGCATTTAGTTTAAATATTACGAATAAAGTGACATTATTTATTTTCAACAAAGGTGTTAAGAGTAAAAAAAATTAGATTTATAGTTTTTGCAACAATAGAGAAAATAGTATGAAAACATACTTTTCCATTTTTAAAATAGAAATATTGTAAACAGAAGTTAGATTTAGTTTAAATAAAGTAACTTATTATATGTTACTTATATTACATCAATTTAGTACAATAGAAAATTTTTCTTTTAAAACAATAACAAATTATAAACTTACTAACAGAAACCTAACTTACGATACAGAACTTTTACTATTAAAACAATTAGACACTATGGACTAATCCATAAAACTAACTTACGATCCAGAACTTTTACTATAAAAATAGTAAAACACCATGGACTAACTTACCATAAAAGTAACTTACAATACAGCAGTTTTACTATTAAAACAGTAAGACACCACAGACTAACTTACAATAAAACTAACTTACGATACAGAAGTTTTACTATTAAAACAGTAAGACACCATAGACTAACTTACCATAAAACTAACTTAGAATACAGAACGTTTATTATTAAAACAGTAAGACACCATAGACTAACTTACCATAAAACTAACTTACATCCAGAAAGTTTATTATTAAAACAGTAAGACACCACAGACTAACCCATAACAGCAAAGAGCTGTGCAGCATCAGTCTGGCAGCCAACTGGACCCTGTATGTAGTAGTGTTCATGCAAGTCTAGCTGTGTCAGGTATGGCTGCATCTTGCCATACAGAGCAGCAGGGCCAGTAACTCCAAGACACAGCCCAATCTAGACAAAGTATTTCATAAAAGTTTTCACTTTCTCCTACATAAAACTCCCCTTCCTTGATTAAATGTATTGTTGCTGTGTAGATTCACCTAGAGAGATATTCAATGTGTTTATTCCCCACCTATGTAATTGTACCCTAAAAATCAGAGAGAGCTGTTTTCAATTATTTATTTTTGTCAAAGTCTGGTTATATCCGCTTGTATGTAATTCAGTCTTATTCCCGCACAGATGCGTAGCTTGTATTATTTGTTCATTGTGAGTGGTAGATTTTGTGGTTGATTGTTTTCCTTCTGAAAACATTAGTGATGTATTGCTATACAACATTGAGTAAGTCTCTTCTAATGTAGAACATTTATTATTTTAAATTCAAGAAATAATTTTAATTATTCTATTCAACAATAAAACTAGTATTTCTAAAGAAACAAAAAACCAGTAGGTTAAATTTCTAATAATATTTAAAACGTTGACAGTTGAAAACAATTTTGGTAAAATAATTCATTTTGAATACAATTACCCTGTAGGGACCTTTGCGATGGAGGTAAGCTTTGTTGATGAGATTATCCTGAACACATTGGAGAAGGGGAACATAACCACCAGGGTCCAACAGGGCAATGGCAGTTGCTGCCCCTGGAAAGGATAAATATATTTCAGGTTATGATGGCCCGCGGAATGGAGATAAATATTGCATGTTATGATGGTCCATCTGATAAACTCTTTTGGAAATGTTTGACTGAAGTGTTAAAAACACGGCAAGAGCATTGTCAGGGTCGGAGAGCAAAACTGAAGTATTTAATTCAGATCTTTAGTTCAAGTCTCAATGCCATCTACCCAGCTCTAATGAATACCTGACCTATGTCAGGCAAAGTAAGGGGTGCTATTCTTTTATAATCTGAGGTCACAGAAACAGATGAACTCTACTTCATCTGCCAGGTTCAGCAACAGTAGCTTACTTAAATAATAAGGCCTTGATAAACCACTCTATATGACACAATTTAACTGCTGCTTAGCCACTTTCATGAACTATCCATAAGAAATTGTACTAAGATGATCTTATTGTTAGGTTCATAACAACACAAATAATTTAAATTTACCACACCACCACAAACACCACTTGCCACATATTAAACCACTTACCACACCCATCACAGTTGGAAAACTGATTGAAAGTTATCTGGATCACAACACATTACATCATCACAACACACTACATCACCACAACACACTATATCACCTCAAAACCACATCACCACAAACCACTAAATCACAATAAAACCATATCCCCACAAAAACATCCCCACAAAACCACATCCCTACAAAACCACATCTCCACAAAACCACATCACCACAAACCACTTACCACACCCATCACAGTTGGGGAGTTGATAGACAAAATTATCTGAGTCAACTAGCTGTGCTGTCTTAGTCAACATGCGCTCCAGTATAACAGATTCGGACTCGTAACAAAGATCCATCCTGCAGAGATAAAACCAATCAAATAGATCATTTGTGTACTTATAAAAGCCCAAACTTATATTAGGTTTTTTTAAAACCATTAAAGACAGAATCTTTATTTAGTTAAGATAGCTGTAATGGACATCTTTTTTAAAAACTATACTTCTGTTTGCTAATAAAATAAGCTCAACCTTACCATTAATTAGGTTAGCAATATAACAAATTTACTATCATCTTAATTTTAATCTTAGCATAAATACAGATTTGTACTAAATTTTTAAGAACCTTGTGTTTCCAAGTAGATTAAACATAAGAAATGTTTATAAGAATTTATTTTATTATCATGTACAAAAACAAAAGTCAAAATATAAAGACAGCTTACACCTTTACAGCTTTAATTTTTTTTAATGTTTATTCACAACTTATTTTAATGTGGTGTATAAAAACAAAATGTAATGGAAGTTTCTGCACAATTTAAATACATTACTTCATAGTTGATGTGCGACATCTGCTGATAAAACTTGGGTATGGATTGGGTGGTAAATGTGTTTTTTCAAATGTCTCTTCCAAAAATTGCTCCCACATTTCGTCTAAGTGTGTATCCAACATATACTGGAAATAGGGAAAATCATACATTTAAATCAAGTTATCATTTGTGCTTGAATATTTTTTTTCTAATATATCTTATTAAGTAATTAACAAAATTTGAAATCATGTGATACATGCTTTATACATATTCCATTACAAAACATAATTATAATTATGATATTTTTTGTTTTCAAATTCAATAAAATGATTTTAATAACTATGTACACAAGGCTAACAAAGTATTTTTTTTTTTTAAATGTTAATTGCTGGGAATGACTTAATCACCTTCATTAAAACTGATTCTTTGGCAATCACTTTAGGGGATGTGTCTCTCTCCATACACTTGGATACAACAATGGCTGAGGATGAAAGTGAAACAGCTTTTTTTTTTATATTATCTCCCTTAGTTATAAAAATTCCCTGCTGCTGAACTATTTTATAAACTACAAATAACCTGATATAAGCTGTTTCAGAGTACCACACACAAAATATATAATATATATTTAATAAACATGCTTTTGATCCTGAGGGTATGTTAATCTATGGTACTGTAAAGAATCTTTGTAAGCAAGTTATTTATGGGTCATTCTTAAAACAATTCCTGAATGCATATCAATAAGAACAAAAAACAGTAACACCTACCACAAAAAAAAATTTAAATAAACTTTTCACCTGTTGTTAAAACATTAAACTTTCAATTTTATGTAAAGGATTATCAATAGTCTATACTTATCCATCTCCTTTTAAACAGTATAACAGAATAAAAATGCTTCAAAATACCAATAACTTTTGTCACCATAAATAAACTATTATGGTCACTGTAAGGCTATACCAATGCATTTTTAAAATTCTGCCTTCTTATTTTTCTACACATTTTTATAAATTAAAATTTAAATTAGTTTATAACAATTTTTGTATGAAATAATAGTTTTTGTTAAACAAAAAACAACACAAAAATTATTGATAAATTACTAAAAAATCTAGAACCAGCCTAAAATTGAAACTTTGTTTACTTGTGTTTTCATGTCTCATAATATGTTCATCTTCAAAGCCATGCCTCATGAAAGTTTCTTTTGGAATTCGATCCTGAAATAAAACAGTTTATTACAAAATGTGTTTATGTAAAATACCCTGGGTCCAGTTATCATTTTGTAACAAAACTTACCCTGGGTCCAGTTATCATTCTGTAACAAAACTTACCCTGGGGCCAGCTATCCTTCTGTAACAAAACTTACCCTGGGGCCAGCTATCCTTCTGTAACAAAACTTACCCTGGGGCCAGCTATCCTTCTGTAACAAAACTTACCCTGGGGCCAGCTATCCTTCTGTAACAAAACTTACCCTGGGGCCAGCTATTTCTGGATCTCTTGTGTGAGACCCCGGCCTTGGTATTGCCTCAGGAAAACTTATGTGAAGATCTTCTATTTGTTTCTATAGGTCAATTTAAAACAGAATTGAAAATAGGAATAACAAATTATTACTTAATTTTTATAAAATGAAAAATTTACTTTTTAAAAATACTCTTTATGTTTTGTTATTTAAATTTTTAAAAAGATATGTTTCACAAAACAAGTAATTAAGTCTTTAAATATTTAAAACTGCTATTCAAACATTTTTAAAAAATGTCTTGTTAGTAATGTAACTGGTGTTTTCTTTACATAGACCTAAAATACACTACTTAAAGTTAATTTTTTTAAAGTTTTAAAGTCCTATTTAAAAACAAATAAATGTGATTCTACCTTTACGTTGGGACACCAAAACAGAGCATCTTCCGACAGTCTCATTAAGGTTGTCGTCATGAAACTTTGTTGGTCCCTCAACGTTATCACAATCATATTAAGATGTGAGGCCAGCCCTAGCTCCTCATCAGTGACTTCTAGAAGTTGACTTACTTCAGCGGACATTCTACGGCCCACTGCCTTGAGATCTGAGCTGCGTTCATGTCTGAAAATTGCCACATTTTGTTTCAGCAAGCCAATAGAAATTTAAATTAACAGTACTACAACTGAGCCAATAGAAAATGAAATTAACAGAACTACATTTTGAGCCAATAGAAAATTAAATTAACAGAACTGCAATCTGCTTATGGGACAGCCTGGCCAGGTGGTAGCATTTAGAATAACTTACAAACTGGCAGCCAGAAGTTCATCAATCTCATGCTTGTATTCTAATAAAAACTTCCTGACTCTTTGTGTATCAGATCTCTGACAAAGATTATAAAATTTTAATTATCTGTTATTGACCATTTGGGCTGAGTAAAAAAAATGATAAACAGTAAAATTTGGATTTTTTTGTAAAATTCAAAGTAGGTTTCAAGATATTGATTTTGGTAAGTTACATACAAGAAGCATTAAAAACATTGATGTATGTTAAATTGTGTGTACGTAGCCTAAAAGATATTGTATAAAGAATATACATTCATAAAGCCTCGGATCAGGGCTCTAACTGCTTTGTTTTTTTCCCCCAGCATGTGGAGCTTCCCAGCAGTCCCATGACATAACTTGTACAGCTCAATCAACAGTGGCATGTCAGTTGTTTTCCTGGGGAAATGTATACATTAGTTGCATGTCAGTTGTTTTACTGGGGAAATGATTACATTAGTTGCATGTCAGTTGTTTTCCTGGGGAAATGTATACATTAGTTGCATGTCAGTTGTTTTCCTGGGGAAATGTATACATTAGTTGCATGTCAGTTGTTTTACTGGGGAAATGATTACATTAGTTGCATGTCAGTTGTTTTCCTGGGGAAATGTATACATTAGTTGCATGTCAGTTGTTTTACTGGGGAATTTTATACAATAGTTGCATGTCAGTTGTTTTCCTGGGGAATTTTATACAATAGTGGGATGTCAGTTGTTTTACTGTGGAATTTTATTTAGTTGCATGTCAGTTGTTTTCCTGGGGAATTTTATACAATAGTGGGATGTCAGTTGTTTTCCTGGGGAATTTTATACAATAGTGGGATGTCAGTTGTTTTCCTGAGGAATTTTATACAATAGTGGATGTCAGTTGTTTTACTGGGGAATTTTATACAAGAGTTGCATGTCAGTTGTTTTACTGGGGAAATGTATACATTAGTTGCATGTCAGTTGTTTTACTGGGGAAATGATTACATTAGTTGCATGTCAGTTGTTTTACTGTGGAATTTTATACATTAATTGTATGTCAGTTGTTTTACTGGGGAGTTTTTTACAATAGTGGGATACCAGTTTGTTTTACTGGGGAATTTTATACATTAGTTGCATGTCAATTGTTTTACTGGGGAATTTTATACAATAGTTGCATGTCAGTTGTTTTACTGGGGAATTTTATACATTAGTTGCATGTCGGTTGTTTTCCTTGGGAGTTTTACATAACAGCTAGATAACATACATACATCATCATACAATAGTGGGATAACATACATCCGCTATAAAATTTAATGCTACTAGTACCTTAAGGGTAATATTAATAATCTAGTAATTTTTGTTTGTATGTTTTGTACAAAAACACAGTTAAAAACATTGGCATATGTATATATACATGGCTGTATGTATGTGTGAGTGTAATTATTCTAACCTCTCCATAAGAATTAACAGAATCAGATGATAAACAATGTCAAACAGCTGGGCCCAGGGGTCAAAGGCAACAATACGTTTCTGTAGGTTGGATCTGTAGGAGGAAAAAAAACAAAAACTAATTTACAATAGTAACAAAATTTTATTTCACGTAAATGACTGACTATTGACATGTCCACACTCCCTACCACAAGTCCACTCTCCCCAGGACCATGATAAAATATGGCGAAAAAAAAAAGCTTTTAAAATTCAAAATACTTTTTTCTTATACCAACAGTGCAAAAAAAAAACAACAGTTTTTTAGAATTCAAAATACTTTATCTTATACCTATAGTGCAAAAAAAACAAACAACAACACAGCTTTATAAAATTCCAATACTTTTTCTTCTACCAACATTGCAACAAAAAAAACAGCTTTTTAAAATTCAAATACCTTATCTTATACTAGCATTACACGTTATTGACATATATTATTTCATTAAGACATAGCTAGAAAACTGTGTACACTCATCATACAGAATACCTGACACTTACTTTATAGGACTAGTAATCTGCCAGGAGAAGGCACCAGAGCCTGGGTCATCCCTCAGTCTGAAGCCATCAATCTGTGCCTTACGGGGCTTATGTTGCTGGAGCCTTTGGTGGACGTGGCGGTGGATGTAGTGATAGTCATCTTCAGCTACAGCTGAGTATTGTCTGGCTGCTAAGCCAGGTTGGCCTACAGCTGGTCGTGCTGTCAATAAGAATAGCACAATTAGGAGGGTTTTTTTTTTTTATCAATTGTAGTTTATTTTAGAGGGACTGCGTTGTCAAATGGTAGAGCTTATAACAGCTAATCTGAAAGTCTCAAGTACGGATCCCGGGATTGAGCTGGAAGGACGTCACTGAGTCCATCCAGCTCTGGTAGGTACCTGACTCAAGTTAGGAAACAAAAGCGGCTGGGCATAGTGCTGACCAGACAATCCCCTCATATGACAAGGTCCAGCTCTGGTAGGTAACTGACTCAAGTTAGGAAACAAAAGCGGCTGGGCATAGTGCTGACCAGACAATCCCCTCATATGACAAGGTCCAGCTCTGGTAGGTAACTGACTCAAGTTAGGAAACAAAAGCGGCTGGGCATAGTGCTGACCAGACAATCCCCTCATATGACAAGGTCCAGCTCTGGTAGGTACCTGACTCAAGTTAGGAAACAAAAGCGGCTGGGCATAGTGCTGACCAGACAATCCCCTCATATGACAAGGTCCAGCTCTGGTAGGTACCTGACTCAAGTTAGGAAACAAAAGCGGCTGGGCATAGTGCTGACCAGACAATCCCCTCATATGACAAGGTTATTGGAACAGATGTACTCTACTGCATCTGCCCCATGTGTCTTGGGGATGAATAGGAAAAGATGTAATTTATTTTAACATCCTTAAAGTAGATTTGCTAATAAAACTAGTTAATTTACTTTAGATGCAATTTCAATTATTTAATGTACAATTTATATAACACACTTACATTTTGTTAATTTAAAATGATTTTAAAATTTAATTTCCCATTATTTAAAAAAAAAATCATTACCAGATGTTCTACGAATGTTAGACAACTCTAGCATGTCAAGTTGTGAAGTGAACATGCTGATGTAGCTTTCTGCATGAGTTTGGTTGAGAAACAAACCTTCATGCAGTGACGCCATGGGAAACTCAGCAAAATTTGACAAGCTAAAACAAGGTAACATTTTATTCGGTACCGCTGAAGAGTCATACATTTTATGTAAATATTTTTATCTGAAATGCTGAGGAGTTATACATTTTATGGTGTTTTTAAATCACTTTTGTGTAATCAATAAGATATAATCAATATAGCTGGAAATTACTGTAAAATAAAATAAAAGAGTTTACAATTTATACAGTATTACAGGTTTTTTTAAAACTTGTAATTTATTAAAACCGTTAGATTACTTCTTACAAAATTGCTATTGATAAAAATACTAGAAAATTATAATTTAATAAACAACTCCAGTCAATTAAAAAGAAAGTACCCTTCTTCCTTTAGTTCATTGTTGACCGCAACAAAGGACAACGTGTACTGTTTTTGTCCTTGAATGTAAGTGTCTGTTAGTGGATCTAACCTAAATACACACTGAAAACAAATGAACATTTTCAAATAATTAGTCACTTTCATGAGTTCTCCCATTTTACCCAGTCTTTGCTAATTTAATGAGGCCAAACCACCAACCTCTGCTATGATATATTTGCTCTCGATGACGGCATCACATATTTTTTGCATCAGTTCTCCTTTGTGTTTCTGTATAGTCTCTGGGTCCCAGAATTCTAAAAGCCAGACATTTTCAGTCTGAACCGGAACGTTAAGCCCTGAATAAGAAAATGGGGAGTATTGTTATTACTGATGTCTGTCAATAGAACCTTCAAAACATTGGTGTGTTAGGTTGTTAGCAGTAATGTAATCTCACATTTATGGTTTGATATTAGGGATAGGGCTATGGTAGGACTAGGGTTAGGTTGACATGTGTATTTAGTTAACTACCAGTAATTTAACACTCTTTTTTTAAGAAAGATTCCATTATTGTGACATTATCAGACACTGATGTTGTATATACCCCAAAAAAGTTTAATGTTAATTTTATAATGAATCTGAGTGTACAACCATTTATATATGAGTGCTAAGTACAAATCAAATGAAATTATGAGAACCAGACATCAGTATAAAACATAAATTTAATTAATTAAAACATCACTTTAGTGTCCTCACATCATAAATGCAACTTTATAACTATTTAAGTAAAAGTTAAGGCTACTTTAAAAATGTCTTGTTATCATTTTAATGCTGATATCTGGGAAAATATTAATTTTTCAAACAAAAAACTGTACAATTTGAAAGCAACTAATTTTTAGGAAATACTCATCTAAATTTGAAGACCTAAATATTTTATAATATGCCCCACACATAAGTCACAAAATAAACATTTTTATCATAACAGAGTTTACACATTCAAATTTAATATAAAACATAAATATATATTATTGTTAATTAATATGTGTAAATCAGATTAAGTCATAGTAGCAGTAGCGTAGCGAGGGGGAGCGGGGGGGGGACATATGTCCCCGGGCGCCGACCTTAGGGGGGGCGCCAAATTGAAAGTTTGAGGGGGGGTGCAAATGAAAAGTTCGAGGGGGGGGGGGGTGCAAATCGAAAGTTTGATGAGGGGGGTGCAAATGAAAAGTTCGAGGGGGGGGGGGTGCAAATTGAAAATTTGCTCCCAAGGGGGCGCCAAATTGAAAGTATGTCCCCGGGCGCCGGGAAGGGTCGCTACGCCTCTGCATAGTAGAAGAGTAATGACCATTGATTTTTACGGGTGTAGGACAAAAGGCCGACAAGACAAAAGGCCGACACGGACAAAAGGCCGACATGGACAAAAGGCCGACAGCCAAAAGGCCGACAGGACATAAGGCCGACAGGACATAAAGCCGACAGCCAAAAGGCCGACAGGACATAAGGCCGACAGCCAAAAGGCCGACAGTCCATAAGGCCGACAAACCATAAGGCCGACAAGCATAAAAAAATAATAATATCGCAAAATATGTGTTACTGCATAGCTTCTATCTTGACAACCATCAAAATAAGGCATGAAATAAGGTGAAACGTTCAAGAGAAGAGACGGTGCTAGTTGCTATTCTTATAAGGTGAACCATCGGGTCAAGCGACTGGAGATTACGGGAGTGTCTTAAACACAAAGGATCAACACCTAAGTATTGCGAAATACTGTCACTGCTGTCTTTCATAGCTCCTTCTATGTCAAAGGGGTGAGATAATCATCAAAGAACAAGGTCAAATGCTGCCGGCATTATCGCTCATATGCAACAAGGTGGAAGAGACAATGTTAGTTGCGATCCTTATAAGGTGGACAATTGGGTCCATGCGACTGGAGATAGGTGGCATTACCACCATATTACGCAAAGAAATCAAAGAAACCGAATGAAGTAGACCGATCACGTGCCTTGACTGGACTACATGTTAAATACCGACAAACTTTGAATTATATTTTAGTTTCATCCATTGCGAATTGCGTGAAAAAAAAGTGTATACTATATTCGTTGGATTCATTAATTCTGTTGTGATTTTGATACAAGTGTGCCAAAATCTGTAAGTGTTTTTGTGTGTGTGTGTGTAAACTTGCCCCTGTGATTTCCCTCTATAAGAACCAATATATCGTCAACAAATAACTGGTTACATCGTGTGTATTATTTTATCCTATTGTATGTACCTAAGAATATTGATGAGAAACTTAAACAGTCGTATATAATTACATATTTTAGATATTAAACATGTCTGTAATTGTAGTTTGGTTTTATAAAACTTGTCGGCCTTTTGTCTTGTCGGCCTTCTGTCTTGTCGGCCTTTTAGCAGTCGGCCTTTTGTCTTGTCGGCCTTTTGTCTTGTCGGCCTTTTGGATGTCGGCCTTTTGTCTTGTCGGCCTTTTGTCCATGTCGGCCTTTTGTCCATGTCGGCCTTTTGTCCGTGTCGGCCTTTTGTCCATGTCGGCCTTTTGTCCGGATCCCGATTTTTACATAGGGTGAATTATATGTTTTTAGCACTTGGTTCTTTAAATTAAAAAAAGGAATTTGTTAATGAATACAATATTTTCAACAATTGACTTACCAATCAGTATATGGTGATTGCTGTCACCAAGTCTGTCAATGTCCAGGATTACACTGTTGACAAAGATTGACACTGCCTGTAATAGACAATAACAACTTTGAATATATCTACAGCTTAGTCAGCCACCAAAAAATATAATTTCATTAAAAAACATGCAAATGTTATTTCCATGTAAGTCTCATTTTTTTTTCAATTAAAAAGATAAACTGAGATTTAATTCTTTTATTTTTTTTATCTAAGAGCAGAATTAGCATATAAGATGTCACACCTTTTCTAACTGATGTATTAAGAGAATAGCTAATATAAAAAAAAATAGGTAATAAATTTTTTGCATAAGTTAAACTATTTTATTTTTAAATAATCTGACAATATTAGAAATAACATGTATTTTGAATTACTTAATACAAACATTATTGCAGTTTAAAAATATCTTTGAAGTTTTAGGTCTTATTTTTTTATGTCACCACAACAAAATTGCTTTCACTATTCCCAAGTACCAGTGTTCCCGTACTACATGTAGTACCTCAGTAACGTTAGCGCCAGTGATGAGAAATTCCAGTCTGTACTGCGCAATGTGTACCTGGCTGTAGAAGGACCCATGGAAAATGGATGCACCAACAAGGGCCACCATTACTTGATTCTAATACAGAAAAATTTCATTCATCACAAATATATTTTATATTTCTTTAAAAACTGTTCTTTTTTAAATTTAAACAAGCAATATAAAAAAAGACAACAAATGTCATGGTAATTAAATATTTAATTTTACTTGACTTTTCAATCTATACTAAGCCAAAACACTAGTTTTAACAAGACCTTGGGGGTCATCCATAAATGAAGTCACAATCGTAGGGGGGAGGGGGGGGGGGCGTAATTTTGTGACGGTGTGTGATGAGGGGGAGGGGGGGGGGGGGTTCAGATGGTGTGATGTCACACTTTTGCATTATAAAAAAGTAATGTTAGGAAACGAATTTTAGACATTATTTCGCCTTTTAGAAAACTGTTTCAATAAATTGCAATAGGAATTGATTAAAATACTCTATTTTGACAGAGTTCAGACAAGATTTTGGAAAAATATCGATGTTTTAAGAAAAATTCAACTGCAATTTTGAGGGAGGGTTGTAGGCTGAGGTGTGACGTCATTTTAGGGGGGGGACTGGCTTTTTGTGATGATGTGTGACGGAGGGGAGGGGGGGGAGGTAAAAATCGTACAAAAAAAGCATGACGTCATTTATGGATGACCTCTTGCCTGAAATCATAAATATACTAATTATCCTTTTTTCTTAACTAAATTTAATTTGTTTTTTAAATATATTTATGTCAACTGAGATCTTTAATAATAAAAAAGACATACAGAGTAGCCTTCCTTCTGATACAGATCATTAAAAGATGGAGTGATATTGTCTGACAGCCATCGATATCTGTTTACCATGGTTGGGTTCAGTACCCGAAGAATACTTCTAAGCCCCCAAACGGGCCCCCCATCTTGTACTGTAAACAGATCAATCAGTTGGGTCTCACGCAGTGGCACAGCTGTGGAATAAAAAACATTTAAAGTTGTCCTCACAAGTTACAAAAAGTTGCCCGACCATGTGACATGTGAGGAGGTAGTGTGTCAGCACTAAGCCAAGCTGCCTTTTTTCCCCCTAATTTCACTCAGGTACCCATCAGAACTGAAAGAACTCAGAGATGTTCTACAGTCTGAGTTCCAAACTTGAGAATTTTAAGTTAGTAGTCAAGCACCTACTGCCCTGACATCCCATAAATAAAGAATAACAGCTAAAAATAGGGTGTGATAGCAGAAGGGATAAAATAGCTGATAGATAATACATCTAAATTTCTAATGAACATACTTTAATCTTTAAATAAATCTGCAGGTAGTTTGTATTGAACTATAAGGGAAGTAAAAAATAATAGATTGTTTATAAAAAAAAAGATAAATAACACCTGCTTCTGTACAAGTTATTTGTCGCTGAAAGCATTTACAAAGCAAACTTTGTACAGAAAAAGATACATTTTGAACTGTGTGGGAAAATAAAACATTATTTGCAATATATAATATTTTTTGTAAACTGTAATTTTTAGGAAAAATAGTATCATAGCTTTGAAAAAAATAAGACAGATTGATTTGTAATACTTACTTAATAAATATTCTATTTTTTCATCAGTTTCAATATCTGTGTAAAATCTGAGAAGAAACAAGAAATGGTCAAGGAACTAAAATTCTAACATTATGATAGCTTTCATTAAACATGAGATTGTGTTTTGAGTACATATTTACCATTTCACAAATATTACTATTACTGAAATATTTTAGATTCATCTTGACTCTTAAATGTAATGATTGGAGAGGATTTCCTCCAACAAAATAAAGTATTTTGTGTCAACATTTTTTGAGCCATGTATGGCTCTGTTACATTTGACTTCCTCTCTGGATATACTCCACTGCTTTTATCCAACCAAGAACAATTTGTACAGCAGCAATTTGATTTTGGCATTAATTTAAACTCAGAAAGCTCCACATTAAACCAACTGTTTTTTTTCAAAAGATGATACAGCTTTAATACTTCATAAACTAAAACACATTCTGGTTTGTAATTTTTTGACACAGCTCAATAGTAGCAAACAAAAAAATATATAAGTTAAGTTTTCTCTCATTAAAAAAAATGAAACAACTGACTTTTCCATAAAAGGTCTCAATCGCACAGCAAAGCCAGGGTAAGGATTGTATGGCAGCTCATCTCTACTCAGCAGCAAATGCAGCAAATTTTGGAACTGGTTCTGTATTCCTGTCTTTCTGAGATAGTGTCTAATCCTGTTTAGTCTTACTGATCCCACTGGTCCAGATGGTGCCTCTAATGCCTCTCTTGCAACTCCCGCAAGTGGCTAAGTTTGAAAGTTTCAAAAATAATATTTAATTTTTTTTTTCTGGTAATACATAAAATCTATTTAAATGAAAATATAGAAAATAACTAAAGAGAAGTGTATGAAATATTATTATTGAACCTCTGATGACTGCTCTTTGATAAAAACAATAAAATTGGGATAAAAATAAAGCAAACACAATTAAATGGGGGGAAAAGAATAAAAGTTTAAAACAAGGAATAGAAATAACAAAACGTGTGACAGTTAGTAAATAAATTTGATAACTGGCTTTCTAAAACTAAGAAAACAACCAAAATAATATTACGATATATTAAATTTTATATAAAGGCCCTTAGGCCTATAACTATATGCCAAATAATAAATAATATTATAATAATATATATTATTTTATACCTTTGTATCTTCAGGAGCTTGTTCTTCTTTCTGAGACATAATTAGTTAATTACAAGATCTAGATCTAATTACTTTTTAAAAGTCTGCTTGCAGTTTTGTAAAAAAAATTTTTTTTTAGTCCAGGCTTGATTGCTTGATAACTTGATGATACAAGTTTAAAATTAAAAAAAAAACACCAACACATTGTACTAGTCAATTATCTATGTTAGGACATTATTTAATATTCGCATCTAGATATATGTAATTAATAAATTAGATCTAAATTCTAGTTACTATCGTCATCCTCATGTGATAAACGTTTTCAACTCTAGCCGTGTTTTCTCGTATCAATGGTAAACAATGTTGGTTCGCATAAAATAGGAAAAGCATTATTAACAACCATAATACATCGCTGTGACTGATTCACATTTAAATAGTGTTATAAACACACACAAAAGTAGATATTTCTACTCGTACAATAGTTGACAAGGGATTAATAATGAATAATATTTAGGCCTATCAAACCCATTCTTTAGTTTTAGTACAATTAGTAGTGTTTTAAGCCTATTTTTAGGCTTACTATTGGGCATATTAATAATATTTACATTTAGAGCAGGGAGATGGCTAGGTCGGTTGGTAATGTTTTCTAACTTCAACAAAGTCCCGAGGTCGAACCTACTGGCAGATGAGACCAGAGTTTCTTCCAGGCATCTCTTCGGGGGGGCTTTGCCCCCCCCCCCCCGAAAATTTTTTACCGCCCCCCCCCCCGAACGAAATGAAATTTATATAATTTATATAGAAAATATATACTTTTAACAGTGTCCGCCCCCCCGAAGAAAGTCTACCGCCCCCCCCGAAAAGTTTAAGTGCCCCCCCGGAGAAAAAAGTCTGGAAGAAACACTGGATGAGACTCGCTAGCCAGGGACGGCAAGTCCTTAAAAAATCGAACTGCAGCCTTGCAGATTGTGGGTGGACAAATTAAGAATAGTGCAGAAATCCTCCCCCCCCCTCCCCTAAAAAGCAGACTGAAGTCGGAATCAAACAGCCATATATAGCGTATAACATGTTCACATGTTGGCTGAAACTCATTCAGTATGATTCAATATCACAAATTAAGAACCAAGAAGATTTAGACTTACACCTACTAATTTCGTTTTCGTTAAAAACAAAACACTGGAAATCCTTTTTTTTTCTTCTAAATATATGAGATCAATAATTTTAAAAACATTTTTTATAGATCTACATATTTTACGAATTATATTAATTAGGCCACTTATTTTGCCATCATCCTTTACTTCTTTGAAAATCTATTCGTTTTCGTCTCGAGTATCACTATTTTTAAAAATATTTATATATAGGCCCTAGGCCTATTTTTTAAAAATTGATTCCAGCGTTCTCGGCAGTTAGAGTGACAGTAAATAGTGAGACTGAAAGAACTAAAAATGGAAGAGCATGGTGAAGACGAGACTTTCGTTCAAAAGCCAAAAATTATTAAAAGTGTATTGAAAGATTCTCAGGAAAAACGGTTAATTGTAATACTTGATCAAGCATCTTTGGAAACAGTCAAGGTAGGCTAATACTAGAATTGCAGGATAATATTTAGAATTGACCCTACTTTAAATCCCTGGCAGAACGAGCCCCCCCCCCCCTTACGGCGGTGTTGCCTCAGCCCTCAACCGGGCTTGTGTTGCTTTGATTTTTATTTTAAATATAGATCTAGATCTAGATCTAGGGTAATCTATCGTTTTAGCGTAATCAATTCGGCCGCAGTAGTAATGTGCGGGAGAGGTAACTGATGAATATATTTGTTTAAATAAGTATATTTAAGTCAAATTTTACAAAATTAAACAGATAATTGATTTAAAATAACAATCAGTGACCAAAAAAAAAGTTAAAATACCATGAAACTAACTTTAAACAAGGTCTTTGAGATAAATGTTAGTAGATAAAAACAGCGGCCATCTTTCCAAATAAAATTTAGAGTAGTTTCCCTTGATAAAAATGTCTATTCGTACGTATATTGTGTTGACTTTGTTGTTTAATATGCATAGCTGTCTTGTTTAATGTCAGTAGTACAGAGGGCCGTCTTCTTATCTTTAATTTCAATTGAAATGAAGGCTATGTATGTATGTATGTACATCCAAGATCTCAAAAACTTTTGGGAGGTCCATCATTTATTAAACCCTTTTGTACTGATGAACTTGTCAATTATTAGGTCGTCCATATTCTTCAAAAATGACGTTGGACTCAAAATATGGGACGAGTAAAATATTTTTTTTAAAAATGATGAACAATATATTCGTTTTCGTTAGAAATTGTGATTACGCGTTCGGGTATAGTAGAACTGCGATATGATATTAAATCATCATCTCGCTTTTAGTGACGATTTGGGGAAAGGGAATTCGTAGGGAAAAGTATGATGTCATTTATGGACAGGGCCGGCGCTACCTATAAGGCGAACTAGGCTGGAAGGAAATGGTGGAGGCCCTATGCTCCATAAGGAACAAAGGACTAAGTAAGGCTGTCGCCTAGGGCGCTGTTCGTAGGGGGAAGGCGCCAAAATGGGTTGGAAAAACAAATTGAAAGTTTGAGGGTGGGGGGGGGGGGGGGGTTGCAAATCGTAAGCTTGTCCTCGGGCGCTGGAAGGGTCGCTACGCCTCTGATAATACGGGGGCATGAAAAAAATTGCGGGGGGGGGGGGGGGCGCTTTTAATAAGTTTTGCCTAGGGCGCTAAATAATCTGGCGCCGGCACTGTTTATGGGTGATCCATTTAAGCCTAGTTGTTTATTTTGTCTGTAGACATTAGTCTTATGCCTACACTTTTTCTGAATTAAGATTATTGTGTTTATAAAAATAGTTTTAAATTTTAATTAGTTACATTTGAATACCACATGGTTTTTTATGTGTTCAATAGTCGTTGTTTACCCCTCCCCACCATCCATTATTACAAAAACAAAAAACACCCAATATATGGTGATATCTCCCTCTAGAAAAAAAAAAACTGGATCAACCTATAGTTCGTAGGAGAATTAGAATCTACCACTTATTCGTCTGTTAAAAAAAGAAACACATTTTTCTCAACCCCGCCGTTTCATCCCCCACTTAGCACAACGTCACCAAGTTCTCGGCGCGCGTGACGTCATTAGTCATTAGGCTAATGTTAAAGAAAGAGATACCGCGTAATTAAAAAAAAATCAAAACAGGCACTATGGAGTTGAGACTTTAGCGACTTTTAGCCTGACGAACAGATCTAAATGACTTTAGTTCGGTAAATTATATTGGTGTTTAATTTATTACAGTGGCATGATGTTCTCCCTCTATTATACAAATTCACGTGCTTTTAATTTCTGCAACATGCTGCCCTGAGTCGTTCGGCTGTAAAATGCCCGTGACACAGCGGCTTCCGTATATACATTTAGGCTCCCAGTCCCACCTATACCCTTCGTCTGCCCATTAAGCTCCACGCAAAACTTGAGATTGATATGTGGACATAAGCGGCGATAGTGGTGGTGTCAAAAGGGACCCCCCCCTCCCTAAGCTCAGCTCTTAAAGGTGCTCCGCACTTCATAAAAGACAAACTTGATATTCAGACATCGTCGGACTCGGGCGTTTAGCCGACTGCCGTATTCCTAATGCACCGTCCACTGCTAACACTATTTCTATATTAAACTCAAGCCTATACTGAGCTCTGGCTTTTTACATTAGCTGCTGTCGAATTAATGGTTGATCTTTTGTTATGCCCCATGTCGCGAAACTTGCTGTTTTGTCCAATTTTACCTGCAAGCCAATAATTGTCTTGGATTCTTGTCGAATATCGTTGCCAGGAGCTAGTTGGTTTGAGCCTTATTGTCAGAAGTTATTACATTTGGAGTCAATGTAGTGCGGCCTATTTTCGTCGGTAGGCATTTAGTGGCAGGCTCTTTTTGGCGGGGATGATGTGCTGAGGTTGTTTAACTTTAACACCGCTTAGGACAACAGGCTTGCAATAGTTATGATCATTCGTTATGAGCAAAGGCATGCATGAAAACGAACGCTTTATGTTCCTCATTTTCATTGAGCACAGCTTTATAGAAGTCTTCCATAATTGACGTCACTCATCCCCCCCCCCCCCCCCGATCACCCCTTCATTATAGGTCATAAATTGCAGTCCTGCGTAACTTGACGTCACATTAGAATAGCATATGTGACATCGTTTATGGACAACCCCATATAACTCATTTTGGGTATTTGGTATCAACATTTTGACAACAAAGGTTGTTCAAAATGTGTATTGAAGGTTAGGACTTGACATTTATCATAAATGACATCACGCACTTAAGGGGTGGAGTAACTGATTTTGAGACGACGTTTTACGCGGGAAAGGGAAGGGGTAAGAAACGTGAAACGTTAAGTATTTCGCCTATACAAAAATGCTGAAAAAAATTCTTTTTCGTTTGAATTATGGCTTGACTTTTTAACAGGAAGGGCAAAGAGGTAATTTTCGACATTACGACTATTTCTTGACGGCGAAAATGGGGGGGGGGGGGGGGGTGGTGGTTAAGGTGAAGATATGTAAAAAAAAAACGTGACGTCATTTATGATTTAATAACTAATTAAAGGAAAAAAGCATGAAAACATGAAATGAAATTGGCAAACAAACAATGACACAAGCAATAATAATTAACTCAAACTAATATTTAAATAAACATTAGATATGTAGTGGTAGCTCTATAAAAATAGGGAGTTTCTTATGCATAAAAATTGCATATCATAATAATAATTGTAGAACTGATGTTTATTGTCAGGCAATTAAATTGTTTAAAGGGCAGAATTTTAAAAAAAAAACGCATGCTTTGTATTTAAACACAAGACAAACGTATTTAATAGCAAACATAAATACATTTCCATACAAATAGAAATGAAAGGGAAATGACTCAAAATAATATTTTCTTAAGATGGCCGCTGTTTTTAATAGCAAATTTAGTATCTGGAACATCGTTGTTAAACCTTAATTTCATGACATTTTTATTGATTTAACCCTTAAATGTGGTTTAATATTCAATTATCTTTAGTATTTTAGTAGAATATGCAAAAATATATTCATATTTAAGCCATATTTATTAGTTACCTTATCCCTACATTACTAGTGACGACCGAATTGATTACGCTAAAACGATAGATTACCCTAGATCTAGACCTCAAGGCCTAAACTCAAAACAATAAAATAATAGACTCAGATATATTATAAATAACCTAATTTAATCGGTCAAGCCACACACCATACACACGACATCATGCCATAGCAAAAATTAACTGGGCATAGGCCCTATCTCCCTTCATTATCATTACTAGATCAGATCTACTACTTTAGTAGTACTTAGTTACTTACAACTTAGTACATGATTATTGATTAGGGCTAATGCTTAATAAAATTATGGTTTAGGCTACAAAAAATAGTGACCTATGTCATTTATTTTGTATTTTTCTTCAGGTAGGGCAGAAGTATGAACTTTTATGTTGCGATAAACACAAAAATGTTGGAAAACGCATAAAAAAAGATGTTTCAACATGTCGGCCTGATATCACACACCAATGTCTCCTTATGCTAATGGATTCACCTCTCAACAGGGCTAATCTTTTACAGGTATTGTAATTCAGTCTTACTTTTTCATCCAACAAGCAAGCATCAGTTAAACATTTTTGCATGAATTTTAAAAAAAACAACAGTTCTCTAAAACAATTATTTAAATCTTATCAATATCTTATTATATGAACTCTTAATGTGATTGAATTGAAAAGCCATGGGTGAATAGAATTTTTTGTAATTTATAGATTAAATTGAGAAGTAATTGATTATTATGATAATGATCTATTTCAGGTTTATGTTAAAACAGAGAAGAATGTACTTATAGAAATCAACCCTCAAACTCGCATACCTCGCACATTTGACAGATTTTGTGGGCTCATGGGTTAGTTGTTAGGGACACTAAGTGATTATTATTGTAATTATAAAAACATTAGAGTAAACTATATATATATATTATAAACAAAATAGTTTATCACACGTGGTCTGTCAATTTTACTGATTGGCATTAAGTTTATAGAGAAGAAAATATCTTTTAAGTATGAATTTGTTTTAAAATGGGTTAACTGTATCAAATAAATTTTTAAAAAGTTTTGTTTATCCAACTTTTTCTTAAATTCTGATATTTTGATTTAAATTTATTATGCAATGTTCATTTTGAAAAAGTTTTCCTTTACTTTTCTGAATGTAGTTCAGCTGTTGGACAAGCTAAGTATCAGGGCAAGTGATGGCCCGCAGAAACTTTTAAAGGTTAGTTCACTCTTTACTTATCATTGTCAGCAACTACATTTGAGTTTTTTTTATGTCTTCTTTTTTTTTCCACTTCTTTTAATTTAGTTTGATTGTATTTACTTGAAATTTTTAATATTTATTTGATACAGATTGTTTAGTAAATTTGGTTATGTTTCTTGTTTCCAAAAAAAAATAATTCTATTTTTAATTTAGTTTTAGGTTCTCAACCATTTTTGTACTTTGTAATTTTTTCATTCATTTACATCTTAGTTCTTTTGATATTTGTCTTGTCTTTTTTTCCCACTTCTTTGAGTTTAGTTTGATTGTATTAACTCACATTTTCTAATTTGTACTTGAATACATTACAGATTATTGTTTAGGAACATTTGGTTATGTTTCTTGTTTCAGACACATTTTTTCCCATTTCTAATTTAGGTGCTGTTTTTGTTAGTTTTATTGTTCAGTTATTTACATCTTTTTATGCCTGATCAAACTTGCTAATATTTAAAAAATTCTGTTTAGGTGATCAAAAACCCAGTTAGTGACCACCTCCCCACAGGCTGCCCAAAATACGCCATGTCATACAGTGCTGAAGAGATTGTAGATGTGAGAGATTACGTACCCAAGGATGGGCCTGCTGTTTTTGTTATAGGAGCCATGGCCCATGGCAGTGTAAGTTTGAGAAAACATTTTCTACTTTCCATTACGAAAAAAGTTATGGGTGGTGTTGTGTAATCAGCTGATTCTTCTCTTCTTAATCTTGTTCATGCCCAAGACACATGGGCAGATGAACTCTGATTCATAGACCTCGGCATATGAAAGGATAATGTGGTCAGCACTATGCCCAGTCGTCTTTGTTTCCCTAACGTGATTTAGGTACACATCAGAGGTGGGTGGGCTCGGGGATGTTCCACTGATTTGAACTCGAGACTCTCAGGTTAGCAGTCTAGCTCTCTACCGCTATGCCACACCCTAACATCTTTCAGCTGATCAGTTGAATAATTATTCATGTGGCATTTGTGGCCCCATTTTTAGACCCACATTTTGTCTAAGCAATGGATTTAATTTCGTGTTCTTTTTTGGGAGGACCTTATATTTTATTTTGTAGCTAAGATTTGTTTCAAATTTGTTAAAGCCTGCATATTTATTGTTACAATTCTAAATCTATTAATTATTAAAGTAATGTTTAATTTAAAAACTAAAACAAAACTTTGTTATTTTAATTAATAATTTCAGTTTTTGTTGTATTAGTGTCATAGATAGAATTTTGTTTATTTCCAGGTGAAACCTGACTACACAGAGAAAACATTTTCTATCAGTAATTATCCTCTTTCTGCAGCCATCACATGTTCAAAAGTTTGTAATGCATTTGAAGAGGTTTGGGGTGTCAAATAAAAATGATTGTAAACACTGCATAGTTGTTTAAATATTTTATCACCAATTGGAAAAAAAAGAAAAGAAATTTGATACGGATTGAATCAATACTAGGAAACATAAAAACATCAATACAGTGTAACTGTAACAAAATACAAAATAATAACTTGATGTTTTAACTCCATTCAATAAACACAGTCTATTGATATAATTATATAGTTAGAAAATGGTTTCCTGTTTACACAGGAACTGAAAGAGCTGGGTCTATTGAAATCAAATTCACTTGTTTCTGTGCTCATGGCTATTCAGGAATGTACGAGATCATCACAAAATTCAAGTGTACACCACATACACTGTCACTGATGTACACCACATACACTGTCACGGATGTACACTACATACACTGTCATGAATGTACACCACATACTGTCATGGATGTACACCACATACACTGTCATGGATGTACACCACACACATACGCTGTCATGGATGTACACCACATACACTGTCATGGATGTACATCACATACACTGTCATTGATGTACACCACATACACTGTCATGGATGTACACCACATACACTGTCATGGATGTACACCACACACTGTCATTGATGTACACCACATACACAGTCATGGATGTACACTATTTGTACACTTGTTTTACACCACCCAGTGTGTACAGTATCTGGACTCAGCAACTGCTGACACTTACAGATCACGAGTTGCATCTATATATAATTCTCTGTCGCCCAACCATGCGGGACACCACCAAGTATATGCACGCCGCCCCCCTCCCTTGCTCTCTAGGCATGCGCAACAGACCTTATAGCTACCAGTCTGGTGATCTGTGGTTCACCCCGAATGTTTACAATAGTACAGCTGGGTCGACTTAGTGACGGCTATTAGGGGCAGATAGGTAACAAGTTCTGCTGGATCTTTTTTCATTGTCTGTAAACTGTTGTCACAGACAGCTGCTTTCACATGGGGGGGGGTGGTGTGAGTATAATCGTTCTTCGGGAGCTACTGATAGTGTTTTAAAGCAAAATATTTTCAGTCGCAGCATTGGTAGTGTTGAATTCACAAATTATGAGTTACTGAAAAGTAGAAAATAAAACAAATATAAAAATGCTCTACGTCGCCCAACCACTAAATAGCAGCATATGCTAAGCAGCCGGTTGGCTCGTTCTAAAGAATTGTTTATAAAATATATATTACTAGCTTGTGATTGTTACCGTAGTTCTCTATCAGTCCTAGGGTCTCAAGTAAATTCAAAGACATCACCAAGGAGTATTCTTCTGATAGGGTAGCCAAAGCACAAATGTACCCTGTATTTTCTAGGTGCTTTGAAACAAGTCGTAATGACATAGTTACCTAAGCTTGCTCATAACTTTTCAGCTCAAAATGTAAACACTTATCGTAACCTTCAGGATTAAGGTGAGATGTGTTACTTAGCTTAACCTGAAGGATTAAGGTGAGAAGTGTTACTTAGGTTAACCTTCAGGATTAAGGTGAGAAGTGTTACTTAGCTTAACCTTCAGGATTAAGGTGAGAAGTGTTACTTAGCTTAACCTTCAGGATGAAGGAGAGCTATGTTAGTAAGCTATTGAAAATGTGGGCATGGCTATTGATAAGATCATTCAATGATAGTTTATGCATAGAATTTATAGATGTGGTTCAAAGATTTACATGGCAGAGATGTAATGTGATCCCCATGAATAGCGTGATTAAACCTATGGAAAATGGACGGTGAAACACATTTTTCCATGTCTTTGAACTGCTGTTGAACTAAATATTCGAAGTCTTTGGGCACCGCGTAACTCTTTCCATCCAGCATTGCCTTGGTCAGGGGAAATACATGCGTTTTCTCGGCTAAAAGGTTTTGGATGTTGTACTTTGTGAGGGACCAGATGTAGGTGTCATCCTCCATGTAGAAGAACAGATCTATGAAGGGGAATCTGTGCTGTGGGTTTAAAAAAAGATTCAATTATTCCGTCTGAGTAAGAAGATAATAAAACTTAGCAAAAATACTATAGCCTCCATCTTGTTGGGTCTGAAAATGTCATTAAAGATGATGCTAATTATTACCTACGTAATTATTACGGTTTTTTTTTTTTGACAGATTATGTAACCCCCTCCTCCACCCCTTATCACAGTCAGTACTGTCAGTGCACTCTAGCAAAAATATTTTTTTCTCTATAAGGGGATATAACCAAGGAATGTTGATTTGTCAAAAATATTAATGGAGTTGTTTCCCTTTGCATGTAAGATGAAATTATAAACATTAACTGTATGCTAGTACGTTAGCCTTCTTCGTTCTTAATTTTAAGTGTTGGAAGAGAGCGAGCCATAGCTGCCAGAGGGTTTTAACTCGAGACTTTTTTTTCTTATTTATCAACCATGAGTAATTGAGTACGTTAGCCGAAAACAACTATTTAATAATAAAATATTGAATTTTTGGTCAAATCTGGTTCAAATTAAATTTTAAATTCATTCATCAAATTACCAGGTTTCGTAAAAATAAAAACTTAAAAAAAAAAGAATGCAAAAGTGACGTCAACATCTTTAAACCTCCTACTCCCAAATGTCAAATATGGAAGTACACTAGTGGCGAAAAAAATAACATTCTATACTTTGGTATTGTTAAAAACATCAATACTTTATACCTCGGGGCTGTTTCTGATGATTGAGCCGTTCGATGAGAAAAATTTCCAGTGCATGAAATTTTTAGGAAGCAGCCTGAAGCCTTCCACGCAGCACAATCTTTTCATGACCTTCTGCCAGAGTTTCACGTCCAAGGCCACATCGATGTCGTCATCCCAAGGAATGATTCCTTTGTGTCTGCAAGACAAGAAGTGAAATCTAGAGCCTTAGATCAAGCTAGATTTAGACTGATGGGCATTTTAGTTACAGATATTGGCAGAGTTTCTTCCAGGCATCTCTTCGCCCCCCCCCCCCCCCCCCCCCCGAAGAAAGTCTACTGCCCACCGAACGAGATGGATTTTATATAGTAAAATATACTTCTACTAGTGTCCGCCCCCTCGAAAAATGTTGACCGCCCCCCCCCCCCCCCCCCCAGAAAATTTCAAGTGCCACCCTCCCCCCGAGAAAAAAGTCTGGAAGAGACACTGGATATTGGTAGGTTCTAATATAAAGGTCTAAAGCAGGAAGAAGAATTCTTTAAAGGCTTTAGCACATGCTAGTAAACATTAAAGGGGAAGGTGGCTTCCTTAATCTCCTAGTTGCGTGTTGGCGTCTTTTAACTAACCTAACAAGCCCCAACAATGTCCACCACTAACCTAACAAGCCTCAACAATGTCCACCACTAACCCAACAATGTCCACCACTAACCTAACAAGCCCCAACAATGTCCACCACTAACCCAACAATGTCCACCACTAACCTAAAAAGCCCCAACAATGTCCACCTCTAACCCAACAATGTCCACCACTAACCTAACAAGCCCCAACAATGTCCACCACTAACCTAACAATGTCCACCACTAACCTAACAAGCCCCAACAATGTCCACCACTAACCTAACAAGCCCCAACAATGTCCACCACTGAACTAACAAGCCCCAACAATGTCCACCACTGACCTAACAAGCCCCAACAATGTCTACCACTGACCTAACAAGCCCCAACAATGTCCACCACTGAACTAACAAGCCCCAACAATGTCCACCACTGACCTAACAAGCCCCAACAATGTCCACCACTGACCTAACAAGCCCCAACAATGTCTACCACTGACCTAACAAGCCCCAACAATGTCCACCACTGACCTAACAAGCCCCAACAATGTCCACCACTGACCTAACAAGCCCCAACAATGTCCACCACTGACCTAACAAGCCCCAACAATGTCCACCACTAACCTAACAAGCCCCAACAATGTCCACCACTGACCTAACAATGTCTACCACTAACCTAACAAGCCCCAACAATGTCCACCACTAACCTAACAAGCCCCAACAATGTCCACCACTAACCTAACAAGCCCCAACAATGTCCACCACTAACCTAACAAGCCCCAACAATGTCCACCACTGACCTAACAATGTCTACCACTAACCTAACAAGCCCCAACAATGTCCACCACTAACCTAACAAGCCCCAACAATGTCCACCACTGACCTAACAATGTCTACCACTAACCTAACAAGCCCCAACAATGTCCACCACTAACCCAACAATGTCCACCACTAACCTAACAAGCCCCAACAATGTCCACCACTAACCTAACAATGTCCACCACTGACCTAACAAGCCCCAACAATGTCCACCACTAACCTAACAAGCCCCAACAATGTCCACCACTGACCTAACAATGTCTACCACTAACCCAACAATGTACACCACTGACCTAACAATGTCTACCACTAACCCAACAATGTACACCACTGACCTAACAAGCCCCAACAATGTCCACCACTGACCTAACAAGCCCCAACAATGTCCACCACTGACCTAACAAGCCCCAACAATGTCCACCACTGACCTAACAAGCCCCAACAATGTCCACCACTGACCTAACAAGCCCCAACAATGTCCACCACTGACCTAACAAGCCCCAACAATGTCCACCACTGACCTAACAAGCCCCAACAATGTCCACCACTGACCTAACAATGTACACCACTGACCTAACAAGCCCCAACAATGTCCACCACTGACCTAACAAGCCCCAACAATGTCCACCACTAACCCAACAATGTACACCACTGACCTAACAAGCCCCAACAATGTCCACCACTAACCTAACAAGCCCCAACAATGTCCACCACTGACCTAACAAGCCCCAACAATGTCCACCACTGACCTAACAAGCCCCAACAATGTCCACCACTGACCTAACAAGCCCCAACAATGTCCACCACTGACCTAACAAGCCCCAACAATGTCCACCACTGACCTAACAAGCCCCAACAATGTCCACCACTGACCTAACAAGCCCCAACAATGTCCACCACTGACCTAACAAGCCCCAACAATGTCCACCACTGACCTAACAAGCCCCAACAATGTCCACCACTGACCTAACAAGCCCCAACAATGTCCACCACTGACCTAACAAGCCCCAACAATGTCCCATCCACCAGGAAATACTCCAATCCAGCACTGTCCAAGGCCTCCACCATGACGTCCAGCGTGTACAGCAAGTCTGTCTTCTCGTCTCGACTCAACAGCGGCAAAAACTTCCAAATCTCGTCTGCGTACAAACGTGGATCTGGAGACATACATTTGCGTTATTTATTTTTCATGTAAAGCACTACTATCAAAAACTTATTGCCATAAAATAAACTCCAGTCTAGGAGGCGTAGCGACTAGCGACCCGTTGCATATTAGCAATTTTGCGCCCTCCCCCCTCCGCTGTTTATATGTAGTTATTTTAAATTTAAAAAAACAACGAAAAAGCCCCCTTCCCCCACCTCCGCGATCTTTGAGAGTTGGGCGGCTTTTAGTTACTGTGCTGTAACAGTTATTTTGGCGTCGAAAATATTTAATTATTACAGTAAAGCCAAGCAAGAGTTTCTATTTTTAACGTGAGTATAATTCAGTAATGCAGCCCAGAATACAATTGTTTTTCTACCTCGTTGTTTTTGCCCCCCCCCCTATTGTTTGCGCCCTGGCGGCCACACCAACCGCCCTTCCCTGGTCCTGTCACCCTCAAAATTATCTGCAACTCCATGTAACCACCAAGCCAAGATAACCGTTGATATATGCCGGAGCCGCTTTGAGATAACGTTTTTATTAAAGACCTGCCTTACCCGAACCGGTAGTTTTACCCAAAAGGTCCAAACAATGAATTAGCAATTTTGACATTTTTTTCCCTTCTTAGCCAGGCTACCGCTATCCAATCCAACCATTATTTAAGTTTTTAACCCCCCCCCCCCCACCCCACCCCAATCAGCTTATAGTGCACCGTGACTGAGGAAATATTTGTTCCGGTAACTTGAATTTATGTTTAGAATTTGGGTTTTCATAATTCTGACTGGGTGGTTCGTTTGATAAAAGTTTCTTTAACGTTAAACTAAACGTAGTATCCAGGATATATTTGCTATAAAAACTCAACTCAACAAAGTATGCTCGATTCAACTGATATAAAAGTTGAAAAGAGTATCTCTATAAACACAGTATCCCGGGTAAAATTTATGTAAACACAGTATCCCGGGTACAATGTTTGAAGAAGATCTTCGTTAATAGTGAAAAAAAAATGGCGTAGCACTGTAGTTTGAACAAGAATTTGCTCGTGCAAATATTATTTTAGGGAAAGTAAAAGCGGTAGGTCATACAATCAACCATGCAATCTCTATATATGTCGAGCAGGACAGAGAACTCTGGAGAGCTGTAGTTGGTGGCCAATACTCCAGCAGGACAGAGAACTCTGGAGAGCTGTAGTTGGTGGCCCATACTTCAGTAGGACAGAGAACTCTGGAGAGCTGTAGTTGGTGGCCCATACTCCAGCAGGACAGAGAACTCTGGAGAGCTGTAGTTGGTGGCCCATACTCCAGCAAGACAGAGAACTCTGGAGAGCTGTAGTTGGTGGCCAATACTCCAGCAGGACAGAGAACTCTGGAGAGCTGTAGTTGGTGGCCCATACTCCAGCAGGACAGAGAACTCTGGAGAGCTGTAGTTGGCAGTCCATACTCCAGCAGGACAGAGAACTCTGGAGAGCTGAAGTTTGTGGCCCATACTCCAGCAGGACAGAGAACTCTGGAAACCTCCATTAGGACAGAGAATTCTGAAGAGCTTTAGTTGTCAGCCTATACTCCAGCAGGACAGATAATTCCGGAGAACGGAAAACGGTAGTCCAAAATTATCCAAATAAGAACCAATTTTTACCGTTGGACAAATCGTCGTAGAAGTTAACGCCTCGTTTCGCCACATCGCTTCTCCTTGCCTTGGGTGTGTAGTAGGACTCACACTGCCGTGGACACTCCCCCACGTCTATGTCGGTGGACTGGCGGTGGATGTAAACCAGGGTCAGCGTGTCCACGTCCTGCCACGGCCCGGGCAGCACGCTGGCCAGGAACACGTTCCGGGCAGGTGTGTACAAGGCCACAGCTGTCACGGCGAGGGTCAAGGCCAACAGGACTAGCGTGCTGTAGACTACACATATCCGCTTACACCGCCATTTCCGAATGAAGCTGTGCACACTCGCTAACATGGGGGTGTTAGGCCTAGTGAAGCAGAAGGTCGACTTCCGCATCGACACCCACTTTACCTACAGAGTATCTGTGGGCAAAAAAGGGAAAGTGTTAAAATAATTAACTTATATTAATATATTAAGTATCTATGAATGAAACCAAAGAAGAAAGGGTTCAATAATTTATACTAATTTATGAAATTTCATCTATCTGAAACAGTTAAAAGTTCCCTTTTCAAACCTGACGGTCTATAGGGCAAGTGAAGTTGAGTTCACTTTTTTCCGTGACCTCGGCATATAAAGAGATAGTGTGGTCAGCACAATGCACATCCGCCTCTGTTTCTTCTAGACTTTTTTTCTCCGGGGGGGGGGGGGCACTTGAAATTTTCGGGGGGTGGGGCGGTAAACTTTCTTCGGGGGGGGGGGGGGGGCGGACACTGTTAAAAGTATATATTTTCTATATAAATTATATAAATTTCATTTCGTTCGGGGGGGGGGGGGCGGTAAACTCTGATCCGCCTTTACTTTTCCTAACGTGAGTTAGGTACCCATCAGAGTTGGGTGGACTCAGGGGCGGTCTACTGACTTGAACCCGGATTCGAACTTGAGACTTACGGGTTAGCAGTCCAGCTCATCTGAAACAGTTACTCAAGTTATTATCGTTTTCCCATGGGAAAATAGTAAAGTACCATTTCCCGTTAACCGAAATAGTTCCGAAGGGCGATGGAACCTGCGCATACAATTCAATACATACATGTTAAAAATCGTTTACCTAACTTTAACAGTGCTCAGTTTATCGTTTTCCCATGGAAATAAAGTAAAGTATTACTTCCTGTAAACGGAAATCGCTCAAAAGTTGATCAAACGCGCATAAAATTTAATACTTTTAAGTGAAATTTCGTCCACCTAAATTCAACGGTAATCAAATTAAGATCCGATAAGAAGAGTGAGTATCACTCTCGGTTACCGAGAATCATGCTAAAGTTGACAAAATACTACACATTTAATATAACACTTAAACTTTTATTTGAAATTTTGTCACCTGAACTTTTTTTCAACTGAAATGCGACTCAAGCTATCGTGTTCACAGACACACACACGGACGGATCAAATAAAAACCCAGTTTTCCGTCTCAGGGAGATAATAAAAAAAACGTCGAGATTTTTAATTTAGATTTCTTGCACGATTATATTAAGACTTCTATAATCCGCAAACAGTGTTTCTCCCAGACTTTTTTCTCCGGGGGGGGGGGGGGGGACGACGGTAGACTTTCTTGGGGGGGGGGGGGGGCAGACACTGTTAAAAGTATATATTTTCTATTTAAATTATATAAATTTCATTTCGTTCGGGGGGAATGCCTGGAAGAAACTTTGTCCGCAAATGATATGAAAGTCCATAAAAAGGCAAAAAATGTCAAATTCTCATTGTATATTTGTGCAAGATTACAATATTGTCTCTATCCTCTGTATACGAGAAAGTAAAAAAAAAAAACTTACGTCTATTGTAATACATTTTTGAAAGGCAACTTGTATAATTAAATTTTCAACTCATTATTATTATGTTCTTAGAATCTTTGGATCTAGATGTGTTAACGATGAAAACACTTCTGGTCGTTGAGTTTTTCTATTTTGGATGGTGTGCACTTTTTACGGCGACAGTAGGAGTAATTCTTTCCTTTTAGACATTTTTATCTGGGGAGGGGGGGGGGGGGCGTACGTTTCAGGGTGCTGGACGGATACTGGTTAAAGTATTTCATATTTTGCACACAAATTCGATTTCGTCCGGGGGTGGGGCGATGATACACCGAAGAGATGCCTGAAAGAAATTCCAATTCTGTACATTAGCATAAATAGAGAGGCAATAATAATATAAATTAGTGTTTCCTTTAGTGTTTCTCATGGAAGAAGGGTGGTGGTGGTGGTGGGGGGGGGGGGGGGGGGGCTTCGAAACTTTGGAAAGGGAGCGGGTGCGGAATTTATTAAATTGGTTTTTCTTCTTCTTCGTTCTTAATTTTAGTTCAAAATTGAATATTTTTCAATCGAGCTGGGGAAGTTAATGTAGCAAACTATTATGTGTACGTTAACAGAGCTTGAGGTAAGAGATTGAGTGAATGTTATTTACTGGTAATTTTTCTTCGGAAAAATCAGGAATTGTATTTATGATATTGATGTCTACATACCCCCCCCCCCACCACCTACCGCAGAATCACACTATCTCGTACACCTTTTAGGGCCAAAATAGACTCCCAGTTATGCACCTATACCGATATACCACCAAGACATCCTCACAAACCACAAATATAACCAGCAATTCAACCAGCAATACAACCACCTCAGCCACAGAACCACCAACACAACCACACAAACCAATTACACAGCCAGGTATACAACATCGAAAACCACAAACCCAACTACCAACCCTATCACCAATACAACCACCATCACAACCACCAACTCAGCCACCAACCATATCACCAACACACCAATCACAACCACCAACACAACCACCAGCCCTATAACCAACTTAACCAACTTAACCACCATTACAACCACTAACCCTATCACAAACACAACCACCAACTGAACCACTAACACAACCACCAGCACAACAACCATCACAATTACACAAACAACTGATACAACCGGCAATTCAACATTAAAACCTCCACAAAGAAGCGCATGTTTACAATAACAAAACAAGCCTTCCGGTAATAAGTACGAAAAACTACGAGCCAGACTAAAATATATAACTGGTAAAACCAAGATGGCTCTTATCTGTAATGCATTTTTAAAATGATACTTTAATTAACCCAAAACTTAATCGCTAGGCTTATAACTTAGTTAGGCACGTTTTAAGGTGAGCGATAAAGGTAAAGCTCAAATTTTCGATGTTTCGTCTTCAACGTTTCTAGCTATTCGATTACCTGTGTATGTCTAATCGACATGCGCCTTGATCTATGACGCAATAACTTAATTTCACGCATAACAATATAGCTACTTAATTCTAAAAAAAAATAATTTAAAAACTTACCTGTCGATTGAACGTCGACTTAAATCCAACGAAGCCTTTTGTCAGTAGCAGACAATACTTTTTACCTCTACAGCGTCCGGGTTTAAATGCCAGGCTAAAACCAAACATGAATCCGCTTAAACTACACAAACTAAAACACAAAACGAAATCGCTATGCTCACCAGAATTGGACCAGAATGTGATGGACCAGATTGCGATGCGCCACACACTAGGCTAAAAATCGATACACTCTCCACACTAGCTTGATAAGGGCCGTGTTCTCCTGATAAAGCCCTAGCTATCTCTACAACTTCAGTAGCCGATGTCTGAAGGGGAAAAAAAAATTATCATCAAGACGATTTGTTATCTTGACGTGCGAACAACCGAATTACTAAACAGAAGCTTTTTTAAAAATAGTTAACTGGCATAGACTAACAGAGGCGTAGCGACCCTTCCCGGCGCCCGGGGACAAACTTTCAATTTGTCCCCCCCCCCCCGGGAACAAACTTTCAATTTGGCGCCCCCCCCCCCCCTTCATATATTTTTATATTTATAATGCAAAACTGCAGCTAAAATGAGTTTTTAATTTTTTTTAAACCCATTTTGGCGTCCCCTAGGGTCGGCGCCCGGGGACATATGTACCCCTCCCCTCCCACCGCCCCCCTTTTTAAAATATTTTTTTTCAAGTGGGTGTGGGGGTGCGGACGATGTAAGTGCTCAGCCCATATCCCCTCCCCACGAGATATGTCTAAAAAATGCTGGGCGTCGCTCCTTTCTCTTATTTGTTAAGAGATATATTTTAAATAACAAAATTTCCAACTGGATATAGACCTAATATACAGAGGCGTAGCGACCCTTCCCGGCGCCCGGGGACTAACTTTCTATTTGCACCCCCCTTCAAACTTTCAATTTGTTTTTCAAACTCATTTTGGCGCCCCCTAATGTCGGCGCCTGGGGACATGTCCCGCCCCGTCCCGTCCGTCCCCCCCCGCCCCGCTACGCCTCTGCTAATATACTGGGGTTTATTTGTTTAGTCATACTAACAGATAGGCCATTAAAGTTACATCAACTCCAAAACTTAACATTAACCTAGACTTACTTCTAACTTATGATGGGACGGAGTGGCCTAGCGGTAGAAAGCTGGACTGCTAACCCGTAAGTCTCGAGTTCAAATCCCTGAGTCCACCCAGCGTACCTAACTCACGTTAGGGTAAGTAAAGGCGGCTGGGTATAGTGCTGACCACACTATCCCTTCAAATGCCGAGGTCACAGAAACATGTGAACTCTACTTCACCTGCCCGGTAGACCGTCAGTTTTGAAAGGAAACTTTACTTTACAACTAACCTATAACATAACCTAAATTGACTGGTTTGACGCCGGCTGTTTCGCAGGAAACAGCTCGTCAATTTAAAAAAAAAAACCCATACATTTTATTAAAGTTATTTTGTTTAGTAACATGACGTCGAAATAGCCAGCAGGTGCGCATGCAATTACATTTCTCAATTACCCAGCAGATGGCGCCTGCGAACTTCAAACACGCGGCAATGGTTCTTACAAATACAGCAGCAGGAGAGCGGTGTAATATCGCTTGTTTTCTGTAGGTATCGTAGGTCTAGCCAGGTTAGAATTGGTGTAGAAGTTATATTAATATATAGTATCAGAATGACGGTTATGGTCCAGTATTAATGATAGGGTATCGTTATATAGTATCAGAATGACGGTTATTGTCCAGCATTAATGTAAGGGTATCGTTATATAGAATCAGAATGAATGTTATGGTCCAGTATTAGTGTTAGGGTATCGTTATATAGTATCAGAATGACGGTTATGGTCCAGTATTAATGTGAGGGTATCGATACTAGCAGGAAGTAGAGAATCGAATATTTTCTGTCGACATTCTTTGGTAGGGTAGGAAAAAAATTGATACAGTTGTTTTTAAATGGTTTTTTGGAGGGGGAGGGGGGGGAGGTGGGTAGAGTGGTTCTCAAATGGGTGTAGGTGGTATAGGGGTAAAGTGGTTATCATATGGGTAGTATAGGGGTAAAATAGTTCTCAAATGGGTGGTATAGTGGTAAAGTGGTTCTCAAATGGGTGGTATAGGGGTTAAGTTGTTCTCAAATGGGTGGTATAAGGGTAAAGTGGTTCTCAAAAGTCTGGCTTGAGCACCCATGTCAGGTCACATGATGTCCTACGGTTCAATAATTGTGATTCACTGATCGTGGTACTGGTATCACGTGGTTAATTGATTGTGATGTTGGATGGTTCACATCGTGGTATGCAATGGTTGACTGGTCGTAGAATCCCATAGTTTACTTATCCTGCTATCCCATAGTTTACTGATCCTATCCCATAGTTTACTTATCCGGCTATCCCATAGTTTACTGATCCTGACATCCCATGGTTTCAGTTGACCATCGTCGTTTAAAGAGAGATCCCACATTTCTGTTGTGTAAGTAAACACGCCGTCACTGTTGTAATCCAGTACGGTAGTTTATCTAGTTTATAGTTAATTTTCATCTCTTTGTCTATTAGGCTAGCGGTTATGATTTGGATAAGTGCTAACGGCTAGGTTACGGTGGCCAGGGTAGAGATATTTATTTAAAAAAAAAACACCAAACGTCAGTTTAAACTAAGGCTAAGTTGAAACGTAAGCCAGCAAACTACGTTAATTAAGTCAAAGAGGAATTTTTATAGTTACCATCTATATCTTGTTTTAAAATTAAAACGATGTATAGCAGTTACCCTTTTTACAAGCTTTTATTTAACTCACTTCCTCGTCAGTCTGTCGTCAGTCTGTCTAGACGGAAACGCAGGAGTGAAAATTCGGACAGTTCTACTTGACCGACACGATTCACAGTTGGCACGTGGGTCAAGACATGAAGACAATGCAATCTGAAACTAAATTTGACTTAATTGGATGCCTAATTAATTTTTATTAATTAATGTAACAACATGAATTCTTTGTTGTTGTGGGTTAGTTTTCACACAGGAATACAAGCAATAGTGGCAACTTCAAATGATGGCTTTATTTACACTATATACAGTGAGAATGATAAATCCATAGTTATTCATGGTAAATCCATATTAGAAGATACTCAACAAGTACAGTCACAGTCACGACTCCAAGTCATGGAGACATCTTACATTCACCGCCACAGTTCAAGTCCCAAGTCCTAGCACACAACACCCGTTCACCTTTTTCTTTCCCTTTTTTACGGTCCATTCTCTCCCCTTACGTACATGAGCGATCTCACCCAAAAGCATGGGAAATACACATGACGATCGCTCAGACAGTCCTTCCGCTAGCCAGGTACTCTTCATTCATGCAAAACACAATATAATAAAGATACATAATAATACAGTCTGTGACACGTCCCCCTTTCGAATAAAATTTTGTGTAACAAAATTTATAAATACAATATTAGTAGGGCAGGATCATGTGCCAGACAACAAAATTTATAAATACAGTATTGGTAGGGCAGGATCATGTGCCAGACAACAAAAAATTGTGTACAATTCAAAGTAGAGTAAAATATATTCATTTTAGACTAAGCACTTGTAGTCATAAATTTATAGTGCATACAAATACAACAGTATGTAGTGACTATATCAGTGATAATTAAAATATGTCAGTGTTTTGAGCAAAAACTTTAAATGTACAAGCATTATATGTAATATTTAATGCATCAATATACATTCACATAGGAGAAAAAAAAACATTTCAATTACCCAGTAACTGTAGTATAAACAAGACAAATGAGTTTAATAAATTACCAAACTAGTCTGGTACATGACCTTATTACCAAAACATAATACATAGTTGAAATTATCAAAGACTTAATTCAACTCATAATTTAAATAACTATATCCTATGTAGTAAAACAACCTTATCATCAAGGCATGTTATTACCACGCATGAGTAATATACTTTGTTGTCTCCCCTAGTTGACCCATTTCAGTCACATCTAGGTCACAACACAACAACATTCTTGCCTTCCACAGGTAATGACTAATACACAATTCATCATTGATACTTCCGTCTTATTGTTATGCGGAATAAATAGTCTCTAACTTTTACTTTATACATTATTCTCTGTTAATTAATAGTATAGAATAGGTTTAACATAATACAGTTTACATTCTTTAGATATAGTACACAATTTATGTTTACTCAAACACATTATTTGATATTTATATATTACAGTTACAGACTGTATAATATTAATAAACTGTCAATTGATAATTTATCTTAGCATCCTTTATAGCATGAGTAATCGTTCTCGTGCAGTTGACGATGACCTGTATGCCATCTCTCCCTCAAATTGTAGCTTTTAGCTGTGCTACCATAATCATTTCCTAGATTTCGTGTAACTTGTGTTACTTCATTTGTTTTAATATTCTCCTCTGGTTTCTGAACAACGTCAGTGGTTATCTTGCTTTGTGTATGTTGGTTTGGTTCATCAACCAACTCAATATAAATATTATGGCATTGCTTTGGCCTTTCATAATACATCTTGCTTCGGTATCTTTCATTAGAACATGATATATTCTTTCTTAAATTACTATATTTCCCACATGACTTTCTTTGTACAAAATTGTTTCTTCTCTGATTTGCCAACCTATGCCAACATTGATTTTGGTAATGACCTGTTTTTCCGCAGTAAAAACATCTAGATTTTGGCTTCTTATAAACATGGTGACTGTATTCATAGTTTGCTAAATTTCTTTTTCTTTCATTCTGTGCATTAATGACATTAATGACATTCTTATTAACATGTTGACTGTATTCATAGTTTGCTAAATTTCTTTTACTTTCATTCTGTGCACCAATGACATTGTAGTTTCTAGTTACTATTTCATCTTTCGTAACTTCCTTGTGCTTCTTTATTGATTCTAGTTCACACATAAATTTATGTGTTAATTTCTCCATTTCTTTGTTAAATTTATTCTTGAGTTCTAGTATATCTTCTTTATAGTTTGACTCCAGATTTCTAAGTAACTCCTCAATAGGTACGTTCTCATCATTGTGGCTTATTAAGTTCACTGATTCATTAATCATCATTAGTTTATCATGATTCCTGCCATTCTCCGATGGACTTATTAAATCATCACTGCCATTCACTGATGGGCTTATTAAATCATTTTGACTACCATTCTCTGATGGACTTGTTTCTTGTTGACTGCCATTCTCTGATGGACTTGTGATACAACTTTCAATAATATTCTCGTGTACCTGCGTATCATTTAATAAAGAGACAATCTTAAGACATTCTAATGTATCTGTCACCTTTAAATCATTATTAAGTTCAACCTCTGTTTTTTCCTTGGGTTTCAATTCTTCCTGGACTATGTTACTTAGTTCTTCATTCCAAAGGTTGCCAATATTTACTTCTTCAAGTTCTGCTTTAAATTCTGTCTGTTCACTTTCTAATTTTGGTTCATTTGTGTCTGTTATATCTTTCATTTCTAATAGTTCTTGTTTATATTCTAGTTCATGTAGGCCAACTTGTTTTTCCAAAGTTTCAGCCCTTTTATCTGCTCTCTGTTTTCTGTTTCTTTTTTTTCGCTTTCCTTTTAATTGTACAGTCTCTTCTACTTTATCTCCATCTGACATTTCTTCTTCTTTTTGCATGTCTGTAATAGCTCTTGATCTACTACGCTCTATTTCTATCTCATCATCTAATTCTCTTATTACTTTTCCATGAGCTAGTCGGGGTCGTCCTGTTTCTTCGTCCCATGCTTCTAATGCTTTTTCTATGTCTCTGTCAAATCGAGTGTTTGCCCAGGCTATCTGCTTCTTCATCTTCTTAATGCCTTGCGCCCTCGCTAGTGCTAGATATTCTTCAAAACATAACATTTTGATATATTTTCTATTTATGACATAAAATATAAATTCATTAGTTAACAATAGGTAAGTGTTAATTAATTTACCAATACCCTTTCTTGTATTCTGGCTTTGTTCAGTTGATTACAGACATCTGGTAATCAAAGAAAAGTTCATAGTACATATATACGTCCAAAAATAGTTCACTTTGTTGATTCCAAAAAGTTGAAAAAAATTCAAAATAGTTCTAGTAGCCTGTTACAGAGTAGAAATGTGTCCAGTTTTAGATAAGACATCTTTAGGAACAGTTTACAATTAATAAACTAGATCTGCTCATCCACAGTAGAAGAACTTGAACAGCTAATCCATATAGAAAAAACTTGAACAGCTAAATCCAAATAGAAAAAAAACACACATTTGTAGGTGTAACAGTAATCTGTTACAGACGATAATAATCCGACATTGGTAAGACAATGTCGAAAATAATGTGATAATAATTATCACGTTGATTACTTGACTTGACTGTAGATAACTATTAATAATTTCATGTACTTGCTTGATATACCAGCGTTGTTCACTGGCAAACAGTGGAAGACCACTTCAAAAACGTTGAAAACTGCTTACAATAATAATGTGACAATTCTTTGATCACTTGTGGTAACACTGTAACTTCGTTGAAGATTTCTGACTTCAATCTAATCCATCAATGTAACAACATCAGTGTAACAACTTGAGTATACGTCCACTTCAGCCAACAAAGTAACAAATGTTGACCATCTCTGACAATAATGTATCAGCTTCTTCAATCACCTGACTCCAATGTATCAACACGTCTGATAATAATGTAGAAACACTTCTTCAATTGCTTCTGACAATGTAACAGTAGTAGTAGACGCTCACAATGTAGCAACTGTTGTTGCCCCCACTTCTGACACCATATGTAACAACATGAATTCTTTGTTGTTGTGGGTTAGTTTTTACACAGGAATACAAGCAATAGTGGCAACTTCAAATGATGGCTTTATTTACACTATATACAGTGAGAATGATAAATCCATAGTTATTCATGGTAAATCCATATTAGAAGATACTCAACAAGTACAGTCACAGTCACGACTCCAAGTCATGGAGACATCTTACATTCACCGCCACAGTTCAAGTCCCAAGTCCTAGCACACAACACCCGTTCACCTTTTTCTTTCCCTTTTTTACGGTCCATTCTCTCCCCTTACGTACATGAGCGATCTCACCCAAAAGCATGGGAAATACACATGACGATCGCTCAGACAGTCCTTCCGCTAGCCAGGTACTCTTCATTCATGCAAAATACAATATAATAAAGATACATAATAATACAGTCTGTGACAATTAATTAAAATTTGGACCGAATTAGTAGGCATGTCTAGCCAACCACACCACACGCGTCATCACCTTCAATAGCTGCGCCATCACGTAATGGCTGCGTTCAAAAACCATTGCGCGCCTACTGAACGTGATGTTCAGTAGGCGCGCAATGGTTTTTAGTCATGTAACTCTATTGTAAACTAGGCATGCTGCCCAGCTTCGCTTAGGCTTTCCAAAACATTGAGAATTTGAATGCTTAATTAATTCGCCCGAGGGTCGGTGTACGACCTCAGGAGTTATGAAGAGGTTCCTCCGTGGACATTTTTTTTCGATTTATAGTCGAGGTCAGTTTTGACCCCATCATCGTAGACTTTTCGGCCAACCGGCCCCCGTGTTCTGTCGCCCCAAGGCAAGATCCTGCCAAATTTGAAGCGCCTGCGGCGCCGGGAAGTGCCCTGTTGGGCACCCGACAACTTTGCTTTATATATTATAGAGATTAGCAAATTGCATAGATAAACAAAGATTTCAATAAAGTAATTAAGGCCTGAAATACTTTAGTATAGAAATGTATTATTTGAATAGATTCTAGATCTAGGTAGGGTCTACATAAATTTTATGAGTTTAGGCCGGAAAAATTGTATTGTATACATTTCATAGTGTACGTAGATCTAAATCAAATTTGAATGAAATAGTTCATTTCTTTTTATTCTAAACACGGCAGATGACGTCATTAGTTAATGTATAAGCAATAGTGACGTCACAGTTTTATGCGTTCTTTTTCACATATATTAATGCTTTTCCGGTTGCATAAATAAAATTGTTTTTCTACATTCGAATACGCCTTTATTTTTTATTTTTATTTTTTAAATAAAATTGTGGTTATACATTTAAAACATTTAACATATTATTTTCAACAAAAGTCCGTATAAAGTTCTCCATATATCGCTGCCGTTTCTGACGTGATGTCCGGCGAAAATATTTTGCGGACAGACATAGAGAGAGAGAGAAGTGCGCACATTGGGCTTTTATATATTAGGATAAAACATGTAAAGTACTGAAAAAAAAATTCATAAAAAACGTTTTAATAACAAGCTTTTATGTAATGATGCACTAAAAAGTAGAAAATAAATTATAGACTACTATTTAAATAACTATAAAGAAAAGCGTGGGTGTCTTCCTTAACATTAGTAAAGGTATCCAATAGATACTAAAGTGACCCACGCTTTTCTTTATAGTTATTTAAATAGTAGTCTATAATTTATTTTCTACTTTTTAGTGCATCATTACATAAAAGCTTGTTATTAAAACGTTTTTTATGAATTTTTTTTTGTAGTCACTATCTCCATCTTGTTTTGAAATTAAAACGATGTATAGCGTTACCCCAACCACAACGGTTTTATTATAGACTAAATCTTGCACAGCTTTAGTTAGATCTATATCTACCCCACTCAGACGGTATCTTAATATAGACGCCATCCTGTTGAACCAGGTCTCATATACCAGATGCACGTCTGTCAGTTTACTTTACGTGTGGGCTAGAGGTCTACATCAAACACGGTGAATAGTTTCAGTCTCAAAGTCAGGGCTAGGCTATCGCTCTCTGGTGCAGGGGCGTAGCCAGGATATATATATATATATATATATATATATATATATATATATATATATATATATATATATATATATATATATATATATATATAAGTATACAATATTTTATATAGCCCACTGATTTCTAATTATTACTTTCTTTGCTGGTAAAGTCCGGGTGTTTTAAGACCCCCAACAGTCTCCCCCAACACCGTCGTGGCTGTGTTGTCCTACAGGCGATTGTTTGATGAGAGCAACTGATGTTTACATAGAGGGAAGTGGAAACATTAATTTTCCGCCCCTGATACTGAAACATGTGGTCACGCCTATGTGTCATAGAATAAATCATTCATCACTCACCTACAGCTTTATAAGTTCAGTCCCCTGTGTGTTATAGATTCTAGGAATGGTAGTCCATGAGGCCCTGCTCCTTTTGCACTAGACAGATTCTAAACGTCTTAATTAAAAACTAAATTTAGTGTAATATTTAATCCTCCCACGCTATACGTGTATTTTAAAAAAAAAAAATTGTTTTTAAATTTGAAAACAAAAATTCCAAGATTTAGAATTCTTAGTTGTTATTTTTTTCTAAGAAAGAAAAAACAGTTTCCTTATTCAGAACGTGCAAAGCGCGTAAATCGATTTCCTTCTATTATAAAGGTAAACTTTGGATCAAGTTGGTAGAGAACCGGTTTCTTTTTTTTTTTTAACGATGGAGGTTTTTTTTTTTTAGACAACACATGCAGATTCCTCCGCGTTTTGTGTTTACATTGGGTGATCGCATCGTAAGTAGTCCGTGGGATGGTGTTTGATGTTTGCTTTATGTTGCATAACCAATGAGGGAGGGGATTCATACTTTGATGCCCTTCAGTGCGCGCAGACGATTTCTAATGCAGAGGGCGGGAGGTGAAAACAGGAAAATTTTGTAGTACAGTTACACACACGCAAGCACACACTTACACGCACTATAGACTACAACATTGTGCATAAATACTATCTGGTTTATACACGTCCATACAAGAGTATTTTTATTAGACTTAGGAACTAACACGCACATACTAACACGTGCTACACATGCTACAAACATATTGCGCACATTTAATGTTTCATTCATGTCCACATAAGAATGTCTGTTAGACATTAGCATATGCACACACGAACACACACACACATAAGCAGTAGACTTTACATAAAGTACAAACCCACTCACTTGAAGAAAACAGAGGCGTTGCGAGGCGAGGCGGGGGGTGCGGACCGCAACGGGTGACACCATTTAGGGGAATGGGGTGACACCAAGAAAAAAAAAGGCAAAATATATAGAAAAAATAAGCTTTTAGCCTGTTGAATGAATGATTAATTTAAGTTTAAAAGTATTTTAAGTACAAAATGACGATCCCGACGGTGGGGGGGGGGGGGAGTGGTGGTGGTGGTATGACACCATAACACAACCTGTTAACTATATCTGACACCAATTACTATTATATATATATATATATATATATATATATATATATATATATATATATATATATATATATATATATATATATATATATATATATATATATATATATATATATATATATATATATATATAGAGAGAGAGAGAGAGAGAGAGAGAGAGAGAGAGAGAGAGAGAGAGAGAGAGCCTATAAAAAATTTTTTTTACAGAGAGGTCCATGGGGGGGGGGGGGGGGGGGTTAAACCCTCCCTACCCGCCCCCCCCCCCCCCCCCCCCCCCCTGCCTACGCCACTGTTTCAAGTAGTAGTTTCTTAAGCTTATGTTACCATCAGATGTGCTTCTCTATATAGTACAACCAAAAGTAGAAGATTGTGTACCAAATGTTGTTTCCTTAAGAATACAATTTATTAACACTTCTAGTGTCCGCGCAGGCCTTTTAGTGCGAGGGGACACAATCCGATATAAAAATACATTTTTTACACACTGATAGACTAGTGCTTTTTGCGAAAATATAAAACAAATAGACTACAGCAGCGATTGTTGCATATATATATATATATATATATATATATATATATATATATATATATATATATATATATATATTGCGGGGGGGGGGGGGGGTTAATAAGATTTGCCAAGGGCGCTAAATAACCTGCCTCCGGCACTGATTGTCAGTCTATGCCAATGAGCGATATTTGGGAACTTAAACCGAAACCGTCGAACCTCGACCCCTCCTCACAAAATCGTGACGTAATTCAAGTAAAATACTTCAAAATAAAAGAAGCCTAAATTGAAATTAATTAAGTTTAGTAATTCTAAATGAAGAATTCTTCAATAGCAGTTAAATCAAAGCAGTGGCAAATTCTTACCTCCCATCTCCAAAACTTTGAGTTAAAAAAAATCAACCAAGGGAGCTTACATACTATTGAAGTACTTAACTTAAAATTAAGTCATTTAAGAGAGCGTACGATTTCATACTATCAAGGTGTAAAATACTGCTGATTGCTTTTTAAAATAATTTTAAAATTAGTTATAATTTTAAGTTTAATATCAGGTTATTTAAGCTTATATTTAAAAAATATGTAATTCGAAAATAAAACACAAGCTTAATAGTTGAATGAATAGTTAAATACCACCAGTCCAACTTCATTACTGGGATATTAGGTCAGTCTGTTGAGTAGGTTTTTGTATCCCTAAGTTAAAAGGGACACTTCTGATCTCCTGATGCTGTGTAAAATCTATCAAATATATTATTATTACTGATTTAAATGTTTAAAACAATTGAATTAATTTAAAAAAAACTGTTTGAGGAATGTACAGATATAGATGTTTGAAAGGGAAGAATGTTTGCTTTGATGTGTCTCATTGTAATAACATAAGTTTTCCGATTGCTTAAACTTTGTATCATGGTAATTCTCAGTAATCCCAATTTTTTTTTCAGCTCTACTTAAAAACCCAAATTCCAACCCCCGTCCCCTCAGCCCACCACGCACGCCGAGAAAAAAAAATCCCTTGAATCATCATTTAATTACACATTTGCATTTTCAGTGTCAGGTTGGTTTTTAATTTTTATTTTTTCTTTATATTTAGACGTTTTGTATTAGATCTATGTATAAGTAAACAATCTTAAATGAATGAAAGCAGGCTACAAGTAAGAGAGAAATATTACTATTGTAAATCTGTATCAGTCCTCACAAGCCGATGATGAAAACTGTAATATTAAAGCGAACACACAACTGACGCTACAAATTACATGTCTGAGGAAAAAAAAAGGGACACTTCTTTTTACCTTTAACAGTACAGATTAGTGTCTGAATTTTGATACTAATTACGCAGTAACAATGGCAAAGTCCAAGATTCACACTAATTACAACCAGAATAAGAAACACCACCGCAATGGCATTCACAAGCCCAAGTCCTACAGATATTCCTCCATTAGGGAGTTGATCTCAAGTTTTTGAAAAATCCGAAGTGTTCTAGAAAACACAACAAAAAGGCTGTTGCTGCTAAATAAATGTCTGTTAATAACAAACAAAATAAGTTAAAGGGGGAAATTACCCTTCCATTTCACACATTGAATTAAGTCGAAACGCTGGTCTTCTCTATCAGAGGAACATCACAATAATAAAATTTATATCTGGGTACACTAAAAAAATTATCACAATAATTATTGTATTATAATTTTTAAAATAACAGATGGTTGATTCGCCATTTAATTTCACAGTTGCATTTCAGGTTTAAAAATAAAATTATAATTGAGACGTTTTGTATAAGTTAACCATCTTAATTCAATGCATGAAAGTACATGTCAGAAAAAAAGTATTAAAATTGTAAATCTGTATCAGTCCTCTCAGGTCGATGATGAAAACTGTAATACATGGCAAGGCAAACTGACGCTGTAAATTACATGTCTGAGGCAAAAACAACTATCCAAGCAATATCTTCTGTTTAGACTCTCAAACGGGACACTATTTGTTTCAGAGGCGTAGCGATGGGGGGGGGGGGGGCAGGGGGGTACATATGTCCCCGGGCGCCGACCTTAGGGGCGCTAAAATGGGTTGTAAAAACAAATTAAAATGTCATTTTCGCATTATAAATAGTTTGAGAAGGGGGGTGCAAATCGAAAGTTTGAGGGGGGGGGGGGTGCAAATCCAAACTTTGCTCTCGAGGGGGTGCCAAATTGAAAGTTTGTCCCCGGGCGCCGGGAATGGTCGCTACGGCTCTGATTTGTTTAATAACTTGTTAAAATGATTACAAAATGTGTAATAATAAAAGCAAAGTTAAGTGTTTTTGTGATCTGTTTTGTACAAATTCTACTTTAATTTAGGTTATTAACATAATTTTGGACTTTGCTCGACAGGGAAATCATAGATTATGTTAATGTTAGTCTTTTTTTTTTGTGTAGTCTTTTACCACACTGTAGCGAACTGACGAAGACCTTGGGTCGAAACGTCCTTGTACCTGTTAATTTTTTGAATGTGTGAGAATACTTACACTACCTGTTTTATTACTGTTTGAAAATCAAACAACAGAAGTGTGTTTCTTTCAGACTTTTTTCTCGGGGGGGGGGGGGGGGGTTGTTGGGGGGAAGCGCACTTGAAACTGTCAGGGGGAGGGGCGGACTCGAGTTTCCAAGGGGGGGGGGGTGACTGATAAAAGTATATATTTTCTACATAAATTCGAGTTCGTTCGGGAGAGGGTATACATGCTTCGAAGAGAAACCTAAAAAAAAAACGCTAGAAACTTAGCAGATGCAATATGCTATTTAATCTTCTATTCAAAAGATAAAAATTTGCTTCTGGTTGATTTATAATCACCATTAATCGATGTAGAAATCTAAGTGTTATTCATTTTTGAAGTACTTGAGGACATTAGAAGCAGAAATGCTTTTGTCGACTTCCTTCTATTTTAATCATCAAATTCTTACAAATACTTAGCTAAATTGGTATGTTTCTTATACTCCCCTTTCGTGATAAAAATAATGCAAGGGAACAAACTGTCCATCATACGCGCAAGCATTATTAATAGTAGCACCCTTTGACATATTATACTCGCCACACTTTAGCCTATCAACCCCTCAGGGGATAAAACTAGGCTATGATATTTTCCGAATATATTGAGTAGTTTCCCTTTGAAGGACCATCTCTATTCACAATTTTTTTTTTTTAAATTCACAGTAAGCCTCAAGTATTAATTTGGTGCTAAAAATTTTGCACATCTGGATTGATATTATATTCATTAATTTTTTTTTTTTCGTACTAATTTACAAAGAAATGTATACACTCAATTAAAAATACTTGTTAATAATTCCACTGTGACGTCACACTTTCTTAACAGTTCAACCAATTACAAAAATTACGGGAAAAATAAAATGAATGTGGTCAATGATTTATTTATTGTATATCAACAGTTGTAGATTAACATAGTTGTGAACACAACATGTGCAATTAAACAGTTCGTCAACAAGCACTGCTTAGCTCCCCTGAAGTCAGAACATCAGCAGGAGACCATGCCACCCTCACAATTAAACCAACAAGATAAGCAGAAAAAATGGCTCATTATGTACCAGTCCATGTTGATTTGAGGTGTCGTTAATGCTCTACAAAGATGACATTTATTGGCCTAATTAAACCTGGCTAAAAACAAACAAAAATGTTGACAACTTATAGACTAATTAGTAAAAGTTCAAATTTTTAAAAAAGTTTGAAATATTGCATCAACCAAAGAGAAGCTTAGTATGCTAAAGAGGATAGCCAATAACATTGTACCTTTTTCCCCACAATAAAATGAGATATAACTTTTTCACATAAATGACAAAGAATACATATTATTATGGACTAGAGAAGAGATTTGCTTCATCATCAAAATGATAAGCAACATATAACATGTTATAAACTGCCCAAACAGAAAACTTTTTCTTCTGGTTAAAAATAAACAAATAACAAATACCTGCTTTAACTTGAGCAAATAAATTTATCATATCTTAACAATTCTCTGAGAAAATTATTTTATATAAATATACAACAACCAATTTTATTATCATTTTAATTATTTTAAGGCACAGCTCAATCAAATATGTAATATTTTAAGATGGCTAGAAACAGCTTATGTATGTCCTGTGTTTATTTAATTAACAAATGTACAGAAATAAAGGTGAAATTATTTAACTGATGGTAGGTTGAATAAAACTAGCTTCAATTAACCCTATTATTTCCGTACAATGATTTAGATGGTAAGTTAAACAAAACCAGCTCAAATGGAATTGATGTGTTAACCCTATCATCTCCGTACAATGGTTTAGATTACAAGCTAAATAAAACCAGCTTCAATAGAATCAATGTGTTAACCCTATCATCTCCATACAATTATCTAGATTGCAAGCTCCAATAAAATCAATGAGTTAACACTGGCTATAAGCTCTACATGCTGGTCTAGCACAAATGGACACCTGGCCCTTTCCCATGAGCACCTGCCAGTTGAAGAAAAACAGTTTAGGAATAATTTGAACAAGAATTTTATAAATGGTTATATCGTAAAACAAATGAAAAATAATTGAATCAAGTATTTTATCAACAATTATATTACACAAGTACCTAGACTCAAATGTATTAAAAATGATTATATAACATGTGTAGAGACTTAAATGCATTACACATAATAAACAAGACGTGGGATGTAATGAGCCAACTCAGCTATACAGGGTACTACACATGCCCTACTGTCTATAATATATGATAGAATACCTTACATTTTTATTTTGGTTAGCATGTCTCAATTTTACAGCAACATAAAATATCAGCCTAACAATCAAAATATTTCAAAAATAATTTTATTTTGTTTGAACTAAAAGCTGACATTTTTGGAACAGTGTCAGTAGCACACTAAGGATAGAAATAAGACAATTTTCATCTTCTTCTTCCATCTTCTTCATGTTAAACTAAACAGCGGAAAATAAACAAACTTTAAAACTAAAGTTGGGTTCTTGTAAACAACAGATCTTAAGAGAAAATTGTAAGAACCATACAAAAAAATATACTTAATTGAAATTCTATTAGGGACATTTACCTTCATTTCAAAGTGGTCTTCTCAAATAAAAGCACAAATTTTAAAAAATATTTCTTAATCCTATTTGAGACTAGTTGTAATTAACCATTACCCACTTGTTTTGAAAAAAAAACAGTCAAATGCAGACGACCAGGAAAACAAACTTACCCAAAACACTGCTGAGGAAGGATGCGTACGTGGCTGACCCGGTTACGGCCCCGAGCGTAGCTGGGTTACGCCGAACGGTTTTACAGTGGAAAGCTTTGTCTGCTGCCATGTTGCCAGGACCCCACAGCTCCACCTCCACAATGTGCCAGTCTGTTAAACTAAATTTACATTTCATGTATCATCAAAACTGTTAAACTAAATTTACATTTCATGCAACATTAAAACTGTTAAATTTACATTTCAGGTATCATTAAAACTGTTAAATTTACATTTCATGTATCACTAAAACTGTTAAATTTACATTTCATGTATCAAAACTGTTAAACCTAATTACCTTTTCATGTATCATTAAAACTGTTAAATTTACATTTCATGCATCTTAAATCTGTTAAATTAAATTTACATTCCATGTATTATTAAAAGCTAAATTTACCTTTTATGTATCATTATAACTGTTAGGCTAAATTTACAATTCATGTACCATGAAATTTTTTTTCCATTTAACTAAATTTGCATTTCATAAAAGGAATCAGACACAAATTTCACACCCTGAAAACTGGCAAATCACCAACCTGGGATCAGAGACTAGAACTCCCTGTACTTTATCAAAGCCCAGATTGTGTGCAGCCAGAGCAGCCGCTGCCATCGTGTTGACGTTGTTTGGAGCCAGGGGACACAATCCTCTCACACCACCTAAAGTTGGGACGTTGTATAAATATACATTCTTTCAGAAACGGCAACATTTTATTAGTATATCTGTCAGTAAAAACAAAACCCTACCCAAACTTCTGTCAATTTTTTATAAAAAATGCTTGGGGATTAGCGTGAATGTAGGAAGAATTTGTTACTTTTCTACTCAGTTTAAAAATTAAAATCTGTGCTAACCATCGTACAACACTACAGGGGAGTCTGTTACTGTTTTGTTGATGCTCTCTATCTCTCCATTCAACTTGTAGGAAGCTGGGTGCTTTTTCATGGTGACTTTCAATGCCTGAAAAAAATTATAATATAGCATAAATATAAGATTAAGTTAATATTTTTTCATGGTGATTTTCAATGCCAGAAAAACAAAATTATGTGTTTAATGAGAATAAGCCAGTGTAATCTATACAGACTTTAATAATAGATTTAATGGAAGATTTTATTTTATTAGATTAGATAACGTAAATATTTTCTAAAACTCAGGCACACAATCTTTTAACTTAGAGTAGACTACACAGATTCATTTTGTTTTAATTACAAAAACAAAGCAATACAAATATACACTGTACTATAAATATGGTTTACAAATCTAAAAATCAAATACACACCTGAAGAGTTCCCCTATCTGCCATTTTCTGGATATCTTCACCACCCCAAAATGCTCCTGAGGGGATATACAGCCCATGTGATATGGCGGCAGAACGCAGACTTGCTTCTAGATTGGCATCAGCTAAAGCTGTAGGAGACCCCACCTAAAATAACAACAGAGCTTCAGTTTATTAAAAAATGTAATTAGAATACTTAACAGGAAACAAAACAAAAATTTTCTTCCATTACTTATTTCATAAAAAAATAAACAGCTAATCTATAAGGAAAAATTTTAATGGACAAACTAAAACAAAAGCCAAACACTAGTCTGACAGGTATTTGAACGGCAATAGCTAGTCTACAATAAATTCTACGCACAATAACAAATATAAAAACTGTATGGCTTTACCATGTAATCAGCATGTGCTAAAAATAAGGGTCCGTACTGTTCTGTGATACTTGGATGGGCTACTTCAACGATAAGATCTGCATTGCTGCAAGAAAAAAATTATTTATTTTTTTAATTGTTGACCAATGTTCATAATTTCAATTTTTTTCAGGCATCTGTCATGTATCCTTAAGTATATTGGTCAATACCCATCAATAACTAAACCAAACACACATTAATAGAAGTAAACATTGGATTGTCCCCTATAACATTCATTAACTAGGTAGAAAACTATCAACACATTCCCCTGTAACAGTAAACAGTCTAAAATTCTCACCAATCTTTAAAGTTATTAAGATCACGAAGCTGGAGATCATCTGGAACATTTCCAACTAATGCCTCATGTGTGCGGTTCCAAACAAAAGCAAGCTCTAAATTGTTTTGTTTCTTTATTTCTTCTACAAGGTACTGTCCTGGAAGTCAAATATTTAAAGATAATTATTAATGTCTCCTCTTAGAATAGATAAAACTATCATACCTTTCTTGAAGAAATACTACTAAATATAGTTCAACAACAGACTCTTCAGAAAACAGGTTGTTATGATATCAGGTTTAACATAGGGCCAAAAATTAGGTTTAGGGATATGCAGTATGGTGCGACACGGGTTATGGTTGGGTGGACATAAGCAAGTTACTACCCAGTAACTTAACAAACTTCCTTTCTGTTTAAGAGGTTTCCACGAATTAGCAGCATTATCTGCACTAGTTTACCACATTGACCAACACCCCTATCTTTCAAAATATTTTAAAATTGTGAAGCATCATCTGAAAAGCAACTTCTAAAAGGACACAATTATTCCTTAGAAGGAGCTAGTCTTGATCTTCTTTAAAAAGGGGTGTTAGGTTATTGGTAGTTACTAGTTAGCTAAAATAAGCACAAGGCTTGCTATTGCCAAGTACTAGCTCCAACCCTGGTCCTACCATTCGCCTGACCTAATTTGAAATTTCTAACAATAAAACTAGACGAGATTACATTACTAACTATTTTAACTCTTAACTAACAGCTGAACATATTTATTTTTGGAAAAGTCGGCATCTAAAAATCATCTTGCTAATAGGCCTAGGCCTAATTACTGATAATTAGGCCTATTTATTTATATTTAAAAGTTTATTTAAATTTGAATAAAAATAAATAGGACCTAGCCTATTTTAAATATTTAAAAAAATATTTCCACGAGTTTATGCATCGCATGGAGCCCTGTCAGAGGCGGCTGTCAGAGGACTCAAGCAAGAAGAGGTTGCTAACCTAAAAGACCGAAGCCAACAACGCCAATCCTTCTTCTGGACATAACTTAAATTTAGGCCTATTAACTTCACTATTTATTAGACGTTCTAGATCTTTTTGTCTTAGAGCTTATATAGATCTAGATATATTAGCATCAACGAAAGATCACACTGCGAGTCAGTTATGTAATGGATGGTTGGTACAGAAACGAAAGTGGAAGCATAAAGGGAAGTAATGGCGATAAACAGGCTCTTTTAAAATTGTGGACATTATTCGTTTTATGTTATTTCCGGTGTAACTATAACAACAGCTCAAGCTTCGCGTTCTTGTTTACAAACTTTTTACAAAAAATACTCGATCTAAATCTCGATCTACCATCCATAGATCGGGAATCTGATTTAAAATTGAGTTAATAGGTAATAATTGTGTACACTGTTTACTATTTACATTTAATATAAGATTAATAAATTGTCTCAATGATAATAATGGGCAACTTACTAACTATTAAAATTAAAACTACCGGGACTCAATTCTTCATCATTCATGATTCTGGTTGATTCACTTTATCAGATATTGACAGATAAAGTTTATCTGAATCACAAACCACTTATTAGCGTCATTAGCAGCAGGCGGTCTCAAAAAAATTAAATCAAATTATTTCCTAATCAACCTTTTCTATTGCAAATATAGATCGTTGTCCATTATTCCATTTAGAAAATAAATGTATTTAAAAAAACAACAACTTTGTAACTCACTTTCTTTAACTTTATTTAAATGAAAAATCATATGAAATTGCTGAAAGGGGTCGGCGTGGTCGAGTCGGTAAAGCTCATGGTTGCTAAACCGAAAAGTCTCGAGTTCGAACCCTCGGGCAGATGAGGCTCGTTAGCTGGGGACAGCCACTCTTCTAGGAGAGACAACTCCAAAATTAAACAACTGCTGCCTTGTAGTTTGTTCTTGGTTGGACAAAGGCTATGGAAGCAAATCCAAAAAGAAAAGCAGGCTGAAATCGGAGTCAATGGCCTCAATGGCGCATAAACAGTTGACACGTAACGCTTAATTGTGTTGGAGGCGTGGTCGAGTCGGCAAAAAGCTCATGGTTGATAAATTCGAACAAAGTCTCGAATTCAAACCCACTGGCAGATAAATCTCGATCCCCTCCAAACACTGATAATTAAGAACGAAGAAGAAGAAGAAGAAGAAGCTGAAATTGGTGAAAAGTGAAGCTGTTCAAAGCATAATTTTTTAGTCCCCACAGTCCAGAAATGTCCACAGGTACAGTGTGTGACCAGGGTCAAGCGACTCAAGTGACACACTCGAGCATTATTATTTTGACATTAGCTTTAATAATTAATTCATTTTTTATTCATATGTGGTTCCAGCTAAGAAAAACAATAGAAAGAAATCAATGTTTTTTAAAGACAAAAACATGTAAGCTGAGTGTGACTTCTTTTTAGATGTTTATAGTAAAGTTGCCTGGCAGGACAGGGGGCAGGTGAAGTAGAGTTCACCTGTTTCTGTGACCCCAGCATTTGAATGGATAGTCTGGTCAACACCATGCTCAGCTGAAATCAGTGTTTTTAAAAAACGAAAATAATTTGGCTGAGATATGACTTCTTTTTAGATGCCCGGGTCTCGCTTATTGTGATGATGTGTGACAGTGGGGAGATGAAAACAGTCAAACAATAATCCTGATTGCTGATAAAGTATAGAACATCTATTACTTTGACATAGGTTCATGACAACATATCATTGCTGAGAAAATAAACTTGATGAAGAATGGATTTGGTTTTACCATTGACATCCTTGAATCATAAAAAAAATTAATAGCATTTTGAACCTGACTGTCCATGGGGCAGGTGAAGGAGAGTTTATGTAACCTCGGCATATGAAGGAACAGTGTGGTCAGCACTACACCTAGCTGTCTTTACTTTCCCTAATATGGGTCAGGTAGCCATCAGAGATGGGTGGACTCAGGGACATCGTACAGACTCTAGCCCAGGATTCTAGCTTGAGACTATTGGGTTAGCAGGTGTATGCTCATTCAAGCATAATGTCCTTAAAAATGAAAGCTCAGATGTACACTCACAAGGTCATCAGAACTCACAATAATTTCCTACAAGACACAGTTCCATACAAAAGAAAAAAAGAAGCAGGCTAAAGAAACGGTGGGAAGAAGACAGAGAGTAACTATGGCAACTGGCCGACAGGATATTTGTGGCACCTTAATTGTCTACTAGGCTTTGGTGCAGATAGGTGGCTATGAAAAAATTCTGCACTATGCCTGACTTTTGAGCCTTGAACAAAAAAAGTGTGCATCCTTGGGGAGATATGTCTCAGTTTCAGTATTGCTGATGTTATATTGGAACATATTGTTGTTTTACTCCCATTTTTATCACTTTGGACTGAAGTAAAGCTTTCAGTGAAAAGTTATTTTTATTAAGAAATAATGGACTTTGTTTCTTCAATAACTGAGTGACATCAAATATGTCTAGATGCTACATGTATGCCATACATTATAGTAATAATTTGGGTAATTATTTGGGTAATGTTTACTCTGCTTCTATTTATTGTTTTAATTTATATTTCAGATCCACTTGTATTTAGTTAAAAAAAAAAACAAATTAAAAATGGTTAAAAAGAAAAAGAAGGGATCTGGCAAAAAGGCAGCAATGAGCGATGAGGAAAGGATTGCTTATGAAGAACAAAAGCGGCTGGTAGAAGAAGAAAAGAGGAAACAGCAAGAAGACTTTTTAGCTCAGTACTTAAAGGTAATTTCAGTATACACAATAAGTGGATGTTTTGAATATTTTTTATAGGAAACTAACATTTTAATTTTTTTATTTTGAAGTAAACAATCTCCCAAGAATATCTTTTTTTTATGATTGTTGATTAAAATACATGTCATTTTAAAAACTTCTTTCCCTTGTTGCATTGATCTATGTATTCACAAAACTACCTTGATAACTGTTCTTGTTGCCTTTTTGGTTAAAATATTTTTCTTAAATAGAGTAGGTCCTATTAAAATTATTGAATACTGTAACTCTAAGAGAACAAAGATTTAAAAAAACATTTTGCACACCAGTATGAAAGACACCAATGTGCATTTATATTGAACACAATAATTATTGATGATCCATTTTTAGCTAGACATTAGCTTACTCTCAGGCTTACAGTGATAATGGTTATAAATCTAGATTTGACAACCTTGTTTACCTAAAACTATTGTGTAATGGTAACAATATTAGACACATAGGCCTTTTTTCACATTGGCCGTTTGCTTAGTTATAATACATAATAGAAAAGAATGTGAACAGAACAGATACATGAGAAATGCTGTGATTGTGTGATGATTCAGTTTACAATTACTTGAAATATTTTTTTTTTTAAATTTTGTTTTGATTATAAATTCAGCTACAGAAATTTTTATTCTTTTAGGAAGGTTCTTCCACAAATTAGCAAATTCTTAATTGAAATAGATCTAGTTTTAATTTTTCTGTGTTTTTTTTAGTAAATAAATTAAATTGTTTTCTAGATCAACAATTTTTCGGTAGATAGTTAAAGTGATAATTTCTTCACTTGCATATTTGTTTCCTTTAGACTTTGGAGTATTTCACTGACTTCAATTATTTTTTTCATCTAATTAATAGAAAAATAAGATTTTTGGCATTCTTTAATTAATTAACACACTTATATGTTTAAATGAGTTCCAAAATAAAAAGGTATGTTCAATATTCTAGAATGTTTTATTTCCTTAATTTTAACCTAAGATCCTTTGACAGCATTGTTAGCTTTTTTTATTATTTCAGTGATCATAGCAAAAACTTGTAAGATCAGAACAAAATTATATTTTTAAAGAGTTTACCAAAAACCATTTAAAAAGTGAAAATGGGTAAGAAGAAAGCTAGAAAAGATTCTACCGAAGGTATGACAGAGGAGGAGAAATTAGCCTATGAAGAAATGAAAAGATATGCTGAGGAGGAAATGAAAAGAAAAAAAGAGCACCTCCTTAAAATATTCATGAAGGTAAAGATGACTCCCAGTTGGATTGGAACATTGGTTGATAATTTGTTAAACTGATGCATTGGTTGATACTTTGTCAAATGATGGTGGTTAAATAATTCCTTCTAACTGCCCTGTTGCAGTTACTTTATTTATTTTTGTTTATGTTACCTTTTGTTGTTTATACATAGCCTTATGTTCACCATTTCAGGTTCGCTTTAAGTAAAACAATATGTTTTATACAATTATCTTTTTGTGTGAAAACATTTTTTGCTTTATTGCTTTTAAAATTAACTGATACTAATATTGGTTTTCAAATATGTTAATAACTTGTTTTTCAATTTATTCAGTGCTAAAATAATATATTTACACAATTTTTTTTTATTATTCATATTAATTTTTTAGAAACAATTGATACAATTTTTTAAAAGTAGTTGCAGCAATATCAAACAATTAAAATTATTCAAAGCTGATAATAGTAGGACCATGTATAAGGGGATTAAATCTATTGTAAAATAAAATCCCATGATTAAAATTTAGAACTACCATTGTATCCATTTACTCAACAGGACAAATTGGCTAAGGAAGAAAAAGCCACTCGCTATAACCTCAACAAATTAAACCACCAATGGAGAAACATAATGCGGGAAGCCAAGTCGAAGGAGCTGAAGAAAGACATCGAGATACTGAGTCAAACATTTGAGCGAGTGATAGACAGGAAGGATGCAGTTATCAAGTCCCTGTGTGGTGATATTGCTGAGGCAGAAGAACAATATGCAATGGCTCTTAGAAGTCACATACAAAATACTGACTTCCTCTTGGGTAAGCAGAAAATGGCAGAAATTACATATTCACAATTAAACTCATTTGAATTTAGGAAAAATATTTAAAAGACTTGTTACAAAAAGTAGCTTTATATATTTTTACATTTTTAATGTTTAAAATAATTTTGATTTGTCTTTCATTTTTAAGACCTTCAGAAATCTCGTTTGGACACACTAACCAGAGAGTATTGTTATGAGCTAGAAATTATTTGCGAAGAATTTGATCTAGAAAGAGCTATGTTGCTAGAACAGCACAACATGGAAATGAACGACATTGCAGACATTTTATTTGCCATGGATCAGACCTTTCAAGATAGAGAAAATGAATCTATGGCTGAATTTCATTCATTGAGAGATGAAATAAAAAACAAGGTTAAAAAATATATTTAAAATTTGCAGCATTATTATTTTAGGAAAGTATAAATTAAGTTATGAGCTATCTGTTGAATAATTTCAATTCAACATTAATATCACAACAAGATTATTTTAGGAAAGGAAAAACTAGGTTATAAGCTATTTGTGGAATAATTTAAATACAACATCAATAAAAACATGATTATTTTAGGAAAGAATAAATTAGCTTATGAACTATATGAAGAATAATTTAAATTCCATATTAATATCAATATCTTCTGAACAGAACCTTGAGGACAAGCATGTGCTTCGTGTTCATTTAGAAACAAAAGTTGAAGATTTGTGGCAGCAGTTCAGGCAAGCTCTCCAAAACTACAATGAAACTAATGAAGAAAGAAAATCATCTTTTGAACAACTTAAAATCAAAGATGAGAAAAGCTCTAGAGAAATTGATCAACAAATGAGGAAACTGCAGAGAATTTCAGTAAATTATAAATAGTTTTTAGCAAGTTATGGAAATATTGTTTGTGTTGTCGAATTTTTACAAAATTTAAAAAGATAACTTTTAAATTAAAATGAAATTTGTAAAACTTAAAAAAAAAATTAATTTATAAAAATGTTCTTATTAAATATTAAAATTTCTTTCCAATAATTAGATTTAGATTCTATATTTGGATGATAAGTAAAAAACAACTGGTATAAAAAAATTAAATCCACATTTTACAATATTTGTTAAAAATCATTTATATGAAAGAGTAAATTGCATTTTTAAAAACTCTCCACACAATTCTTCTCTAAACACTGGTCCTACTTGAAAATATTAAAATGTTACCTTATAAATTAATCCCAGGATCAGATCAGCCAACTGAGAGCCAAGCTGTCATCAAATGCTAAAGAATCTGAAGAAAAAAACAAGCTGTTGAAAGAGGTGAGATACACATATATCTTTAAGAGCATGGCTAGTTAGAGTTTTAATGAATAGTAGGTCTGAATCTTTATATAATCAGTATGGTAGCTTATTACAAAATCATTTGCTGTATCTTTACTTATAGATAGAGGATGATGAAGAAAATTTTAATAAAGAGGTATTAACATGTTATATTTCATTTTTGTTTTGTGAAGATTCCATGATCTAATCCTATTTCACAGGTTAAAGTTTTGAAATTATTTGAAAATGTGTTCTTTATTTTGTTAATTTAAAGTTTTTTCTTACCGATTTTGATAATTTGTAAATTTAAAAGTTTGAACTAGTAACCTAAATAAGTTACTAGAATACAACTTGCTTTAGCTTTTCTTAAGCCATAATTTATAATCAAAAAGTTAAAAAAAAAATTTGAAAAAAATATTACTAATTTCATGAAAATTTGATCAACTCAAGCATTATCTAACAGTATAATTTATTTTCTATTGTGTATAAAATAAATATTAAAATAATAATATCAAATACATTTGTATGTAAATTTGAAGGTTTTTCAGCATGTTTCATGTAGCAAATGTTCAAGTTAATTAATTTTACCAGCTCTACAATTTTAATATTTAACTTTTCTTTATGGTAGAAGAGATTATTTTAAAATTTTTGCAGTTTCTTTTCTCCTGTCACTTACCATACAATTACTGTAGAGTGTTATTACAAACCATTTAAATTTCCTATTCAGGAAAGGGAAAGAATGCAACAACTCTTTCATGACCTGAAGTCCCAGATGAATCAAGTGAGGGACAATGAAAGGGAAAAGTTGACTAAACTAACTCTTGAGAGTAATGCAGCTATTAAAGAAATCAAAAGGCAGAAAGAAAAGGTTGACTATTTTTTTTCATCAGTTAGGAAAAAGCTTAATTATTTCTTTGTACTTACTAATGAAAGTTGGTTGTTTAATAAGTCTTTGTACAAAGTGATATATTAAATTTGAACAGGATTGTGTTAAGGTGTTTTTTTGCCCATGATTAACATAAAATAAAAATACAAAAATTCAATGAATGCTCTTTCTTGTACATTAACAAAAATTGTTTTTTTTTTTTTTAAATATTTATGCTATTCTTTAAAAGTTAAAGCTTTTTAAAGAAGACAAATATTTTATTAATGCATTAAAAACTTTAAAAACTAAACTATGTAAAAAAAATAGTTTTTACAAAACATAAATGAAAATGGACATAAAATTGTTTTATTACAATAGATTGATCATTTAATGTGAAAATTATTTGTAAGATATTAGCAATTAGAGGACTTTTTTAAATCATGTATCAATACATCTTAGGGTGAGTTGATCCTCAAGTTGGCAGAAATGTGCAGGAAATTGGAAACAGAAGAAGAGAAAGTTCTGCCCTTTTATGCATCTTCACTTACCCAAGAAGAGCAGGATGATGTGGCTGTGGCCATGGTTGAATTCCCATCAACACCTATGGCTCAGGTTAGTTGGACACACATTCAACTACCCTGTTGGACATTTTTGTTGAAGGAAAAGCTGGGGTCATATAGATACATTGCTTTTTTTATTTACATCATTCAACAATACTAGTTGTGTATATGTTCCTATCGTGGGACGGAGTGGTCTAGCGGTAGAGAGCTGGACTGCTAATCCGTAAGTCTCGAGTTCGAATCCGGGTTCAAGTCAGTAGACCGTCCCTGAGTCCACCCAACTCTGATGGGTACCTAACTCACATTAGGGAGAGTAAAAGCGGCTGGGCCTAGTGCTGACCACACTATCTCTTCATATGCCGAGGTCACAGAAACAAGTGAACTCTACTTCACTTGCCCCATAGACCGTCAGGTTTGAAAGGGAACCTTTTTTTTAATGTTCCTATTAAAGATTTTGAACCACTACATTTTTCTTATTTACTCTACTCAACAATAATAGTTGTGTATAAGATACTAGTTTAATTTTGAGCCACCTTTAAATATTGTATACAATGACAATCAGGTCATGCATGAATATTCATCAATGGAGAACTTTTGGAAACGCTACAACAAAGTCCTACTGGACAAGCTGGCCATGGACAAAGAAAAGCAGACCCTCATGCATGAGAACCAGCAGCTGAGGATGCTGCTCAAGCAGTACCTGGATGGCATCTCAGTCAACGATGAGATACTGAGCCAAGTGAACCCGCTTTTTGTGGTCAACAACAAGACCAATGTCAAGTAAGTTGGGTCTTGTGAAAATGTGGATTCAGAAGCGTATGGAAGTTTGCTTCTGAAAGTCTCACTGTTAGTGTAAGGATTGGGACTAGTAGTTAGGACTAGAGTTAAGGTACTGGTACTAGCATATGCAAAATTTAAGCATAGCATTATTTTAAGTACCATTAAGTTTCCACAATTTATTTTATCTTGCCTGATTGATGGTTGTGATTGCTTATTGAAATAGTTTGTCCACTTAACTTGACTATCCAATCCAGTTTTTCAACTAAACATCTGTAGACTAGTGTTAAAAAATCTTTTCAGCTGAAATTATTGTTTTTAATTTATAAAAAATTAAATTTTAATGATTTGTGAGGTGTGTTACCTGTAGGTCTACACACCAAAACTGAACCAATGTTCACAGTTACATTGTTGTTGTTTCTCAGGTTGAATGTGCCAGTGATGGACTCCAGGGTTAGGAGACCAGTGCCACAGACTGTGATAGAAGCTGCTCATGCTGTTAAACATATCCTCATGTGATGGACCAGTTAAACATATCCTCATGTGATGGACCACCTTGTGCAGGGTCCTTTGACGACCATTTTATTTTGATTGAGAGAACTTGTATAGGGTCCGTCTATACAGCCATTTCATTTTGATTGATTTGTTTAGGGTCTATTAACACTATTTTATTTCGATTGGTAGAACATGTGTAGGGTCCATCTATACAGCCATTTTTAGTGATTTGTTGAGTGTCGACCAACACACTCATTTCGATTAAAAGAACTTGTGAAGGGTTTTATCTACACACCATTTCATTTTGATTGATTTGTTTAGGATATACCTACAATCCATTTTATTCCGTTTGCTTTATGGGTCTATCTACACAACCATTTTATTTTGAAAATATGGCTTTTTTCTGGAGTGATTAGATATTTCCTTTCTGACCCATGTTTCACTTTTATGGTAAATAGAGGAAAACTTTTTAACTTATATTGGAAAAAAGAAAAATATTTATATAAGTTGAGATACTGTAATTTTAAATGGTACAGTCAAATCTAAATAAAATGTTTTCATACCCTCAGATATTTTATTTTAAATTTGCTTAAGGCCGACATGTTATGATTCTCCTTTTTTAAATATTTATTTTTCAACAAAATGAAAATGTTTTAAACTTTTTGTTTGAATACCATAAATAGAGTGGTAATTCAATAAAATTGATTGTATAACAAAGTACAATAAACTTAAATAAACAAAAAGGAATGAGGTATTATATCTTGTAGTTTTTTATTATCAATAGCAACATGATGTTTTGAAAGATCAAGTGTTGCATGTACAAATGCTGAGCACTCAAAAACATATTTCAACTAATTCAAAAAAATTCAGACATTAAAACTACATAAAAGCCTATCAAGTTCAGTCACACAGACATACACAGTGTTAATGTAAAATTACGTACTGTAAAATGTATATATTAGGCAATACATTAAATGTTTTTTTTACAGACAATCTAAATATACAATCAGTTATCAATCACCAAAAATCTTATTAATCGTGAAATAACTCCCATACAATTTAAGTTAATGCCAAGCATCTAAAGAGTTTTGTATTAAATTAAAATAAATACTGATGAGAAAAATTACCACACTTTAATCTCAATTTAATCAATTCAGTGCTTTATCTTCCCTCACAATATAAAAATCATCCATGCCGTTTTACTTTCCCCCAAAACAACTATTGGCTAGAAGTACACTTAAAAAAAATCTTTGGCCATATAACTTCTGAACATATCACATTGATCTGAATATAAAATTCATTTCCTGACCACAGTAATTACGAAACTAAGTGGAGTATTTTAACGAACCACTCATGAGAAAATCTGCTCCAATTTGACAAGACACAGAAACCCAAACCAAAATCTTGTGATACAGCCCACACTTCCTGACACAAATTCTCAGACAACCCAATCCAGCAGAAAACAGTCTGGAGTTACTGCAGGGGTGAAAATGGGGTGGGTATGAGGATTCTTGACTTCATGTGACGGATCAAAGGTACTGTTGGCAAAAAAAAAAATTGTAAATATTAAAATATACGGGATCAAAGGTACTGTTGGCAAAAAAAAAAAGTGTAAATATTAAAATATACGGGATCAAAGGTACTGTTGCAAAAAAAAAAAGTGTAAATATTAAAATATACGGGATCAAAGGTACTGTTGCAAAAAAAAGTGTAAATATTAAAATATACGGGATCAAAGGTACTGTTGCAGAGAAAAATTGTAAAAATTAAAATATACGGGATCAAAGCAGAGAAACATTGTAAATATTAAAATATACAAACATCAAGCTAATTGTAAATTGAGTTATTCTATCAACTTAAAAATCAAAATATAAGAAATTAACACAATTTTTGTGTGGTAATTTTAATGTGAATTATAATTTGTAACTTGATTTAGCAATGACATACCTGTATAAGAGACACACTGGTCCCAGCCTGGCCTGTTCCATGCAGCCTCCCTCGTCTCTTTCCTTGTTTGAAGATCTTTATAAGCTAAACGCAAAATTATTTTCTTTAAAACATCTACCTTTGTCAAAATAAGATAACAAACTAAACCCAGCAATTAAAACTTATAAAATTTTTTTGAAAAGATTAGTTTTGTATTATAGATAAGAACTAAAATACGCTTAAGAACTATTATTTTTCTCACAAAAAAATTGGCATATCTGTTTCTATACTACTTGTAAAGATTTTTAAATTCATATTTTTTTTCCAGATTATAATTATAGTATCCCAAAAGCTTTTTCTAAGAACAGTAAGTTAAAAAAAATATAAAAAGAAACTGTAAAGTCCAACAGTAATTCTCAAAATCAAAAAGAACTGACAATTTTAGAAATGGCTGTTATTGTCAGAAAAAACAACTATAAATTTAAATTTATTTAGCTTTAGTTACAGAAATCTAATGGTCTGAAATCTGATTAAACTGGTCTAGTATATCTGCCAGATAGTAGAAAACATCACATTCAAATTTATAATCCATGTTGGACAATGTAATCAGTACATCATTTTGTTAGTTCCACAACAAGGAGGAACATGCCACTATAAAAACCAGGACACAACACACAGCACATTCATGTTCACATTTAGTTTTTAAAAAATAAACATATTTAGTTGCAGAATTATTAGTAAAAATAAAAAACACTTCGAAAGTCCCACACATCCTGCCCTATAATAACCTGATCATTTGAAAAAATATTTGATTCCTAGCTTGACCTGAAAATAATACCTACCCCAAATGTGGTGTACATTGTATTGTTCACCTATTTGTGAAAAGAAGCCTGCAACAGGTTCATTTTTATCTGTCTTTCTATACTGAAGTCCCCTAGCCCTTTAGGAGAAAACAAAAAGGTTTGTGGGTGAAAGGGCAAGGGGTGAGAGAAGACAATGCTGACAGCATCTTCAATGACGAAAACAGCTTCAAAAGCAAAATCATATGATCCACTTTTGTTTTTTCTTTGATTTTATAATATGATGTGACTTCACAAGTTTCCACACATAACATATGAGCCCAAACTCTTACATTTTACAATACAATATAAAGCATTTAAATTTAAACCCTCAGCTAGATAAGATAACACAGATTAGCTTAGTATTTACTACACTTGGAGAAATAAGTATTAATTCTCATTCCACACTTTTTAAACTCTGGCCATCCGATGACTGGTTCATTGGGTTAATTAATTAGTTTCTGTTCCACACACTAGCTTTGGAAACAATTATATATTTAAATGCAAACAGTTACATGCATACTATGAGAATGTAACATGTCTGTTTCAGAAGATAACTGTAACACAGCTAGCAGAAAATCAATAGAACCAAAATAAAAAACTTTAATGTAACAAACAAAACAATTCAAACACTAAAATAAAAAGCAAAAACCTAACTATAAAAGTTGCAACAAGGAAGCATTTTGCAGGCTGGACCACGAAGGCGGCAGAGGTCCAGACTTACCCCAGATATGCTCACAGCAATTTAAATTGCCAATGTGAGTAAAATAACCAGCCACTGGCTCATTGTTTGTTTGCCGATGCTTTATGCCATTGGCCCTAATCAAAGAAAGGTTAGATGGTCATTTCAAATAAGACTACTTTTTTATTAGGTCATTTTCGATTCTTTTCATCTGAACAAGGCAGCCTATCATAGCTGGACAGATTCATGAATGTAATGTATTAAATGCTTAATGTTAAGTATTGTTTCTATGGTGAGAAACAATATGCTTTCTTCCCCTGCTGTCAATATCAATACAACCAAACAACTTCACTATTGTGACAACAGGCTGAAATATCTAATTTGTATTGTAATAGAATTTAACTGAGCACTGGATAAATTATAATATCTTTAAGTTTTCTCCAATCATTTTTATAAATGTGATAATGAAGCTTATGTGAATTTATTTCACAAATAGTATCCTTTAATAAGAGCCACAGTTACTTCAAAATACAAAATTTTTAGAATCCTGACAATAAAAATAATTCTTTTGATTCAGAGATATATTTAAGGAGACAAATCACTTACCAACAGCTTCCCCATTCATACAATGTTCCTGGCTTGAAAATCAACAAAAATATAAGGTAAATACTTTGTAGCTTTGAACATGAACTTATTTATTAAAAAATTATTACACAGACATAAATCATGCTAAAGTAGGCAAAATTACATAGTTGAAACAATGTTAGTAGAAAAGTGTTTAGTTTTTAAGTTCCATAAATATTGGAAACTTTTTAAGTTCCATACAATGAAATAGTGTTGACAGCTTTCTCATCATTGTTGGCATTTAAATATCTAGAAAAAAAAACCCACCTCAAACCTAATCACTTGCTATCTAATAAGTAAAATAAACAGTGAAAAAACTAAAATTACCTTTAATGTATAACTTCTAAGTTCATATATATGGCTTGGCTCTCTAGGCTGGATTTGTGGCCAGAAACTGAAGGCTAAAACAATCTGATTCCTCCTTGATCTCAGCATCATGTTTCTCTTCTTACGAAATTCTACAAAATCCTTCAAAGCAGAACAAAAAAAATAATTTTTTTAAATAATTTTTTTCTTGTGGAATGAAAATCAGTTTCAGCATTTTAAAATACATTGGTTAAGAATAATTTAACAGATTCACAAACTAAATTTGTAAGACGAAATAAGACTTTTTGATCTAATAATTCTTACTGAGTCTGTACGGTAGATATCATTTGCTTTATTGAGGACTGGATAACCTCCAGGGTATTGCCAAATGTGAACTGTTAAAAAAAAATATTTTTTGCTTTAAAACTGGTTACAAATTTTAAAAGACAGGGAGACTATATCACACTTTGTAACAGAACAACATGTACCTGCTTCATCTTGGTCTCCTATTTCCACTGTAAAACTACCAACAAGATCTGCCCCAGTCCCTTTATCCTTCATCAATTTTTGGAAGGTCGCACTATTTAAAAATGGATACATACAATTAACACTTTTTGGAAGGTCACGCTGTTTTAATTAAAATGAATACACACAATTAACTTTTCAACCAGGCTGGAATGTCTACACAACAGAGTATGGTTAACTTTAACAAATGTCCAGATCATTATTTAACAAACTTACAATTGGTTGATGTATTCCTCCATGTACTCTGGTTTCACAGCATGAACTAAAATATATGATCAAATAAACTTTTTTATAAAAATCATACAAAGTCTTCATAATCTATTAAACACCCAATTAAAAACCTGAATCTTATTTAACTTGTACCAGTTAAGCAGTTTTAAATTGTAGTCATCAAGAATTTGTAATAGCTTAATCGTAATCTTTTGCTAAACATAAGTTGAAAGTTTTAATATAACGGTTTGCTTAAATTTATCATTCAAACTCTTTACTTACACTGCATTTCATAAACAGTTTCTTTACTAGATAAGGCCATTGAGTGAGATTGTTCTGGTTGGGTGGCCTTTTTGCGTCTGCCAAACCAACCTTTAGCCCCCTCATCATCTGAGTCATGATCATTTTTCAGTAGTACTGATGATGTATTTAAATTTCGAAACCTATAAATGTAAATTTAAGAATGTTAGAGGACATTGGTACAATCTTCTTCTTCTTCGTTCTTAATTTTTTGTGTTGGAAGGGATCCCCTCAAACATAATTAAGGATACGTTTCAACTGGTTATGCGCCATTGAGGCCATTGACTCCGATTTCAGCCTGCTTTTCTATTTAGATTTGCTTCCATAGCCTTTGTCCAACCAAGAACAAACTACGAGGCAGCAGTTGTTTGATTTTTGGAGTTGTCTCTCCTAGAAGAGTGGCTGACCCCAGCTAACGAGCCTCATCTACCCGAGGGTTCAAACTAGAGACTTTTCGGTTTAGCAACCATGAGCTTTTACCGACTAGACCACGCGGACATTGGTACAATAATTCAATGCTACATTAAAATGTAATTGCTTCAGGAGAGAATTAAAAAATATTAAATAAACATGGTTCAGGCACTACATGTAATGAAATCCCATTATCAACAGAAGTACTAATAGGGTGCCTTTATAATATATCAGTGTCTCTGACACATTTCGAACTATATTTACAATTAGGGTGGGTATTTTAAAACAACCCTTGGAATCCCTAGCAGAGTTTGTTCCTAGACTTGCCTCAATCAACTGTTGAGTAGTAACTATTAGATCTAGCTATAGATGATGATAAGGCCCAAGTGTAGGCCTTGTTTTATTTAGTCCTAGGCCCTATTGTTTATTAATTTATAAAACAATAGAGATCTAACTATAGTTTAGGCCTACTGAAAGTACCAATATGTTGCAACTAATGTCAAAAGTAGTAGATCTAGTAGAGAGTAGTAGCTAGAGACTAAGAACTAAAAGGTAACAGTAACATAGCAAAATTCTTATCTTTCACTTTCAACAGAGAAAAGGTCAAGGTCACAAAACTGACTACACAACATTGGTTGGTAAACAAACCAGATCTTCGTAATTTCTAACGCTGTAACTAAATGGAAAAGAAGAAAAAAGTGATGGGCATTTTCAAAAAAAATGTGGTCATACTTAAGTGCAAAAGGTGCTGGGTTAGCCTTAAGGCTTATCCTGATTCCTGACTGCACTGTTAGGAACCTCAAAGATTTGCACAGACCAGCCATGTTTGGTTAGTGAATAGTCTCAGCATCAGTGTTTTATACAAGATCTGACCCACATGTTACTCTCATGCAAAAAATGTTATTTTTTTTCTATAATTTTAAAATTAAATATAATAAATTTAAATTATTTAGACTCTATAGTCAACTATAATTTTATATAGAAAACTCAACTCCGCAGATTTGAGGCTATTATGTTGAAACTAAAAATGTGGATTGGAATACATTTTAGAATATATTTTAGAAATGTTGGTTCAGCGCAAGCAATTTATTTTTAAAGACTATCAAACATACAAAAGAAGTTTATATTGTTTTAAAATGTAGGCCTAAATGAAAAACAAAAGATTATTGGTAACCTTGGTATTAAGCATAGAAAAAATAAAATTTCAAAGTAAAATAATACATATTAAATTATAACTGCGTATTATATAAGGGGCAGGTGTTAGATATAAAGAAGTGGGCTTACAGTTAATCTTTAATTCTATTTAAGCTTCCAGCTTTGGGGGGGGGGGGTCGTTTAAATGACGTCACTCAATAACATTTGTGACCACGAATGGCGCGGTGAGAGAAGAGGGGGTATGAACGTGTGACGTCAGTCTTTTCCGTTTAAAAAGAGTGTTTTTTTTTAAAAAAAAGTAAATATCACTAGTTATTTGGATTATCGAAGAGATGCCTGGAAGAAACTCTGGTAGGCCTATGCCATCAATTTCGAGTGGTCTGACTTTTTGTGTCTGTAAAAAAAAGAAAATAAGCGCACGATTAGCTTCTTACAGATGCCAAATCAGTCCTGCAATCCCTACAAAATCCGGAGTCCTATATTCAAACACTTATGACAGCACTAGAGAGGCTAAAAAATACCTGCAGCAGAATTGTGCTGCAGTGGATCCCGGGCCACTGCCAGATCCAGGGTAACGAGATCGCAGACCAGCTGGCAAAAATTGGGGGAAAGAAACCACAACCGGAAATTTCGCTACACCCAAAAGAAATAAAAAGAATAATTAAAAACAAACAAACGCAAATGTGGTCTGTCACACACCTCACTACATTAAAGACGACGGCTATTACAATTTAACACGAAAACAACAATACATAATCTTTCGACTTAGAACAGGCCACGACAGACTAAATTAACACATGTACAAAAAACTGAAGGTTGGGTGTAGCGAAATGTGCCCTTGTGGCAAGGCCCCGGAAAACACGGAGCACGTACTCCAGGATTGTACTCTGTATAGCCAGGCAAGAGGCAGACACTGGCCCCAGCCCACCCCACTCAGGGAAAAATTATATGGGACACCTGACAAACTGGAAACCACAGTCCGGTTTGTCCACGAAGTTGGACTTGTTGTCTGAATCCTCCACCATATTCAAAAATTAAGAACGAAGAAGAAGAAGAAGAAGAAGCACGATTAGCACTCGACCTGTTTCTCATAAACATTACTTAAACAGACTGCCCGTTATGTACAATAATATGGTGTCATTTTAAAATGGTAACACTAACAATATTCTCCCGAATGCAACGTATACATTTTCAAACGCTGTATAGTTTCTTATAGTAAAAAACAACAACACAACAGTGATAACCCATTTATGCGGTATACTGATCTACGTTTCGATAGCAGTTTTATTTTTTTTAACTTCCGTGTTGGTGGGTGCACTTTTAATGTTGGGGAGGGGGGTATATATAGGCCTATTAGTTCTAGGGGGGGGGGGGGGGGAGTCGAAGTGTTGTCTTAAAGCTGCGTTTTTTTCAGCCATCTTTTCGGAAAAGATGTGTGTGTGGGGGGGGGGGGGGGCAAGTCTATCCCTAAGTACGCCTCTCCCCCCCCCCAAATGTAAGATATTTTATATATATATATATATATATATATATATATATATATATATATATATATATATATATATATATATATATATATATATATATATATATATATATATCAGTGGCGTAGCGAGGTCGGGTGTCACCCGGTGCGGCACTTAATGGTGTCACCCCCCCAGAGGCGTTGCGACCCTTCCCGGGGACAAACTTTCATGGTTTCAATTTGCACCCCCCCCCCCTCAAACTTTCGATTTGCACCCCCCCCCCCTCAAGTTTTTGATTCGCGCCCCCCCCCCCCCCTCAAACTTTCGATTTGCACCCCCCCCTCAAGTTTTTCTCTATATATTTTGCTATTTTTTGCCTTGGTGTCACCCCCCTAAATGGTGTCACCCGGTGCGGTCCGCACCCCCCGCCCCCCCCCTCGCTACGCCCCTGATATATATATATATATATACATATATATATATATATATCTTATTTATTTATTTATTTATATATATTTGTATATATCTTTACCAGTGACCGCACCCCGCCCCGGAGAAAAGCGTCTGAAGGAAACGTTGGAAATAATAGGCATAAAGTCAACCGGTTGTTCCATTCTGATAATATGTTTGAGGAATGCTATGATTGGGAACGGTTCGTCTTTAAATCAAATTTCACAATTGTATGCCTTTGGTTTGAAATCTGAAAACCTTTTTCGCAACGCAGGCTGACCATTTAATTTCAACTCAAGTTAGTCTTCTGGATTTAAAAAAAAATCAAAAATCATATTTTGTATATTTGATAAGTGTCTTGTGCCATGAGTTTATTTGATGGGTGTCTTATATTATATCATGAGTTTAAGCCTCCTTTACCTCACCTCACTAGTGCCATTTTTCACACACGTCAAAACTTGACTAATGATTATAGATGATCGTGAGGTGAACTTACTTCATACACACACACACCATACACTAATGCGAACGCGCACATACACACACATGCAAACGCACATACACACGCTCTAACGCGCAGACACATATTATATTTGTATGTAACTTCAGCTCAACTTTAACCAACAACACTGGAAAATGTGTGATTAAGTTTATTAATTAGATATTTACACCAACAGTAATAATTATATTGTCACACATCCAGGCAGTTATAAAACAATATTTTAACGAGATCCTTTCATTCGAATCATTTGGTAAATAACCACGTGAACTTTTAAATTAAGAAGAAATGAGATGTGTATCACCCTGTTCATTGATTTTTTTGCCTCCCTTCTATGGCAAACCAGTTTAACATATTACATTTTATCAGTGAGATTAATATGAAACGGCATGTGAGGGCGTCACCAAGTAGGGTGCTTTACGGGGTTGTCCGCACCCTGCCCCCGTCGCCACGTACTGGTTGGAAAAAAAATATAAATAAACCAATGATAATAAACAAAATAAAATTATGTAATCATTGAAAAAAAAAAGATGCCATTTCGTATTCACAAAATCAATTGATTTTGAAATATAAATCAACAAAATAGATTACGTTCTCCCCGATTACAAAATATAATTAAAAGATTCATTTAATAAAAGCTTATTATGTTCATGATTATGCATCTAATTAACATATTGTAAATTTATACTGATGTTTAGGGGGAAAGGGCGATCAATGTTCAAACAAAATACAAATGCATATTGTAAATGTGAAAACAGTGTCTTTTCCTCAAAGATAAACCATTTTCATTTTCTTAAGTATATTCATCCTTGTGTATAATCGGTTTTACGTTAGGATAAAATTATGAGTCCTTAAAAAAACAAAAGAACACCGTTTTTTGAAGACATTGTTTTAACAGTTTAACATAAACCTTTATGCAAGTATCGATTTTTGTGACAAAGTGAAGCGTCCATCAGCGCAACGCGACTGATGTGAGTGTAAAGTGGCTGTCTTCATTTCACTCAATGGAGGAGTTATGGCTCTCGGCCACCTGTTGCACGAGCCTACGTCCCCTGGTAATCGATATCGATAAGGGCAAGTGCTCTGGTGCGTGAATCACGGATCGATTCTTGAATTATCAAATTTCAGTATCACGCCCACGATACTTTATTGTATACATCAAAAAATTATCGAGAGTAAGTTTTCGGCAAGTAAATTGATAAATGGTAACTGCGTGCACAGTAGGGTCATTCAACTTTAATTCGGGAAGGATGAATAAACGTCATTCAATTATAATTTTAAAGGGAGGTAACTGGGTCATTTAAACTTTAATTTCAAAGGGAGTAAACAGTGTCATTCGGCGCTAAGGAAGGACAATCATTTATCTTTATCGTATTGTGGAAATAACATAACAAGTTTAATGCCCTGTTCGATGTTCAAAACCATTGTAGTTTATTTAACTAAGGCAACGCATTTTTTAAAAATATGATGAAACTAGACTCCTACAGATAATCCTACAAATTCCCACAAATTAATGCCCCTTAAAATAAAGAAAAAAGAAAGGGAAAAAAATACTACAATTAACCGGTTATGGTTTCTATACTGCTGTAATGTTTATTTTGGCCAAATGAACTACTCAGCAAAGAAGATTTGCAGGATTTAATCGGGGATGAATCGAAATCGTTTTTGGTTTTTAAATTGGGTGTAGCATTTTCCCCATTCCGTTGTCCCCCTTGTTTTCTATATTTAAGATCCGTTTCCGGTGTTTTCTTTTTCGCCGCGAGACTATCCCCATCTATATTAGTATCTTGTGTAATTAAGGAATCGATTTCTAGAGCATCGTTTGTAATTAAATTCGCAGTATCGGAAATGACGTCACGTGCATTATCTGATACGTCGTCTTGTTTCGTTTCTGTTTTATTTTGTTTCGGAGATTCTAAAAGCTGTCTGTTTTCCTTATCGAGTAGGAATTCGTCGGATTCTTCTAGGTTTTCTTCCTTTTTCGTGTTGCGGTTCTCGAAATCCGTTTGGATGCTGTTGCCCTGTCCATCTGTGATACTAGGGCAAGCAGGGTCCCTCCAATCGTCCTGTCCATCTTGTAGCGGCCAGTCGAGCCGGTGCTCCATCAAGAATTTTTTCCTCTTGTCCCTCTGTTCCCGGGCCATCAACCCGTTGTAGTAAGTGCCGAAATTCGACGCGATGATAGCGATCGGCATGGACAGCAGCAGCAACCCCGACAGGGTGCACAGCACCCCGACAAAATACCCCGACACCGTCGTCGGGTAGAAGTCCCCGTACCCGACGGTTGTCATGGTGACGATGGCCCACCAGATGGCCTGCGGGATGTTGGTGAAGTTGTTGGCCTTCTCCAGCATCTCGACGTAGTAGATGACGGTGGCGTACATGATGACAGCGATGAAGAGGCCGAGGAAGAGGAGGAACAACTCGGCCATGCTGGCCCGGAAGGTCAGGAACAGGACCTTCATCTTCAGGTACCTGCAGGCAGAGAGAGTAGGTCAGTGCGGGTCATAAGGTGTAACAATGAAAGAGGAAGTACGGCAGGCAACGTAAATATAATACTGTCGGTCAAAAAATGTAACAAAGAAGGTGAATTGTAACAGGTAGAAATATAACAAGTGTAACACTTTAAAACAATGTTACACACGGTAAAATAATGACACTATATACAGAAATATAACAGTAGGTAAAAATATAACATTTGAGGTAAAAATATAACACAATAGGTAAAAATATAACGCTTAGGGTAAAAATATTGCACTGAAGTTAAAATGTTATACATATTGATATTTTATCTTCGGTGTTATATTTTTACCTTAAGCGTTATACTTTAACCTACGGTCTTAAAATTTTCGCCAAATGTTATATTTTTTACCTACTGTGTCATATTTATACATATATTATCAAATTTTAACTTCAGTGTTATAATTTTACCCCAGGAGTTATATTTATACCTACAATATAACATTTTAACTTCATTTTAACCGCTAAAGTGAATTTTATTTTGAATGAGGATGTATATAGGGGCCATCTAAGTTTTACTGTTTCTCCTGCGAGCTCTTCGGCAGAATAGTGTTGGGATGGGGTGGGGGAGGATGGGGGGGGGGTCAAAGTAAAGTATGCTAAAACCAAGAACATAATTCTCAAAACTAATTACCGTCGGGCGACGTGAAAGATCCGAAACACCCGCAGACTCAACACCGCCCTGAGGGTGGCGTGCGCGACTTTGGCGCCCTCGTGCTCCACCAGCAGGTTCTCGTTCCACTCCATGAAGAAGCAGGTCCAGTGGTCGACCGCCAGGAACAGATCCAGAAGGTTCAGGATCTTCGTCAGGTAGGCTTTGGGGTTGGGAGCCACGCATAGGCGCACCAGGGGCTCGACGGTGAAGAATACGAGGCCCATTCTGCGAATAAAGAAAAACATAGTTAGCGGTTAGAGGTGGCGTTTCTGTAGAGTAGTGGGGTGGGGGAGGATGGGGTGCGGACCGCACGGTGGTGTGACACAGAGGCGTAGCGACCCTTACCGGCGCCCGGGGACAAACTTTCAATTTAGCGCCCCCCCCCCATATATTTTTATATTTATGAAGCAAAACTGCAGCTAGAATGAGCTTTTAATTTTTTTCAACCCATTTTGGCGCCCCTTAGGGTCGGCACCCGGAGACATATGTCACCCCTTCGCCCCCCTCGCTACGTCTCTGGTGTGACACATTCAAAGGGGGGGATTACTATTTAGAGCAATTATATATATATATACATACATATATATATATATATATATATATATATATATATATATATATATATATATATATATATATATATATATATATATATATATATATATATTGATACATATATATATTGATACATATATATATTGATACATACATATGAAAATGTTAGCGTTGCGACAATTTCACCCCGAACTTGACCCTGCCATGACATTTCTCTCGTGACGGGAGTCACGTGACTTTGATCTGAGTGTCCCCCTGCACTCGATTAACATTTACCCCGCTCGGCTAACCCAGTCCCACGTTGATAAGTCGCAATTAATCCTGGTTAATCACACTTAATCATGCTTAATCACGAAGTCGTTAGCCAAGACGTGATTACCGATAGAGCGTCATTTTGAAAATAGGTTAAAGCTGATGTATTTGCTGTAGGAATGCAGCTTGATTAATTTCATGCTTTAGTTAATGCATAATGATTTTAATACAAGTACATAATAAACCGGTAGTGATCTCCCCTAAACTTTCTCGAATATTCTTATATAAAACAACAGGGGATGGTAACTGGGGATATAGTTATGATCTTTAATCCATTTTAAATACTGAAACTTTTAAAAATAGAATAGAATCTCAGTAAAAAACAATTGCGCACCAAGCGAACGCCTAATAAAGGTGTGTATAATAGTGCGCAATAGTATTAGTACTTTATAAATTTACATTAGTTTTTTGAGAAATCGGAAGTAGCGTAAAGTACTACTTCCGGTCAACGGAAATTACTCAAAATTTAACAGAAGGTAGAGAATTAGATCTTTTACTTACATGTGAAATTTCATTTATCTATCTGAAATAGTACTCAAGTTATAGGCTTTTGAAAAATTCAAAGTAGAAAAAGTACCACTTCCGGTTATCCGAAATCGCTCAAAAGTTGATACGGATCTACGATTTTGATATAATACTTGTATATGAAATTTCATCAACCTAGCTGTAACGGTACTCAAGTTATCGTGTTTACACACGGACACACACACACACACACACACACACACACACGGACACACAGACATACGGACAAGATTGCAAAATTATGTTTTTCCGTATCAGTGAGATGTAAAACGTCGAGATTTGCAAAAATCTCGATTTTTTTTTTTGCACGATTACAAGACTTTCTCTATACTTCGTATATACGAGAAAGTAAAAATAGTCCCCTCTGCTCCTACTAAAACGCGTATTAGTTTAATAAAGTAAATATTGTTAACTTGTAATTAACATAAAAGTATGGTCAACCGTATCTAAATAGATCTATGCCAATGGTATTAGAAGCGTTGTTACCGTTAAGAATATTTTCACTTTAATAGTTAGATTTAAGCATAAGACTAGGGCTGATGTTGGGTATTGTAATAGGTTTAGCCTAATGATTTTGGTATGGGATAGGATTAGCCATGTTGTTTGCATAGCTGGTGTTGATGATAATGAGACTCAATTGCTTTGATTTACTTGTAAAAATTGGTTTAGTATTAAGTTTAGGCCATAGCCAGGGCTAGTGGGGGGGGGGGGAGAGCTGATTAAAAACATGAAACTTGCGACAGATTACTATCAGTTTTATACTCTCCTTTTCTTTCTATGTATGACGCTTTATACCGGCCATTGACCTGTAACAGTAATTAAGATGTTGTTACAGAAACGATGAAGACAACACTTAAATTCACACGTAAAATCCGTGTAGCAGTATATTTTTTTTTATATCGACAGTGTATTATTCAGAAACGCAGCTCTAAAGAAGCCTTAATAGTAGGCGCCCGGGGCGGACGCCCCATCTTCACTCCCTAGCTGCATCTCTGGCAAATATCCTAGCTACGTCACGGGTGGGGGCGGGGCTGAGTGCCATTATTTAAAAAAAATGAAGACAGACTTACACATCGAAGACGAGGATGGGAGTGCAGAGGTCGCTGTTGAGCAAGTTGTCTAGCAGAGTCTCCTTGCTTTTGTCTATCTTGCTGTCGTGCACTCTGTAGACACGAAACTCCCTGACCGATGACACGGCGACCACCACAATAGACATTAGGATAAACGTCATGTACACGCCGAACCATACCTGCGCAGTCAGACAGGAAGTTATGAAACCAAAACTGCGAGCGTTCAAGAGGGAACGTAACTGTTAGGACTAGGGATAGCATAGATAGGTCTTAGGCATCTATTGAAAGTTAACCGAAAAGTGCCCCTCCCCACGGGAGTACGAAACATAAATGTATGTAATAGCCCAAAAAGATGTGTACTTCATACATCAATCTTTAATTAATTTTAACATATTTATTAAAATTCTAAACAGTGGCGTAGCGAGGTCGGGTGTCACCCGGTGCGGCACTTAATGGTGTCACCCCCATTTAGGCGTAGCGACCCTTCCCGGGGACAAACTTTCAACTTTCGATTTGCACCCCCCCCCCCCTCCCTCAAACTTTCGATTTGCACCTCTTAAAACACTATTTAACACTCGAATTAATCACTTAATGAAGTGGAATTATCATTTTTCTCTATAAATTTTGCTATTTTTTGACTTGGTGTCACCCCCTAAATGGTGTCACCCGGTGCGGTCCGCACCCCCCGCCCCCCCGCCCCCTTGCTACGCCTCTGATTCCAATTAAATTTAAGTTTCTGTCACAATGTATTTTATCATGTCTTGGCCTGCGTTTCAATTAGGTAGAAGTGGTTGAAATTGTGTTCACAAATGTGACCGTATATTATCGCGAAGCAAAAAGACGACAGCATTAGGACTCAAATAAAATAAAAGATTGTAAAAAAACAAAACAACAACAACAAAAATAACGCGTCTAATGGCAGTTGACCTACCCACGACCAGAGGTTGTGGCCCGGCCTCTCCATAGTCAGCCATATCTGGCCACTGATGCTGTCCTTTGCCACCGAGTCCAGCTTCATGGCCGTGTCCAGCTCCTCCACGATGAGCACCTCCCTCAGGGCCTCCCTGTACCGCTTGATGCAGCACTCGGAGATCAGCTTGTCGTTGATGCCCCAGTACCTGAGACAGATAGTCCAGAATGGGGTTTTACGTGGACTTAATGATAGGACTGTATATAACTGACTGACTTACTGATAGGACTCAGTGGCGTAGCGAGGTCGGGTGTCACCCGGTGCGGCACTTAATGGTGTCACCCCCCCCCCCCCCCCCCAGAGGCATAGAGACCCTTCCCAGGGACAAACTTTCAAATTTTCGATTTGCACCCCCCCCCCTCAAACTTTCGATTTGCACCCCCCCTCGAGTTTTCGATTTGCACCCCCCTCAAACTTTCGATTTGCACCCCCCCCCCTCGAGTTTTTCTCTATATATTTTCTATTTTTTGCCTTGGTGTCACCCCCTAAATGGTGTCACCCGGTGCGGTCCGCACCCCCCGCCCCCCCCCCCCCTCGCTACGCCCCTGATAGGACTGTATATTTCAGTAGGGCCTAATTCACGGACTTAATGATAAGACTGTAAATTTTAGTAGGGCCTAACATACCGACTTAATGATATGACTGTATATTTCAGTAGTGCCTAACATACCGACTTAATGATAGGACTGTATATTTCAGTAGTGCCTAACATACCGACTTAATGATAGGACTGTATATTTCAGTAGTGCCTAACAGACCGACTTAATGATAGAACTGTATATTTCAGTAGGGCCTAACAGACCGACTTAATGATAGAACTGTATATTTCAGTAGGGCCTAACAGACCGACTTACTGATAGAACTGTATATTTCAGTAGGGCCTAACAGACCGACTTAATGATAGAACCGTATATTTCAGTAGGGCCTAACTCACAAACTTAATGATAGGACTGTATATTTCAGTAGGGCCCAACTCACAAACTTAATGATAGGACTGTATATTTCAGTAGGGCCCAACTTACAAACTTAATGATAGGACTGTATATTTCAGTAGGGCCCAACTCACAAACTTAATGATAGGACTTCATATTTCAGTAGGGCCAAACTCACGGACTTACTGATAGGTTCGTATATTTCAGTAGTACCTAACAGACCGACTTAATGATAGGACTATTTGTGCTATTTTACACACTTGGTAATCAATGGCAGGGAAACTTTACCATAAACATAACCCCATTTTCCACTAAAACTCCTCTTTACCATAAACCTTGACCTCTCATCTTTACAAATTTTTAAAATTTTACCACAAACTTCAATGCCATTCATCACAATTTTGAAACCTCCAACTCACCTCCAACCTAAAAAAATAATCCCCCTTTTGCAAAAAACCACCCCTCCAACACATCACAAAACTTACATATTCTTTATCACTAACCTTAACGCCACTTCCACTTTACCATTAACCCTGCCCCCCTCCCCCCTTTACCACAAACCCTAATCCCCCCTCCAACACCCCTCACAAACTCGAATCCTACCTTTACCAAAATTAGGCAGCTCCCTTTTTAAGCACAAACCATCTCGCCAGGGGCGTAGCGAGGGGGGGGGGTGCGGGGGGTGCGGACCGCACCGGGTGACACCATTTAGGGGGGTGACACCAAGGCAAAAAATAGCAGAATATATAGAGAAAAACTTGAGGGGGGGTGCAAATCGAAAGTTTGAGGGGGGGGGGGGGGTGCAAATCGAAAACTTGAGGGGGGTGCAAATCGAAAATTTGAAAGTTTGTCCCCAGTAAGGGTCGCTACGCCTCGGGGGGGGGGGGGTGACACCATTAAGTGCCGCACCGGGTGACACCCGACCTCGCTACGCCACTGCATCTCGCCCCTTTATCACAAACCTCAACCCCCTTAACCACACACCTTAGCTCTCTAGAAATGGCCAGTCCACACATATTCCCAGGCAAGTGAAGCTCCCCCGTCCTGTAAAGGTCAAGGATAGGGTTCACCATCTTCGTGTTCCTATCAAACACGTACGCCGTTCCCTCTTCACCCGCCCGGTGACGTAGGGCCAGCTGACCCAGCCTCGTATTGGGGAAAGTGGCCAGTGCCTGCCGGGATATCCAATATGTCTTCCCGGACACCACCAGCTTGATGTTGACGGTCGAGAAGCCGGGAGACCCCCCGCTGTTCCCTGGGTTTCCCCCTTCATGGTACGTGGTATCTGAATGATCCAAGGCTAGCTCCATGTTCTGTATTACGCTTTCAACACAACTACACTTTCATGTTGTTTTCATCTAAGGCTCTATCCCGATGATCTGTAGAGATAAGAAACGCAATATAGGTATATATATATATATATATATATATATATATATATATATATATATATATATATATATATATATATATATATATATATATATATATATATATATATATCAGTGGTTCTTGTATGTAGCCGAACCAGTATCACATGCGCATTAACTGTGACCGAACCCTCCTTAATTAATGGTTCTATCGTCCACTCTGACCAAATCATATGACTCACCGAACCCATGGGATTCTTCTTCTTCGTTCTTAATTTTAGTGTTGGAAGGTATTACCCTCAATAGAATTAAGTATACGTGACAACTGGTTTTGCGCCATTGAGGTCACTGACTCCGATTTCAGCCTGCTTATCTTTTTGGATTCGATTCCACGGCCTTTTTCCTACCAAGAACAAACTACAAGGCAGCGGTTGTTTGATTTTGGAGTTGTCTCTTGTAGAATAATTGCTGACCTCAACTAACGAGCCTCATCTGGGTTCGAACTCGAGACTTTTTGGTTTAGCAACCATGAGCTTTACCGACACGACTACGCCGACCCCGGGATTCGATCGAACCCAGTTTGAGAACCACTGGTGTGGAGTCTAGATTTCTTTCATCAATGTTTTCAAGAAACAATGAACATATGTAAGCATCTACTAAGATTGTAATTTATTATAAAATTAATAGTTTCTTTATTTTTTATATATAAAAAGAAACAAACCGATAGCAAAAGTCGTATCCCAAGCTAGGCAATAACTCGACGTTTACAGGGACCGGCACAGATAAAGTGTTGCCGTTTATTTATTTACGAGCCGACCCGCTGCGTATCATACGCTGCTATTTAGTTGTTTTTTTTCTACTTTTCAGTAATTTATAATTTGTGAATTCGACAGTACCAATGCTGCCACTGAAAATATTTGCTTAAAAACACTAAACCCCTCCCCCCCCCCCACGTGAAAGCAGCCTCCTCTTAGTTACCTCCTCTAAGTTTAAAATCGTTTCAAATTAAATTATCTGCCCCTAATAGCCGTCACCAAACCCGTCTATGATTGTAAAATGTAAACAGCGTGACCACAGCTCACCAGATCATGTGAGGGGGTGGGGGTGGTAGCGATAGAGAGGAAGAGAGGGGACTGTAAGGCGCGCTTGCAGCTTGTTTTCTAACGGCTCCCAGAAGAGAATTATATATATAGATGTTAAGCGTTGTTGAGTTTTACATGTGTGCACTGTGCTCTCTTTAAGCTTAAAGGAAGCGGATAATTGCAATGAGGCCAACCAAACTAATCTATCCGCCTTTTATCTTGACAAAATTTTAAAACATTAAAACAAAACTACCTGCAACATAAAACAACTTATTTATCAAACGTATCAAACACTAATCATAAATACTACGTAATTCCACTTTTTAAAACTCCTTCATGGTTAAACATTCTTGCACATACGTGTCAAAATATGGTCAATTTTTGTCCCGTACAAAACACATCCATTTATCTTTATAATGTTCTTCAAAAAATGCTCCGAAAGATAAAATAAAAACAGATAAAATAAAACAGCTAGATTGCCTTAACTCTAACTTCCAAGCATGTAAACAAAGCAAAACTATCATTGTTATCTATTCTAGAGAAGATGACATGAAATTACCGTTCAGGATATTAGAAACAGCTCTCGCCTAAAGTACAACACAAACACACGTCTGTTTTCTTAAAGTGCGAACTTTTGCTCGGTGCACGTGCACATTATGGAGGTGAGCTAATTAAAGAGATGATGTAATTAAAAAATAATGAGATTTTTACATCTTCATCCAAAGCTTTAAAAAAGATGTAAGATGTTGTGTGCAATATAAAATATGCTTGATTTGATCAATACCAAGTCTAACTTGTTTTTGCCAAAGGCAAATAGACGACTTCTGAAGTTAGAGATTTGGTTCGAGATTATTCGTTAATTTTGTTAGTGATGATGTTTTAATGGACAAAAAGACATTTTTTTCGGTCAGGTACTCATTAGAGCTGGATGGACTCAGAGACGTCCTTCGGTCAGGTACCCATTAGAGCTGGGTGGACTCAGAGACGTCCTTCGGTCAGGTACCCATTAGAGCTGGGTGGACTCAGAGACGTCTTTCGGTCAGGTACCCATTAGAGCTGGGTGGACTCAGAGACGTCTTTCGGTCAGGTACCCATTAGAGCTGGGTGGACTCAGAGACGTCATTCGGTCAGGTACCCATTAGAGCTGGGTGGACTCAGAGGCGTCATTCGGTCATGTACCCATTAGAGCTGGGTGGACTCAGAGGCGTCTTTCGGTCAGGTACACTTTAGAGCTGGGTGGACTCAGAGACGTCCTTCTGCCAGGTACCCATTAGAGCTGGGTGGACTCAGAGACGTCATTCGGTCAGGTACCCATTAGAGCTGGGTGGACTCAGAGACGTCATTCGGTCAGGTACCCATTAGAGCTGGGTGGACTCAGAGACGTCATTCGGTCAGGTACCCATTAGAGCTGGGTGGACTCAGAGACGTCCTTCTGCCAGGTACCCATTAGAGCTGGGTGGACTCAGAGACGTCTTTTGGTCAGGTACCCATTAGAGCTGGGTGGACTCAGAGACGTCTTTTGGTCAGGCACTCATGACCAAAGGAGACATACTTCGATTGGGTACCCATCACAGCTTTTAATTTAGTTTAATTTTCGTCACTCCTTTTCTCTTCGTTACTCTTTGCTTTTTCGCCACGCTTTCCTCTTCCCTCCAGTTTTCCACGCAAGAGTTTAAAATAAACCTGTTCAATGTATGTTTTTATCTCATTTTCAGAATTTCGGAAATGTATTAAGTAAGTGTTATTAAATAACCCCGATGTACAATCTGTTGTAACTTTTCGGAATGTTTCTTTTCCACGAACTCTCAAACCCGCTAATCCGGTTACTCGTATCTCAAATTTTGCTCGTATGTGAAAGCAAATTTTTTGCTCGCTCCACAGCTCGTATCTTACAAATCTCTTATGTCGGGGCGCTTGTATGTTGAGGTAGGCCTACCACTGTATATATATATATATATATATATATATATATATATATATATATATATATATATATATATATATATATATATATATATATATATATATAAAACCGATAAATAAAAAATCTCGATATTAAATAGAAGAACGGAAAACACACAGCACCTTCTTCAAGACCTCGTAGGTTCAAGATTCAATTGTCCACCCATCTACTCATATTTTTCGTCCTAAGGTTTACATCAATGTTCTGTGGTGTATTTAATTTAAATACATCTTAGCAATCCCAAATGGACACAGCACGAGCAACATTTCTTCGCGGTGTCACCCCCCCCCCCTTTCTCCAATATGTCGGACCATGTCAGTTGTAGTTAAACGATTCGTGTATTGTTAACTATTTATTGATCCCGATGAACAAAGCGTCCTATGCTATGTTAATTTTATCTTATTGCCCCCCCCCCCCCTCTCCACTCCAGTCGCAAGGAGCTGGTAGGTCCATCAGTACCTAACGCTTCATATATATATCAGTTATTAATAACCTTCCATGCTTCCATTATTGTGTCACACGGTACGGTCAGATTACCCCCCCCCCCCCGTGTAAAACTCGAATCGCTAATTACATTTCATTTTCCAATATTGGTTTATGGGTTATCACATTAGGCTTCGAGCTGATTGCGTCGGCCTGGTTGATTTAAAGTGGTGTCAACAGTACCACCTGCTGTACTTCGGTAACTAAATGCCAACTCTCGGTAATTAGTACACCACAGCTTTGTTTATTCATTATCGAAAATGATGAATTACACGGAGTGGGCGTTAGAGGGTATTTTTTCATGAGGAAAAAAATGTATTCATGACTTTAGTAAATCCGTATAATGATGTCATGCAGGATGGGGGGGGGGGGGGGGTTGGTAAAATGAAATCTAAACTTTTTGGCGGGCTTCATGTTTTTTAACAGCCGTTTTGTTTGTAAACCGTTAACAATAAGCGTTAAAAATACATAAAAATAGATCAAAGTACATGGTAATTTAGGAGGTCGTTTAGGGCACCTCCCCAATACGTCAAACCGACACTCACCCCCCCTCACCCCACTTCCACCGTTGATGTGATGCAATGGTACGGGTAGTAAAAGACTGATGGAAACTAACGGGATATTTATTTATTTATTTATTTATATTTTTAGTTTTGAGGGGGGGGGGTGGACACTCTGTTAAATTATTTTTTTATATTAACTCGAGGGGAGGTGGACGTACTTCGAGGGGGGGGGGGGGAGAGGGGACAATTCCCAAGAGATGCCTGAAAACAACTCTAGTTGCCAGATTTCACACTATTGCTCAAGTCCGCTGAAAACAGACCCCGAAAATTTGGAATAAAATTGTCTAAAATATGTGTAGCTTTTTAAAATTTTAGCAACCATTTTTTTCTCTTCAAAACTCTTATTAAAATACTTTCTTTTTGTGATCGATTTTTTTGCCGTGTGTCTTGACTAAAAGCAGCAGACTGTCTTTTCATCAAAAGAAATCATATTGATATGCTTTTTCTGGATTTATATGATGAAAAAATGGACTGTTGGTCACACATACAAAATATCTTTAAAATCTATGAGTTTAACTCTGAGTTCACACAAAATTTGAAAAAACTTAAAACGCTGAATGGAGAGGAATGAAAAGGCTTCAGAGACGTCAAAGGGAAGACCGTCGCGACCAAATTTTGATATGGTCTATGTGCGACTAAAATAGACGTCATACTTTAAATGATGCGTAGCCTACGCTACTCAATTTTAAACATTATACATAATACAAAAAGTAAAAGTGTATCTGTAAAACAAAAACAAAGCAAAGTTCCCTTACGAACCTGAATGTCCATGGGTCTAGTGTAATTTCACTCTTTCTGCGACCGGCATATGAAGGGATAGTGAGTCAGGTACCCATCAGAGCTGGGACTAGAACCCGGATTCGAACTCGAATATTTCTAACATGCGTTACAAATAGTCTAGGCTTGATGTTTGTATTA